GTGGCACCTTTCGTGCTACTATTTGTACTTTGTATTTAGGTCTTTTTACTTCTTCGGACGTCTCAGATAGCGGTGTGACAGATTTCAGCCCTTGGCTCATGTAGTAGTGGTGTTGACAACTAAGGGCTGCCCCATACTAGTTTGAGCGTAGTACTTCGTGGTCTTTTCTTTACGGTAAGAGGCATCACGTTTGTTAGGGATTCCCACACACAGAGTTCCCGCTTGCACATAATGCTCAGAATTTCCATCGCTATCTGGGCAAGCTGATGCGAGGACGCTCCTCATTAAAAAAACACTATTCAAAGTATTTCTTTTTTTTAATGAGAAGCGTACTCACATCGGCTCGCCCAGATAGCCCCATGAGCAGAACTCATCGCGGAACTGCGTGAGCATGTCCGGAGCCCCTTACGCAGTTCGATTCCTGCATGGTATGAACTGCGTGCGCAGTTTTTCATCTTATTTCAAAACATTCACGCGAAAACTATTCCCGCAGTCAAAAAAGTTCGCAAATATTCGGCAAATATTCCCAAACATTCTCCAAATATTCCCAAGTATTCGAATACTCTTAAACATTCACAAAAAGAAGACGAAAAAGAAAAAGAACGCCGCAACGTCTCCGACAAAAATCCCCGCAAGGGTTTCCCGGATCTCCTTATCGGTTTCGCTTCGTCGTCTTCATTCTTCCAAAAGACTGGCCACAGACGGGAGGCCCCATCGGTCTCCACGTGGCGGCTTTTCGATAAAACAGCGCGCGCCTCCGTCATCCATCTGCTTCCACTTCTTTCATTTCGCGAGATACGCGAGAGAGGTCGTCGCCGTCTTGTGTTCCCCTGGCTTGGCTCGTCTTTGTTCCAGTTTGGTCGGCCTGTGTTCTGCTGGCCTGGCTGCTCTTGTGTTCTGCGTCTCCTCATGCGCTCCCCTCGTGTGCTCTTGTCGTATGTCCAATCTCTGTGCCGTGGCGCGTCGTCTCTCTGGCGGCCATAGGCCGCCAGGGACGAGGGGGCAGAGGGTTGCCTTACTGGGCTGCTCGCGCTGGATTATGCGGCGCAGACCACGCGCCCACCAGCGCAGCGTGGCGCGTCGTCCCTCTGGCGGCCGTAGGCCGCCAGGGACGAGGGGGCAGCGCGTGACCATCTCGCCCCCCGCCCCCCTTGTACAAGGTTAAATGTTTGCGCGACGGTGGACCCACATAACGAGCCTGCGCCGAAGAGTGCGCCCCCGGAGTGTGCCGAACCATGTAACCTTGTACAAGGGGGGCGCGGGGCACAAGGGGGGCGGGGGAGTGCTCCTGACAGGCGGCCGCGTAACTGAAGGACTAGCCCGCGCCCCATCGTTCCTGGCGGCCTTCGGCCGCCAGCGGGACGATGCGCCAGACAGGGCGTCTTGCCAAGCTTCTGCGGCCTTCCCTTAAGATGTTCGCGATTAAAGTTACCTCCTTGGCCTTCTTCGTGTTCGTGTGCTACCTATGCCGGGCGCACTTCTGAGAGCTACAGGCGCACAGGCTTAGCCTTTCCCGCTAATGGTGTCCCAGACTCTTAAAAAGGAGGGCGGGCCCGTGTCTGATGGTGTCGCCTGTCGTCTCGTTCGGTTTGTATCGGTAGCCGGAGGGATTGCAGAGGAGACGGGCACGCCGAGCGAGCGGCGAAACCGATAAGGGAATGGCGGAAGCATCTGAACAGAGCCCGGAAAGACGGAGGCGAAACCGATAAGGGAATGGGAAAAGGAGAGAGACGCACCGGCCTCGCGATAGGCGGACCGGCGTCCCAAACTGTGAAGAAAAGCGGCAAAATATCGAAAACGGCCGAGAAGTACCACTGTCCCTTAGCGGTTTCGCTTAAGAGTTTCGCGAGGTTCGCCAGGGGGACTCCGATGGCGCGCAAGTGTCTCCCGAGATATCACAACAGGACCGCGGCGCAGAGGTGGCTGACCCGTGGCGTTATATAGAGAGAGGCGCGGGAAACAAACGAGGGAAAGCAGCCGACGCGAAACCGATAAGCAGATGCCAGAAAAGCGCAGAAAAGAAGAGAAGGCAGCGCGCGAAACCGATAACAAAGCGGACGGATCAAGAGCAAAGCCGGCCACCCCTTGAGCAAGACCAGGGGAGGCAAACGGGGGAAAAAGGGGGCAGAGAAATCGACAAGCGAACCGAAGCAACGGCGTCCCTTAACGGTTTCGCCTAAGAGTTTCGCGGGGGGTCCTCCCTATTTCCTGAAGAGTGCGGCCGCCTTTGGGCTGGGGAAGTGCTCCCCTTTAACTTAAAGGGTCGCCTTTTTTGAAGCCCTGACGGCCCGCGATCGCGCGCTCGTTTGTTTGCGGGGCGCGAAGCTGATGCCGAAGGCTTTGCTTCCGCCATTAGATGGCGCACAGCCCCCGCAATTCCCTGCACTCCCTCCGAGTTGGGAGACTGGCCCCCTTTAAGAGTCGCCCTCTTTCGACGCCTTGACCGCCCGCGGCTGTGCGCTCGTTTGTTTGCAGCTCGCGAAGCTGATGCGTAAGGCCTTGACTTCGCCAGTAGGTGGCACACAGTCCTCGCAATTCACTTAAAAGTGCGACCCCTTTCGCGTGGAGAAGGAGGCCCCCTGTAGAAGTCGCTTCCTTTTTCGGGGTCTCGGCTGTCCGCGATCGTGTCCGCGTTTATTTGCCTATCTTTCGCGAAACTGATGCCCGAAACCCTGTCGCCGCCACTGGGTGGCGCGCAGTCCTCGCAATTCGCTGAGAAGTGCGGGAAGTGCGACGCGCTTCAAGTTAGGAAGGCGATCCCCTTGAGAAGCCTTGGCTGCCGGATCTCCTGCCCGCGATAAGTCGGCAACAGACGCGCCGCGCCAAGCTGGCTAGCGCAGCAGCCAGCCCGCGGTAAGTCGACAACAGACGCGCAGCGCCAAGCTGCCGAGCAGCCGGCCCGCGATAAGTCGATAGCAGACACACAGCGCAGAGCTGCCTAGCAGCCGGCCCGCGATGAGTCCGCAAGAGTGAGACGCGCGGCGCAGAGCTGCCCAGCAGCCGGCCCGCGATAAGTCGAGAAGGGACGCGCAGCGCGGAGCTGCCTAGCAGTCGGCGCGCGATAAGTCGATAGCAAACGCGCCGCGCAGAGCTTCCCAGCAGAGTCAGCAACCAGCGCCAAAGCCGTGGCTTTCTCGCTACTTAAGGTGAATAGAAGTGAGAAAGCCGCAACCTCGTAGGAAACTCATGGGCGGAAAGGCTTTCCACTTTCTTCCATTAGTTTCCGTATGCCCTTACTGGGGGCGACCTAAACCAAAGAAACAGAACTGGGCCGGAAGAGTTGCATCCGGTTACCGAAGTCCGACCCTGCTTATGGTAATTGCATAGCCGGACTGCCTCACACGTAGAAGGAATTTCCACGCGGCCCAATCCGGTGCTCCAAAACGCACTAGACAAACAAGAAAACAGAACGAAAATCGGAAACAGCTTCTCCCGATTATGAAATGAAAGACGTGCTGCCAGATGAGAAGCCAAATGCTAAGAAGATGGGCAAAGTGTACTCAATACTGCAATGGCGCAATGGCTGTAAGTGGAATCCCAACGCAGCTACCCAGGGCGGAACTTGGTGGGAATCGCGAAGCGGATGGTGTCCTGGGTCCGTGAATACAGGCTCGTACCTAGATGTCTCCGAATCCTTCGCGGCCTCATCTTCGGGTAGCATTAGTACGACAGAAGCTTCTCCTTCTTCTAATTCATCATTTCTTCAACTGCCGGACGGAGAGGACAGGCCCCTCGAATTCGAACTGACTAAAGAAAAGATAGTAGAACCCGACAAGAATACAGACGAAAAAATGAAGGAGGAAGAAGTTGTACAAGTAGAAAAAATCGTTGAAAACACGATGTCGGATTTTGAATTGAAAATCTGGGCCACCGTTTGGAACAACCAGACCCAAATTTTCGACAACTACGTTGATTATGGAAGCTGGCTCCAAAGAGATCGAGCCCATCTGCACACTCAATTCAACAGTTTCGTTTACGAAGACCCTCTACTACCAGCTGAAAAAAATAGAAATACTACAGGGATCGGTGTTCTTGACGGAAACCGGAGAGACGATAGACATACTCATTCGACGAGGGGCAAAAATTCGCTGCTTAACAGGCGACCGCAAGTCCAAAATGAGCAAAGAAATGCGGAGAAGAAGGAAATCTGACGGGTGGACGACAATCTACGATTTCCCTATCTTTACCGTGTAGATTTGATACGAAATGATCCCGCAGCACTGAGCATGCGGAACAGCACGGTAAAAGCAGTTTCACTGGTCCGTCAGTGGTCACCTGCTCCTACACGAAGGACTCAGACTCTGGTTAGTAGCGCGGCAAAGATGAAGAAGGACGGTTTGATAGACTTCCAAGCAGCACATCCGTGGTACCAACTTCCAGGTGGAGTAGCGTTTCCGGATGGGCGCAAGGGCGCTAACGATAGAGAGAGACCTATGTTCCGGTCTATCTGAAGGAGTCCTCTTGTGTTGTAAGTGGTTTATTATTTTTGTTCAATTCTTCCTTAGCGGAATTAGGACTTTCTTGATTGCGATGTCAGAGTCTCATTGCGCGGCCGTAGACGTACATGCTCGTACTATCATGCTAAATGGAGGAATCAATGCCTGTCTGAGAATTCGATCTATCTCAGGTTGTTGTGCTTTTTCCTCTGTCCTTAAAAACATCTTCATGTCTGTCAAGTCCGTGTATTATCTATGTTCATACATTGGAAGCTAACGCTGTACCGAAATAATACGGGATCCGGGTTGGATAAAAGTATAGTCTTTACCGATTCGTGGGATTTTGAAGCCGCAGCCGCGTGGGAGATGGGCAGGAAGCGGTTAGACTCGGAATTGACCGACGCGAAATTAATCAAAAGTGTCAAGATCTTCAACAACGTGAAAGGGCAGGGCGTTTTATGGTTACACAACTGTGATTTCAATTTGAGACAAAAATACAGGTTGCTGTACAACCTCTGAAATAGCTTACTATTCTATGGCTGCGCACGACTAAAGTCATCTCCATTCTAGTATTCTATGTGTGATGCATGGTTTTCGAGTTCATACTTTCCGACATTTTTGGTGAGGATGAACGAGTTCCCGGAAGAATCGGAGTACGATCAGATAGCGGTGAAATTCCATTTAGGACCACCTGGCGATAATCTGGAGATCGACCATTGGGATCGGCTAGGCTCGTTCGGCATTTTCTTGTAGTGAAAGACGATCTTTGAACAAAAGCCGATGCTAGGATTGTTACGGAGGAAAGGTCAATCTTGAGGAGGATGAAGTAGATTTATATATGTTCCAGGGGTGGAGGCTCCCCCCCTGTGGATTTTTCTCTCACATTGGCATTTGAAGAGCAAACATTTCCGATGGCGTTGCTGTTGTGCATAGATAAAGATGGACACGGCGTTTGAAAAGATCTCATGTATAAATTTTTAGAATTAGCCTTAATACACCATTGATAGATGTTGATATGTCATACGCATCATACGCAACAAGAATAATTTCCTTGATGGATTATCAAGTAATTGATGGGAGTCTTGTTTTCCTACTTGCAATTTATACTGGTGAAATGAGGATCAGGATCTGAATAATCCCGAAATGAATGCATTGAACCACCTCGCGATGCTGCAGAGGAATGACACTTCCTTGATAAAGACACTGAAAAATCAATGAAATGAAGAAAATTTTTGAAGTTTCGAAAGGGGGCATGTTCTTCAAATCTCGTCAGGACCCTTCTGTCATTGCAGGACTTCTACGACGTCAGCCTTACACTTCTGAATAGAGATGGGTAACGCCAGATAGATCTATGTTCTGGAAAACACGGAGACGTATTTTGAGGTGCCGCTATACGCCTTTGCGGTGATGCGACTCCACAAGAATGCCTAGCCATAACATAACATCGGGATTGAATGCATGGGTCGAGGCCCGCGGTTGAAACTCGAGAGTGATTGGATGAAAGCAAGAAATTTAAGACTTGGCGTTGAAAGCATGACTAGCGTGCCCTTCGTGCGCGAATCGCCTTCGTGCTCGCTTCGGCTGCGACGTGGTTCTTCCTGCGTCTCTCGCTCTCTGCATATTTCGATCTAGGACAGATCTTTGACCCTGCTTGAACTAAGCCGTCCGCATCATGGAGCGCGTCTTGCGGGTTGTGAAGCTCCGGCCACGGCCGGGCGACGAGACGGGCGCTGCAGAAGATATCACCTGGGACTCGGAAACAATTGGCGTGAGAGGATCCAACGTGAAGGATTTAAAGATAAAGGTTGACAAGGTGCTCGACACCACGGTAGGGTCCGAGTATGTCGCAACGAATTATGTCACTCCGCTTGCGGCTGAGGTGCTGGCCGGCGTCAGCGGTGTAATAATCATTACACGTCTCCATGCACTCATGCATTGACTTGACATTTGGTGGTCACCCACTACTGAAGATCAAGAGGCGCTATGTATATCACCCGCTAACTACGAGGAAGAACTGGAGTCTACGTCCAAGGAACTTCTGAAAGATGACAACTCATCGAGGATGTACCATTTGTTTATCCTCAAAGGGCTTGGTAAATTGTGTAGTCGAGAACTCTGCGGTTGTCCTCCTGTAACTTCAACACTATGATTGATGTCACGCAAAAGTAAAACCACATTGTCGATTAGGTTTTTCTGTGTTTCGGAGCGGAGAAGACGGGACGGTCCCGTGTGATGGATGGGCGCAACGGTCTCTTTGCGTTGTCTTTGCGGAACGTTTTCTCCATGTTAGAAGAGAAGCAGCAACGCCGTGCGGCCGCCAGACAACCCCAGAAGCTGGAGTTTGTGGTGCGCATTTCCTTCTTCGAAATATGCGATGAGAATGTGCGTGACTTGCTGCGCGACGACAATCAAAAAGCGGCGGTCGGTCCCATCCGTTTGAGTGACACCCTTGAGTACGGGACTGTGCTGTTATGCATCTGTTCAGATAAGAATACTTACAGAATAAGTAGAATTCAATCGGGCATGTACAGCAAACGGAGATTACTACTCGAATATTTTCATCTGGTAGACTCGGTATCTGTAGTGAACAAACTGTGGTCCTGCAACAGGAAGACGCCTCATGCAACCGCTTGAGTCATATGATCACAGTGCTATGTCATCTGACGTATTGGAATAGACCGCGATCGTCCTTGATGGAGCGATCCTTTTACGACTATGCTCTTTCATTAGCCGATAATTGCAGCAGTCCTGCCGTACCGCGATCGGCCGACGCAATGAAACTGCTTGAAGCAGGGCTCAAACGTCGATACAGTTCCGTTTCCCGAAAGCTTATAACCGGTTTGCGGATCGAAGTTCTTCAGGACCGAACGATCTACAGCAACCTACTAGTGTTACGTCTTCGTCTTGTATACTGAGTCCGGATTATTTTGACATCACAATTTTTCACAGAAAAAATGATCATGAGACGGGTTGAAAATCATGATGCAAAACAAACTTAATCTTCTGCAACGACTACACAAGTAAAAAACCACTACTTACGATCACAAATTTTTTATTTTTATATCAAAATTACAGACCATGACCACGGAAAAATGCTACAACTAAGTAATTCACAACTAGTTCAACACAGCAGCTCATCTAACGATGTTAGAGGGGCAAACAACGAATCCATTATTGGAGCGGCGAAGCGTAGTACAACTTAGAGATGGCTACGACGCATTCCGGAGTTTATTTCATTTTCACGATTTGGTACAGGCATATCATCCGGATGCAGTTGCGGACGTGCGTCGCAGTTGTCTCACTTGGCTACTCAATTATGAATATGCATCTTGTTGCAAATAATTGAGAAGAACTAGCATAAGCATATGAGATGCACTGATAGTAAGTAAAACAACATGATCCGTCGTGATCGTAAGACGAAGGACAAGGGTGGACTTCCTCAGACCTGCTCCTACATAAGCGGTTCATCTTTCATGAATAGCACGCTTTGGATGAGTACTACGTTGTCTAAAAATATCAATTGTACCTTCTTTTGCTCCTTTCTCTCTTGTGATCCATTTTCATTCAAAGGACGTTTTGCAAGGCCAGAATGCACAGATGTGCTGTATGCTGTGTGTGCAGCAGGGAGAGCCACGAGCAACGCGAAAAGGAATGGAGATGTTGCATGGGCTCGGAAACATTCGACTTGCGCCCGTACGATACGATCCACGCGTTTCCGCTTTGTGCCGCGCCATGCGACGGGAAATGTTACAAAAAGCATCAAGCGGCGACGCAGATGTCGCTGGCGGCAGCGGTGGTGACGCTGGTGCTGTTAGGATTTTGATGGACTGCGATCTTCCAATAAATAGTTTTGAAAGACTTTTTTGAATGAATGCGGGAGAGCATGTTCCCTAATTCTTGCTGCTGTATTTTCTGTAACGTGAGTACGGCATCCTGAATATTTACGAGTGATACCAAAGATGCCACTCGCCAGCTTTTCTCATTGCTAGCACAACCGACCTAACGAGTTGAGTTTATTCTCTTTGTAGTTGTAGTCGACGCTTCGACGCTAAGATACCGGCTTCTGCGGGTGCAGGTGGCGGCAGTGCGGGGAGTTTGTTTAGCAATGCTGGCACAAGTGGTGTGTCCGGGAACGAGCAGCAGAAACGCATCAACGCGCTGGAAGGAGAAGCTCTTACACTTGAGGCCCGCCTTGCGAAATCAGAAAACGAGAAGCGTCGCGCACAGGCGGATCTTGAGACGCAGAGACGCAAATATGACGAAACATTACTGGCCTTTGTCGCACTGAAAAAGCAACGGCTGCAAAAGGAGAGCGAAAAACTCGAAAAGGCAAGGGCGCTAGTGGAGATGTCACGGAAATTTAACAAGCTGGAAGAAAAATGGGAGAAGGCACAATACAGGTTTTTCAAAGATCTCACCCATTTGTCTAAATTTGTCCTTATATGAAGGTTCATCTTTCTGCAACGATGGTAGGAACATCGAATTAACAGGCTAGATGAGCACGAGTACTCTTCGAAAAGATTGATTTCGCTTCCTTGAGCTTTTGTTTTTCAGTTCGTCGTCTTTTCATTGGCTGCGTCTGAATCGTTTTGTGTCACAGCGCACCACTCCATTTATTCGGCCTTGTTTCTTTATATTCAACAGCGAGAAAGACAAGCTTGTGAATTTCGAGAAGGAGATTGTGGAATTGACGTTTGAGCGGCAGAAGCGGGTCGAAGAGGCGGAGAAGCTTGAGAAGACCCTCGCAGAGTTACGATCCGAAAAGGCAGAGCTCGAAGAGGAAGGCGAGAAGGTGAAGCGAGCATTGTCGCTCGTCAAGTTGGAACGAGCCCGCGGCGAAGGTCAGACGGAGGAATTAAATGCAGAGCTAGCAAAGCTGTTGGCAGAAAAGAGCGAGTCAGAGAAAAAGTACGGACAAATGTCAGTAAAGTACAGCGAAATAGTGACGCGATTAGAAACTTTGAACGCGGCGCAAACAGCCAATGACGACCAGCTGAGCACATTTCGCGATCGCGTGGCCAGCCTGAAGACCCAACTAGAACGTGAAACGCAACGCAGCTTCGAAAAAGGGGAAAAAGTTGAAGCGTTGCAGCAAAAAGAGAAAGAGTTGTTGTTATGACGTAACTTTAAGGTTGGTATTCCACGTAGTTTTGATATTTTTCAGCAGCAGCTGACATACAACCACTTTCGCTGAAGATTAACACCGTGCTCTTCTCGAATTCGTTGCTTTTTACAATTTCTTCTAAGTCTAGCACGACTGAACACGCTAGAATCGGAGGGCCTGGAACACGAGAAGGAGACGTTAGAACTGAAAAAGACAGCCGAGAGCGAGAGGAACCAGCGATCTGTAAAGGAGTTGGAGATCGAAAGGCTGAAGCAGGAGTTCGAGCATGTGAAAACGGGGATGGAGAAAGGTTTTCTGGCATTGACGAAGCAGTTGAATCCGAGCGACGTATTCAAGCAGGCAGGCGAAGCAAACGAATGGGAAATCACACGGCTGAAAAAAACGGTCGAGGACTTGGAGCTACGTTTGTCGGAGGCCCGACAGCAGATGGTCTCAAGCCCCGTGACGAGTCCGAAGCGGGAGCGTCGCGAAGAGCAGCTGCATGAGGAAATTAAGCGGCTGCGGCATGAACTCAAGCACCAACGCCAAGAGCAACAGAAGCAGGAACAGGCGGAGACGGCAAAAACGATATGAGAACAACACGAGGGTCCGTGTGCTTTTAGCAAATAAGGTACTTACGTTTCGATTAGCCCTTTCTTGTTTGTTTCCTCATAAAGTTAACCAAAAAATAGTTTTCGTACCATACCTAGGTCGGATTCCTGGATTATTATATGTAGATTCTAAGTGGCTCAGAAGTCACGTTTTCATCAAACGGATCTGCCGCGACTGTGCACCGCAGTGACGCAGAGCGGGAATTGCACGACGCGAATTTGCAATTGAAGCTAGAGCTTGAGGCGGCAGAGTCGCGGGTTCAAGAACTGGAGGACCGCACGCGGCGCTTGGAGCTTTTGCAAAACGACGGGCGGGACGGCGGGGCGCCCGACGAGCAGGCTTTGCGCCAGCAGTGTCGCTATCTGGAAGCCAGTGTTCTGGAATTGGAGCAGGAACGCGCGCGCCTTCTTTTATGGCTTACCGTGACCCATCTTCTGGAGCATCTTAGAACCGTCCCATACGGGGAAAACAGGCCCAAGATTAATCCCGAGATGGATTCGGGTGAGCACGAATTCTTGTTCGCGCCACCAGTGCCGAAGAACAGCTTTCCGAAGTGCAGTTCCAAATGCAGGACCTCATCCGGGATTACGAGGCGCAACTAGCGGCTCTAAGAAGAGGCGCGGGCTGAAGAAACTATAATGTATAAGATAAGGGATAGTTGTATACTCCCAAACAGGAGAGGTTCATTATGTTGATCCACGGGTAGTCTTGGGTGGAAAAGATTAAATTGGGAGAATTATCAATCGTATGACCAAGTCTTCTAAGCAAACTATTCTTACCGACAACCTATTGCTTAAAACACAATCACAAATTCGTTTTTGTCTGCAGGATCGAACCAACACTCCTTGTCGGCATGAGCTCAAGCCTGAACTTGTTGCTGTTGATTGAGATGAATAGAACTAGTTCGTATTAACTTGTTTCAAAGCTCGTGCACAGCTGAATAAAAATGCCAATGACATTGTCACCCAGGATGCTACGCATGTCCTCGCATCTCAAAGGCAGATCTCCTTCTCACCACCTGTGGTCAGATTTTCTGTCTCCTCAAAAAATCACATCGGTCTGTTATGACAATCAACAATTTCGCCCTGCTACTGGAAAGAAGCTGTTGCTACTTGTTGCGTCATCCTCAACATTGCTCGGTAGGAAGTAGCACCTGTGTTTCGGTTGTCTCTTGAATCTTCGGTTGATCTCTGAGACCTGCGCTGAAAAGCTCTGTAGATCAAGCATTCACGTCTGCTTCTCAAGTCCCTAATCACGAACAAAGCCTGCCCAATGCATACAATATGGTGCTGCAATGGCGAATTCCGGCCACCCGCCCCATGCGCCTCGCCGGCAATGTAGATGGGTGTATTAAGTACTTGAGACGCCATGACGATGAGTCGATTAGTAACTTAAACTTTGTAACTAGGAGCACAATAGTTGTTAATTCACATTCACATTCATTGTTTTGTCGTACTCATTTTTTTCTACTTGTTCGATATGTTAATGTTTCATCCAAGGTGTGATCAATTGGTAGGCACTGGGAAGCACCTTTTTAAGGAATCTCGAGAGGGTTATCAGCCATACACCAGAGATGAGAAATATGGACAGGATCGCTTCTCACGTGTATCTTGCTGATACGATTGATGTGCTTGCTCTGACCCTTTGCTGCGGAAGAAAACGAGGTTAAGCGACGTCGCTAAGAAAGCGACGCATCCTGAAGGTTCGCCACAATGGACTGCGCGGCTCTGGACATTGCCGCAAGGCTGATGCAGAAGTACTCTTTTTTGGAACTCTCCCTTCCTGTTGCCGACGTGATTTACAAAGACATTGAAGCACATGAAGATCGATGGGACTTCTTCGTGCGCACTCTTGGTTGCGGTGCCGAGCCCTGGGGAGACGACGAAGAAGTACTAGCGCTACTTCTAGAAAGTGCGACTAGAAGAACTTGTTTTGATGGTCAACCTGTGAAGAATCCTAGGGATGCTAGATCTCTCATACGATATTTTCAGTGCGTGTATTAGGATCAAGAATTGAATAGCTGACGACTGTTGTTTGAGAAAAGCAGTGTTCACGCTGCTCGTAAAGTACTCTACTATGGTAACAGGTACGTAGCGCATTGTTGCGCGCTGTATCAGACCGGCAGAGATGGCTGAAATTTTTGAGTAGTGCTATTCAGCCGGCACTTGCGGAGATCCAGCAGGAAATGCGAAGGCAATGCCGATCGCGCAAACGCGGTGGGTCGACGGCGCAGGTACTCTTCAGCACAACATAGGTTGTGCCAATGAAGGTTACATAAATCCAAAGTAACGAGAACGACATATCATCAAGATGTCTTTATCGACTAACTATACTTATTGGTTTTAGTCCATAACTGGATTTCGTGAGGCTTAAGAATAGAAGAAGATCTTGAATTTTGATGCATTTTGAAACTTTGCTCGTGTAGCGGTCGCGTTCTCGAAAGCGTTCGACGAGTGCAGCGTCACCAGCTGTATCAATGTCGTCGTGGCGCAATCGTTCGCTTCAGCGCCTTGGTCTGGTCAATGACGATGAACTTCTTGGTGAATGCACTCGAGAGAAAGGAGAAGAAGCGGCTTTCGAAAGCGAACCACCCAGTTCGGATTGCGATTATGTTGAGAAGGCGTATCAAAACTATCACCTTAGCGATACTGGGGAGAAGCAACAGCCAGAAAGACATGGAGCAAGCGTGTATCTGTTTATGCCACCAGAAAAGGCCGCGCCTCTGAGTACGAAGGGCGCAGGGACAAAAGCGAAAGTGAAAGCGAAGCCTGCCGCAAAGCCGACCGCTAAGGCTGGACTTAAGTCGAAAGCAGGTAGCGCGGACACAAAAGCGAAAGCTACACAGAAGGCGGCGCCGCCTGCTGCAGCAGCTAAAAGCAAGCCCGAAGCCGAGGCGGCCCCTGCAGCAACTGCAAATCCACTCGCCGCACTGCTGGCACCAAAGGCTGCTCCAAAACCCAAAATGAGCCTGCTCAAGAGTCTGCTGGCCGCAGGTAGGGCCGCCCAAGAAGAGGAGTCGGCGCCGCCTAAAACTGCAGCTCCGTCTGCTGCGGCTGTTGTGGATGAGACGAAGAAGACGGCGACCGACTCTAGCCGTGCGCAGAGCGGACGCGAGACCGTAGTGGAGCAGGGGTCTCCGTGCGCATCGCGCTTCGTGACTGCGGTTGAAGAAAACTTGCCTGCGCGGGCAACTGAGCGCATATCGACAGTTACGGCTGTGTCGAACGTACCTGAAGCTGCTAAGCCGCCTGTTGCTAAAAGCGCAACGTCAACGGGCCTAGGAGCTTCCGTCCCGGCACCGAAGCAGCCTTCAGCCGCTCCACTCAACGCGCCTCAAGCTACAGCACCCGGAGCAGACTCGAGCGCGCCGGCGCCGGCCGCACCCGGTGGCGGAGGTGGCCTCAAAACTCTTCTGGGTGGGCGTTTGAATTTGAAGTCAGTCACTTCCGAACCTGATTCCAGCGCGCCTGCCGCTCCCGGCGCAGCGGTCCAAACCATCGCGGCAACCGAACAACCCACCGCGGCGACAGCACCAAGTGCGGGCGGTGGCCTCAAAGCATTGCTTGCTCGGCGCATGAGTGCGGTCGCGGCAGAAAGCGACGCCGCTGCGGATCCCAGCGGAACCGGCGAACCCGGCGCGGCTGCTGAACCCAATGCTGGTGGTGGGGGTGGCCTCCGCTCCCTCCTCGGAGGCCGTTTAAGTTTGAAAGCCGTGGTACAAAAAGCTATGGCTGCACAAGCGACCGCGGCCGCGGCTTCTGCAGAGGCTCCGAAGCCGAAGGCAAAAGCGATTAATCCCGAAGTGTATATGCGATTGCTGATGGGTGCCCCGAGGGAACGTAAAACTAAAACAGATCCGCCTCCTGTACCTTTATGTTGCGCGATGGTCCATTCACTCTTATCACATCAGCACAGCACAGTCTCAAATGTTGGTCCTAAAATGATCAGCGATTATTTTCCTATGTCATGGAAATGTAGAGCAGTTCCATTTTCTTGCTGGTGACGAATTTCCTGCAATGAGTGTACCTTTTGAGACGTTGTGACATTGAATGTTAATGATTGTTTTCCTTCGAAGATGAGCAGTTGGGATCAAATTTCAGTGATCAGTTTGTTGGGCCTCTCTGTCCTCTCTTCTGCGCATTTCTAACGAGCAAGAAGCCACCATCGATTACACCTAGCGAAGCTGTGAGTGACATGGATGCCCCCCGGCGGTTAACACCTGACGAGCTGCTCAAGTTTGACCAGGACAACCCGATTGTTGCGTTGAGTCGGAGCTCCTTTAGCGGACGGCTTACCCTTGCTTTGCGGAAAGCGCGTCGTAGCTATCCTGGGGCGACGGGTCCAAGATCCTTCCACGAGACTGTGATGACAAGCCATTCCGTGCTTGAGGAGGAGATTGACGACGAAGACTTACGTGAGAAGCTGCGCGTCCCTCGGGATTCTGAGTCTCTAGGGGGATTTCGGGACTCGACAAGGGGAGCATCCACCTACTACGGCTCTCCAGCCGGTGGAAACGCAATGATGGGTTTGGGTGGGATCCCTGGTACAATCCCACGATCCACGGATGCTGCTCCGTTCCAACGATCCAGTTTGCCACTAGATCTAAGTCGCATCAGTCCCACTTTATGATGGATGAACTAGCATACAGTCTACCGCTAGCAAAAGCTTATTTACTCCCAGCTCAACGAATGTTTTCTGTGTTTTCGTTATATTAGTAGTGTTTTGATCTCCAGAACTTTAATCAATTCTTTTCGACACTAGCATCTCATATTTTGTTATGCTATTTGTATTTCTCTTGTTCTCTTTCTTCCTGGTTCCTTTCATTGACGGGAAGTTTAGGGAAAGCTGTGTGGGACAAGAATCGCTGGGTTTCCTCGTTCTTTGAACAGTCTGACCTGTTTCAGAGGGAGCGAGATTCTGATCGAATTCAGGATCTCTCGGAGGCGGGACGCCTCAAAGTCGTGGATACTCTGCCGAAGCCTGCCGTTACGATTGCCGATGGGAACGTGAGTGGGGCGGAGGACGGACGACCCGTATACTCGCGCGGGTCCAGTATGGATGCAGATAAAGGCTCGAGCAGCGCGACGTCTTCAAGAGGCGGATTCGCTTCTAGTCTCCGCAAGCGCAAGAAATCACCCACGGTATATCGAGTCTTACCTAGGCCTGCTTTTATTTGAAAGGGTGTTTCACTTGTCATTTTGTGGGTGAAACACTCTTCTCTGAAAGTCGCATTTGATTATGAACGTACCACCATGACGAAGTTGCCTGTTTTGGAACGTTCGAATGAAGATGAAACACTTTCCACTCCGTGTTTTTCGCTTTCCATGCCATCCCAACTCCACGTTTGAAAACTTCTGTTTGTTCTGTATTTCTTTTGAGAGTAACATTAAACGGAGTGATCTGCTTTTTAACACTACAGGTAACAGCGCCACTAGCTTCTCCACCTGGACCGGCGCGACGCCTTCGGCGGTCGTCGGACGGAACCTATGTGCTACGAAATTCGACAAATGCTCAGCGAAGTGTGGACGCGGAAGAGCGCTCTATGCACACATCGAATCTAGCGCGGCGACTTGATCACGATGATGATCACCATAAACGCGCAGGCCCCGGTCGCATCTCTGCGCATCTCGGTGTGGACGAATTCAAGCCGGACGTGCTCGACATGCAGCGCGACGAACTAGTGCGGTATCTGCAGTACCTAAAAGACCGTGCGCATACCATTGAGCGGAACGAGGGAAAACAGGGAGAGCGATGGGCTGCTGTTAGAGGAGCCACGCCCTCGAGTCCTGGATCGGTGCCGCAGGTGGTGCCTGGCGCACACAGTAGACGGAATAGAAAGCAGCAGGACACTTTTTCGCGCAAAATCCATCAGATGGTGGTGGACATGAACCGCAGTGAAGCCGCGGAGCACGAGGCTCCGAGTGTCAACACCACCAAAGAGCCTACTGTACCTGTGCAGGAGGAAGGAGTCCCGAAGAAGGTCACCATCGTGGAGGACAAGAAGAGCAAGAGTACAGCGCCCATGACCCGTGGGGGCGCATCTATCGCGGAACAGTTGCAGCTGCTACACCGACATCGCGAAGAAAGGCGGCAGCAGGAGCAAGCAGCAGCGGAACGCGAAACGGCGTTGCAAAAAGCAGCGGCGGCGGCTGAAGAAGCGGCGAACGCATCAGTGCGGGTACCGTCGCGACCCCGGCTGCTGCTTCCGAGCCGCGGGATTCCGGGTCTTTCGGACGGACCAATGAATTTCTTTGGCAGCGGGGCAAGCTGTCCGGGAGATCAGCAAATGCAACGGCGGGGGCGCAGCCCAGTGCGCGGGGCTGGCCTGTTCACGCCGGACATGGTCAAATTAGAAATGCCGCGCTTACGCAGTGAAGGCCGCAGCGTGTCGGCCTTTGCGCCCCGGTCGCGGCTGCAACCGCTTGAAGCGCATGACGGGGATGGCGAGCGACCAGAGTCGTTGTCAAAGGAACGCTCTGAGCCTACGGACTTGGCTCGAAGCGCCTCCTCGGAAACCCGACGTCCGTACGCGTTCGATTTCCGCCAAGCAGCGCGTTTGCGAAGTACTTCACCAGCACTAAAAACGGACTTGATGGCCACGGGAATTCAGGCGCCAAGCCTCGCGCCACCTCCTTTCATGTCTGCAGTCCTCTCGCCCCCAAAACTGAACATTCCTGCGAACGACCAGCTCTTCTTGCGCGCGAACCCAATGAACTTTTTCCTAAAAGAGCAAGACATGTTGCTCCGTCTGCCGCGGGCGTCGCTGACGTCGACTACATCTGCTGTTGCCTCCACGTCGTCATCGCTTCCTCCCAATCCACCTGCGGGAAGTACAATGGCCACTACTCATGGCAACCTGTTTCAAGATGTTGGTCTCGGTGCAGTAACGGGCCAGTCACATCACCACACCACGAAAACAAATACAATAACAGAATACATGGCGGCACAGCGTCGCGAGGGGGAAATGGAAGTAGTAGATGCCTCGGATAGATACATCAGAGCTGCGTGCCAGCATTGGTCTAGTACACCTAGCTTAGCTGCTACTGCCAATGCAGCTTCTGATCCGCAGCCAGGAGGACTTGCCTTGACGCAGCAACAGCTGCAAAAATTGCTGAGCCGCGGCGATTTGCGGCCGCAGGATCTTGCCATGCTGCAACGACTCAGCGGGGAAGTTGGCTCCCCGTCTCCTGTGCCCAGCCTTGACTTTGGGTCGATTCCCGGGAAAGCTCCTGGAACTGCGTCACACTTGAGAAAAACCGCGCATCCGGAGGGCGCAGCGGCCCCAACGCAGGAGGGTTCAACGCCTACGGACCAGTCAAGAATGTTGGGAGAGCCGCAGCAGCTCTTGCGCGCGGCCCCTCAGTTTGACAAGCCAGAGCAGATAGGTTCGTTCATTCCACCAGGCCCTCACACCGGTATGGAAGTGCCTGCGGTTACTTCGAATATCAAAGAAGCCGATCAAGACAGGGAGGCGCGGCAGGAAGGCACGGCGCTTCTTTTTTTTGAGGAGCCTTCACCAGTGCGAAAGGCGGCACATCTGGTAGAAACTCTCTTGGGGCAGCCCTGGGTGGATGATTCGTGCGTCTCATCGGAGCTTCTGGATTTTGCCAGTACATTAGACATGCGGCGAGCAGACTTGGGCAAAGCAGTTGCGGCTTGCTCAAGGCCAGCTGCTTCCGAAGCAGCGACAGAAGAGGAGATCCCTGAAGCGAGCGAAGAACCTTCTAGAGGACTGGAGAAAAATTATAGTACTACTACAAGAACTTTGTCTACCAAGAGTCTCAAGATGACGAGAAGTGCTGGATTTTTTGCGGAGACTGCTTCAGCGTCGACTGCCGGTTCTCCCGAGGGTGCTGGAGGAGCAGGCGCGTCCATTTGTGCTTGTAGAACGGGAACGTCCGATACGAAAGGCGAAAAAAAGAAAGATCGATCATCGACAAACGCGCGAGCAAACTCTATTGGTCGCGACCGCTTGGAAAATGGTCTAGTGCCGTGGCCGATTAAGAAAGAGTCCTCGTTGGCAAAAAACAATGTAGCGAACAATACATCTGCTACGACGAGAAGTCGTCCGACAAGGCAGCGAGCCGCAGTTTTCGCGGATGCCGAAGCTGTTTCTCCCTGTGTGTCTCCTGATCGCTGTGCGCGTTTCGGAGGGCACACGACTATTCTGTACTACCCAGACGAGGGTGAAGAAGAAGACGACCCAGTGGTTCCAGACGAAGCTGACGCCGCGGCGCCTCTACCCGATAGAACAGCCGCACCAGAGGGTCTACCGCCACAGTTTTATCGAGAAGAGACAGCGGCGTCAGAATCCACGTCGGAATACGCGATCAGCGTTTTCTCTTCACAGTTCGCAACGTCGACGGAGCCGGACCGGAATCGCTTCGCTGGTACAAACGCGTATAATAGCCAACCGAACGCCGCGGAATCCGTGCGGTACAGCAACGTCTTCTCGGCGCCCTTTGCTACGCAAACACAGGAGATGGAAACACCGGCCGAAGATCCGCAGACGTTCACCCGCGGAGGGATCGCTTTTGGAGCCGAGGGCGAGGCAGTGGATATCGCAGTAGACGACATCGAAGACGAGGACGCCGCACCGATGACTTTCACTGATGCCAACAACTATGCACCCATCTTCAACGTGGACTTCGCAGGAACTCGTAATGTGCTAATGGGGCAGACTGAAGCGCAACAGTGCGATGCTGGGCCTGGAGGACAGGATTTTGCCGCGTCGCAGAAAGCGATACAACCAGGAAAAATTTTGGATATGCCACGCCTACGCCAAGGCGCCGCGCTGGGCGTGCGATTGCCCGAGAGTCCGATCCGCCCAATTCCTATGCCAAATGTGCGCGCAGACATGCAAACTTTTGTCGAGCAGTGCGAACTGCGAGCCAGCAGCCCCGGGAAAAAAGCCGTGCTGGAACAGCGTTCCCATCCGAATTTATTTGATTTGCGCAAGCAGATTGCAGCATTACAAGAGCAAGCAAATTCAAAGACAACCGTGATGTCGAGGTGTGAAGAGGAGCTGGACGTGCCATCGGACGTAGAAGAGCGGTTGCCGGAGCACACGAGACTGCGCAGGTTCTACGAAAAGTGGACGAGGAAAACAGCTAGAGCAGAGGAGGAAGCGGCAGCCGCTGCAGCAGCGCTGGAGGCGACCCGGCGCCAACGCAAGCCAGTGGTACCGGTTGAGACTTTTTCGAGTAGCGAAGATGGCCAAAGCGCTGAGGATGAAGAGCCTGAAGCAGCCGCTGTTGACAGCAGTAGCAGCTCAACCGGGATGCGCCGTGCGCCGCCGTCGGCTGCAGCGCGCCTCGTCGCGTCAAGGTCGCATCATGGCCATGAGGGTAGGCACCATGGTCATGCATCTTCGCAGCCGCACACAGTTAGCACTGGAAAAGCTGCTGAAACACACGGACCAGGAGTTTCGATGACGTCATCACTTCTTCATCGCGATCATGCACATCTACCTCCCACTGCCAAACACGACGCCTACACTCCATCTCCCGCAAAGGGGGGCCCCCTGGTGCATTGGCCTGCAAGGGAGCCCGTTTCGACCGAAGAACAGGCAAACTTTGACAATCACGTACAGAGTGCCAAAAACAGGTTACTCGTTGGTTTGAGCGGCGTGACAAGTGTCGCAATCCCAGAAATGAAAGTGGATTTGGCCACGTTCATCGAGGAAGAGACTAAGAGAAAAACTGAGGTTATGCTTGGTTGCAAGAACTAAAGCGAATGAATAAAGATCACATAATTTTTTAGAACGCGCAGGTGATGAAAATAGCTATTGCAACATGAGTGAAAGTTTTTCAAAGAAACGCAGCATCCAGTAGGACTATGTAAGGGATACTCATATGTTTTGATACTTTTCTTTCATTTGTTAAAGGCGTCGAGGCTTGGAGCAAGAACAGCGCAGGTACCGTGAGCAAAGCTTAAAATCGGCGGGGGTCTTTGGTAGTGGTCGTCTGCACGATGAGGCAGAAGGCATGGTTTCCGAGCACAACGCCTTGCTCCAAAATGCTCTTAGAAGTGTTCAGACACGTTTTGCCGGTAATTTTGGAGCCGCTAAGAAAAGTTTCATGGCTTCGCGCGAAAACGGGGCACAGCTTTTCGACGGTTTTCCCTCAGGTCTTTCACTTGTGAAAAGAAGTGCACTCTCAACTGCGACGACAGCGACACGTGAGCCGGGGGCGTGGAGCGCCGCTTCGAGTTCTAGCATGCGCATGAAGGGAGCAACGTCCCCAGGTCAAGCTGGTAGACCCCAATCTCCGGTACATCACGCCGAGCACGGCCGCACGGTCAACCGTGAGGGGAGAACTTTGCGAGAATCAGCTTCCTGGCTGGCGCTGAAGGAGAGACTCGAAAAGGCACAAGACGAGCCCCCGTACCGTCGCCCCACGCCAGAGGAAGAAGTTGAAGAAATTGCACCGCAAGAACCATTGGTGTCTTCGGCAAAGGCCGCATCCAAGACACTCTACTTCGTGCCAGCGGTTGGTGCAGCGCCGGCACCCATCAGCGCGGCATCGGTAGTAGCAGCCGCCCGACAACGCGCGGCAGGCGTCGGCGCGACATCGTCGGCATCTGCAACAACAGCAAAGTGGAACGACGGCTCCAAAGCGAATATAATTGCCGCTACCGGCTCTTCTCCGACTCGCGCTAACAAGGCCCGTAGCTATGGAGGCAGCAAGAACACTGTTGCATCTTCTGAGATTGGAGCATTAGTTGCAGCTAGTACGAGTAAGCTGCAGGCTAAGCCGCTGATACTGATTGCGCCACAAAGTGTAGTCTCGTCATTGCCCTCGTCCCCGGGTTCCGCAGCGCGTCAGGCATCTCCCATTCCAACGAACAGGAGCGATTCGCCTGACGAACTAGTCGCACCGAAGCCCTACAATTTCGCGCCGTGGCTCCAGAAGCTCGTAGATGCGCACACAGGGCGAATGACGGACCACAAATCGCCGGCTGGTCACGCCGAAGTGCGCCGTGGCCACCTTGTAGAAGTGGAGACTGCGAATTACGATAAAGCGGAGGCTGTTCCTAACCGAAAAGAAAACTTGGCGACGCTAAGGGTGGCTGCAACAGCTGCAGAGCGGAGAAAAGCGGAACAGGGAGTAGAGGCGGCAAGACAAACGGCCGAATTAGAAAAAAGGATTGCGAGAGAGCAGCGTCGCGCCGCCGAGCAAGCAAGACCATTACGGAGCACGGCCGCACCTGCATCCCCTGCTCCGAGTTCTGCAAAAGGGACGATGATTGGTGAAAACCCGCATTCCTCGACAGTCTCACAGCAAGATAACTTCGCGCCGACCCGACGCACATCAAAACAGAAAGTACGATACGCTGACGAGGCTGACAGCGGGGACAAAGTACATCTTAAGTACTTAGCTTGTAGCGATAACATTTTTTGGTTCGGGTATTCTGAATCTTCAGATCGAGTTGAACGATTAGTTGTTGATCGGATTCTGAAAGAACTTCTCGTTTTTACAGATCCTATTTGATCTTGTTGAACTCTTAGTACATGAGCATAAGGGCGCGCAGCTGCACATTCTGCATGATTAGTAGTTTCCTCCTCATTCTTTCAGGGCTCGCCTGCGCAGGTCTTGCAAATATCTGCGAATCTTGGTGTGAAAGCAAATAATGCTCCGGCACCTGTGGAAGCGCCCGAAGTGCAAGTGTCAGCCGTGGGTGCGGACATTGCTAGACTATCATCTGTTATCCTGGATTTAGGTCGACCACGAGCTCCACTCTCACGCGCGTCTCACGGTTCAGTCAGCATCAGCCCACGCATATTCCAGACAGCAATCGAGAGAGACCTTGAAGACGTAGACGTCGCCGCCGCAGCCGTTGAGCCCACAACGGTGACAGCTGCAGCCCCGAAGGCTCGCATTCCCAAGCCGAGCGTCTCTGTAGTTGGTGCATCGGTTGGCACCAATACCAGAAAGGCGGTTCCCGCAAAGCCGAAACGTGTTACTGCCACTGACAGCGCCAAGAAAGCAGCAGCTCCCTCTCCGTTAGTTGGCAAGGCCGGGAAGGCAGCGGCGACAGGACGAAATACGGCGACCAAATCAGTAGTTGGTAGGCCTGTCGTGAAGCGGAAGGCTTCTACTTCTTCGGTAAGTGCTAAAGCTTCAGTTCCGAGGAGGAGAACTGGCCAAGGAGAGGGAGAAGCCACTGGGGAAGAGCCTGCACTGGAGGGTGGTGAAGAACTTGGCAGCTCTTCAAGCAGTTCGCATGTAGAAAGCAGCGCAAGTAGAGACCAGCTCCCTGGGCAATCTGCTGACGTCGGCGCCAGTGCAGTTGGGGCTGATGAGCCTCCGGCTGAAGCACCATCAGTGGCGCCACCTGTGGTTGCTGAAGCGCCTGCGGCTCCACAAGATGTAGTGGCTGAGCAGCCCATGGCTGTCGACGAATCTGCTGTCGCTGGAGCCCATAATGCGGCCCCACCTGCCATGCGAAGGATAGACTCTGCTGGATCTTTGCGTGTGCAGATCCAGATGGGAGTTACGGAGCGTCCGTTGGAAGATAGCCATGTTTCTACAGTCGTTCTTGAGGAAGAACCTTCGACGGAAGCACGACCGGACAATGAGCATGAGGCGGTGGAAGTGCTAGGTGACACGACGCGAGCTTCTCTCTCACCCGACGGCACTCGCGTGGCTGCTTCTTCTGCATCGTCTTCCTCCTCAGGGTCGACGTTAGTCAACGACGGCGTAGTGGCGCAAGTGGAACCAAGTGTACCGCCGCAACCTACGGAGAGTTCGATTCTGGCCAACATGGGTGGAAGTCTGCAGAACTCAGCGCGTGGAATGAGCGGCAATAGCTACGCAAGCGGTAATGAGTCGCAAGCCCCTCTGGTACAGGTAGTTCAGAACGGACAGTCTGCGAATGGCAGCAACCAGGCCTTTGGTGTGACAGGCGACGACATTAATACCGAAACACCTTTACACATTGTCTACACTGGCTCCGACGTCACCCTAGTGCCAAACCGCAGTGACCAAGAAAACAGCAGCAGCGCATCGGAGCGCGGTGTTAATAATGTAGGGAATGGAGGAACTGCTAGTAGCAACAACAGGGCAGCCAATGCGGACCAGCAAGTTCCAGAACAACCAGCAGTGGAGCCGCTCAGCAAGAGTATGTCCGGCAGCCGACTGTATCGCGGAGAAATGAGCGATCACGATGGCAGTGTTGCAAGCCTCGAGCAATCGCATCATCATGATACTGCGCCCACTCTTGTTCAAGAGATGGAGCGAGGAGAGCAAGGTTCGTCGACTACGCACGATGGTACTGCGGGGGCGGAGACGGGAGCGAATCTCATGTATTATCATGGAGGCGGAGATGTTTTAGACAGCAATGGGTCCTTTGGCTCTTTCTCGGAGAACCTGGCTGGAAGCAGTATGTCGATGCCCACGGCGCAGAGCGGGCGGACGGCACGCACTACGTGCGTGCAACTTATGATGCACGGTGATCAAACCGATAGTGACGAGGACATGGGCTTCTGCGCGTTTTATCCCGATACAGCGTCGAAAGTCGTCCGTGAAGACGAATAGGGATAAACTGACGCTAAATTCCAGTATGAGAATGAACAGAACAAGGGTCTTCGACTTCATATATGTTCCAGGGGCTAAGGCCCCCCCGGTCTATCTTTTTGAGGGGGGGGCCTCCCGCCCCTGACCCTTTTTCCTGAGGGACGGCCGGGCGGGAAGGCCTCCAAAAGCCCACCTCCGACCCCTTCCCGCTTCTTGCCTGGACGCTACAGGGCCCCCATCCCTGTGGCCGTTCAAGCACCGAAGGCCGGGGGTGCAAGGCTTCCGGAGGTGGCAGAGGTGGCAAGGCTGGGCCCTCTTTGGCTTGTGGCGGCTTGTTGCGTGTGCCCTACAGACCTCCAGGGTGCGGGTTCCTCACTGGGGGAGTCTCTTGGGAGGTGAAAGGCCTCCGGGGGAAGCAGGTGGCAAGGCTTGACCCCTTTCGCCGTGCTGCATGTATCCGACAGAACCCAGGCGGGCACGCCTTGCCCCCACTCCTCCCCGCCTTTGGTCCTCAACCCCCCGCGCGTTTGGTGGTGGCGGACGAGGGCCAAAGGGGCCAGGCCTCGCGACCGTGGCCGCCTTCGGCGCCCTTCTTCCCCCGGAGGCCGTCCGCCTGATAAGGTCCAAGAGCCGGGACGCCTGTCGGATACACGCGGAGAACCGCCAGGGGCCTCCGCCTTGTGAGGCCTTGGCCCCCGGAGGTCCTTGCATGTCACCACCGCGGGAAAAAGGGCGCGCGGACGCCGCCGCCGCTCCATCTACAGGGGCCGCTGCATATTAAAAATCTTCGTTAGTACGAAAAAACCATATTCTTCACGATTCTCAAGAGCCGCACATGCGCAATGTTTATTACCTTCATTTTTACATAGCAGAGCCGACTAAAGCCGCTAGATTATTTCTTCAGCGGATTAGATTAGTCCCAATTCACAATGCATGATACTACTTACATAGTTAGACGAACGTCTCTTTCCTTATCTAAATCAACGGCGTCTAGAGATGATTAGTTGTCCTTGCCGAGAAGGAATATTTCCTGATTGTTTTGAATTTGAACAACAACAAAGTGAGAGTTTAGTAAACGTATCTATCATGCACAGAAAGTGATCAATGGCACAACAGCAACTTGTCATCGCAAATATACCTACATCGCTAAAGCAAAGCGATGAATCTAGCAAATGCAAGGATGAACAGTATTTCCTCGTACTATATCAAGACGAGAAGTTGTCGTCGTTTTCTTTTCTAGAAGAGACTGAAAGTATTCCAACATCAAGAAACGACCTTATGAAAGCATATTCCAAGAAGATATTACATATATCCCTTTGCTTCAAAAACCATGACTACGCAACATGCATCACATGTAACTAAGCTTGTACGTCCGCATTCCATATTACCCACATTCAGATCATACACCAATTTGAACTCTGTACCACTAAGTTTGTGTTGTGGTAGATCTATCTTCTGCATTTGTGCAAAGCGCCACGAGTGGATTATAAAGCTGCTTGTATCAACGCATCTAGTTGGTATTCCATGAATTTCTTTCACCAAAGATACCTGTGGCGCGCGATTTGATATTTCTTGTCGAAGGTACGCCGCGACATTGTGCAATGGGTCACCTCGAAAGTATGCTGATTCTGTCGTCCTGTTTCGGTGGCGGCGATGTTGTGCTTCACCTCCCTCGGTTCCAGTGCTTGCCGTTCCTATTTGTCACATCGTTCGGTAAATATTCCGCCCCCTGCTCATCTTTCTCCCCTCATCAGACATCGTATGCACATAACTAGTACTAGTCTGTACCACCAACTAGAATGATTGGGTGTATTTTCACGCGGCGCGACGTAGCAGTTTCTCGTCCCTCATCATGAATTCATACTAGTGCAAAAACTTTTAGCGAAAGCACCAGAGCGTGCTCTTGCACGCACGTTGTGCTGAAACAGCACTGGTGTGCTGCTGTCTATTGTGCCTCAGGCGCGTCGCCGGCCGTCCTGTCATCCCTTGTTTTTTGTCCTGCAACAAACTTCAGCTTTCGCTCTAAGTTCTGCTTACCTCCTCTTGAATAAATAACAAGCTACATCATTAACAAAGGTTCAGCAATAAAAAGCGTCCGACTTGTTTCGCTATCTGCAGCGACGAAGATGATCACGATCGGTTTCGCACCCGGCGAAGATGTGCAGTTGAGTTTGCATGTCTTTGATGCTTCGGGTACGCTCGTTGGCGTCGCAGATACCGACAAGGCAGACAATAGGGGCGGAGCTGAGGGTGTGTGGTTCGATGGCCATATCAGAAAAAAGACGCATGAGACGGAGGAACGGATACAGGTAACAATTGATCAGATTTATTTGAATAGTTCAGCAGTCAGCACGCTCCTCGCACTTCGTTCATGGCAAGAGATAACTTCTTCAAAACCAAAACGCTTCTTCAAAACGAAATGAAATACGAACAACTCCCCCCCTAAGTATCTTCACAACCAAAGGTTGACCCGCAGTTGTTCGCGTGGAAGGATGGCGATTTCAGCGTAGCCTGCGTTGTCGTGTCTGTCCGTACGACGACCTCGACGACGGGTGACACAGAGGAGCATCCCGATTCACAGCAACAGTGTGGACGCGTCACTCAGGCATGTTCAGGCTCGGAGTTAGTAGCCGAGTGGGCTTTCACGCGGCCGGCTGTAAAGTCGGTTTCGTCATCGAGAGCTAGAAATGAGCCAGCAGTACACTCCCCCACCTTTGCCGACCTGTGTATAGAGGACTTCGTCTACGCGATAGGGCCGCATTTGGTCCGGTCCAATGAGGCCGTAGCCCCGTGGAAGTCGGCTTCCGGCTTGGTTCTCGGGACATTAGTGCGAATGCCAGATGTCTTAGATGGGGATCTTTGCTTTGTCAAGCGTGCCCGGCCGCTGTATGAAGACAATCTTTGCGTGACTGGACTTACGCATACGCGCGCCCGGCCGCTGTATGAAGACAATCTTTGCGTGACTGGACTTACGCATACGCGTGCCCGGCCCCTGTATGAAGNTATGAAGACAATCTTTGCGTGACTGGACTTACGCATACGCGCGCCCGGCCGCTGTATGAAGACAATCTTTGCGTGACTGGACTTACGCATACGCGTGCCCGGCCCCTGTATGAAGACACTCTTTGCGTGACTGGACTTACGCATACGCGTGCCCGGCCGCTGTATGAAGAGAATCTTTGCGTGACTGGACTTACGCATACGGCTGTGGTAGAGCAAAAGATTGCTTGCGCAAAATTGAGGGAGGAGTCTTCACTAGCTGCCAAAAGTTCGAACTGCAGTGTGTTGAGGCTTGGGGGCTTTGCCGCGAGTGGCACTTTTAATCCAGCAGAGTTTTACAGAAATAGAGCAGCACCGAGACTATCCCCAATAGTGCCGAAGACGGCAACGTATTCGAAATTCAATTCTTTGTTTTGGGATGCAGCGTTGGTCGAACACGGAATATCAAGAACGGAAGGAGTTATTCCTAATTCGCCGTTAGTCGCTGCCTTCTATGACGAGCCCTCGCAGACAGAAGCTGAAGATCAGGGTGACACCGAGGGGGGCCCTGCTGATAGAGTGAAAACCCGACCGTCTCTTCTCGGAAAACTGCGGCATGGAGAATTCGGCGCAGACGCGTTTTCGCCGGGTAAATTTGGAGGAGGTTTTGGAGTGTCGGGAGTAGGTGAAGGAAAAGGAAGCACGTTCTCTTTCTCAAAAGGCTCGCACTTTGGAGGTGCCGGAGTGGCCCCAGCAGCAGGAAGGTTTTTTGGTGGGATGGCTGCGCTTGCTGGTCGCTCAGCGGAAGCGGACGAAGATGAACATGAGGATAATGAAGAGGAACATAACGAGGAGGAGCATTATGGTGACGAGGTTCACGACGTTCATGAAGAGGCTGATTACACGTGGCATAGAGACGACAATCACTATGAGGAGCATGAGCACGACGAGTGGCATGAAGAATATGACCATCGGGGTTGGTATGACGAGCAGGGAGTTTGGCACGCTGAAGAGGATGCCGAGCACGAGCATCACGAAGGATGGGAGGGGGATGACCAACAATATTCTGAAGGGCATCAGGATGTTGAGGAGGGTACGGAGCGCCACGCGTACCATGTTGGAGATTCAGCTTTTCATGAAGATGATAACGAAAGTTTCCATGCGAACGAGGAAGGAAGGGGCGAGCAAGATGAAAAGCTTACGGAGTCAAAAAGCAGCGCAGAAGCCCGATCGTTCTCCACGTTTTCCAAGCCGACCTCCGTAGACAATGATGTTGATGTGCACGATCCAGGCGCCCCCGCTTTGGACGAAAGACGCAGCGGGAGCGTTGTGTCGCGAAATATCTTGGCTGTACACACCACCAAATCTCCACAGACGCTTTTCAATCAGAACTCGGACGAGAAGGGAGTCTCCTTTGAGAAACATGCTTCACCCGAAGATGTTGTGACGTCTCCTGAGGAGCATGCAGAAGCGCCACACTCGTCAGAAACTGCTAGTGTCGCGGTGTCGGAAGACGTCGGGATTAATTCTGAGAAGGATCATGAAGATGGCGTGTTCGTATATAAATCAGATCGAGACGAAATAGCACATAATCCTACAACTCAACACGGCCTCTCTGTCTCTGAGCCAGAACACGCGTTCGATGAGGTTGAACACGACGATGATTTTGATCCCCATTATCGAGAGGAAACTAAAGAAATACTAGAAGCAGAGCATCACAGCGATATGGAGAGCAACGCGTCGCACGAGCTTGGAGGTGGGGGTGGCGGAGGCGATCACGATTTATCGGACTTTACTCATTCGTCGCACAGTGACAACGAAGCGATAACCGGGTATCCCGGGAATTCCAGCATCGGCCCGAGTGAAGCGGAGCGTGAGCACGTTAATGGCGCCACAGAAGCTGGCTTCGGTGTACCAGGTGGTGACTATCTGCACGATGATGAAATACACAGCAGATCGGGAGACGGGCATGCTCGGGCGGATGCCTCTGAAGAGGATGAACACAGTGCAATTTTGCCGATCTCGGATGTAGAGTCGCATCACTCGCAAGAGACAGGGTCTCCAGAGAGGGACAGAATTGCATCATCGACGAGCGCAGGAGGTGCTAATGTGCGAAGCGGAGCTTCAACTCCAGAGAGCGCGGCAAGCGCGAAAGAAAACCGGCCGCGTCCCCACTGGCTACGGCCAAGGACACCTGTGCTGAAAAGTCCAGCGGCAGAGGTCGATACCGCACAACAGTCAGCCTCAGCAGCTGCTCATGCAGAGACTGCAGGCACCACAAGACCCTCGAAGCGTTCGGTCACATTTTCCGACGATTATGATTCCGTCGCGTTGCCGCATACTGCGGCGGCGGAGGAAGATGAGGCCGTCATTGATTATCCAGATATTGGTGGATATCGACGGAGCAACCAGCCAAAGGGGGAAGCTGACGAGCCACTGCTAGAAGAAGGCGGTACTGAAGAGATTGGTGGGGCGTCAAATGAAAAAGAAGACCACACCACAGGAAAGACAACTAAAGCATCCAGTCTGGGTCTAGACGCGGATGCACGTAAAATCTTTGCAGATTACGACGTGGGCGAGCCAGCAGCGCTGTACAACGACCATCATGTCTCGCTAGAGCCGCATAGTGACGAGGGCGAGGAGTCTGAGGAGAAACATCAAGAAAACCACGACTACGTCCAGCTGCAGCCTCACAGCAGCGACGAAGACAGTCCTAATACAGCTGCCACGAAAAAAGTTGTCGAGCCACATCCGGAGACTTACTTTACTGGATTGCTGCAGGGCTCTGGGCCGAAGGGCATGTCTAGTAAGCAAGAAGCTGGTGCACATCACGCAGGAGGTTACCAATTATCGGGATCCTCGGCGGAAGAGACAGAGCCAAGAGATCTGAACAGTGTTAGTGCTGCGGCTCCCGTTCCAAAAGTGGGCCAACATCACGACGATCTTTTAGAGCGCAGTGACGGCAGCAATTTTTCTTTGCAGCGTACCTCCTCGGAAGAGTCGGCTACAAAGCTTCCGGTTACGGCGAAAGAATCGAAGGGAGATAAGTCTACAGCTCTGCCTCCACCTACCGACCTAGAGACCACTGCCAAGTCTGTTTCGGCTGACTGGGCGGGTGTGCAAGATCAAATGGTTAGTGCTGCAATAAATGTGAAAGAGGAACAAGAATCAAAGAACGACCAAAAACAGGCAGCTCGTGGCTTACGAGAATATGCGCAAGTACGTCCTGTTTTTTCACCAGGACCCGCATCTTCAACAATCCGAGAAGATCAGAACGGGATCGAGATTGAATCACCCGATTGCGATCCGTTGGGCGAGTCAGCGCTGTCACCGGTGCAGACTGAGGCACTTCCTTCACCTGAAAGTAATCTGCCAGTTGTAGGCCTTGGCTCATCGTCGCTGAACAGAAGTGAACTGTTTGCGAGCGGCGTGGTGGACGAGAAGGCGTTCATGGCGACGACAAGCCCTCTATCTGTGTTTGACAGTGTCGTGGACGACTGCGGTTCCCGTTTAACAGAGGCGCAGTCTCTCCCACAGCCTGTTCCCATGTCCAACAAAAAGATGTCTCCACACATAGTGGCTTCTGCCGTAATGCCTATAAAGCGTGGAAGTCAGCGGGTGATGGACGACGCAGAAGTCCCGTCTCCTGCTATAAAGCAGGACATCTTCAGCAAGAAACGTGAAAACGAGACTAACGTTGGCGTGCTGCCCCACAGTCCATCTTTTGCGCAGTCTCCAGTACCTGCATCCGTGTATTTGGACTCTCCCAGCGTACTAGCTTTAAATTCCCCTGCGTCTCCTGTGGTTGCAGACAAACTCGGATCGTCTATCAGAAGTCCTGGTGCGCAGTCGGTTTCTCCGCCAGTGGCGCTGCCTTCGCCGCCTGCGGACGAAAGAGCATCAGCTTCTAGGAATGTTGTATCCTCTAGCAGTGGCGGCAAGGCAGTAGCTTTTGACAGTCCAGTTCCTGTAGGTGAAGACGAAGATGACCGGATGCATGTATTCCAAGTTGCCAAACCGGGGCGCCCCAAGCCTAATTACTTGATGTGGCCGCCGCCTCCCATGCTGCCATCAGAGCGCGCTTCAACGAAGTTTCGCGGCATGTTAAACACCATTAAAGGCGTCCACAGCGGTCGCAGCAAAACGAGCAAAGGTGCGAAGCCGGCGGTGTCGCCACGCTTGCCATCTCGGCAAGAGGCAGCACACGATAACCATGTGGATCGCATGGCCACGGGAATCAAGCCAGGCAGCGGCTTGGAAGCCTACACGGGTCGCCGGGCTCTGCAGCAGATGTATGCCGGAAAAGCCAATCAAGGATTGGAGGTATCGGGGAAAACTGGGAAGTCGCTGTTGCCTCTAACACTGCTCAAGCACAAACAGAAATTTGATGAGCACAAGCCATCGGCACGTACGAACTCCTCTTTAAGGACTGCGGCTGCAAGCGCTGCATCTGTCAGCGCGGCAAGCGCAGTCAAGTCTCAGGAGGTCCCGGGAAGCCCGAATCAGGATGCGGCAATAGAGAAAGAAGAATGGAGTACAATTCAAGTAGAACAAGACGAAGATGGAATCAATTATCTCGGCGCATTACTGAACTCGCTAGGCAGTTCATCCCCGTCGTATTCTCCTGATTCATCAATCACGAAAAAAGAAGATGATCTTGGTCCAACGCTGCAGAGCGATCGGGAACCTTCCGGAAAAGTTTTTAAGCAGGCCGTGATTGCCGCTGGAGAAGCTGACAATCGCAGATTGGAAAGGGAGGATAAACTTGTGCAGGACGTGGCTTTAGATGTTTCAGTTGGCGCTTCAGGGAATGTCCCCAGTGCAGTAAAAACAAGTGCGCGCCGTGTGTTGCAAACATCCAGTCAATCTCACAACGCCATCCATCTTGGTCCTATAACGGTCGACAGCATGTTTGAGATGGAGGACCCTGCTGAGACCACATTCACGCCTAAGGACAGCGGCAGAGCGCCATCAAAGGTGTCCTTCGCAGAGGCGGTCGAGACGGTGCCTTTGGATGTTGTTGGAGATCTCGAAATCGACGCAGATGCCTTTCACATGATGGAGAACCAGAACGCTGAATCACCTGTCGTGGATGAGAGTCCAACCGACGGGACAATAGAGCCGCGTGCCGACGCAAGTGCAATGCTGGCGGACCAGTTTTGGGAGATGTCGTCGGACGACGATGCGCCGTTTCCGCAAGGAACTTCTGATCTCGGCAGCAGTATTCGGAGTCTCAGTCCTCAGATAGAGGCACGAGATTTGATAGCTACTGCTGTGTCCTCCAAATCCAGGGAATTAGCTGATGACGAGGTGGACGAAATATTGGAGGCTAAGGATGCTCAAGAAGATATTCGGGACACGGTGCATGGAGAAGCACATACAAAGGCAAGTGATATCGGAAGTGCCGCGGCCCTTATCTCCAATTTGGCCAAGGACTCCGGGAATCAAGAGAGAGCAGCGGCTGCTTCTGAAAACGAGGAGGCGAATTCTAGAGGGCAGTCTTTTGGGATAGGCGCAGCGGCTGGCACCGTGCAACGGATGAGGACAGCCTCTCCATCTTCAAGTTCCAGCCCGCTGCCATTTTCTCCAGGAGGTGGTGGCATCTTGGGTAGTTCTCAAGCCATGCTTACTTCGTTCGAGGAAACAGCTCGCCAAAGTTCGATAGACCGCCGCCTCGTAGTAGAACCGCAGACCGCAGGAGTTGGAGAATTAGGTGTGCCTCTCTTATCACCTGTGCCCAAGTCCGCATTAGAGGATCGACTTATCGAAGACGGCGACAATGCGCATGATTCTGGACCTTCGCCCATTATGTCATATAACAAGCGTGCGGATGAAGGTCGCTCAGAGGATGACGGGCAGCGAGGAATGTGGTCGACCGAAGATTTCTATCGGGGTGGGAGTGGTGTCTCCGGTTCGGGTAAAACGGGAAGAAAGGCGAGGGAGACGGGAGCGACCAGCTCTGCTGCAGGTTCGTCGACGAGGAAGATATCGCAAGATAATGTAGCAAAAATTTTTTCTGGCATCAATAGCTCGAGAGCAAAGAGCGCGACTCATGGTCGAGAGCAACTGGGCTTGCTCGGAAGCAGTTTATCAAGCCGCCTCGCGCCTCATTTGCCGTCCCCTCTTACCGGTAGTCCTGCAAAAGAGCACATGGAGCAGGGATCGGAGAGTAGGAGCTTGTTGCAAGGCTCCCAAGTTTCTGGGCAACTAAAATGGAGAAATAAAAATGGTAGAAATGGAAAAGCAGTGCCTGAAGGAGAGAGTCGCCCAACTTCTTCTAGTTTGCAGGCTGATCCATTACCACAGCTCCTTCCACCGGGTGCTTGTCGTATGGAATATGGCGGGTCTTCTTCGTCCTCGGCCCCGCGCTCTTCTTTGCTAAAGCCGATAAGAGCGCCCGGGTTGAAGCCTCTGGCGGCGGAATTAATTTCTTCCATAAGCCCAACTGCGAACAAGATTGCGGCATTGTCTCCGTTAAGGCCCTTCTCGAATTTCCAATCTCCAGCAAATGCAGCGAAGCTTCCTCCCTTTGACAATGTGTTTCGCGCCATGCTAGGCTCCCCATATTCTGTTCCTAGTCCGGGAAAAGCGAGACCAGGCACGTCCCCAACGCCTGGTAAGAAAATACCACGACACGGAATAGAACTTCGTCCAGACCGTTCATCGCCCGGCGGGCTATCGATTGAAGTGAATGGTGTCTCTGTTCTGCACCTCAGTCCAATGGACCTGCGGCGTGACGTGCGCCTGTCTTTCGAAGTAGACGGAGAGGGTAGTGTTGTAAGCGGCGCATCCGGAAGACAACTACAAGGTAAGACGTCTTCCCGCGCGAATGTTCTGGGTGTTACTCGATTTGGAGACCCGATGGAGGATCATCGCTCCGAAACTTCACAGAGAGTGATGCAAGAAAACGGCGCGGGTAGTAGCATTCCTACCCGTTGTTTTTCTCCAGGAGGCGCAGTGACGAACTCGGGGACTTCGGCGGGTCATGCGGCAACGTCAGAACCAAACCTGTTGCGATTACCACCCAAAAAGGATCCTTCGGCAGTTCGGGATGGTGCTTTTGAGAATCAAGAAGATGAAAGAATGTCCATGAGTGATAGGGCAGCGTCCGCGATATCGAAGATGAACGAGTCTGCTTCTGGGTTTGATCCTGTGCTTGGGGCAACACAAGTCTCATTCCGTGATCGACAGTGTGTTGAAGGAGAAGCTGTTGACGAACCTAGAGATTTGATAGTCGAAGCCTTCGATGATGATAGAAGGTCGTGGAGTTACAACGAAGATGAAGAGGATCAGCAACCTTTTACAACGGCGTCCCCTGTAGACGTACTCTCGAGTAGCTTCCGTGCTTCTTTTCCACCAGCGTCGCCTCCCCGCGTTTCGAGGCGGAGCCCGGAAACTGCAAGTCGTCGCGCTTCGCCTGCTGTACTCGCTGCCGAGAACGCCGGACGAAGCCGAATCTTTGACGGCGGTTCGGCCAAGAGTCTCCTTTATTTCCAAGAAGAAGAAACAAGTTCACCAAACAAGTTTCTGTACTATGAGGAGAAAACCACTTGTAGTGCTAGTAGGCAACCTCTCGAATCGCATCAAAGAGTGATCAACTCATCTGCTGCACGATCTAGAAAAAATGGAGATCATGTCGTTGACTCGATAGCAAAAGTGCTGCTATCGTTTCTGGAGTCGCCTTCAAATATCACGCTAGGTGCCAATGAGGATATCAAATTGCGGTTCGAGCATCTTGCGTCACGATTGCGCAAATTGGCTAATGCGGAGGAGGAGAACTACGAAGACTGGACAATGGACGCTGAGACTCAAATCCTTGACGCCATATCGCTTCGAATGTCGCAAAAAGGGTTGCAAATTTCGATAAAGGACACTGCTGCATATATCGCGCTTATTACGGAAAAGGGCCTGATGCTGGATGTGTGGCAGCTGTGCATCCTCAGCGACATTCTTCAAGTCCTCGATGAAGCAACAGCAAAGAAGAGCGAACGCAGAGCGGCCAGTGGCCTCGTAATGCGGTCGATGATTGCAGAATTGGCGAGGGTACAATTATCTATGCTGTTTATTCTCCTAAAGATTAGAAATACTGAGAGAGTGAGTAAATGCCTAGAGGGAGAGTCGGTTGACGAGCATTTAAAGAACAGATCCAGCGATGTGTTGCTTACCGATGTCATTGTTCATATTATACGAACGTGAGAGCGTTACTAGGTCTGTTGAGTGGAGTGTTTTTATAGCTCGGTCTTTGAGGCATCTCTGGCGTTCAGTGAGGAGAACAGAGCGTACCTTCACATTGTCCACGAAGCCTGATATGACCTGTAGACACGTTTGCCGCAATGAGTTCCAACGAAACATATCTCTGTTGAGGGTGCCCACCTCTGTCGCGAGTGTCAACCAATTCCTGTGAGAGTGTGCGATATTCCCTGCGTCTGTAAGCGAACTTCTGGCCCTGTTCTAAAAGTTTCCGCTACGAGGATTCTTGATTCATCACCTCGCTTCATTCATGGATTATCAGATGAAAAGTTGTCAAATCATGATTATTCTCACCGATCTACCAGTGTTTTTGTCGCATTCGAGCTTTTTCTCCCAATATTTCTGAATAGAACTGGTGCATGTGGATCTTTTCTAAGTAGTTGAGGGCTTACCGCCCTTATGTGATGTCTATGAATCCTTAGTTGAATGTGCTAGACCTGAATCCTGATGAAAGTTGGTTGTAGCAAGTGGTGACAATTCATTGTCAATAGTTGTGAAGCTCAAAGTTGCTGCATGGAAAATTTCAGAGTGGTTATGATTCGATTGTGTATGATTGTTTTAGATCTAAACGCACTACAGTGTGTCGAAATTAAGTTCGGAAAGAAAGAACGCAGATAGTCTTCAGTTTTCAATTTCTTTGAAGTTACAGGTTCGAACGCAAGCAGAGCGTGCGCTAAGGTCAAGTGGAGAACGCATCTTGTGGAACGGTTTTTTGGAACTTCTGCTAAACGAGCAGCGGCATACTCAAGCGAAGGCAAAAACTGAACCTGTAGAGGTGAGCAAGGCCTTGGATGAACAAAGGAGTTACGAGAGGCTAGGAAAGAAGCCTCGTGCTCCACTTTTGTTTTATACAGAAAGCGAATCGCCGCCTGCGGGAGACGAAGAGGGAAGCGCGAATAGGGTGCCGCTCATAGGTGAAAATAGTTTAGCGGGGGTTAATTACAGAGACAGCATGTCGTCTGAAGAGGGAACAACATTAGACGAGGCGATGCCGCCGACAAGAAGCGGACAGCAGAATGCGCCGCGGGTCGTCTCCGAAGGAGAGTCACAGATCCGTAGATTGGATGCACGCGCTAACACTTTCATGCCCATTGTGGAGACATCGACTGTGGCGGCGTCGGCTGCCAGTCGAAGCAACCCGGCTCCGAAGTCGCAAGCCACGGCGCCAGTGCAAGTATCATCCTCGCCAAAGCAAAGTCCAACATCTTCGCCAAAGGAGACGCCAGCAAAGCCGCCAGAAGTCCAGAAAGCGGCTGCGCAACGTCGGCAGAACGGAAGTGTCCTGTTGGATCGCGCGAACGCGACGGAAGCGTCAATGGCAGCAACAGCTAGTGCGCAAGAAAAGGCACCTTCTGCTACTACGATCTCGCCGTTTTTGCCTGGTGCGCGCGCGTGGGAAGACGTCGCCGCGCAGTCGCTGCGAAAACTAGAAACTCTGTTTAAAGTTATCGACGGCGCCAGCGAGGCACAACTGCATCAGTTGAATACGCTAAAGGAGCTGCTAGCACATGGAACAAAGGACTTTTGGGGCGAAGACGCGTTTCAGCGCGACTTGCTTTTGCTGGAGATTCGTGAACTCGAGAAGAATATCTTCTTGGAGATCGCTCTGACGCTCCACCCTCGTGCAGAGTTACTGCCAAGCAAAGCAAAGGATGCAGCTGGAGGAGAGGAGCTTCAGCTTGTCCGAGGCGCGTTTCCCGAATACGTCATTCCCGATGTAGACCCAACCAAGCAGTCTGCCGCGGACCTGCGAGCACAGGGCTGGCGGAGCATGCGCCGACTGCAGTTGCTGTATCGAGAGATGGACATTTTTGAGCCCACAAGCGCGGAGGCAGAGCGCGTGCAGATGATCCGCGAACTCAGCGAGGTCTTTGCCAGCGTGCCTTCATTCGACGATGTCGTTTCGATCGATGAACTGACCGCGGAACAGCTGCACAAGCTTGGTTCCACCGCAGATGAACTGCGCGACGAAGTGGATGAAAGAAGCAAGGTGCGCTATTTGGTAGAGAACTTAATGCGAGAACACATTCAAGAGCTGGAGACCGAGGTGCTCATCGCGTGGGGCCACGAGGTATTACTTCGGGAACGTGAAAACGATCCAGATATCTCCGACGCCGTTGAAACAGCTGGCGAAAAGTCAGTGAAAACAGACGGCGCAGTTGCTTTGGGTGCCGCGAAGCGCCGCAGCTCTTTTCAGGTTAGCGAGGCTTCTCAGGTGGGTAAAAGCGAGTCTGCGCCAAAAACCTGGTTTGCTGCGAGTAGTTTTTATTCGCGTCAGTCCACTGGCTTCCCCAAAGAAGAGGTCAATAACTGTACTGAAATCTCTCAAATTTTCGATCCAGAGACGCTGGTCGTGCAGCGCTGTCTGTTGCCGAATTCGGAAATCGAGGCGCAACTGTTTTCAGCAGCTGCTCCCTCCGAAAACCAGACCTCAAAGAGCGTTGCCATCGAGTCGCTCGAAAACTTACAGCTGGCGCTGGTAAAATACGAAGGCGCTCCCGGGGCACGCGGTAGTTTCGGGCCAGCCGTTACTGGAGCAGTCGCACGGGCCAACGCGGAGAGCAGCAACCTGCTCATGCTGGAAGACTTGGGAGCACTGAACGCGACACAGCGTCTTTTCGCATCGACCCGTGAATTTCAGTTGCTTACGAACGCGATCGGGGGCGGCGCGCCGTCCCTGTTGCCAGGTGTTTCTTCTGCCGGGGCCACGCTAAATCCCTCTATCGCGGCTTTACGTCGCGCTCTGATCGAGCAGAAGCGAGAGCTGGAGACCGATGTAGTGCTCGAAAGTATGGAGCGACGACGCCGTACACTTCTTGCTATCAAGGACGGACCCGTGGACGAGGAGGACGCACCCGACTTCGGCGAAAGTAGGAAACCTCGTGCCTCGCAGGCAGACTCCGCATTGGCGCGCTTGGGTGAGACCGCAGTGAAGCGCATAGAGACAATGGCGGTGGAGGTGGCCGAGACCAATTTTGGACTCGTCGAAGCAGAGAACCAAGTTGCGAAGGCGGACTCTTTAGCAACAGCGCACCGTTACGTGGAGCACATTTACGAGCTGTGCGACAGCGAACTGCCAGCATCTTCAGTGGAAGTTGATCCGAAGACGCATGAGGTTACATTGCGGCTGAACCGTGCCGCGATGGCTCAAGTGCAGCACCTGGAGGCCGACGCTTTGCTAGGTCTCACTCAAAAGATTTTGGAAAACCAAGCGACTTGGCGAACAACAGCGCGGAAGACGTTGTCTGCTCGCGGGGAAACGTTAGAACTTGAGAACGGCCAGAAGATGCTTCCTAATAGTAGTCGGGCTACTGCACGCCGCGGTAGCACAGGGCAGGCGCGCTCCTCAGGGCAAGCAACGAGTACATCTAGTATGGTCCAGGCGCGGCTCGCAGCGAGTGAGCGAGTGCTTACTAGATTGGAGAAAATGCGCGCGGAGGTGAACGGCACCACAAGTAATAGTGGTAGCAAAAAATCGAGCGTCCCTTCGCTAGCAGCGTCGACCGCATTGGTGGCAGCAGCAGCGACTCGTAAAAACACTGCTGCATACGAGGGACGAACCTTTGTTCCTGAACTCGCGCGTTTGCGTCAGACGGAATTGCACATTGCAAGCTTGCTAGAGAACGCGCCGCCGCCGCAAGCTGCGCAGCTGGATCGGGTGGGGCGCATGGTCCACGATCTTTTGAGGGACATGGCGGCTGGCGAGATGCAGACGCTTGTACTGCGAAAAGTCGCAGACGACAACGCAAGCCAATATGCACTGATGAGGCGGCTCTCCATCCCTCTGATGATGCGAACTGAAAACATCCTTGCGATCGAAGATGAGGCGCACCAGAAGACTGATGACCCACCTCTGTCTGCCTACGCCGCAGGCAAGAGACCGCCGCCGCAGGGCAAGCGCACAACAACCTCAGTCATGTTCCGGAGCGGTGATGCAGATTTCAACCTGCTTGGAGGAGTCAATGCCGCGGCGTGCGAGGGGAAAAAACCTACGACAAAAACCCCGGCGGCGACCACGCATCCGCTGATTGCGGAACAGATGCTGAGGACGCAGGCACGCTTGGACCGTTACACGAGTTTTGCTGGCGGTTTCTCACCGCAACAGACCTGGTTAGTCGGACGCATTGCGGAGCTAGGCCAGACCACTGACGCAGTCGCTGCTTCGGACGCGGTGCTCGTCTTGGACGAAATCCGAGAATTGGAGGGACAGTTGTTGATCGCTGGAAAAACTGTTCTCGAGAAAAGTTTGTCTAGTTTTTCAGCATCAGCTTCTAATGCGCCTTCCAATGGCAGTGCGTCTCCCGAGGCTGCTTGTGCGGCCTCGACACACCAGGCTGAAGCAGGAGCGGCGTCCCGAGTGTGTACACGCGTTTCGAACTTGTTTATGGAAACGCCTCCGACGGACCGCCAAGCGGACATGCTCGAGCTCATGCGGGATCTCTCGGTCTGCGTAGCTGACGACTTTCCAGGAATGAATAGGGATATCAACGGTACCTTCATAGATGTAAAATCGTTTATACATCATAGAAGTTTCTAAGGACCACAACAACGAGTTGCTTGTAGTAATGGAGGTTTTTTGGGCTAACAACAAAACTTACTTAGATATCTTGTTCTTCACCCACTATTAGTACTACTGAAAGAATATCTTAACTACAGCATCAATTTCTTTTCTATATTGATCACAGCTTTGTTGCTGAGCTTGCTTCGGGACTTGGAGCTTGACATCGTCGTCGAGTGCTTGTCGTTGCAGTTCCCTGTACGCGCAGTGGAGGCTCGCAACACAGAAAACAACCTAGAAGAGGCCGACATCTCGGATTGGGGTTTCGCTGTTCGTCGGGCAGGCCAGAAACTGGATACTCTGAGTCATGTTCTAAACGAAATTACCGATTTGACCACGCACTCAGCGGTCGCGCATGATGTGAAGCTGCTGCATCGCATGACCAGTCTGGCAGCTGATGCGCCCCTTGGTTGGGCTTTGCCTGTCTTGCAGGATTTAGTGCTCCTCAAAATCCGTGAGCTGGAGACCGGAATTTTGCGGTTCGCACGCGGCATACTCTACCACAAGTACCAGGAGCGTTACAGGAGTGGCGGTCTGTCCAAGGCTGCGATGCAAAACGGGGCAGTAGCTTGGGAGAACCGCGAGGCGAGGTTCCTTGCTTCGCTTGGTTGCGGGCCGCCACAGCTCTTTCCGAGCGACGCAGTGCGCGGCTGTTTTCCGGCGGTGGCTTTTAACACAACCGGCTCGCAAAAGTCGCAGAATACTGGCTTGGTCTTGGATGACGAGGAGAGCTCGAGCAGCAGCTTTCTGCAGCGCGAAGGCATTGCTGCGCTGCTGCGCGTCCAGCGGCTCTGCTGCAACTTGCAGATGGAGGCGCCTGCGTTGGCGCAAGGTGACCGCGCACTGTTTCTGCAGTTGCTGTGTTTCGAAGAGGAGGCGTCGTCTGGGTCTTCGGTGGAACAGGACCCTTTAGCTCTGGCGATGTCGAGGATAGACAATTTAGTTCGGGAGCACATGCGCGAAGTCGAGAGTGAGATCTTGCTGGGCTACGGGAATGCCGTCCTTGCGACAGCGGGTGCGCCTCCAGGGCTTGAAGACCACGAGCACCACGTAGGCTATCTAGGCTTTTCCAGTCTGCTGCCGTGGCTCGTGAAGATGCGGCCTACTGTTGCCGGCGTCACGGATGTTGAAGCAGCAGGCGCTACTGCGAAGGCTACTCGAGCTGGAGGGCGCGTGACGTTTTCGGCGACTTCGACACAAGTCACCTACGATCCGACCAAGGATGGCCGTCCTTCGACTGCGGCGCTGGCGACCGCGGCTGGGCGCTCTTCATCGCGGGTACTCGATGCAGAGGCGGATCCCAACGTGTGGTTTATAGAAAAGCAGGTCTTCTCGACGCTTGGGGCAACGGGTAATCAGAATGCGAAGACGCGGAAGATACGAGAGCTTGGTGTTATGAGCCAGATGCTGGACAGACAAATATCACGAGCGTCAGCGAGAGTCAGCGGTCGTTTCTCCACCGAGACAGTGCGAACAACTACTGCACAAGGCCTCGGCAATGGAAACCAGGTAATTGGATTTAACACATCAAAGATCAAATCTAAGTTGAATATGGTTGTAAAGGAGTGTAGCCTGTTTTCCATTTCTGTCTTCAACAACTTACTTAGTACCCTTATATGACCCCATCTGTTGTGAATTCACAGGACGTGGTGAGCCCTGCTCTGTCTCTGCTACGGCGCGCAATTTGCGATCAAAAGCGGGAATTGGAGACTGAGGTGGTACTTGAGGCTATGGAAGTTGCCGATCACACAATTTCCAAGATGGGCGTGGCGCGGGGTGCGTCATCGCCGAGAGATGAAAAATCGACTTCGTTATCTCGCTTAGCGCAGACGTCTGTGGGCCGCATCGAGCGATGTGCCATGGAAATCGGGAAGATCTACGACGAGGACGTGGGGCCGGCGGAAGCCGCGAGGCAGGCAGAGCGCCGCAAGACTTTTTTTCACACAGCGTTCCACTTCGTCGAGCACATTCAAGACTTGGCCGACGCGGAAGTGCAGGGCGGGGACGAGTTGAAACCAGGCGGGGACATGAGTCATTCGAACATTCCGACGGCGCAAGCCGGTGTGGGGCGTGCGAACGAGCTCGTGATCAAGTTGAACGCCGCCGCGGCCCGACAGCTACAGCACTTGGAGGCGCAGAGCATGCTCGCGATGGCGCAGAGCATTATGGCACACCACAGTGATCTGTTGGCGAAAGATGCGCGCTCAGGTATGCGGGACTCCTATCTGGGTGGTGGTGTTAACACGCGGGCCAGCGGAAACGCGATGTCTCCGGACAGGCAGCGCCCTGATTCGAGTCGCCTATCTCGCGAGGGTGACGAGAACGAGGGGAATGCGACAAGCGAATCAATTGTTCCGCAATCGTTTGCAGATGGTGGGCGCACACGGCAAAACTGGCGCCAGCAGGGTATTGCAGCATCAGATCGCACGCTGGCCCGCGTTTCTCAGGTGCGCTCCAACTTTGGTGTCATGGAGCATGCGGGTCTTTTGCCAGACTTGCTTGATCTGCGAAACATGCAGGAGCAGCTCTCCTTGAGTGCAGACATGTTGCAACGACAGGGCTTCGCGCAACAGAGCAGCAGGCTAGATGCAGTGTCCAAAATGGTGTATGATGTTTTACATGACATGTCGGTCTCCGACATTATGTCCGTGCTGGACCGTTTCAAGAACGGACCGGGACAAGGACCGTTGGCCATTATGGACGGGAATCTGCACGGAACAGACGCACCGCCGATGCAGAAGCCGGTTGGAGCGAAAACGGAGCCTCCATTGATGTGTACGTCAAAAATATCAACAGACAATTCCGTTCGCGCACCCAAGGAGGTGTTGCGAAACCAGGTTCAGCATTCCGAATCGCGGCTAAAAACGGTCTTCGGTCCGCCACGGCCTGAAGTAGCGACCAGTGCCTCGGCACACGAGCGCGGCAGTGCCCTGCACGTCGATGCGATGCGCGGGAAGATGGCGGAATTAGGCACAAGCGTCGCGACACACGAGCCTCTTCAGGTGCACGGACGATTAGTTGCTGACGTCGTTCGCGAAGTGGAAACGCAACTGTATCTTGACACGGTGTACAACCACTTGTCCCCCTCTCTGGACGCTCTGGCTGCGGCCTCCAACGGTGGCCTGACCATGTCCTCACAGGCGGTAGCTGCCTCGCCCATGTCTGGCCCAGGACTCCAGGAACTGTTGGCTTCGACAAACACAGTATCCGCGAGCGTCGCACCAGACACGCGAATGCGTGTTCAAGAGGCGGTGAAGGAGCTTCAGCAAGCTTTCATGTGTGTCAAGCGCATCGAGCAGCTATTTCAGGATATGCCGCCAAACGCGCGACAGCAGGATCTGTTTTCGCAGTGCCTCGAGCTCTTTGACGGGCTGCACGCGAAGGCTCAATTATTTAGCGCCCGCTTGCAGGGAAAGACGGGCTCAGTGTGGTCGCCAGCAACTGCTTCAAGCAGCGCTCGCCGGGGAAGCACGCTTGTGAGTGCAATAGAGACACGGGAGCAGGTGCAGCTACTGAAAACTGTAGTGGCTCAAATGAAAGAAATTCAGCGCGAAATCGTCATGGAGGGTGTGCAAAGAGCGCATGCACGCACAAATGGCAGCAATACCGATCCTGAGGAGGTCCGTGCCGCATGGGAAGCCGTGAACAACGCGACGAGCCGTTCGTCCATGTACGACGGTGCCACACTATCGCAGTCTACTTTTGTCGACACTAGTGACGCGAGTGGCAACATGCTTGCAACGAGCTTCAAAGATGTAATTGCCGTGTCGGCCGAAGGTCGCAAGAGCTACAGCGCGGAGCTGTTCGGACCAACTTCCGCCGCATCCAAACGAAAGAGCGCGAACCAGGACGACGCCGGGGCTGGAGCCGCGGGCAATGTGAATGATGCAGAAGTACCTGTGTGGATGAAGGAAATGTCGAAGCGGGCGTCTCAATTCCAGCCACCGGCACGTGAAAAACAAGAAGATGCTGCTGAGGCACCTAAGTCGAGCCCTGCCGAGGAAAAGGCTTCTCCACCATCGAGTCCTCTCTTCTATTCTGAAACACGGCGAAGCCGAAAGCTCTGCATTGAGCCGAGTGAAGAAGCTGTGGCATCGGTCCTGGAGTCGCAACTCGGCAAGGACGGCGCCAAAGAAGAGCCATTGCGAAAAGATGGATCCGAATCTTTTGGTGAGGCTTGCCATGGGGGACCAAAAGCAGTATCCCTTGAGGATGAGCTGCCGCGATTTCGTTTTTCCCGTGATCCCGATTTCTTCACAGTTGCCTCTTCCAGTGTTGTTGAAGCTGGACCGGTTCAGGATTCGCCTCTCGTACCAGGCGTGTTGCCGCTTTCTCAAGCAACTTTACCAGAAAAGCCTCTTCGTTTACCAGTCAGTTCGACATCATCACCTTTTTTCAACTGTCAACATGTTGGGTCACGTGACATGATTAGCTTGTCTTCAAGTAGGGCCATTTCGAAAGACCAGTTGTCGTCGTCAACAGGTTCAACCTCGAAAGTGTCGAGTAGCGGTTCGTCGTCGTCAAGTAGTTCGTCGAGCGCAACCGATTCGGAGAGCGCCTCTTCCTCAGTTTCCTCTTCTCTGGTGCCTTCTCGCGGAAGTAAGAGGGTGGGCGCGAGACAGGAGGATCGAGAAGATCCGTTCCGCATGCCAGGTGGCGGCCACGCAACACTGGTGCAACAAGTGCACGCGCACATGGCGAATCTTGTTAATAGCTACGGCAAGGACAAGGCACGGCGGGGGAACCAGTGACGCGGTGCCGTAAAACTTAACATTCATCATATTACATATCAACAAAGTGTAAGAATAATATTGCCCTCGCGCACAAGAACATTACCTTTCCATATCATCTTCCCAGTCTAGTATTAACTTGCACATTATAACACTTTTCATATTCATAAAACGCAAGGATATCCTTCCAAGATGAGTTGCAATTGCAAAGCATATTCTCATATAGCACATGGAATTCCACGAAAAATAGCATACCTGTGCCATTGTTGCATGTGAAGATATCTCCTGATGTCATCCTGCACAGTAAGAATAGCAAGAAAGGAGGTGTCCTGGCAATGGTCGCGCTTCTTCGTGTTTGTTTTTAGTTCTCGATACGCACAAAGATGAAAATCAGAAAAACGCATTTGATTGGAAATCGTATATAACGCATTGTGTAATAAAGAACGAAGAAATATTAAAAGGACGACTCTGCAATGGTGCTTCTATATGTTGTCACTCTTGTGCTCATGTGTTCACTTTCAACCGTTGGGGATGCGTTCGGCAGCTATCGGGGTTTTGTTGAGAGAGAATAGATAAATCGGTGAAGCCGCTGAAAAAGAAAAAGCAAAGTGTCGTGATACAGAATCCATTTGTTCGTGTGTTGAGTAGCTTGGAACCTTCTGGAGGTTTATTTCTTAGAAGTAATGCTATGGGGAATCCTCGCAACTTCCTATGTTACATTATTGTATCTGCTTGTCGCATTGCGACTAGCTGTATCGAACAAGAGCCGAGAAGAAAGGGTCCGTGATGCAGCTTTTAATGGACACGGCCTGTCCTATCGCCGTCTACGGCTGACCGCCTTTCACCGTCTGCGAGATGGTCAGGGCGATTCGCTTTCGAAGTTGGCAACGGGAAGTCACGAAAAGAAAATCGACCACGCCGGAGCATCAACGAGAGATCCTGTTGTGCAGCATGAAGTGATTCCACACGAAAATAGCTTCACCGTTCAACGCGACTTGTCATCTTGCCGCGATGTCCGTGTATCGCTCTGCACGCCCGCTACTGCGCGAGATGTGCACCAAGGCCTCCTGCAACAACTCGCGCGGACGGTTGCAACGCAGACGGTGTTGCCAATGGAGTGGATCATTTTCTTGTCGGGCGTGGACTACCCCACGTGCAAGGCAGAGACAGTGCGAGTGCGCGCAATCCTTCGGACCGCACAGGCGCCAATATCGCGGTCAAAACAAGACTTATTTGAAAAAGAATTATCGCAGGAACTCGCAGGTCGAGGCATCAGGTTAAAAGAGAGTGAAATTTTTGCACCGAGCGAGCATGTTGGACCCAGAGGCAACGACTCCACGAACGAGATGCATACAAAAAAAAGCATGACGGAAGACCACGAATCGGAGAAAAAGCGGAGCGCAAACACACCAACGCCAGTTATGTACGATGCGAACAAAGACATAAGCAAGGTCCTGTTAGCTGGTATTCCCGCAGAAGCATTGGAAATGGACTCGCGCTATCGCATTCCAGTACGTAAAAGTCGACGCGAGCTGCCTTTCTCTGTCGGTAGACAGTTGGCAGCTGACGTCTTCAGGCGATTCAATGGCGTGCGTAGAGCAGAGGAGACAAATACACGCGATGAGGCACGTGAAAAATCTCTACCTGCTACCGTAACAATTGAAAGTATCGCGCGAGAAACGGACTATCGAAAGGCCGCGCAATTAGTTGCTGCAGCATATAAGCAGCCACGAGGGCGTTCCTGCGACGCTCAGCACCCGTGCACGATTGCCGCAGAAGCCCGAGAGGTGAATAATAAGGTCGTTCCAGTTAAGGTGTTCTGTAACGCGGAAGTGCTAAACCAAGGTTTTTCGCGGAATCGCTTGGCAGAACGCGCGCAAGGTGAAATAGTATCTTTTGTAGACGCCGACGACGGCCTGCACCCACATCGCACGGAAATTTTGACCAGACAGTTCTACAACTATCCGACTCTGAAGATGGTTGGCCACCGCCGAAGTAACGGCCCGGCAGCTGTTGAAAATGTGGAAGGTCTTGCAAGTACTTTGCAGCAATCGAGTAGTACCAACACCAAGCTTGCGGAAGATCAAGTTGCACGCACGAGTTCTAGTACAATAAATGTTCTCTTATTGCAGTCCCAAGGCGTATACAACGCCACGTTCTCCGAATGGATGTATCATCGGATGCAGAAAACGGGGTGGTTCATAGGTCGCGGTGCCATTTGTGTGTATGGTCACGTAAGTGTAAGACGGGAAGTCTTTCGTTTCGTGAAGTATGAGGAAGAACCGCGACACAAGCGCCAAAATCTCGAGGACATGCGGTTCATACACGCAGCCTTGCGTCTGTGGGGTCCAGTCAATGACACTTTTTCCTTCGTATGGAATGAACTCACATGGGGCGTAAAAGCGCAGTACCGCGAGGCGATGGAACATTCCGGAAAAAAGTTGTGAAGACTTTTGCTTTTAGTCGCGCAAATTCTGAGGTGTCTGGCTTGTAATCCCCATGTTGCTGCGCGTGTTCACGTCTAAACTCCCAGTACTTGATAGAGGATCGTGGTTCTGATCTCAAAACTACTTCCAGACATCAAATTGATAATGAGGATTGCTCCTGAGGAGGAAGTTTTTAGTGGGAATGAACGGGAGCAAGAACGATGATAGACCACCGATATTTTCGTGATTATTGAAGTTTTTGCTGGCAGGGAAGTGCAATGAGCGCTCTCCACAAGATGTTGTTGAGGCAGGTCCGCTTTTTTGCCCCTCTTGTTGTGTATGCCGAGGTGTCCGTGGACTTCACGCCGCCTCCAACAAAGACGTGCAGTGACGAACCGTGGGCAGCGCTGCACAAAGTACTGAATGTCTCTGCCGCGTATCCCGATGGCGGGCAGACCAAGCCCTCACCGGACTTTGAGGCGTACATGCGCTCTTTAAGCAGTTTCACCTACTTCCGCGAGAATTTTCGCGAATGCCGGGAAGGTTTTCTATCCTTCCTGTTCTACATGTCACTGCACCACAACGAGCACAAGCAGAGTTTTCGGACTCTTGCTAACGACTTCTCACGGGAACTAAACCCCTTAGCGTTGCGGCAACCGGAGTTGCTGTCCTGGCCCATGTTCGGGCAAGTCGAGTCGCTCAGTCCAGCCTGGGACGTGGAAGATAATAATCTGGGACTAATGGACGCAATACCCAAATTCCAGTATCTCGTTCCTCTCGAACGGCCCCGATGGCAGAGACTCAAGGAGCAAAAAGCGGGCCAAAAGAACGTGCCTACAAGGCAGAAGGGTCTGCAGCAACAAGGCCAAGAAGTGAGATCGGATGATAGAGAAACTTTAGTACCTCATCATCCTGTGACACGTATATCTGGCATGGCAGGCATGGTTCATTCAGAGCACGGACTGACAGGCTCGCTCGATTTGTTACGCCGTCTCGCTGAGCCCACGTTCGCGGAGCGAGAGCAGCAGAGCCAGGCGGAGGAGAAGAGCCTAACTGAAGATGGAAGTGGAGGAGTAGGCTCGACTCCTGTCGAGAGCAAGGATATAGAAGAGGGTTCGCAAGTTTCTAAAAACAGCAGATCAGAGCAGCCGCGACCTCTACCGGTGCGATCACAAGTGATATTGGATGTCGGGACGTTCGACGGGTCAGACTGGGCGAAGGCAATCGTAGAAAGCGGATTCCTCGGTATTGGTTTCGAAATGGTCGCGCGAAATAGGGCACTCATGATGAAGAATTTTGAGCACTTAGACCGAGTAGAAGGAGCTGCGCGTGTGGTTCCTGGCGAACGCGCGCCTGACGCGCGTTTTAAGCAAGCTCTCGATGCGATCCTAGACTGGAGGAAAATGGGATTATTGCGCAACGGTTCGGGAGAAGCAAACCTAGCACAGCCAATGCCGAACGAATGTGGGGCGGCAGAAGTGGACGCGAAAGACTCAGCGTTAAGAACGGCTCTATAAATTCTGTTACTTTATTTTCTGCGAATAATATGAACCTACTTGCGATCAGAACGTTCTTGATAGAAGAGCTGGGAGAAGCGTACGTAGCTGCGTTGAAAATGTAGAGATTATTTCGTTTTGCTTCTAAACTTTTCGTGTCAGGCGGACAAGAAAGAATACGGAGAAGGAATTAGTTCGGAAGCGCTCGAGGCAATCCGGCCAGACGAGCGTGGGCGTGGTTTCTTTCATCTTGTAGGCGCGGCACTGGGCAAAGAGGCAAAGAAGCAGCGCGTCCTGTCGCGATATGATTACACGAGTCTTGCTCTCATGGGATACCTGGACGGTCCTCCGGATATGGAAGAGGAAGCAGTTGCCGTTGTTACGCTCGACGATCTTTTCGCAACAGGGTACTACTATTTTGTGAAATATTCGAGGATACCAGCAAAGCAGCATGTTTGATCTCTATGCTAAAGCAGCGCCTGGCGCAATACAATGAACAGTCAGAGACGACTCCAGTCAAGCATTCGCAAGAAGTACACAGGTACTTTCCCTCGTCGTTGAAGATCGATGTGCTGAAGATAGACACTGAGGGATTCGAGTTAGGGGTCCTCAAGGGCGCGGAAGCGGCTCTGAGGGACACGCGAGTGCACTTTCTAATTTTCGAGTACCAGCCGGCGATGCTGAGCACAACTGGCACAGATCACGAGGATATCTTGCATTTCGTGGCGCACTACGGATTCCATTGTTAAGGCTGATAATGAGATTGTTTTCGGACTAGCAGAAGAGAGACAAATTTTATTAGCCGCAGAAGTCCATCGCTAACATGCTTATTCGTTGAAGCTTCCGAGTATAGCTAGCCTCTCTTTCGCGGAATTTGCGGTCCAATACGAGCGCCCAGACCGACTTCAACTCAAAGGCATGGGTGCTATTGAAGATATCATTTGCGAGAACCGATATTGGACACCAGAACCGATTATCAATGAACTGTAAGTCCAGTCATGCAAGTGCTCTGTCTTCAATCTTTCGCTGGTGAAGCAGAGATCGATGCTCCAAACAGGTGCAGTTTCGGACTGCGCGCACAGGGAACACCAACGTATGCGTGTGCTGCTGAACAGCGTGCCATGTTGTTCGAATGAGAATCTAAATTGGGTTTGGATCAAACGTTGACACTGAAGATGATCTCGGTTCAGGATCTCGATCTCAGGCTCAGAAGAAAATTTTAGAAATGATCTCGGATCTTCTTCTGTTGTGTCTATCAGTATATAGATCTGGATCGTAGTAAAGGATGATGAATTGAAACCTGAATCAGATGGAAAGATGAATTGGAATATCTGTGGTTCCTCGATATCCATGTCTCATTCTGTACTTTAAGAAACAGGGATCGCAACCGATATGCGCAAAGATAAATCTATCCACCTGTCAAAATCCGTAAGTACTAGGGAACAAATCCGCGTCGATCGGGTTTGAAGATCCGAATCTGGATTGGTAGATCCATGAGGGTCCTTGCGATCTATCGAGATAACTACTTGACTCATAATTGGTAATCTCTTAGCTTTCTAGAGATTGCACGATTAATTTTGATCTATCAATGAAAATGATGGTTTCATGTTCTATCTATTCATGGATGGTTTCTCTCTCGTAGCACAGCCAGGTTCATTTTTGTATCGTACACCGATTCTAGACATTCGCGTATGAGAACAACACTTCCATCCCAAGAGTTTAAGTTTTTGAAAAATATTTTATCGTTTGCATCTCAATCAGTACATTCTAGTTCTTTAGTGTGGACTCGAGCTACTGCATCGTTGTCTACATCTAGTACTTTCCTTGCCGTTCCATCACGACAACCGAATCTTCCCCCCGACACAGAACTGACATCCCCAATTTTTGCAGAACGAGTGTCCTTTTCAGTACCACAACAACACCCTAGTTGTACGAACGACATCAGTCCGGATCAGCAGAAATCTTCTTTTTCGTCCTGCAAATACAACACTGCGAAAATGGCGCAGCAGAAGGGCAAGAAGGCTGAGGGCCACGAGCTCTCGATCCTGAACACCAAGGAAGAGAAGTTCGCGGACTGGTATCCTGAGGTGATCAAAAAAGCAGAGCTGATCGAGTACTATGAGATCTCGGGATGCTACATTCTCCGTCCGTACGGTTTTTTCATGTGGGAGCAGGTGCAGGCATTCATCGATTCCCACATCAAAAAGCTCGGCGTCCAGAACTCGTACCTACAAGATTCTTAAGCATCTTCATGATGATGTAGTTTTTTTTCGAAAACAAGGAACACGACGAAGCAGATTATGATTTGCTCACCCTGTGTGCATGTGTTTTTTTAGAAATATTTGTCCCCACCCTGGCACCCGACTGTATTAATCTCGTTCGTCAATGTTTTCTACAGGTATTTTCCGCTTTTTGTATCGAAGGATGCATTGGAAAAGGAAAAGGACCACGTAGAGGGCTTCGCCCCGGAAGTCGCATGGGTCACAAAGGCCGGTGATTCTGATCTTCCGAAGCCGATCGCAATTCGCCCGACCTCAGAGACAATCATGTATCCGGCATACGCGAAGTGGGTAAGAAACATGAATAATTCTATTCTCAGAATAGATACTTCCATCAAGAACTACTCAGCTGTTCAATCAGATCTTCGACCCCGTTGTGCTTCAGGTGGTTTACTCTGTTATGATCCTTTATTGAAAAATGTGCACCGAAACCGAGTTGTTCCTGCTCGTGCATCGATCTATCTTCCTTTATTTTATATAGATTCGTTCGCACCGTGACTTGCCTTTGAAGCTGAATCAGTGGACTAGCGTGGTCAGATGGGAGTTTAAGTATCCGACGCCGTTCATCCGCACTCGTGAGTTCTTGTGGCAAGAAGGACACACAGCCCACGCCACCATGGAAGAAGCTGAGAAGATGGTCCTGGATATCCTTGATCTTTACGAGAAAACCTACGCTGATATCCTCGCAGTACCAGTTGTGAAGGGCGTCAAGTCAGAAAAGGAGAAATTCGCCGGCGGATACATGACAACTACTGTCGAAGCGTAATGGATTTGTTGTTGTTTTTGCCACATTTGGACCTGGACGATTCTGCTGAAGCTAGGTGGATTTGCTGATTTTTTGAACAACCTGCTTTTACCTGAGAACCATACGAAAATAGCCTTCTAAATACTCGCATTCCTATTATTACAGATATATCCCGACAAACGGACGCGCTGTGCAGGGCGCGACTTCTCACCACCTCGGTGAAAACTTCTCGCAGATGTTTGGCATCCAGTACGAAGACGATAAGGGAAAGAAGCAATACGCGGCACAAACCTCTTGGGGATTCACAACCAGAAGCATCGGAGTCATGGTAACAAAGTGTTTGAAGTTTCTTGTCTCTAATTTGGTTTACTCGCCCGTAATTTTATGTATCAAATCCTGCTTGAATCTCGTTCTATTCTAGAGTTATGCCAAAACGAATTGTTCAACATCTCTTGTTGTTTTCGCCCATTGTTCAGATCATGATCCACGGTGACAACACGGGTCTGGTGCTGCCGCCGCGGGTGGCGCAGACGCAGGTGGTGATAGTTCCGATCCCGGGAAAGAAGATGGACTGGGAGGTGCTGAACTTGAAGGCGCGAGAACTGGGCGCGCGCCTGAGCGAGGACGCCGACGTCCGTGTGCACGTGGATGACCGAAGGAACTACAATCCGGGCTACAAATACAACCACTGGGAACTGAAGGGTGTGCCAATCCGCTTGGAGCTGGGAGAGAAGGACTTGGAACAAAACGTAGTCACGGTTGCAACTCGATACAACAAGCACGACAAAGATTTCAAGAAGTTTACGATTCCAATCGACGACGCAGTGAAGGAAATGCCGGCACTCTTGAAGAACATCCACGATAATATGCTTGCACGAGCCACCGCTGTGCGAAACGATAACATCGTCATCGTCAAGACTTGGGAAGAGGTACACAGACTGAATTTCTCGATTACCATTTCGCCTTTTTTGTATCATGACAACCGGTTAGTTTTCACCTCTGAAATTCTAAGGTTATCCCATGCAACAACCTTTTTTGTATCATGATTAGAAAAGGGTGGCAGCATATAGTCCTAACGCAAAAAAAAAATCTACGGGGGGTAGGAACGACACTAACAGGGGCATACACATGGCAATACCTCAATACAAATCGATAGGAGTAACGGACATTCTGATATAAGATGTTTTGAATATCAAGGTCTTCTATGTATCTATAAATGTATTCCAAAAAGTGGAAGTGAAAACTCCTAACAACGAACACAGATGGTCGCTCAGCTAGACAAGAAAGTGCTCTTCTTGTGCCCGTGGTGCGAGACGACTGAGAGTGAGGAAGAAATCAAAAAGCTGACGAAAGAAATATCCGAGAAGCACGCACAGGAGCAACAGTCTCAGGCTGCATTGGAAGAGAATGGTGAGGAGTTTGCCCCGGCGCTCTCCGGTGCCATCAAGACGCTCTGCATTCCGCTGATGCAGCCGGAAATGCCGAAGGGCCAGCGATGCTTCTTCAAGAAGGACCAGCTTGCCAAGCGATGGTGCCTGATGGGCAGAAGCTACTAAGTTTTTTCATTTTGCTGATGCTGAGTGAAGGAGCTGTGGATCACGCGGAGAAGTGATTAAAGCAAACTATTCAGACGCATATAACTTCCCACGGGGGGAGGGGCACTGATTCCTCTTGATTATTTTCATCACGAGTCGCCACGCTGCCTATTCGTTGATGAAAGGATACATCAACGACTTCATCTCTGCGGGTCCTCTAACTGGGCTTGATGTTAAAGTGTAGATGGGCCCCACATGATATTGAAAAAGGAGCTTGATGAACGCCTAAATACCTTTTTCCAAGAGGCGTTCCCCAGGAATTTCGTTGGTGTAGAAAATGTGAGGATTCGGATGCATCCCACAACGCGCAAATCATTTTTTCGCAGAAGTATGTGGTTTCACCTACGCTCATAACGCATACGCATACAGACGACAGATAAGATGGCAACGACGAAATGCGGAAGCCTTCCTCTCCTAGTATGTGGCTGTGTTCTTACCTCGCATAAAGGGGTTGCGTTTCACCTGAAGAGCCGAAAATACTTAAAGTATGTCATCCAAACATTCGAGAAAAATAGACGAAATGATGCCTAGAGAGAAAAATGGTCACAGTACGAGACAGAAAAGGCAGAAAGGAAATATTGGGTCAATATATTTTTGAACAATAGTACTACGAACTAGCGAAATATCGTGAGAATCTTTCAGTTCTTAGAAGTTATTTTACGGTCTTTTTTGACGAGCAAAAGAACTGGATCTACTTACTTATTGTTGCACTTCTGCTATTGATTGTTCGATTGTTGCTAGAGCAATCTAAAGGAAAATGTCGAGACGCTTAGACGGCGGAACTTCTCTATTGCGCTTTGGAACGGCCACCGGCGGTCGCTTTCGCTCACGACCAGGCGGCACTGGGTAGGTCGCTTTTATCAACTTGATGAAAATGTTTGGAAGACCTGGGACAAAAGAAAATTCTTTTTAGAGCTGCGTTGGCTACAGAAATGTCGGCGAAACTTGCTCTCCATTTTTTTGAGCAAGTGAAAGCATTCTTGAAAGTTCCCAAATAGTATTGCCATCCACATGACAGGCGCAGCGTGCGACCGGAGATAAGCGATGAGCAGAAACAGGAAATAAAAGAGGCCTTCGATTTGTTTGATAGCGAGAAGACCGGCAGAATAGACTACCACGAATTGAAAGTAGCGATGCGCGCGCTGGGTTTTGAAAATACGAAGAAGTCAGAAGTTCTCGAATACATGCGGGAATATGACAGATCAGAGACCGGGTAAGCCTCGTCTTTACTTATTATGAAGCTTGAAAATGTGCCTGTTTTCATGAATGATTTTGGTTACTATAACTAGAACATTTTTCTTGACTTGTTACGGCTGCAACCTACTTTTATTTAATCCTTGGATGTTGACATCCATTTTATCGTTGGATGTTGACATCTTGCTTACCACTATAATAATCAAGAAATCCTTTTTACTTACACGATAATGAATGAAGTGAACCTGAACATAGGTACATAGATTATGAGGCGTTTTCAGAGATAATGACGGAGAAGATAGCGAACCAGGATCCGCAGGAGGAGTTGAGCAAAGCTTTTCGTATGTTCGACGATGATGAGACCGGAGTAATAAATTTCCGAAACTTGAAAAGGGTAGCTCGAGAGCTAGGGGAGAAGCTTTCGGATGACGAACTGCAGGCAATGATAGACGAGTTTGATCGGGACCAAGACGGCGCAATCAACGAAATGGAATTCGCGAACATAATGCGGCAGACGAGTCTCTACTAGCACTAGGATGGGCATTATAGGACGTAAAATCAGTTATCAGAATCAGTTGCGACTACTTATGTGAAAAAATAATCGATCCTACAACTATTACCTGTAAGAAGAACTGGGAGGACACTTCTACTTACACTATGATGTCAACTGATACTTTGACTTGGGAGCAGAATGCTATTACTACTACCTCTGTATTGATCAGCGTATGATGGTGGCTACAACTGCAGTCCACAAGGACGAGAAGGACTTGCAGAGAAGATTGAGTTCGCTGATGCCTGCTGAGGCGGTCGTGCACAACGGAAAATAGTTTAGGAACGGCAGTCTTTCCTAAGAAGATGGTCTCGGTATCCATACGCTGATCTTAACGAGGTGACTCGGAACAGTTCATGGTCGTGCCAGGAGAGACGTCGAAGGATCCATCCAAGCAGCGTGGATATCTTGTTGATGAGTGTCGAAATCATCGATGAAGTGCAAATGCTCCCCGCGAAGAGGTTCGTTTCATATTGATTCTGTGTAGGTACGTATTTGATAATGACAGGAGGAGTATCATCTTCATATTAACACGGAAGACTTCCCACATGACGATGACCGTCTGTTGCAAAATAGGTCAGAACTTCGGACTTCCTGGAGAATCGGTGTTGAGGGGTCTCCGGAGAGTGTGTAGTGCGAGCGATCGTGAAATTCCCACCCCATAAACACGCCGTTTGTCGTTCGTTGTAGGCAGGAGCAATTGATGACGTGAAGGAATATGCTCCCCTAATTTTTTCGTAGGCAATGATTATTAGACTGCCAGGTGTCGGAGCGGATTAGTAGTTTTGTGTGATCGGAAAAGTTGTCGGTTGTTTTAGTCCTTGATTGCTTTTGCCTGAGCGGTCTTCATTCTTTGACGTTCGTGTCGTTTCTTGTAAAATTGTTAGTCGAGGAAGTTCCAGCTACTTAGGTTAAGAATCAGGATAGACAAGAGGGAAGAGTAAAAGTTGTCATCTGCGGTTATCCTATATCGCGGTATTCGTGATTACTGTTAAGAAGATGAAGAGCGCGCTTGAATTCTTAAGTTTGGAAAGACAGAGCATGACCTTGACGCATGAAGGTGCCACTTTATGAGTATGCTCTTGGCCTGCGAGCCACAGAGATAGGTGCGTAGCACCACGGCTGGCACAAGTGGCGTCGCTGGTTTATAAGACGTTTCGTTGAAGACCCATGCAGCGCCGATCATCTGGCTCTTCCGTTGCCAGCAACGATCCTGTTTCTCCGTCTCGATAGCGCGGTTTCCAGTGAAAACGAAACTTGAAAGGAGACGTACACAACACTACTTTGCGACGTTGTCGAAAAAGGGGCCGGCTTTTCACGTTGTCGAAAAAGGGTTTTGCGCGCAGGATAGCGCTCTTTGCAGAACAAGCAGATACTAATCAATTCTGCGGTCATCTCTAGTACTAGTTCAGCACGGGCTGCACCTGCATCAGAAGTGCTTGCGGAGTAGTGCGATCAACGTAGGCCCAAGGGAAGTCAGCTCTGACCTCGAAATTCAAGGCTAGTCCAGAGAGGGTACGAAATACATCTGTCTGCCAGCAGCGCCCCTTTGAAGTAGCACTTCTAAACTGTCTGGCCGAAGCATATTTTAGCAGCGAAGCAGCATCGTCAAGCAACCGATCTGGCAGATAGACGAAACAATTTGGCGCTTTACAGTGCTGGAGCTGTCATCGTCGTGGGAGGCTGTCGACCTACCCATGCGTACTGACATCTGAGATGGCTCACGTGAACTTGCCTGTGCGAGCATTGACTGCAGCGTAAAACGCCTAGAACAAGGTGGAGCTATTTCTTGCAGAGAAACTTCGTTCTCGCAGAAAGCGGACTCAGAAAGCTTTTGTAGCTGTTTTTCTTTTCGGCAGGCGGTTTAGTACTTACTCAGTAACAGAGGCTTCTTCAGCGAAAAGTCGCATTGCGTCGAACTCCAATACCTCGTTCAGCGTCTGGACCACTTCTTATTCACTACCTGGCTGCTTTGAAGAAGCTTAGCTTCTTCGTGACTCAGCGACAAGATGGCGCCGAAAAGCATAGGACAGGTGAAAGACCGGGTAAAGGTCATGGAGGATGCGGATAGGGATAAATATCTCAATGAAATTCGAAAAAATTGGCTCAAAGAGAAGTCAACAATCGAGCAGAAACATTCAAAGTATTTACCTGGCGATTCTCGTTTTGTTGTCTATCTTGTACGCGTCGTATTAGTTGATGACCTGCTTTGTTTAGCTCTGTGTTAAATATACAGCGTCGTGCACCAGCTGCTTCAAATGATCATAGAATCCGTATCTGCGACACCATTTATTGACTTCTATCCACTGTGCAGTACGGAAGGAACTTTCACATCTCCCACTTCAGGTATAATGCATCTAAGATTCAGGAGTCATGGCTCAAGATCATGCGGTCAGCGAAGACAAAACAATTAAAGCGAGAAGTCGAAATAATTGCCCAAAGTCACGAGAGGGACATGGATCGGAAGGATGCCATTATGCAAATGTACATTCTTCATTCTTGATATTAATAATTTCGTATCTGGTACCATTTTCGACGTCGAGTCAAGGGCGGGAGCAGTTACTCTTGAAAATTTTCAACACTTTACCAAGGTTGGACCGCGATCTCGACGAGGCAGAGGAGCAGCATCAGTTTGCTATCCGGACGCACCTGTTGAATATGGAGACACTTATGGAGATCCAGCAGAGTCGACTAGAAGAGCTCCAGCAGGACTTTCAAAGGGAAGTCGAGGCGATAGAGACCGAGTGGTCGCAGGAAAAGGGAGATCTGCAGCATACAGCGGATAAGAGGAAACGGGAATTGAAGCACTTGATAATGGTTCTTATTAAAACTAGCAATCTGAGGTTAGTCCCTCATAAACCCTAGGTTAGTCCCTTCATCCAACTTATTAAAAGTAGCATCAACCTTTACTTTTTTTTTGCTTCAGGTTAAGGTAGCTAGCGTGCCATTGGTTTCCCGGATGCAGCATGAATTGATTTAAGATATATAGAAAAATAGGTATTCAATTGATGACCACTTCGTTAACCACTGACGGTCCAACAACCCCATTCGCGCTCTCAGGAAGTGACGCAAGAAGAGAAGAACAAGGAGCAGATCGACTTGACCGAGCATCAGGCTTCATATGAGATGATTCGCAACAAGAATATTGAGGAGGATCATCAAATGCGGTCTCAATTAGAGGAAAAGATCGAGTCGATGAAAGACAAGTGCAACGCGGCACTGGTAACTTCTGAGTTATGCCTGAACAGTCTAATTCTTTTGTTTTTTCTCATAGATATCTCTAGAGAAAAACGTGCCGTCGCTGACAACTTTGATATCGGCATTTAGGCTGCTTCTCAATCATTTCAGCATTTTGCAATCATTACAGAACACCTACCGGATAAGTACGGAGCAGAACACGCAGGATTACAAAACGTTTCTTGCAAGGGACGCAACTCTTTCGAAGCATGTCGAGAAGAAGCTCCGCCAGGTAGCATTTTTCATCTCTTGAACTCGCTTGTTGTAATCAGTCCTAAATGATTGAACGACGAAGACAAAGATTGCATGATGAGTTGTAACTGCAAATTCCTCTACCCGCGGCAGTCTTCTCAAAAACCATTTCTCTGTTTCTATTTCAACAGGTCGAGCGTATGCAGGCGAACATAGGGCATTGGAAGCAGAAAATATTACAGAATAAGCAAGAATGTGAAGAAAGGAATGCGCACTTGCGGACAGAGAAGGAGCACCTTTTGAAGCATTTCCAAGAGCTGAAGGTATCTTTACTAGGGTGCTTTGTTTGAGAGCATAAAAATCAATATTCGGCTTGATTTGTGTAATAGACTGATACGAAATGCCCAAAGTGTGGTCGTATTCAGTAGTATTTTCCACGCTAGGTCTGTAGTGGTGGATCATGCTCTTCACGGCTTAGTACGTTACTGTATGCTCATCGGGGTATCCCTTTGGGTCTGGTCTCAAAGCTGATTTGGCAGGTCAGATTGGAGACATATGACATGGCATTTGTGTAATAGATAGTAACTACAGGAGTGAGTTACTAAGGTTGCTTTAGTGCGTTGACGATGGTCGTATGAAATTATTATCGACGATGGGAGTTAAAGCAATAAGGGTGCTTCCTTGCATTTATGTTGACGCATCTGACAGGTGAAAATGACAAAATTCCGAGACGAGCAGCACAAGCGATTAACGGAATTGAGTGTAAATGCTTCAAATTGCTTAGGCAAACTGAAGGAGGATCTGGGAATAGGCGAGTCAATACTCAAGCTTGCAGAAGCCTGTCGGAGGTATGAGACCGAAAAGGAGAAAGTGCTCCCGTTCTATCAGAATACTGCTCTCAAAGGTACTTGTACTAGTAGCTTCGTTAGGAGCAAGTGTATGTCCATAGTAAATTTGTAGAAGAGAATGAATTCTAATCGAATAGGGAACATCAGTCTCGATGTCGCAGGATAGTGCCTCCATGTTTCGAGGCCACCAAATGATCCCTCACCAGACGCCGACGTGGACACGCTTCCAAACGAAGTTTTACAGCAGTACATAGCGGATTTCCAGAGTAGACTGGCTGAAGAAAAGAGCGATCAGATCCAGAAGCTTGAAAAACAGAAGAAGGAACTCTTCGACAACATGTATAATTCACTACTCTAATTCGTATAGATCTTTTCCAACATTTTTCGTTTTCTGCTTTCTCATGCGCCTGATTACCTTTGAACCTGTTGCCAGGTTGATTTTACTTGTGATCACTTCTTCGATTAGCATGGACATTCTCTCAACCACTACAGCGGTAGCGGCGAGTTGGTCCCAGGAAACGTGCAAATTCAGGCGTCACCTGAGGAAGAGGAGAACCAGTATGTGATGATGAAAGAAGAGATGAAAGAAATCTTGTTAGATAATAGGCGGGACGAATGGAGCTACCTTGATAATTTCTTCAAGCGATTTAACAAAGTGCACCTCGATGTGCTCGCTATCAAGAAGGAGAAACATCGCCTCAAGAGCGAAAACACGTAATTATTCGTTCATTGAATTCTTGATACGATTGCTTGCCTGGTTGTTTCCTGTAGGCGAAGTTCATGATGAGGTTTCGCGATTTTTCGAAATAAGCTCTACTAAGTACTTCACTCGAACGATTTAAAGTAGAATCTTCTTATTCACCATAATCCTCATTTTCATCCTCAACCTCCCAAAAAAATTAAGGCAACTGCGATCAATTTTGAAGCAGTTCCTAGATGGCGTGGCGGTATCAGAAGAGGTACTTCAGAAGGCCAATCCGCTCTTCATTGTGAACGGACGCGTGAATTTGAATTACGTGCCGCCAAAGAAGGGAGGAGAGCACGAAAGCAAGGTCGTCGTGGAGGCCAAGACGGCAATAGCACAAGCTGCAGTCATGCGAGCGCCTTAATGTTCTTTAGGGTGTGATATAGATATACCAGTTTGTTGAGGTGAACGCTTATCTCCACTAGAGATTTGATTGCACACGATTTAGCATGTTCGTTGTGGCTATGATTCGATACGCAACATCTTGCGATTTCATTTCCGATTTTAGATAGCGAATAGACATTTCCGTTTTCGATGATAGACGACAAAGCCATTGAGTTTCTGAAAATAGACTAGCGCTCCCAGTAGCCGATAAGCGAAATTGGCACAGAGAAAATATTGCGTGATTTGTTGTGAGTTACTAGTATACCTTCGCCCGGATCAAGATTTTGTTGAGTTGAGAACTAGTCATCATGGTAGGAAAACAGACAGAAATGTAGAACTGTACAGAGTAGTTGCTACGATGGGCCACAAATTGTGGTCGACGCGGTGGGTCGTAGCAACTTTCTTGATGTCTGCAAAGACATTCCTGTTTTCGACGACCGAAAAGACTAGAGAGGATTCCGATATCATCAGCATGATAATGTATTCGTTGCCCACGAGAGGCCATTACGCGCGTCACGCATAAAAAGATAAAGAACAAGTTTTCTCAAGGTACATAGAATTAGGTTTACACTTTCACAGCAAGATGTCTTCGTGAACGTGTGTTGTGCAAGCACAAAGACGGATTTATTATACCTCAAGCAGGCAGCGACCTCTGCTTCTGACATGTGTTCTCAGTCGCCGTCACAGGATTTTGTTCGACGTAGTCACGCGTTTGATAGAATGATGAATGTCACATGTACCCAACTAACTAGTGTGTGGTTGCCAGTACGAGAATGAGAAGGAAGAGAGGAAAGAGATTCAAGAATACAGAGTGTTCGAGTCTTCAGTAAAAATGACAAGCCGACAATTTATTATAGACAATAAATTCTTCACCTAAGTACTTTTTTTTGTGCGGTCGTTGACATTGTATTGTTCTCATGGTCTTCCTATGTTATGAATCTGTTTCTCTTCCGCTTTTGTGTCGCAGGGAAAAGACGGTCAGGAGACCGGGTGTGGAAAGTCGTGTCTTTGGTATTGACAAGGCAATTGAAACTTTTGGTCTCACGCAAATTTTTCATTATGGTATAGTTAGAGACATTCTCGTATGAACAAGGACGCGAATTTATCTTCGAGAAATATGAGATCATGATATCGAATATCTGACGGTTATGCGATACCGTTATGAAAAATATCATTCCTACCTGGTGTAGTTCTTTTTCTTTCGTCTGTTCTACAAGAGAGAAACACATAAGAAATAAGTATCTTCCAAGTTTTTAGTTCTTTCAAGATATGACGGTGAAGAGATCAGGGGTGATTCTCTACATTTCTTTTTCGTGATTTGCCTCGCCGAACCGGTTTTGATCGTCGGGCAAGACAAGACGGCGCACCTGCTTCCTAGAAGTAGAACTACATCTCAAACAAGGCTCGAACGGAATTCGGAGAACTGTGCTCACTATAGTGTTTTGTTTTTCAGCCTATTGAAGTGGCCAGAAAAAGATGTGCGGAATTTTTGCTTATTTGGGAAGCAACCCAGAGGTGTTGAAGCTTCTCATTGAAGCGTTGCAGAGGCTTGAATATCGCGGTTATGACTCGGCCGGCATCGCCATTCATGACGGCAACGAAAAGCTTTTGGTCGAAAAAAGCGCGGGAAAGGTGAGCAATCTCCGCGACCTCTGCAAGAGCCAGGGCGAGCGACTGTCCGGCAGCGTCGGAATCGCGCACACGCGATGGGCAACGCACGGACGACCGACGGACCGGAACTCGCACCCGCATTTGTCGCAAAATCGTAGCGTGGCCGTGGTCCACAACGGCATCATCGAGAACTATGCGGAGTTGAAGAAGGAGATGCAGGACAAAGGTTACGTTTTCTCCTCCGAGACCGACACTGAAGTGCTTGCCGTCTTGGTGGATGACATGCGTAAGGAACTCGATGACGAGAAAGACCTACCGACAGTAGTAAGTGCAGCCTTGGATCTCTGCGTAGGCACGTTTGGCGCGGTTTTCCTGTTCGGAGATCAGCCAGACCTGCTGATCGGGGCGCGTCGGGGTAGTCCGCTCATCCTGGGTCTAGGGCAGGAAGACGGGGGACCAGCATACTTTCTGGCGTCCGATGCTTGCGCCATCGTGCAGCACACGCGAGGTAAAATTCAAATTTTGCACTCCTTGGTCCTAGTGAAGACTGCTAATGATTTACTATGACACCCTGAACCTAGTCTGTTTTTGTGTGAGTAGAAAAAATGAAAATTCTTGGCGTCTCGGTAGACTCGAGAATGAGCAAGATAGATGTAACGAATGATTTGTCCTGTCCTGCAACTACACCAGATGTTATATACGTGAACGACGGCGAAACGGTAGAACTTTCAAGGAAAGGCTATAAGATTCACGATACTGTCAGACTCGCGAAGAGAGCACGACAGTTGAAGGGTGCGACAACATCGACAGACGGCGGCGTCGAAAATCCGATTGTCCGTCTTGAGATGCGAATAGACGAAATCGAAAAGGGAGGGTACTTTCGTCGACATGCGTTTTTTACCACTTGTCCAACCTAAGAGGACTGTAACTTGATAATCACTTCTTGTGCTTTAGGTGGAAAACTACCAGGAGTAGGGGGCGCAAAAATTACTTGTTAGTACCATGACTATCAAGCACCAAATTATGTTCTTTTTGTGCTGAAGTGAAAATGTTCTTTAAGGACAAGGTGCTAAGCCCCACCGTCCCTTGCGTGCACTTCACCCAGGTATGATCACTTCATGTTGAAGGAGATTTACGACCAGTCGAACAGTTTGCAGAATTGTTTGCGTGGACGGTTAATTCAGGTAGATGCGGAAAAATCGACGATAAGCTGCGGATCGAGTGAAGAGCTTGCGCTTGCGTCAGGCCGCACGCGGACGACGCACCCATCGTCGCCAAAGAGGCTAGCAAGTGACTACACAATGACGATTGGCGGTCTAGAACACCAGCTCGAAAATGGGGATACAGTCGGACAGCGCATGCTGAAAGCCGGTCGGGTGGTCATGTGCGCCTGTGGCACCTCATGGCACTCAGCACTCATCGGCGAGTATCTTATGGAAGCGTGTTTCGTTAGTCCGGATCATTCGAAGATAGCATAAGTGTTTAGAATTTGTGCACTGTGATGTAGATTAGATGAAACAGGAAGTTAGGGGTTACTTATGTTTGGAAGATATATTCTTGCTCTAATGTTTTATTCGAGCAGATGGCGCGCATTCCTGTGGAAGTGGAGTATGCGAGTGAGTTTCGGTATCGAAAACCGCTGATCCGCGAAAGTGACGTGATTATCGGCATCTCGCAATCTGGAGAGACCGCCGATACGCTTGAGGCAATCAGGTTAGCCGCAGCCCATGGTGCCACGACTTTTGGCATTGTTAACGTCGTAGGTTCCACTATCGCGCGTGAGACGATCGCCGGTATGTATATCCACGCCGGACCCGAGGTGGGCGTGGCCTCAACGAAAGCGTTTACAGGCCAAGTGCTCTCACTTTTTTTGGTCGCAATGTATCTTGCAAAACTAGGCGGGACAATGAGCGAAGACGAGTTTCAGACACTATCGAAAGAGTGCCTTGCTCTGCCAGAAACAGTGGAAAAGCTGCTCACAAAACAGAAGGATCTCTGCTTCCGGCTCTCGAAGGAAGTACTATTTCTTATTCCATTGGTAGTACGTTTTGCACAAAATATATGGCGGTCGCAACTATTACATTTCAACTAGTACAAAAATATTTCGGGGAAACTAGAACTTAACCCAAGAACTCAGTCGTGTTTCAAGTGCCGGGATAGCCATGGCCAATGGGAGCCTGCTGCAGTGGACCTGAATGAAGGTACAACTTGATATTGATGAAGTGGCTCATTTGATTTGATGTAAATAAGTATGTTGATTTCTAGTTAAGGAGGAGGAGAGGAAATCCGGATTCTGCTGCTGCTAGGTGCGTGGCTTGGCCCCAAGCCACGCGACTTCGAACCGACTGCTGCCTCTGCTCCTCTCCTCCTCCATAAATCACTCAATAAATCACCTAGTCAACTACTCAGTTTCATCCTACTCAAATCATAATCTCTAAAACAAATATAATACCAGGTCCACCGCTGCTGCTCCATCGATTCGCAATTCCACTTGGGTGCTTCACGCCCCAACCTTAAGCCCCTGAGTACTGGCTTCCCCGAAATTTTTTTGTACTAGTTGAAATGTAATAGTTGCGACCGCCATAAAATACTATTAGTGATGCATGTAGCATTTCTAGTAAAGTCGGCGCTATTTTTGTACTCGAGCATGTAGATGAAGATTGAGGTTTCAGAATTAGTGCATGAAGATGAGAATTACGATTTTCCTTCTTCTGGCTCCTGGGCTGTCGTGGTAGATTTCCTTCCCATGATCAATTTAAATCCCGTCTTTTCCGCAGGTCCGCCTTGCAAATAATTTTCTGTTTCTCGGTCGGGGTTTGAATTTTCCAGTTGCGCTAGAGGGTGCTTTGAAGCTGAAGGAGATTAGTTACATTCACGCAGAGGGCTATCCGGCAGCCGAGATGAAGCACGGACCCATCGCCCTGATCGATCAATTCATGCCTGTTGTCGTCATCGCGCCAAGGAACGACCCGACGTATTGAATTTGTTCTTGTTGAGGAAAGCACCCTATATGAGCTAGATACGGATGCTTGTTGTCCTTAGAGTATCTCATAATTGTCGTCATGAGTTGAGTGAAACTTCTCTGGGCGTGTCTTCGTTCGTGATACACCGACCTTTTCTTTCTCTTCAAGAAGATATATAGTATCATCAATGATTGATGAATTCAACTACTACAGGTACATCAAAGTAAAAGCAAATATTGAGGAGGTGCATGCACGGTCCGGATCCTTGATTATTATCACCGATGAGGGGAACCACGAACTAGATTCCTACTCGGAATACGTGATCTACATTCCGACAGTTGATCAGTACTTGCAGTCGATCTTGAACGTGATTCCGCTCCAGCTTATGAGCTACTACGTCGCGAAATTTCGAGGCTGCGAAATCGATCAACCTCGCAACCTCGCAAAAAGCGTCACGGTCGAGTAACCGTCGCAGGAAAGGACCGAACCCAAGGCTTGGAAGGCATAATTTTGTAGATCAAGTACTGAAAATCTTTCTGTTTCACACTCTGCTTGGGAGAACTTGCTGCTCCTTGAGCGAACCTGTTTTGAAGCGTCCTCCAAGTAGTGTCTTGTCGCAGGGCGTTCAAAACGAGGTTGTAAAGGAGATGCAAGACGGGATAGGGCGGTCGGGGAATCCTGGAAAATGGACCTGCTTTTTTGCACTCGCGTGCGTGTGCACCTTACCGTTTTGACCCGCGCCGCCGTCTGCACAGGAACAAAGTTTCCTCGACTCGCGTAGTTGCGTGAAAAAGAATCGCGCAGATTGATACGAATTATATATGAATTTATAGCTTTGAACCGCTGTAATTCTAATTGATGTGTACAATTTTCACCTAATTCACCTTGTATATGCACGAGTCGAGTCAACTCGAGATCAGCTTAATTCTCTCAACAAAGTTGTTTCTATGAATTCTACGACGACAAAGGCACTCCTGATGTTGTTTATTAAGACGAAGTATTAAGAAGTACAGGCAAGTGTAGACTGTGGCTTGGGAAGCTCGACTGGGAGAATTCCTCCGTCATTCTCGAGGACGATGGTCTATGGAACGACGTAAATCACAAGGCCATATTTGTTGACAGGTGTGCTTTCTTCCGCTCCATGAAAAAAACAAGTCATCACTGGTCCGTCAGAAGAGATCAGAGAAAAATCTGTAGGAGGTTTTTATTCAGTTTGCTCAGTCGAGAGAGGTTCGTGGCTTGAAAACTACTTGCCCTACAATCAATAATCAAAGATCACTGATGATCTCGCTAGTCTTATACAAATTCTTAATAGCTTGATCTCGAGAAGGTTTTATTGGAAAATGTGGAGAGCAGCTAAGACGTCGTACTTGAAGTACGGCAACGAAATGGCCGCTCTTTTGCGGCAATGCTTGAAGGAGCCAGCACGGACGAAGGCGCTCGAGAAAAATAGGGTGAGGCACTATATTTAGAGATGCATCTACTTCATTTGCAAGTGATCGGATAAGTCCTTCGAGTCGATTGAAAGATTTCGCAGCAAGAAGTATTTTTAGATTCTATGCCCGATTCGACGGGACGCCTTCTCTATGAATCCCTACAGATACATCTAGTGGAAAAGAAATGGGCGAATGGCGTGCAGCAGGGTGGCAAGACACTGCATAAAGATTTTTCGGTCTTCGATGCCGCAAAGGCGTCGCAATAGATGGATCGAATCGCATCCAGTGACGAAGCGAAAATATGATGTTGACTTTGTTCATGTTGTCGTACTTCGTCTCCCATCAAACATTTGATTCCTTATGTATGCAGACTTAGAGACTTAGTACCTTGTACTTTTCTTATGGACCGAATCAATGTCGATTTAGACAACTGGTGGTCGACTCTAAAATACGCAGAGAAGTAGCGTACTTACTGTGGCGCTTTGGCGTTCCGCATGCTCCTGTTGTTCGAGGATAAAGGTATGGTCTCTGCGGCACATGAATGAGTGATAAAGGAAGCCACACTTGGCCAAGAATCTGTTCGATAGATTGATCTGAAACTCATGTCCTATTCCAGGACTTGTGAGTGTTGCTCCTTCTCTTTTTCGCTGGGACTAGAAAAGCTTATTTTGTCCTCGACGTAATTCTAGTCGACTAGAAATCTCGTGCTAGAAGCCAGTGAACTAGAAAATTATTGTGCACGATACACATATGAAAGACGAAGATGGCAAAATGAGTGAAAAGAATCGTCATTGTACGATACCAAAACGCGAATAGTCTGTTCAGCTTTCCCCCAGTCTGTCAAAAATTGACGGGCTTGCAAACGTGTCTGAGAGAAAAAGCATGTCAAGCTGCCTTTGCCTTCAATTGATCAAGCAACGATCATTTTTATGAAAATTTGATTTTTCAATTTCAGGTACTAACTAAGTGTATATCGTTGAAGAAAAAGCAAGAGCGTATTACGATTAGCTTGTTGCCCCCTCATAATCATCCTATTTGTTCTTTTGGGTCCCTTTTGTGGTCGTTCTTTTCTAGAAAATTCTGCGTTGTTGTTGCCTCACCTCTACCAGACACCTTGAATCACTGATACATTTTAATTTTTTACCTCTGTACCTACTAAATTTACTTCGCCCCGACAAAAGGTGACTCATTCTCCTTCTTTTGTGCAAAGGACTTATGTGTATGTGGCCTCTCTCTAAAGAAAGTGGGTAATGGCTGCACTGGTGTTGGAACATGAGAAAGTCAATACTTCTTCTTTCATTCCGACACGATCACGCCCAATGATTTTAGAACTGACCAGAGAGTAATACTTTATTTCATTAGAGGATAGCAAATCAGCAAAGCAACGAATAGGTATCGAAGATATATGACGGAGTTGCATTTGCTCTTGCAGGGCTATTAGCCCATCGAGCGCGTGGAGGCCCTGGAAGGGCCGTTTTCGGACAAGATGACGGGGGCAGAATCTGCCCCCGCCAAAGCGGAGCGCCTGGAGAGGAAACCGGTGCAAAAACTACCGCTTAATGTGGTCCAGCAATTAAAGCAAGATCCAAGCAAGGGCAGATATGGTACAAATTGCTAAGTATTTGTTGTTTTTCACCCATACCCAGCATAGTGCTTTTTTCGACCTTTATGTTATTCGTTGGCTTCGCCTTCGGTCCTTCTTTCTTGCGGATGGCATTTGCTGAGTCGCAAGGAATACATTACCTGTGTTTATCCATGCATGCCAGCTGGTGTCTATTTGCAACAACACCCATTTTTATTAGTCCGACGGTGAAACTGAAACACTACTTTTCTGGCATATACTTCGCACATTCTCTTCCATCTCAGCTCGAACAGACGTCATGGACGCAACGGATCGTCAGGAGTTGCTGTATTCAGTGCAGGAGGAGAACACGTCTTTGAAAAAGACGAATCAGAAACTTTCGGACCAAGTGAAGCAACTTGGAATTAAGTTTTCGCAGATCCAAAAGGAGATGCTGCGAGAGGGTTACCAGGTGGAGAAAACGCAGGGTATGCGTGAGGCCGAGCGGCTCCACAAGAGCCTGCAGCAAGATCACAGCGCAGGGGGTGCGTCGTCGTCCTCGCAGCCGTGGGTGCCGTCCGCAGGGGTGGGCGCGATGACTGGACCGCGCCGCGGCAACAGCCGTTCGCCCAGCACTGGAGCGCGGCGCCCCGTGTCTGGTTCGACAACCGGCATGCTGCGGAATAGGTCTGCTTTGTCTCCAGGCCGCAACTTATCGCCGGAGCGCTCCGGTGTTGCGCGCATGCTAGTGGAGGAAACGGAACAACTGCGCAAGACAATTGCCGAGCTGCGAGAAAAAAACGAACGCTTGTCGTCGCAGATGGAGGGCGTCATGTCTGCGCGCGGCAGCAAAGGTGTTTCAGCGGTCGAAACAGCCTTTTATCGCGAACAGCTTGACGACAAAGAAGTACGACTGAAGCAACTCGTGCGACAGCTCGATGAAGAGCGAGAGTCCTTCCACAAAGAACGCAAGGAAATGACATCAACGGTATTAATCATACATGATAAATACTTCACCTGATAGTATCTTGGCAGCTCATTTAGCATCCATGATACGTCGTAAACAGTGTTACTGGGCTTTTTTTAGGTCGCAAACACATTTTCTCCTGCTAATTATCCTCATTATACTCACTTCCAGGTAAATCGATTGGAGAAGGAGAAACTTGCCGTTGAGTCGGACTTACGCCATGCGCTGGCTCTCGGCGACGAGACCGAGAACGCGTCGTTGCATAGGAAGGTAAAGGAGAGTGACGAGATGAACAAAAAGCTGATGGACAAGATCAACCAACTGACCTCCAACGCATTCATCTCGACAGCGGACACGCGCGTAGCTTCAGCCAAGCGTCTCGAGCGCTTGGAGGAAGAGCTAAAGGAGAAGGCAGCTGCGCTGACCGAGGCGCTAGCGGCGAAGGACAAACTTGGTGCCGAGACGGAGACGCTACGCAAAAAGAGCGAAGAAGCAGATACGAAGTTCAAGACTGTTTGGGAGGAGAGTGAGCGCATGCGTATTCGGTTAGAGGAGAAAGAGAGGCAAGCGAAGGCTGTGGAAGAGCAACTCGCAATTCTACGGGATTCGCTGCCGCCGGAAGAGCGTGCTGCCGTGGAGAAGTCGTTGTCGCTTGCTCTTATCGCCGGCACTGCTTCAGGTATCACCGCGGCCACGTCAGCCGCAGCAGCTGCTGCGGCCGGCGGTGCCGTGGCGCAACCTGCTTCGGAGTTGTCCTCGGTGGACTCGCTCACGCGCGCCGTGTCGCAGCTACGACGTGAGAAGCATGATCTGGCACAGGAAATGGCGGCGCTGCAGAACATTCTCCGTCGCGAGAGCGAGATTAACGCGGAGTTGAAAACACTACACCAGTTTGACCTAGCGGACATGCAAACCAAAGCAGATGCGATGTTGGCAGACCGCGAGAAGTGGGAACGCCTCGCGAAGAGCCGCGAGTCCAAGGTGAAGGAGTTGCAAAAGCAAATCCGTACGTTGGAGCGCGTGCAGGAGGAAAAAGAGGACGACGTGATCTCCGAGGCAGGCTTCTCCGACATTTCCGAGACGGTACAGTCTAGCTCGGAGAACGCGCTGGACCTGGTCGTAAACAGCGCAAAGATGGAGTTCAAGGTGGTTTCGCAACACTTCTTCCCGAACTTGCCAATTTTTCATGCGGAAAATGCTTTGATGTCCAATGTGCTGATCGATTTCTACGAGTTCGACACGGTGTCCTCGCGCACAGCGAGCGGCCTCGAGCCACGCTACGACTCGATCATCACCTGTTCGCCGTTCGCGGTCAACGAGCAAGTCATCAAATTCTTCAACACTGGCGCAATCCGATTCTCTTTGCAGGCTTTCACAGTGCAGCAGCCAGGAATGCCGCCTGCGGGCGGGCCGCCCGTTCTCATCGGCGAGGCAACACTTCCTTTGGTGCATTTGTTGAACTGCACGCCTCTCGACCCAAACCCTATGGTGAGCGGCACATTGAAGTTCGTATCGAAGAAAGACCCGAACACGCCGATTGCGCATCTGGCCTACAAGATGAAATTGCGCTATTCGATCTTGGATTTGCTGCACAATTTCCAGCACCAACGCAACAAAGACGAGCTTGCACTCCAGATGGCACGGCCCGAGATGGACCCCGCTCTGCTCGATCAGGTACGCAGAATCAACATGATCACAGGCGGGAACCTGACGGGTTTCCCTTCTACTTATCAAAGAAATGAAGGCATGTTGGATCAACGTGATTATAGGGAACAGAATAGATTTTTTGATGATTTAGTGCAAAAAAATGAGGGTTTCGCAACTGCGGATGCTTTTTTGGAGGATTTAGAACGAAAAGAGTGGGACTCGGTGAAGCGTGTGGAGCAGAATTGCGTTTTGCGCCATGATCTTACTGCCGCTGACTCGTCCTCTTATACGGCTTCACCCTTGTCCATCTGGAAAGGGCTTGCAGGGATGGAGGGAGTGCACAGCGCAGACAATGTGGCTCCGGCGTCATCTGGCTCAGCGAGTCCTCTAGTCGTGAGCGATCTCGAGCTTGCTCAGAACACTTCTGCAAGATCAGGCGGCTTTGATGTAGCTGAAGCGAGGAGATCTAGCGAGAGGTTGCAAAGAATGCGAGAGTATCAGGCCAAGGAAGTAGTCCCTTCGCAGGTCGAACGCATAAGTGGCACAGGCGCCGGATTGGCTGGTAACACTGGCATTTCCGTTGGTGGGAGTTATATCGTTGCTGAATATCCACCTCCATCAAGAAGTGCTTCCAATAGTAGGCAAACGAATCGTGTCACCAATGTCGTATCAGCTACACATGGGCAAGTTTTGGACCTCCAGCATCCGCATGAAGACACCCTGCATCATGCGCGTTCCTTGCAAGATCGTGCTCTTCCCCTTGAAGGGGAAGCGGTGGATGCCGCCACTGTGCTGAAGGAGATCGAAGACTTGCTTAACTGGAAGCCACCGGATATAGAAACAGGGGATTCGGCTCTCTTGCGAAGGATAGACGCTGCGATCGGCGAGAAGAGCACTAATTCTGCGACAATTCAACACCATGACAAGAAGTATCCTGTCGATGTTTTCGGACTGAGAAAGATTCCGTTAACGAGCTACAGCAACTTAACACGGGATATGATTACTCGCTTCGACAGTCATGGTCCGGCCAAGTATTACGGAGACATTGATCACGAGTTGACATTGCTGCGAGAGCGACGCGAGCGCAACATCGCCTCGAAGGAGTTGCAGCTGCAAAAAGGCCTCGAAGGAAATGCAACTTCGACAGCCGGCGCTCTTACTTCTGTCATAACGAGAAATGTGAACAACAACAATCCTCGTGAAGAGCTCGCGAAGGATCCAGCAACATTTGTGCCCAATGCTTCTGCTATGACCAACGCCGAAGTTCTTCCGCCGCATCAAGCGTTTGGGGGTTATTTTCACATGTTTGGCGAAAGCCGCTTTTCTCCGCCAAGCAGATTCTTGGATGAGGAGGAGAAACAGGTCGCGCGCCAGTACGATCCGAATGCCACTCCTGCGCGACATGACGCTTTGCTACAATCGCTTCGTCGAGTAGAGCCCTACGGAGGCCTGCGGATCGACCCGGCTTGGCAAAGGAAGCCAGAAGGTGTTGAGAAAGACTACGAGACGGAGTTCTTCGACGTAGAGGAATGGCGCCGACAGCGCCGCGGGGCGAAAATTCAAGAACTAGAAGCCGAGCGAATCCGCCTGGATCAGCAGGCGGAGGCAGTGCGGCGTGAGTTTGAGGCTCGAGAGGCAGCAATAATTCAGGACATCTGTGATTCTGGATCACGTTCGGCCCGCGACGTGCCTGACATCGGATTTCAGACCCAAGGAAGCGAGGAAGCTGCAGTAGAGAGACCAGAGACACCAGAGGCCAGTAGGGCAGTCGAAGATGCGGTTGAATCCGTAGGGGCGATTGTAATCGAGAGAGCAGCTGTTCCATCTCGAGGTGTCTCTGATGTTGGGGCGACCGTCTCGCTGTGTGCAGCGCCTGTTGCGATACAACCGGCGACAGTGGTTGGGGTATCGCTTCCGGTTTCTGGCACCGGCGAGCAGGCTACAAAAATGGACAATGGGCCAGAAATGGAGCCCGTTCTTACCGCGAGCAGCGCTGCTGCACAAGCTCGTGCCGTGGCCGCAAGGGAAGAAGACCTCCGAAGCCATGAGCCTCTGGTGAGTTCAAACGGGGAGCCAGAGTCACAGGTGCGAACTCCCGTCACCGTCGTGGCAGCGAGCGGGCTAGAAGGCGACTCCGGTAGCGCACGAACAGCAGTCGAGGAAACCTCAACAACTGCAGCACCTGAAGAGGCCGTGGTTGAGGTTGTCGCACCCAGAGTTTTGAACGTGACGTCATCTCCTCAGCGTGAAGATGTCGGAGGTACGAATGGCGGGGCAGGGCGAGAAGACCGGGAACCAGAAGCAACGAGGGAATCCGTGCCGGAATGTCAGATACCTGCGGCAACGCCTGAGTCGGCGATTGAAGGGCAGGAGTCCGAGATAACTGATCTCACATTGAGTCTGAGCTTCTCGCAAACTGAGTGGACTGTATTAGAGCCCATACCTGTCGTTGCGCCGCCACACCCTGAGGAGGCGACGCCCGCTTTACTTGCTGCACAGGAGCGCAAAAGCCTTGTAGAGGCACCACGTGTCGTAGAGCTAGACAAGCCTGTTGTGGAGATTACGTGTAGTACAACCACGCTTTCTTTGTCGGAGAACATGAAACCTGCGAACGTTGACATGACACCAAGCACAGAAGCTGTTGCCACCGTGAGAGCTCGAAACGCTAAATGTGGCCCTTCCATAAAGCCAGTATCCGTCTTGCGATTGCCTACTAGATCTCTGGACGCCAGTGAGAGCAGCCCTCGCAGTCCGCGTACACCGCGCAAGCCGGACGATACTCCACGGATCATGCCTGATATCACACCGAATAATTTGAAGGACGCAAAAAAAGTCGAGAAGCCTGCCACGCAAAGTACAGCCGGTTTACCTTCATCAAGGAGAGCTGAAAGTCCACGGCCGCCGCCAATGCGCGTGCTGGCTCCCGTGACTGCACCGCCGCGTGTACCGCCGCTTCCGCTGCGCAGTTGCGAGGGGCTGGGGTTTCGCACGCCACGCGAGAAGACATCAGCGTCTGCGCTGGACTCCGTAAGAACTGTGGAGATTACACCGCGACGGTTGCAATCCGCTCGTGCAGGTGCGTCGGGGCGGTGGACTGAAACTGCGAAATGCGTGCAGCAGCAGCCGCAAACTGCAAACGAGTTTTTTCGACGCCGCACGCGCGAGCAATGGAGCGAGGAGGCAGCCATGATCGCCAGTCGCAACAGCTCCAGGAATGTCGAAAGTAGAAATACGAGTAGCCTTGTTGCGCAAAAAGAAGAAGGCGCGCGAGACGCTGCTGACGTTGGTGATGCAAGACGCAATTCAGCAACAGGAGTCACATCAGCATCAAGGAAGATATCAATGCTGAGCGGGAACAGCAAGGAAAATGCTTACAATTACGACGACCTGCCGTCGCCGCGGAGAGAGAATGCCAGGCGGAGCAACAGTGAGATGTGGTCAGAAGTGACACGCTACGTCGATGACCCAGAGTTCTCGCGTCAATATTTTCGCGAACGCGTCAGGGAAAACTGGGAATCGGAAGCGCAATTTCAGGAACGTTATAGTCCCCATTTGTCTCCAAGGACTCCACGGGATCAACCAACAACACGAAAAATTCTTGCCGAAGGCGAGGTAGCCGGGGATGCGACTCCAAAGGTTGAGCATTCGGAGAAGTCAGCATTGGTGGATTCAACACCGACAACTGATGCTTTACAAGAAGATCCATTAATTTCCGCGAAACAAGACCATCCCAGAAGTGCAGTTGCAGGAGCCTCCTTGACCTCGAGAAGTATTACCCCAGGTAAGGGCACGACTTCGTCGAGAGGGCAAGATAAAACGGACGAGACTCGAGGGGAAAATGCAGTTAACAGCGCCACTCCAAAAGTAGAAAAAGCAGGTGATTATACTACAAATCGAGGACATATTGAAGCGGAAGCAAGCAACATGACAGTGGATGCTCGTAAGCCCACAGCGCTGTCGCTTTCTCACGTCACCAAAGCTGGTGATTCTGTTACTGATATTCTCGGATCGCGCCAGGCCGAACTTGCGGAGAGTCAGGCGCAAAGGGAGGCGGTCGCCGCGGATGTCGCCGCGTTCGCAAAGAACTTAGAAGATTTGGCGTCTGAGAAAATTTACTTCGTTTAGCGAAGATAGAGCTTGAACATAGACGTCGTTATACACTTGGTATGAAACTTCCGTTGTTACACTTGCACAGACGCGGAGTAGTAATTGCATAGCTAGGGTCCTTGTACAAGAACAGCTTGTTCGATCGTTGAACATCATACATCATTGGGCCTGCGAAGATTAGAATGAATACTTATGAATACTTATCATGCTGTAGGTATATTTAACGTAGAGACTTGAAAACGTAAGATGTGGGAACTGCCCTAGTGGCATGTATAGAAAAGTTGGAAAGTCTCGTTCAAAATACAAGAGCAAAAAACACGAAATGAATACTCCCCTTCCATTATAAATATGAATTGAAAATGACTTACTTCGTCCTCTGCGTAAATTTGATTCTCTTGATTCATTGGGTGTTTCTCACTACGTAGCAAGTCGGTGTCTAAGTAATGTTGCTGTTGTCTTTGCTTATCGAGTGACGCAAAAACAAACACAACTAATAACACGCGATGAAAAAGGCATCTGCGAGCGTGGGAATATCATAGAAGTACAAGAACTGCACTGCCGTCCGTGTTTGCACAAGGAAGCACTGAGCAAGCGTTTCGGCGCCATTCATCTCTCATCCTTGTTGGATGAGCGCTGTGCTTCATATGAGAAGTGATCTGCACAACTACTACTAAGGAACCTCCAGCTTTCTACTACTGTACAACCACCAGCACTCGTTCCGTCTTCCAACACTACTCACTACCAACAGCAGTTGAATACTTGCAAGACTCTTCATCTTCGCTAAAGTTAACTACTTACCAATGCCACTCACTTCCCTCCCTTTACACTCAACTACCAATCCTACAGATTCAGCAGCTTTTCGTGCAGTTGTATCAATGTTCCGGTTTTACGAGGTTGCCGACCAATGTATTGGACAGCGGGCGCGTTTACTTACAGTACGAGGTGTCGGGGTACGAGCGGCCCATCGCGACCAAGGCCGTTCGGTTCACGAATATCGGGCAAGGGACATGCCGTTTCGACGAGGACCGACGAGTTCCCGTACGGGTCAACGATGCTTTTCTCATGTGGGTGGAGTCAGGACGCGGGCTCACCATCGCCCTATACGTCGAAGGCACGAGCATTATGGTAGGCGGTCGTGAAGCACGTGTCAACCTTAGCTTTTGTATTGAAGCACACTTAGCGCGAGTAGCCGCACTGCATTCGGAGTCAGTACTTCTGTTGAAAAATAGGGACATTAATCAACTAGAATCCTTTTCACGTTCATCTCTAATGTTTAGCAAAAGTTGGCTGAAGTCAGGATTCCTTTGCAGACGTTGCTGCGTGACTCAATGGCGGTCGTGCGTGGTAACTTCACTATGAAGAGTTCGCTTTCAGATCCACGGGCTGTCGCCATGGGCAGTGTCGACCTCGCGATCCGATGGGTGGACGTCGACCGCAGCAAGGTAGATCGCAACAAGTTGCAGAGAGGGAGTCAGCTATCCCAGGAAGCCTTGGATCAAGTGCTCGAGCGGCTTTCGCGACGCCTGCAGCAGCAGCGCCTCACTGCGCGGGCTTGGTTCACGAAGGCCGATCTCGATAAGGACGGGCTGCTGTCGATGCAGGAATTCACGCAAGAAGCTCTGAAAATGCCTTTGGGCATCGAGGCAGACGAGTTGAAGCAAGTGTTCTCGATGTTAGACAAGCAAAAGCGACGTTTTGTCAGTTTGATTGACTTCGAGACGGCGATTCGCGAGTCGGAGGCCAAGAACACGCCGCTGGAGCAGTGGCGTAAGGACTGTCTCCTACGTCTGGCCACGGCGTGCAAGTTTACGGCTTCAGTTTTTCTACATACAAGCTGATCAACTACTTACTTACATCATCTCGCCATCAGATTCAGCTCTGTGCGGCGTTGATTATCACGACTTCAATCACGTTCTATTTCTACACCGCCGCATTCTTTCAGGTATACCAGATTCAACATGCTTACTAGTCTCGTGCTCAAAAACAGCATCAGTCGGTCCCTTTCTGTTCTTCTTTCATTGTTCGGGCCGGCAAGGAGTGGAAGCAGGTCTTTTTCGCGAGCACGCGGGGCAATGTGCTTGCGCGCAAGGACTTCGAGACGCAGTTGTTGAATTTTTCGATTGGCGTGCGATCGGATCAAGTTAAGAAACTTTGGACGGTCTTTGACAGGGAGAATTCTGGTTATGTCCATTTCAACGAATTTGTAGATGGCTTCCAGAAGTGCATCGGGACGGGGGCACTCTCGACTACCGCGTTCGTTTCCCCGAAGGCACTGGAGTCGCCAACGACGGGCACAGCAGAGGTCGGCGACATGGGCCATGAATACTACTACGTGTGCCTCAACAGGATCCTGCGCAAGTGCAAAGTACATCATCTTCTAGCCTTCACAGATGAAGTATCATCTTCATTCATTCTCTCCTCAGGAATGCTTAGTTATGCTTTTGTGATAAAGTTTGTGCCACTTTTTGGATAAGTAATGAATTATGACAAGCTGATGCGCTATTTTTTTCACAGGATCGAGGTTACCCAGCAGCAGCAGCGGCATTCGCTGGCTTTGATGCGGATAAAGACGATAAACTCGGCAAGGGTGATATCAATCGTGCCTTCAAGGATTTGAATCTAGGATTCTCGGATGAAGAAATCGATATGCTCTTCGCTCGATTGGACGGGCGCAACACGAACATGGTAAGTCTCGATGAACTCCGGAATGCCTTCATGGAAGCAGAAATCAGCACCAACAGGCAGGTACTTGTTTCTTAGTCGTCCCTCAAGTGTTCATATTCACTGTTCACTGTTTCTGATTGACAAATTTCTTGAGCAGAGGTTATTTTTGCTGAACTGTTTTTTTTCAATCTTAATTTGGTAACAACTCTACTTCTTTCGCTTGAATTTCCATATCAGTTGATACTATGGACAGACGAGATTTTCCAGAAGTTGAAAGGAGCCATCGAGCGTTCTGGTAAGGCGGTTGAAGACGTGTACCAGGGCCTAACCGAGGGCAATCGCCGTGGTCTTGTGGAGGAAGGACCGTTCCTCAACCTCGCGAGGCGCATGAATCCCGGCATGTCCGATTATGTGAATCATGGACTACTTGCTCTTCTTCGGGATGAAGATCTTGTAGAGATGAGAAATAGCAACACAGGTTTCGTCGAGAAAAGGAACTATTTTGTAAGCACCAGACTACATTCACAAGTATCTATACATAGTAAGATCATCATCATCATCATCGTCATCGTCATCGTCTGGAACTTGAGCAAGAAGATCTTTTCTGTTCGTGAAAAGATGTTAATGTTTTCTTTCATATTCCAGAGGAGTTGAAACGTTTGTGGCAGGCGGTGGACAAAGGAAGCGACGGCTGTTTGATGCTCGACACGTTCAAGAATATGTTCGGCAAGAGTGAAGTTGACCAGTTGCTGAAGAGCGAAGCCGCAACCGAGGAATATTTCTCCATTCTGTTGGGTAAACTGTTCAACAAGCTGCTAACGAAGGGGTTCCGGACTACGAGGGAGGCATTTGACAGCTTCGATAATGACCGCGACGGAAAAATCACAAGGCAAGAGTTTGACGAAGGTTGCCGCAGACTTGGCGTTGGCGGAAGTTCAGATGAACGAATGCTTGTGTTCAGTCGGATCGACGATGACGGCAATAATGTGGTTTCCAGTGATGAGTTCCAGCGTGCAGTGGTGCGCGGGAGCCAGTACGACGGTGTGGAGCGTTGGGGTAAGGAGATCGTGCAGCGAATTGTCGTCGCGATTCAGCAGAGCGGAAAGTCGATTCGGGAAGTGTTTGAGGCACTAGGAAGCAACGCCCCAACCATCCTGATGGAGCACTTCAATAAGGTACTGCAGGCCTTTGATGAGTCCTTGTCGCCTTCGCAACTGAAACGACTCTGGCAGATGGCGGACAAGAACAACGATGGCAGCATCGATCTCACCGAATTCGAGGCGATGTTCGGTCCGAACAGTGTGCTGCTCGGGGGCGCGGGCGTAACATCGTCGTCTACCGCCAGCACTTCTGTGGGAGTGATAGCAGCTGCTACGACGAGTCAACCACCTCCACCGAATCCGTATCTTGCGGCAGCGGCGCCAAATGCGGCACCGGCTCCAGCGGTAACGACGAGCTTATCGCCAGCTGGCCCCATTCCAGTGGCCACGGCGCAGCGCGTCATGGATGCTGACGCAAACCGGCCGCAGCGTTCGTCGCCTGCCGTGGAGAACCAGAATCGCGCTTTCTGCCTCGTGAACCGCATGAGCCGCAGTTTGCAGGCTAAGAGCGCAACGGCTCATAACACGTTTGGCGTATACGCCATGGCGACGATTGGGCCGAACGCGGAGCCTGCAATTCCGATGGCCGACTGGCAGCACGCAGTTAGTAGAAGTGGACTGGGTCTCTCACTAGAAGAAGGCAATTGGTTGTTGAAGGAGCTCACACAAGGAGCGGCACCGCAAGACGTAGGGAAACTGTCGATGCCCTTACTTGACAACCTGTTGAAGACATCGCCCAAGCCGCAACAGGTCGAGAGTTGGGCGAAGCAGTGGCTCAAACAGGTTTCTTTCTGCTAGCAGTAGGTGGTCTTCACATTTTTATGTATCGCAATCGCATTCTCTAGAATTTTTATGTTCATGTGATTGAATGTGAATCGCTTTTCTCCCGTTTTTTCGTACCGCAATTCTGAATTTAGATTTACTCTTCATTCCAAATGTTCAGTTTGACATGGAGGCAACGCGGCGTGGTCATCGCCGCGGGCTGGTGAGTTCGATCGAAAGTTTTGGTTCTGCGCCTCTGCCGCTGGAAACCCTGCGAGCGGAAATATCGCGATTTGCTACGCGTGAGGCGGTACCTTTCTCGGACGAAGAGTGGTCCAAAGTGGCGATACTAGTAGACAAAGATCCAGACGGACGCGCATTGTGGGAACCCTTCCTGCAGTGGGCCGCAGGCACTGAGGTGGCTGATGCATCAGCAAACTCGTCAGGGACTCTTTTCGGTAACCCCGGGGTAGAGGAGCGGAAATTTAGCTCTACCGTAGTCGGGGGAACCAATGTTGGTTATCTGATGACCATCATCCGCGAAAAGTTAGCCCGACGAGGTGTGAGCACAAAGGAAATGTTCCTCAAGTGGACGAGTGGCCGCTCAGAGCAGGACTTAACGCAGGCAGAGTTCGTCTCCTGCCTGCAGTCCATGCCTCTGGGCCTCACGTCCAGCGAACGGGAGCAACTCTTCCTCTTTGTAGACACGAACGGCGACGGCCGCGTATCGTACGCTGAGTTTGAGAACGCACTAAGATATAGTGCCGACACGAACTTAGCAGCGGTGCAGGCCGACGAAAAGTGGGTCTACGACCTCTTTGCGCGCATCAAGACAAGTTTGCAGGCGACGGACACTTCCGGCGCTTCGCTAGACTTCTTGATACGCAACCTGTTCGACCGCATTGCCCAACAAGGCCCAGGATCCGGCTCCTCTTCCACTCTTAAGGCTAAGCTGAATGTAAGTATGACAGTGGGCCTAAAGATGAGAGGGAGCACATTAAATTCGGAGTGAAGCACATCTCTAACACTTCAAGCGCTCCTAGCAAGTGCATCGCAAAGGGATCGCTCTTCGGCACGATTCGACTGTTCGAACGCGATGCGAGCGACCAGCAGTTGGAGAAGCTGTTTGCTATGACGGACAAGGACGGCGACGGCAACGTCGAATTTGAAGAGTTTTTGGCTGCAGTACTAGGCAAAAAGGCAGTGCTTTCGAAGAATGTAGTCCACGAGGCGTACCAGAATTTATGACATAGTGTATAGGCATGCTGTGAACTAGTTCTTCTAAAGTAGATTCAAAGAATCGTAATCTACAACATATTCTCTGCAATGTCGGCGCAGTCCTAGATCAAATATTTGTAAAGCTCTAAAAAGTGTGTTGTCGACAATTGGAAACGCTGTTCCGGACCCTACCGCGCACACGCAGCAAGAGGAACCGAGCGCAGAGTTGAAAGTTGTTTTGAACGCGATCCGAGCGGCACTACCAGGTCTGAAAAAAACTATGCTTCAAGTGTGCCAGGTCTTCGACGCCGATGCGGACGGGCGATTACGGGAAAAAGAGGTGTATCAGATTTTTAACGCGTTCCCTGAGGGTGCTGTGCCAATTGAGACTGACAAACAGACGAAGAATGACGTCTTCATGATGCTCGTAGACTGTTTTCCAGGCAGGGACGTGCAACCAGGAGAAAACGTGAAGATCGGAGGCATGGAGCCAACTATCAGCACGAACCTGTGGAGTTTTGCGGTCGACCAATCCGGTGGGTCCAAGGAAGGCGGCACAGGGCCTGCTCAAGCGTCCCAAGTGGTCCCCGAATTGACCACACCGGAAATGTGCAAGCAGATAGTTGATGGGATTCTCGCGAAGCGTCAGGCGCGTGGTGCGATTGGCGGTAATTTGTATACTGTGAGTTTTCATCGTTTTTCGTGATAATTTTTCACCATGCTTGTTTATGGAAGAGTAGAAGAAATTCTTGATAGCATGTAATCGTTTGCTGGAACGCTCGTCCAGGTCCCGCCGGCATCTACGAGGAGCTTGCAGGTTTTGCACGAGGACAGGCCTTTTTAACAAAGCAACAATTCGTTGGTGCGGCGCTTACCGTGGCGCCGTCGCTTAAAGCAGACGTCATTGAAACCCGCTTCAGCACCCTTCCTTTGGATCCTGCAGGTCTCAACGTCGATATCCATCGATTTGTCGAAGCCTATAAGCCCTACGAGCCACCACCAGCCGACGCAGCGGGAGCGGGCATGCAGGGAGCCGGGTCCATGACTGCGGCGCCAGTTCAACCTGTTGCCGCAGCTGGCATGCCGCAACAGCCGATGGCATCTTCGCCTGGCGGCGGAGGCCTTGGTGCACCCTCACCAGGTCAACAGATGCCTTCGCCTGCGCAGACGGCTCCCGGTCTGCCCGCGACAGTTGCTGAAGTGAGCATTGACCCCACTACCTTCTTTTCCGACGTGATTTTGATGCAGTTGCGCGAGCTCACTGCGCGACAGGGTGCAGATATCACTTTCCGGCAACTGGACCCGCAAGGGCTCGGAGAATTAAGCCAGCAAATGCTCGAAGACGGCCTGCGCAATCTCGGCGTCGCGCTCTCGCCGCCGCAAGTGTTTGCCTTGTTCGAGCAGCTGAAGCAAGCCGGGCCGCCGCTCGGATTCGGGCCGCCGCAGATGAATCCTTTGGGCGGACCGCCGTTGCCTCCGCAGCCGATGCTGAAGATATCCGTCTCGCAGGCGGACTTTGCGGCCGCCTTTGGATGCGCGAACAAGAACACCGAGGCCTTCGTGTTTGTATTGCTGCGACGGGCGATGGAGATGGAGAACCGAAGCACACCGACAAGCCCGGAAGATGAGGCGATACTGAGGGCGCAGTTGTGGGCCAGGAGTTTTGGAGCCGAGAAACAGGACGTGACGCGGTATGAGGTCGAAAACTTCATCGCGAAGTACGACCTGACTCTGGCGAATGCGCAGAAAGACGTGCTGTGGGCGGTCTTGTGCGGCTCGCCTGGCGCGGATCGGCTTCCCAAGACCCGCTTCCTCCAAGCCCTCGAAGGGGTCGGCCTACCGACTGTGACCTACCACGACGTGAAACTGCTGACAAAACACCAGCTGAAGACCGCTATGACCGCTTTGGAAATATGGTTCGCGAGCAGCCAGCCACCGCCTGCATCACAACCTGGCATTCCACCCCAGCCTGTGCCACCACCAACGGCGCAGTCTGTAATGCCGCGACAGGACGTTATGCGCGTGCTGCGTTTCGCGCTTCCTGGTCTGACCCAGCGAAGCTTGGAGCACTTGATGCGATTGATGCCAGCACAAGGGGGAGTGACTGGAGCAAACTTGTTTTTTATGCGGTTCCGGGACAAGCTCCATGCTGCCATTGAGATGCAGAATGCAAAGGCGAAATTGCCAGCGCCCTTTGACAAGCAAGTGGTGCTGCCAGCGGCGCAGTACTTGAAGCAGATGCTGGAGAAGCGGAAGCTTAAGAGCATGCATGAAGCGTTCGCGCAGTGCTTTCCGAGTGCGGCCCCTGAGCTGCAAAAGGGTGCCAATGCGCGTGAGGCGCGTGTGCCTTTTCGCGACCTGGGTCCGAGTTTGCAGCGTGTCCTAGGACTCTCGCCGCAAGACTTAACCAACATGCTGCAAAATGAGGCGACGAGCGTACTGCCACTCACTCTGTGCGACCTGGACGCACAGGTGCTGGACGTGGTGGAGCTGGCACAAAGGCTGGACAAACTCGCTGGGCTCTCGCGCGGCGGTCTTGGCGCGCAAACGGATCCTAACAAGGCGGTGCGCGCCCCCCCGGGAGGCGAGCTGTCGCCTCTTGTGGACCTACTCTCTTTGCAGCAACAAAACGCATTGGTGTATGACCTGGAAGCATACCTCGTTGAGAGCAACAAGACGGTGGCCAGAAGCGGTGGCGCGCAGCAACCGCGCGAGGGCGTAAGCTGCGAAAAGATTTTCCAGTCTATGCAGTCCTCATCGCTGGTAGCGAAGACCCTGTCCCCGCAGGAGAAACTACAAGTGCAGGCGTTTTTGCAGGCTGAATCCGCGTTGGCGGACAGCGCAGCCTTTGCAGCTCTCTTCGCGTTCTCGGTGCAGATTGAGCGCATGAGCATGAAGCAAGCAGGCGCCAAGGAGGCAGCATGGCGTGGTTTCGTCTTGCGAGTACGATATGCTGGCTACACCGTACAATTGCCCAGATTTGAACTCCCCAAGGTGGCGGGTTTCTTCAAGAAGGCGGAGATTCAGCCTGCTAATTGGCGCCAGTCGGCCGAGTTTCTACTCGACGGCATGCACAAGCTCTCCTCCTCGGATATCAAGAAAAACATGGACCCTAACGCGCCCGATCCGCTGACGCTCGAACTCTTTGGTGAAGCAGCCGGAAACGAGCCTGCTGGACCGGGAACGATTTCCGGTCCGCACGGGCAACAGTACCAGCCGCTGGGAAGCTTTTCCTTTCGTTTGGGACAGGAGCCTTGGATGCCGGGGCGCGATCTTCGCGGTGTGGATGCGAAGATCAGCTACGTTGACCCGCAGACACGGAAACCACTCTTCGAGTTTTCGTTTGCTGTGTCCACTCGCAATGCTGGGCGTCTGCTCGAAGCGTTGTCGAAGCCCGAGAACTCGTGGGCAGTGCAGGAGTTTGCCAAAAACGCGTTTGGTCGTGTGATCGAGAAGCGACAGAAAGAGAGTCGACCGATTTTCTTCTCCCAGGGCGTTGCAGAGGAGGTGAAAGCGTTCAGCCAGCGGCGAGATGACGCTTTGTTACAACCGGAATTTCAGAAGTTCATGGAACGCTACGCTGATGCGACGCTTGCTCGCAACCCAGTGTTAATGGACTGTCTGTTCAAAGCGGCGTACCGCGTCAGTGGTCAAGACATGCTGGAGGCTGAGCGTGGTATTCGACCGGCGAGTGGTGGACCTACCGTCCCTGGTGCAGGATCTCCAGGCGTAGTGCCAGGTAGCGGAAATCTGACCGCTGCAGGTATGCAGGGAGCGGATCCGTCAGCGCAGCTGCCACCGCTGCGTGTGCCAATCGAAGAGTTCGCACGCGTGTACTTCGAGCACCGCGAAGGCGGTAGGAAGCACGCAGATTTCGGTGCTGAGGACCAGGTGTTGAGCGTCGATTCGATTGATCCGATTCTGTACGACATGCTGATGGCAGAGATTCGCTTCCGCATTATGATGAAACGGCAAACGCTCTCGGCGCTGTTCCGCGAGATGGATACCAGTGGAGATGGGTCCCTAGACGTGGACGAGCTCTTCGACGCCTTCAAGAAAACGTTGCAGAGCGAGTTCTCAAGGGATCAAGTGCGTATGCTGCACAATTTCATGGCGGGTGGAGCCGGAAAGTCCATCTCGGAGACCCATTTTGTGGAGTTGTTCGGACGTATGAGCCCAATTCTAGATAGCTACCTGTTCTTGATGCTGCGTCGCATTGCCTACCACATCCAGCAGAACCAGAGCGCGACTTACAGCATCGAGATGCTGTGGCGCAGTATTCCTCGGCAGAGTGGCGACCCCACGAAGTTGTACAAGAACGAGTTCTTAAGCTTTGTGCACGAGAACTACGACTGCACTTTGACGACGCAGCAGATGGACCGGCTCTGGCTGCTTGTGGACCGCGAACGCAGGCAATTTTTGGATCAGGCGATGTTCGCGAAGATTCTCTCTCCGCCCGTGCCCGTGCACCGCTTCGAGGATCTGCAGCAGGTGATTACCACCATGAGCGCGAAGCGCATTGGCGGATTGCTCAAGATGTTCGAGCATCTGGACCTACGAAAAAAGCGGGAAGTGACGCGAAACGAGTTTTGTTTAGCGCTGAAACTTGCGATGCCGGTCGAGTTGGGTGGCGAGGTGGAATTGAGCCAGGTTCTGCGTCTAGCGCCCACGACCAAGGGTGGCCCAATGGATCCCTACCAGATGTACAATTACCACGAATTTCTGCAGAAATTGGAGCAAAAGGTGGATGCTTCGCGCGGACCGCTGGACGATGCCAAAAAGCTCCTGATTTTGAAGTCCGTGCAAGACGTTCAGGGGATCTTGGACCGGAAAAACGTGGATTCAATGCTAAAACTCGTCCAAGACATCGCTACCGAAGCTGCGCGCGAACAAAACTTGCCAACCGTGGTGTACCAGCGTGTTGACTGTGAGGCGCTCGTCCGGCACGTGCGTGCGCGACTTGAGCTCTCAGGTCAAGAAGTTGCGGACTACCTCACCGGCGACAAGGCTTCGCTCCTGTATCTTGGAACAATTTCGAGCGATCCGGCCACTGGGCGACGCGTCGTTGACGTGGCGGAGTTGGCGGCGAGATTCGACCAATTGCGGGCTGAAGAAACCCATCTGGTAGCGCGAACGCAACAACGGGCTTCCACGTCGAAAGGGGAGGCGGGGGCGGACCAAGTGACTAGCGCTAAGCGCGATAAGGCGTTCCGTGCGATAGACTACAGCGACGGGCGGTTGCAGTTCTGCCCGATCCGATTGCCAGTCGAGAAGCAGACGGAGCTTTGTGAAGTGTTCGAGGTTCGGTACAAGGATGGCTTGATCCCCTTTGACCGATTGAGCAGTCTGATGGTGGAGCTGCAGGCTGGCATAATGCGGTCCGAGCTCGACCAGTTGCAGCGGTGGACGCAGAGCAGTTTGGCGGCGCAGCAAGCAGCGGGTTCGGCGGCAGGCGGGCGACTATTCTACCCCCAAATGACTTGTTTTACCGTCATGTTGGAGAAGGTGAGTGTGCGATGGCCGCCCAACGTGGGCGGGCAGGGTGGTGGCCGGGAACCACCATTCTCGCAGTTCCGGTTCCACATTGGCTTCGGGCAGCAATTGGTGCCTCTGAACGGCTTCGCACCTCCGAAGCAACAGAAATCGTTTATGACGAGCTCTGCCGCCGCCGCCAAGGTCACTATGCCACCGGACTGGTTTCAGGCCGCTCAATACTACCTCGACGGTCCAGAGCGCGTGCCGCTTCGCAGGGTCGTCGCAGCCACGCAAGGCGCTGCCTCGTCCGAAGACATGCTTACCTTGTTCCTTTATGGCATAGACGCGAGCACGAGTCAGTGGGTGCCACTTGCAAAGTCGGAAATCGCTTACGGGTCCGCGGATTGGCCGCAGGGACGAGACGTCAGTGTTCCCAGTAAGACGATGGACGTGCAGCTTCCGGGACCGCGGGGCTCAATGGGGTCGATTCAATTAGAATTTGCAATCTCCACTCAAAATGCTGCGCGGCTCACAGCGATGGTTGACGAGCACTACAATTTAAGGAAAAGCGAGAGTAGTATCCATTACATACTAACTTAGTGGTACTGGATCAATATGCTTAAGTTGATACATAGCAAGGTACACATACAAGATGGTTTTCAAAGTTTGGTTCGCCATTGTTCTACTTCTACTTCTAAGAAAAATCGTTTTGAATAGATTGCGCATGAAGATTGCGGAGGGTGCGCGGCCGTTGTTGGACGTGGTTAAGATGTACGACCAGGACAATTCAGGCTCCATTGACCGACAGGAATGTGACAAAGTTTTATCCTCGTTCCCGATGCAAATCGACGCGGAAGAGCGGGAAGCGGTCTTTACGCGTCTTGCAGGCACGAAGAAGGAGATTCCGATAGCGGACTTCGTAGATGTGATAGCGCAGTCGAAAGACCTCGTTACTAGTGGTCCAGAGTGGGCCGTCATCGAGGGGGGACGCATGCTTCGAAAATTCATTCCTGAGTACTTCACTTTGTGAATCTATTCAATAATGATTTATTTCATTGGTTATGCCCGGTTTTTGATGTCACCATGACCATGACCATCTTCATTGGAAGAATGTGCGCAGAAGAAGGCATGACTGTAGACCCAATTACGATGTGCAAAAAATCTTGTAGGGCTGAGCGTCGCAAGGCGACTCTGGCGCAGACGAATCCGGCGGTGAGAATAGAAGAGGCAGTGCAAGAGGTTTTACTTGATTTCAGCAGGGCTCAACCGCGGACCAAAGGACTGCTAGCAGAGGATGAATTTGCTGCCGCACTTGCTGCTTTTGGATACACTGATATGCTGAATATGACGCGCGTCTTGGCTCACACTGCGAAGGATCGACAGGGTATAATTACAATTTGTCACAAACAGTGGCAGATTAAAAATATTCTCGAAAAAATTACTGCCGTGCGGTCTTGTATTTTCAATTTTATGATGGACACGAGACGTGCTGGAATTTTAACGATGCATCTTTGTGTGACATAAATACTCAAATACGACGCCACAAATCAACCCCAGGTAAAGTGACTGTTTCCGCCTTCGTCACCAAATGCTATGCCCCGGCAGCCGGTGCTTCTGTAACTCCACGCGCCTCGAAGCAGTTCACTCAAGCAGCAGCAGATCCCATGGTTCCTGATGCTGAGCTCTTCGTAGATACCCTTTCCTTCTACTTCTTCACGACACTGCGCGATCAGAGGCAAAACCTAGACTCGCTCATGCGTACTCGAGGATATTCTATGACTTTATTGGCTAGAATTGTTGTTCTTGGGTAGTGTAATACCGTTTCGAGCTAGAGCCTGTGGAGCGAGTATAAGCATTCGATCACTTGCGGACTTCAGGGATTTTCAGACCATGCATGGATGACATTGCCAAGCAATATTAGATCTTGTTACTTCACATTGAAGAAAAGGAAGAATATCACAAATTTCGCGTCATGTAAATTATAGGTGCTTTCCCGACGAGCATGCAATTAGGGGAGAACGAATTAGCCACTGGATTCCGCAATTTGGGTCTTAGTGCAGCTGCCTCGAGCCTGTGTCTGCAGAAGATGCTGCAACTCGGAGTGGCGTCTACCGTACCCCAGTTCCGGCAAACGTTCTTTGAGTCGCGTGGTGTAGGTCAGTTTCCTCCGGGAGTGGCGAAACCCGCTTCGGCCACGTTTTTTGAGGCGTACTACCGCAACGCGATCCAGTATGTTGCAGACTCGATGGTGCGCGAGTTCGGCACTGTCGACAACGCCTTTGCGCAGCACGCAAAGGCGGGCGTGCTTGAGCATTTTGCATTTAAGTCTCTGGTAACCCGCTACGAGCAATTGCTGAACGAAAGGCAACTGACTGAAATGTGGAGCCTCATCTTGCTCTCCGTACCACAACAATCCAGCCGTATGTCGCAACAGCAACCGCAAAGAACGTTTCTAGATTTCGAGGCGTTTCGGCAGGTATTTGTGCCGCCGGTGGCGCTGCCTCCGAGTTTTGAAACTTGGGTTCCGAACTTCATGAAGTCAAATCTCGCGATGAAGCTGAACGTGTTGAAGCCGCGTTTTAAGTCGGTGGATTGCGAACAACGCGGAACGGTCGACCGTCGATTGTTCATCGCCGTTCTACAGACGGTTGCATCTCAAGACCTAACAGGAGCTGGCGCACAGCAGACACTGTCGCAGGTAGAGGCGCTGCAAGTTGCGAGATTTGCACCTCTGGAACGCTCCCCTAATCCGGCAGACGCGCAACAGCAACCACTTCTATGGGAATGCATTTGAGTGTTGTACTGAAAAAAGTTCTTTGAAGAAAATACGATTCAGTCTAATGCTGCCTAGTTGTACTTGTAGTACTTAGAAGCGTTTTCTGGTAAAACAAACATCTTAGGGACGTCGTGAAGCATGTACGATGTCGACCTGAAGTACAGTTTGATTTTGTTTTCTAAGACGTGTTCCTGTGGTGCCCAACTACGGTCGCTTTTGCCAGATGGTGGCGGAAGAGGAGACTTTCACGCATCCAGTGCTGGATTTAAACCAACGGGAGCGGCTTCGCAGTAACTGTTTGCGCATGCAGAAATTGTTGGAGGAGAAGCAAATCCGGGACTTTGCGACGCTGCTCGCACAAATTTCTCCTCCAGGCGCGAGCGTGGCGCCCAAAGGGCAGTTATTCCAGGCACTCATGGCGGCATTGTCCCTCTCGCCCCCCGAGGCCCAGGAATTGCTCGCGGACCCACTGATCGGTCTCCTACACGCGCTGCCTTTCGTGACGTTAGCGGACGAAGTGTTGTTGCAGGATCTGAGCCAGAAGTTCGATGCTATGCGCGGGGTCACCAGTCTCACGGTCGACGGAGACCAGAGCGGTTTGGGACGCTTTCGCGACAATGTGAGTGAGTTCGACCGAAAGCTGCCAAACGTGATTCCGCAGCTCGCGCAGCAACTGCACATTGCGCAGGGACTGGCAGCGGACTATCCTGGTGGTCTGGTGCCCTTCCACAAGTTGCAGCGCCTCGTGGAGACTTCGACGGGCGGCGGGGAACTACCGCTCGCGGACCAGCAAGGATTGATGAAGTGGTTGGGGTGCGACTCCATTCAGGCAGTGGTGAGATACGCGCCTCTGTTAGCGTTTGCGGTTACCGTTCGAAACTTTCACATCAAGTACAACCCTGAAAGCAGGCTGCAACAGCAATTTCGAAACTTACGCTTGCAGATCACTTTCTGTAACTGCCGAATAACCGGGACCGCGTTCGGAATCGCAACTGCGAAAAGGTAGAGTTGTTTTTTGAATTGTGAGAATATTTGGGAAAAATCGTTCTTTTCCGCTAACGTTTATATCTTGGTCGAAGTACCAGGTCGGAGATTCAACTCTTATATTGGCTCTTCATGATTCTAATCCTGCAGTTCCGCTGGCGTGTTTAATCGAGACATTCCATCGACAACAATTGATCCGAACGCGTGGAGCAGAGTAGATTTCTTTGTGGACGGGCCAAAGCGACTGTCAGTTGATGACCTGAAAAAAGCGTTAGCGGTCGACGGCCCGGAGTCTCACTTGCTGACTATCGAGGTCCAGGGAGAGCAAGCGTTCGGACCGCCCGCCAACTGGGTTACGATTGCTCGGGTGGCCTACAGGTACTTACATTTCAGAACACCAATACATAGTAGTTGATACAAGTAGATATTCTAAAAGGCACCAGAACGAGGGATCAAGATAAATCGTTCGTGTTCATAGGGGTCGATGTTTTTGTTCTCTGTCTGGTTTCAACGTTGTGTTTGTATGACAAAAATTTTATACGGAAAAAAATAGGTATCGATCGTCAGAGTGGCCCAGTGGTCGCGAGCTCGACAGGAAAAAGGAGATTTTGGAAGTCAATCTTGGGGTTGAAGCACAGCGCAGTAAGGTTAAGGCTTCTTTCAGTACTGTGTTTCTTCATTTGGAACTTCCTTCATCAGAGAGCTAGGACTACTGCATTGATTTGAAACTTGAACTTTTCTCAAGGGTAGGACTACAATACTGCAGGCTTGAACTCTTTTCTGATGAAAAAAGAGTTTCTCGAGAGCATTTAGTCACGTTTCTTGTCTTTACACATGGACAAGTTATTGGTAAATCTTCTAAGAACGGCAAACTGAGTTTCGTGTTCGACGTAGCGACGCAGAATTTGCCTCGGTGCGAGCACTTCGTTCAAACGGGTGGAAACCACACTCCTCGTACACCCCGAGCAGCGTCGCTTACCATGCTACCAAGTGCGTCCGCAGCTCCAAGTGTCGGAGCACCCACGCAGGCACCGGCAGCTTCCACCGTCGCGGCACCCATGCAGGCGTCGACAGGACCCACTGGCCAGGAGAGTCTTGTTATCAACCACATGCAAGCAAGTGTGCCACTGCAGCCACAGCAACAGCAGATATCGCAGCCTCCGCAGCCGGCGGCACAAGCGGTGCAGCAGCAGCAAGTTTCGACAATAGATGTGCCGCAACAGCAACCGTTTCAACCACAACAGCAACTCCCACCATTCGCTCAGCCGCAAGCTCCGCAGCCGCAGTTTAACACGCCACAGCAGCAAGTGCTGCAACTACAACAACAACAACAACAACAACAACAGTTTGATATGCCGCAGCAGCAACCACCGCAACCACAACAGCAGCAGCTCAATATGCCGCAGCAGCAACCGCAATTCAGTATGAAGCAGCAGCAAACACCACAACCGCAGCAGCCGCAGTATGGCATGCCTCAACAGCAAGCGCCACAACCGCAGTATAACATGCCTCAACAGCAAGCGCCACAACCGCAGTATAACATGCCTCAGCAGCAAGCGCTACAAGCGCAGTATAATATGCCGCAGATGCAAGCACAACCTCAGTTCAATATGCCGCAGCAGCAAGCGCCACAACCGCAGTTCAATATGCCGCCGCAGCAAGCGCCACAACCGCAGTTTAACATGCAGCAGCAGCAGCAGCAAGCGCCACAGCCACAGTTTAACATGCAGCAGCAGCAGCAAGTGGCGCCACCTCAGCCGGCGACATTCCAGCAGCAGCAACAGCAAATGGCGCCACCTCAACCACTGATCCAGCAGCAACAGCAAATGGCGCCACCTCAACCACTGATCGAGCGGCAACAGCAAATGGCGCCGCCTCAACAACCGATCCAGCAGCAGCAGCAGCAGCCACTTCCGCCGCAGCAGGCACCGTCATATTCGGTGCCGCCGAGTGTGCAGCCGGCAAGTGCGCAACCGCAGCAGCAACCAACAAGCGCTGCCCCACAAAGCTCTACTGATACGGCTCCAAAGGAGGAGACTAAGGTGCAATTAGCTGCGGAAGAAGAAGAGTACGCGGATTTCTCGGACTGACATCGCGACTGCTTGTACAACAGCTAAGTACTTTGTTCTTGTAAAATAGAGATTGGGCTCGCCCATTATGAAATAATAGTTTGTTTGTTTTTATGATCATGGTAAGTACTCTTTTGTTGGCTACGTACTGTTGGAAATAGCATGCTTTGATATTGTACTACTAGTCATACATCATGCAGCGATGACGGCGCATCAATGCAGAGAGACAATATTGAGTATCTGACCTGGTCGACGGTCACCATCTTTTTTGTTCCGATTACAGATACTACTTATCTAGGAAATGTAACCTGTTTTTGACGAAAATCTAAAATCACAATGAAACACTGATGCTGTGACGGATTTCTCTCGGGGATCCGAGTCTAGGTGTATTGCCTGAACTTTTTTTTTGATAGATTCATTCACGCAAGGGAAGCAAGCTTTCAGGGCGGCTCAGGATATAGATGGATGTAACTTTGTCCGTTGAATGATTCATCCTTTCCTCATCATCACGAAAACAACATTTGACGCGGCACTCCTCGGGCTCATTTAGTTGTTGTAGAAGTACCGTAGCGGGCTTCTAGAACAGTCGGTAACCTAAGTAGACGGTTTCTGGCGTGCAATAGGGCAAAAGATTTTCATGGGTTTTTATCAGGAGTAGGTAAATTATAGTGTTTTTTTACATCTTTTACTTTAGTTCTTTCCTCGATCGTTGTTCGTTCTCTTTGCGTTGGGAGACTTGTATTTTTTTGATACATGGTTCCGTGCGGAATGTTATGCCTTAATTCATCAAGTTGATGTTTGTTTTTTTGTAGCTATCGTCGTGTTTCATCTTATGAAAAGAGAATTCAAAAGGTCAAATACAAATATATCTAGTTACCTTGGAATGTTTTATCTATTCCTGTAACCACGTTGGATCATCTTTGACGACCGCAATGCATGGGAAAGGGGAGCACTGCTGGTATGGGCTGCGGAGAGGTTGGGGAATCAATATAGAGCGACGACTTTCCTCAGAGATTGTTCTCTTGAAGAAATGAATATCAAAATTATGAATTGCCGGGAGAAAATTAGACGCTGGCTCGTCGCAAACGACAGTGTCCCTAATTCTAATTCTAATTGCATTGATTGAAACACTTATCGTGGGTCACGACATGCGTCTACCTGGTGGAAACTTTGCGCTTGTGAACTCTTATTCGATGATGCTGGGGTATCATGCTATGCATCTAGTATGATTGATCTTGACTGCGGTGCTTGGCGGTCGTTCTTGTCAATGTTGAATTCTTGTTGTTGTCTGCTACTGCCATTATTCTACAACGAACTTCAACTTCCTTGCGTCACCTAGACGAAGATGCTGCAGGCGCATACTATGCATTAGTGGATCAACAAGTTAGAGACTCAAATACGATCATGTTCAACAAAATGATCAAAAATCGGTCAGGCCTATGTTCTCGCAATGGAGCCGCCCCGTCCATGCTTGGGAAACAACTAAGAGAGTAAGAACTGCTTGATGATGATGACTCACTCGACCTGATGCCCACTCGGTTTCTCGAGAGTCAGCCTCATTTTGGAGATATCGATTCGTACACCTGCTGATGTATGGAGACGGTTAATTTCATCTTTTGGATGAGGATCATGTAAGTTCTACACGTTGGTCTGTTTATTTCGTAGTCGGGCGAAAGCACGATACGCATGGATCACATCTTTGTTCCGCTGATCCCTCAAAAACAAATTGTATTTCGATGTGAACTCTTCCAGAAACAGTATCCGTCCGTTGACGACCCAGGAGCTACCCTATGCCTCCACACCCACTCAATATAATCTGCATCTGGGATACAGTAAAAATGTTGAGATAAAGGCTACTCGTCTAAGCGTAGCTTGTATGCGGTATGATCATAATGTAGAACCTCTTGATGTAGGGCAATGGTCAATCCAAACTTAAGCAGATCACTACAACAAATGGCATGCATTTAGATTGACAAACTTCTAAGAACTGTAGTGTTGTAGGTTGTGGGATTCTGGATCAGTACCTAAGAGCTACGTAGTAGAGGCACAGCGGAGTAGTAGATTGCGACGCAGCTCACGGAGGACACATGGAGTCTGGAACGATGATGTTGCTGATCCTCTAGCAGTGAAGACCTCGTATTCGGAGCGGTACAGTAAGAGGGACTATTTTGGTATCAGCGAAGAAGACACTTTCGACGCGGAAAGATGCTGTAAAAAAGAAGTCTTAGAAGATACAGATACTTAATTCTGATTTACTCCTTGGTTTCTACAACTACAACAAGCAAGGATAGTAACCTCAAGACTTGAAGAACTCGTGGCGAGATGCTATATCCAAACAAACTTCTACATCACGAGGATCTACTAAATGATTTTTCAATTGTCCTAGGTATTTTTATGGGGAAGGTGACGAAAATGATCCTCTCCATGAGGACGAAGAACCAGCAAAGCTTGTTATTGAAGGAATACAGCCTGAGTACGAGATTCCGATGGTGCAGAGCGTTTTAATGTGCGCTTGTGCGTCCTTCCAGTATCTTTGTGCCTTGCTGCATAGCTGTTTGCCGATCATTCGCGTTTGCGAGTTGGGATACGGTACTCCCCCAGCTGAGAACGAGGAGATTGGAGATCAGGAGAAAGCTCGGTCGATGGTCATGCTGGTAATCCGAAATCACTAGAACTACCAGAATGAATTTATGCTTGTTGCCTAGAAGCACTACTAGTACTATGAATACTAGATTTACTACTCAATGTAGGTTTTTATCCGCATTTTTTACGATTTCTTTTTTCTTGACCAAAAAAACACCGAACACCCAGATCATTATTTTGGTTCTCATGCTGCTCTCCGCCTTGATTTGCAACGCGATGTTATGACAGAGGAAAATCAGTACTGCAGAATGCAAGCGACCCTAATGCAAATAAAGAGCAGACTCTCAACAAATAATATGCATTCATACAACTTAAAGTTAGAATTTGTTAGCAACGCCGCTTCCGAGGATTTGCTTTGAATGGACGAGGGAGAGTATTGAATTTTTTTCCTCTCATGGCTCTCTGGCTGCTGCCTTTGTCTTGCTTGTCTGAGGGTGCATTTAGTGGGAGAAAGTAAATCGAGCAAGGTCGCCGGTTGGACGGCGGTAATTGTGAATGCTGTAGTTGTGTGCCTTAAGATTTGGACAACACCATTGTTCACTTTGTTCCTCTGCTTTGTTCTTGTTATCTTTGACAAGATTATATGTCAGATAGTCTTCTTCATGTGAAGAAGAACGAGATGAAACAATCGAGTACACCTTGAAAAATCATTTGCGTAACTAATGCAGGAATCATAAGAAAATCACTTGGACAAGAAGATGCATGGCGCATCATCTTTGTCTTCATCTTCAAGCAACATGTTTTCATATTATTACCTCTAATGGCCTGGCTGCTGTGCGGTGGTGGTGCATGGGGAGCCAACATGAGATGCCGGAAAGTTGGTATCACCGCTCGCATCATTATACATCTGGTGTAGTTTTCAGAGAGTGAGTCTACATTTCGATTGTTGTTGATGAGAATGAATCTTTTATATTGTTGCACGCCTGAATCAGGAGTCATATTTTCTTTGTCTACAACAGCGGGATTGGCAGAAAAGAGTCGATCGGCTTTATGGTTGTCACGCTCCCTTCGGTTTTTGCCCTAGGGGGTTTGCTTGTGGTGGAGATGTTGTTCGGCAGATATAAATATCTGAACGCGAGAGGTAGCGGCGAAGAATCTAGCCCCGCGAGGGCGAGGAGTAGAAGCCGAAGTCCATCTGGCGCCGCGGTGGCGCGCAGTACGGATCGAAAAACTATTCCCGCTGTTTCACAGAGTTCAAACGGAAAAAAGAGCTCGAGATATGGTGGCCGAAGCATCATTCTCCCGGGGATGGAGACTAGCGGCGAACAAGCTGTGGTCGCCGAGTCGCGGGCTAGCGGCGAGAGAGCTCCTAGCCGCGTGGGATCGAGGGTTAGCGGCGAAAAAGTTGGCAGTGCCGGCGAAAAAATTGGCAGTTACGGCTCCACGGGGAGGGAGACTGCACAACCTTCTTGAGCGAGCACAACGCTTGGATATTTTTGTCCCGAAATATAGTTCCCTGCTCCTCCTGTTTCTCATGTGGCAGCTTTCTTGATCCTCCTGTCGTTCTACTTGGTCTTCGTCCACTGGAGACATCTGCACTTGCTAGTAGCCGCTACGAAGAATCCCTTCTAGTGCGATAACGAACATGCAGCAGATGGGCTCACGAAAAGGTCATGACTGCTCGTCATATTTACGCGGACGTTTCGAGCCAGAGTCTCGATGTGTATATCTGCTTTCGTCGGCGCTTCTGTCCCTAAACGCTTTTTTCTGGACGACAGTGCACATGCTGTTGTGCAGAGGTAGCTGTTGATGCTGTCGTGTAGAAAAGACAGAGGGTACAGCTGGGCTTAAAAACTAATTCACTGTTCTCTCCTAGAAGTTTACAAGCTGTAAATCTAATACTATAATGCTTCGTTTCTTAACTGTCCTCTCCCTGCTTTATCCTTGTCTTTCCCCCGTGAAGATGCGGATGCGCATATACGATATACTTCCTTCTCCTTGTACCAATACAACTTAATATGAATCAAGAAAAGCATCATCATCAAGAATCATATCATATCAAAGCAATTATTCTGCCCCGCCAACTACTCGCTGTGCTTGGTGTGAACCGAATCAAGCATCCCCCGCATGCAAAAAAGAACAATTACACCGACCATAGTACGCATGATAACGACGTCAGTGCTATAATTTCAAAAAAAGTAGAGGTAGACAGAGTCATGCATGATACATAAAAATCTACATTGTCAATGACGGTACTCTGCGTAATTCATAGCGTTATTAGGAACTTTTCTGGAAGATCCTTTTTGTCGGTACGGCTATTCATCGGCAATGGAACATCAAGGAAGCCACGTTGTAAAGTTGTTTGTATACCATGTTGATCATCGACAAACCATAAGAAACCAGAATCTCCATCACGCATAGAAGTCATATTTGAATTGCGTCTTCTTGACAGTCGTGCCCAAAGCAAATAAGATGGATTTGTACCTACGGTGGAAACCAAGAAGATCAACAATCACCGTGTGGTGCTGCGGAATCACAGCCTAAAAGCGTCTCCGACGTTTTAATCCGTTGGTTGCTTAAAAGTGAAAATGTAGGTACGTGGTGTCTCTACCAATCTCGGTTCATGCACAGCATCTGTGATGAAGTAGCTTGTAAGCAGGAGCTTCTTTGGATCCCTTCGGGCGCTGTGCCATAAAAGCGAAGGTCTGGTCGCTGTCCTAAAAACGTCGAATTCGAATAAACGCACTCATTTCGCAAGGAACAAGCGGGTCATGTTGAACAAGTGGACAGGAGTGAGTTTCTGCGTCGACGCTTGGCATATTTATATTCATTCACCTTTCATTCTGGCCTTCATTCAATGTGATGAGAAGGAAGTAACATCAAAGTAGTTTCCATTGTTCCGTGTGACGTGTTTGACTTTATTCGATTGCGGAAGAACTAACAGTTGTTGTTTCCCGTATTTACTAAAGAGTGACACTGATGTGAAAAAATGCCGCGTTCGCGTTCTAAAAGTCCTAAGCAAGGTCGTGGGTCTTCAGCTGTGTCAGACGCGAGAAAGCGCACGGCGACTCCTGGTTCCGTGGCACGAAAACGAAAAGCTGCACACGCGCTCGTCCTCAAAGCCGAGCGGAGTAGCGCGCCTTCAGAGGGCAGCAGTAGAGGCGCCAGTAGCGGGCGAAGATCAAAGAGTGCAGTGCGCGGAACCAAAAAGAAAGTTGGCGAAAAGCAGGAGGCTAGCTCATTTGGGAGGCTAATGAGTCATTTCTTTGGTTCTACCCCCGGAGGAGGTACTACCGCAATAAAGGAACGGTCAACTTCAAAAGGTTCAGAACAAGATGAATTGCGAGCTGTCGCGGACGGCGAAGCCGCCGCCGAAGACCTGGAAAGTGGACAGCTGCTGGAAAATGGGGCATCGAAAAAGCGACGATCATCAATGAGTCGCAAGGCCGCCGAGACCCGAAAATCCAGTACTCCGAATCTGACAGGCGACTTTGGAAATATCATCATCTTACGGAAAGTCAACATACTAAGTAATCGCCGATGGCTGACATGTAATATAAACTACTAGCTTAGATCTGTCTCTTGAGTGATGCAGACGATGGATTGTCGTAGTAGATGATGATGAGAGCAAAGGGTCAGACAGATTTTTGGTACTATAATCGGGTACAACTAGAAGAAGTTATCTGATGTGGTGTCAATTGGAAATTTCTAATTTTCCTCTTGGTGCTTTACACACTTCAAGGCATCCCCATGGGTTTCGCGAGCACAATACCATTGCTCATGAAGGAACGGGGAGTTAGTTACTCTATCATTGGAGTCTTTGCCCTTACGAGCTGGCCCTTCTCCCTCAAGTTGCTGTGGGCCCCGATCGTAGACAGCTGCTACATAGACGCGCTCGGCAGAAGGAAAACTTGGCTAGTGCCGGTACAATGATTTTAGTAAAAATTACTGCTAAAGTGTGATTGTAAAATTACGGCCTCTGATAGATGCAATGCTTTCCATTGTGCTTTAGCTGACAACCAAGTAGACGAGCAAGAGGCAAAAATCGATCATCGCTTCAATCATTTCTCCGCAGACCCAAGTCGCGATTGGAATTGTGATGATAGTTTTGTCGACTGTTTTCAACGAGTGGTGTGGCGGATTGGACATGCTCGACCCGAACAAAAATTTGGGTGAAATCAACATCCAGGGCCTCACCGCCAGCTTCTTTTTTCTATACTTCCTATGCGCAACACAAGGTATCATCTTCATATTCTGACTTGGTGATCCTCTTGTATGTGGAAGTATTACCAGATCTAGAACGTACTATCTTCACTTCATCGTCTTAGTGTCCTTGTATAAATTGAACTTCGCTATTTATCCTTGTTTAAATTGAATTTCGGTTTTTTGATCCTTTTGTCTGTAGATATCGCGGTGGATGGCTGGGCTTTGACAATATTACGGGAGGAGAACGTTGGTTACGGCCCCACGTGCAACGCGATAGGTCAGACGTTCGGATACGCGTTTACTTTCATCGGCGCCTTAAGTTTAAACCATTTCCAAGTTGTAGGCTTCGACAATTTCATGTACCTGTGTGGCGTATCTTTCCTAGTGACTACCTTAGTCGTTGCGGCGTTCAAAGCAGAGAGAGCAGTACCTGACGACGAGGAAGTGGAATCAATGAAGGCCGTCTACAAGAAGCTTTTAGCGATGTGGCGACTACCGACGATCCGCACTCTCGTGCTTATACTCTTTTTCTTATGAAAATGAAACGTGTTTGAGTTTGTATTCGTGTTGCAAGGAACTTTTCGTGGGCTGGAAGATTCTTGTTCTTCTCGAGGTGATGAAACGCAAATTGCAAAAGACGCAAAAGTAGAAATCTGACTACCAATAATATGGAAGGTCTTGCTTTCGCCCATTAAGTTGGAGTCATGATATCGGCAGTTGTACTACATTTGATTTTTTCTCTTCTTCATTTTGATGGAAAGTTCCGTACGCGGGTTGCGAAGCAGTGGTGACGTTGAAGATGCAGGATAAAGGAATACCAAAGGAGCACATTGCGTATATCGGATCCGCGTGTACGGTTCTGTCCTGCTTCATTCCGGTCTTAGTGTCAAAACAGACCTCAGGGGCAAGACCATTCGACATGTGCATGGGACTGTACTAGCAGCTGCTCGCTTTACACTCTTTAACCTAAAGTTTCACTAGAAAATGTCTAGGAAAAGGTCTTTTTCGAAGAAACTGCATCCATGTTGGCTAACCACTTTTTAGCATTAAATGTACTTTGTTAGAATTTTTTTTAACAAATGCAAATATATTTAGGTACCTTCCTCGCATTTGGATGTGTTTCGTTTCCATGGCAATGGTGTATTTTTGCCCGAGCCTTGTCGGGAAGACGATGGAGGACTTTCCGTATGGGTACTACGCAGCGCTAGTAGCGACAAGCATCATTGGCGTCTACATATCCACCGCATCCTTTGTGGCACAAATGAGTTACTTCGCGCAGGTGTCACCAAAAGATATTGGGGGAACGTACATGACGCTGCTGAACACCTTCGCAAACATGGGCGGAATGTGGGTCACTCCCGTGGCATTTCAACTAGTCGACGCGCTCACGATAAAAACCAGTTCAGATAGTGGGAGTTCAGAGGCGACTGTTGTTGTGGATGGATTTTACGTGACGAGCTGTATCTGCGCATCGATCGGCTTCATGGGTTACTCGACGCTCCGGCGCACAGCCGAAAAATTGCAGATCTACCCAAAATCTGCTTGGAACATCGAAAGCTAGCGGTGACACATACTTACATACATCCGACTTCCAGCCTACAACCCAAATGACTCCCAGTGTGTTTCCCAATGATGTTACCTATGATTTGTGTGTATCAAAGTTCCCACTACCTCTCCGGGATACGCATCTAAAGAGATGCCCCTGAATTATGGAAAGATGTCGGACGAGTGATAGTGCTCCCTTTCTTCTGATTTCCGCTTGTTGTACAATAGAAGAATACGATTACATCAAAGAGCTACCTAAGGGTGCCTCGAGAAGCTAAGCGTTTTCAACTACAACGACGATTTTCAAAGAATATGTTGAATCGAAATTTACCTTCACGTGTACAAAATCTATGTTCCAATATCAGGGCGGCGTTGCTCACTCGACCGGGTGTTCTTCCTGAGGATGACGATAGAATTCAAATTACTCCAAGAAATCAACGAGTCTGATCATCATAAGATTTCATGTGTTCTTCGGTCATGCAAAGTATGAATACGTTGAATTATGCGAAAGTCATTCCTCATGTTTTAGCGTCACTGATATGGACAACATCTGTGAAGACGGATCATGGTTGACGGCGTGAATAGGTTCCTACATCAGTCGAGAAGATGAAAAGAAAACAATCTACAGACTCAGTTGAACTTCACGGATCTCCCAAAAACGGTTCGTGGATGGTGAGCTATGACGGCCCCCTTCTCGACGATCATTCGTGGTCTCATACCATTTCCTTAATTGTCTCAAACGCGGTTATGTGACGAATTCGAACAGTAAGTGTTGATGAATTCTAGGTTCCGTATGAAGTCTTATTCTACTACCATACACACAGGCGACACTTTTTTCAAGGATTTGGCGGCTGTTAGTTGCATACTTACTTAGTAGACAGTAGAGGGGCGTCTCTGTAATGTTGGTTTCACTTTCACTTGCCTACTACATCTCGTCAGTAAATGTGCACCTATCTATTTGACGACACACCATAAGAAGAACACTGTGTAAAAAACGAGCGATAATGAAGGGACTTTTTCAGCTCTGATACACTCACAGAGTTCTTCTGTGACAGCTTCTGACTGTCGCGGCACGTAGGTCGAGTGCGAACACGGTAGAACAAGTGAGAACGAACCTGTCGTCGCCGCATACGAAGTGCACCAAAAGAAGAACTGTGCCTTTCGTCGTGGTCGTGCATCTGGTTCTCGTCTGCACCGTGGTCTCTCTGCTTGCCGGACCGTAAGATTGCATCCGGTGAGACGAATCCTCCAGATGCCTGAACATGCTTTAACGTGGTCACGTCATCTGGAGGAAAAATGATGCAACTAGGACGAGTTTTGCTTATTGGGCTGGCGTCCGGGATACGCTCAGCATGGGGCCAAGCAAAGATATCAGCGAAAACTATACGACTGCCAAACCATCCAGATGCGCGCTTTCGTCTAGAGGCTTACGGTGGAGAATACGCGTGGTCAAGTCTTAGTCCGGTACTCCTCTATAATCAATTCTCCGTAACTTAACTGGAAAAGTCTAATTCGGATTCTTCTTGTGCTGATCAAGTAGAAGTCATCAAGACGGCTATGTTAAGTTCGCTGTGAAAAGCAAAACCAATGTGCCACTTCTTTTCGAAACTATTTTTCGTACTTTTATCTTTACTCAGAGTGTGGTTAGAATCGTCGAGCAGACGGACAGTTATGCGGTGCTTGCGCCGAAGAGTGTCGGAAAGTCTACTGTTTTTGCCCGAGACGCGGAGCAGGGCGGAAAAGCGTGCGATGTCTACGTTTCCGACATTTACGAGTTGGAAATAGTCACTCCCGTGAGACGCATCAACGTCGAAGATGTTGATCAGCTCTCAGTTCTGGGCTACGACAAGGAACGAAACATTTTTAACACGTTGGAGGGCATTGCCTTCAACTGGCGAATTCAAGATGAAAACAAGCTCGCGCATGTGCGCATGAAGGACACGGAGTACTTTTTCTTGGTTGTTAGCAAGATGGCTTATGGTTAAGGGTTACTACATTGCATTCTGCACTACCATCCTTGACTTTTTCTCCAGTAGGAAAAGGGTCAGGGATGATCTGAAGAGTGCAATGTCGCAAGCTCTAATAAAGACTCCATGTTTGTTTTGTCTGTTGTTTGTGCTGGGTGATTTTTTTCTTGTTTCAATTTGATGTACTTAGAGGTCTCGACATTCGATGCGAATATTTCATCATAATCTAGATGAAGCATACAAAATTCAATTGACGCAGGACCTTCGTTTCCGGTCAACGTACTTTGCTTGAGGAGCAAGGAAAATATAGCGACGTTATTTTGGTAAAGGGTAAGTCGACCGGAGAGACCGTAGTCAGCGCGAGGACGGATAGGCTGGCTTCAAAGGACGTTGTTCTCACGGTGAGCGAGAATCTCATGCTTTTTCCGAGTCATCTATGGACGGTGCCTGGCGCGGAAATTAAGTAAGCACTCTTTGCTTATAATACTCTTGTACGCATCACCGAGTTTTTCAATATCTGAAAATGTACAGGAGCAACTGTACAACTAAATGCCTCCAGCGATCACTCTACAAATTGATCAGTATGATACTTGGCTCTACACTCAGTCAGAATGTAGTGATGACGTATCCCTTTCAGGTATGGAGTTAAAGTTTACAAGAGCGGCTACAGGGACCTTTCGGACATCCCGTTCGTGCAGCTGCCTACGCCCTATTTTTCCTTCGTTTCCGAAAATAAAGCTGTTGTCTCTGTCGACGCTGCAAAGGGTGCAGCAACAGTCCTGCAATTGACGGGTGGGAAGACGCAAGGGGAAACGAAGATAACAGTCAACGATAAGCGTATCGAAGACAACGCAGCGAGCGCAGTGCTCGCGGTAGCAGAACCCGCGGCAGTCTTCATCGTCGTAAGACCCTACGCGGCCCCAAAAAGCTGGGAGACGGCGACCATGGAGGAATGGGGTACGACTATCTTCTAGACAACTGGTTCTCCGTTTTGTGTTGTTCGTTGATTATTTTATTGTTGAATGCTCATCATGTGACCACGCCTCTCACATTCTACTTCTATTTATCGTCTTACCGAAGCCAAATCCACCACTTACAGATGCTTTGTATGCCCAGCCGTCGCTCACGCACTTGGTCGAGGGTCGTAAGTACGTCGCTTACCTCAGTCTAGAAAGCAAGGAGCACCAAACTCTTGCGCTCCCAAGCAATCTGGAGGCCGATTTCAGTTGCAAGCGGCCTTGCCCAGTTGAGGCGGACACCGGAAAGGCGTCTGGCGATAATAAGTTCACTTCGTGGGCTGTGCCGTTCACAGCGAGTGCCGTCGGCGCCGGCACCTTGCGATTCGAGAAGTTGCGGCTGCTGGGTTCGGCGAAGAGTGCAGCGTCTTCCCAGACTTTCGCGAAAGTGAATGCAGCAGAGTTGGAGATCGAAGTTTTTACGCCTCTCAAGGCAGCACTGAAGCAACTTGTCTTGCCGCCAGAACACACAATGGCGCTGGAGATTTCAGGGGGAACGGGATCTTACGAATTCAGTTCGGATACTACCGAAGTCGTGGTAGATGCCGCGGGCAAAGTCACAACGAAGCAATCAGTGGCGGACGCACGAATACGCATACGAGACAAAGGAGACACGCAAAACACAGTAGAGGTATCTGACACACTATATTTTGAAGTAGTGCATAAGCATAACGAAATTTCAGACGATTACGACATGATGAACCGAAAGAAAATGATAAGAAGAGTCCGATGCTCAGCAGCTGAGGATTTACTTACGAGGGCACTGGGTTCTGACTTCGCTTGTGACTTCTTTGGTTAAACTTAAAATCACAGGATGAATCGAAAAAAATGATAAGAAGAGTCTGATTTGCCTCAACTACGAGGGTGAAGACACTTCCTACGAGAGCACTGGGTTCTGATGATTTTCCGTAACCTATTCCATGTTTGAATGTTAGCTAAAAATAGGCGTCTATTTTCAAACATTAACTTCTGATCCGCTTTTGATAACTAAGGTTCTCGTGCATGTGCGGCTACCAGACCGATTGGCATACGAGGCGGCTTCGAAGCAGGTCGCCTTCATTCATGAGGGTCGGACAGGCGGTCTCGCAAAGTCCGTCGACGTTCCGGTTATTGGCATTCCTGCGGTGCGCGCATCTTCCGGCTACGACGAAAGCAATTGGAGATATCATACTTGCTCGGGTTTAATGCCAGAAGCCGCGGTAGTGGAACCGGAATGGGTTGCCAAAGTCATTGGTATTCATATTACAGATTATGCCTTTTTTGTTGTCCACATCACGTCATCGACCGAGCTAAGTATTCAAGAATCTTCAATTATAAGCGAGTATCCTTCAACGAATTTCAATTTTTTCTACTTCTTACAGATGTGAGCCGCGACGCAAGCAAGCTTGGTGTGTGTGGAGTTGTTCGTGTTCGCCCAGAACAGACCGGGGATGTGACGCTGTCGCTACCTAAGGTACGCCATGAAGTGCAGGAAATTTCATTCTTCCGACCGATTCAGATTGAATTCGAGCACGAGCTGCCTTTTGTGCCACCCACGTACACACCGTCAGCAGCAACTTCGAGCACCACCGTTGGAGGGAAAGCCGGAGCGGCAGGTGCTAAAGCAGTTGCGACGCGAGCTGGCACGACGCCATCCACCGGGCCGCTCAGTAGTGCCGCAGCCGAACTGGGTTCCACGATATTTCTCAAGTTTACGCAAGGTCCGCTGGTTGAGAGGACTGGGAAGCAGAAGAAACTTCGCATGTTGGCTGACGACAGCACTGGAGCTGCTGGCACGCCGCCAGGAAAGGTCGCATCCATTGTGCAAGAGTCCGAGGAAGGATTTTCCGTTCGCTGCCTGGAGACGGAGGGAAAAGTTATACTCGAGGGAAGCATCTACCTGCCATCCGAGGAGCTGGAGACGACGACACGAGCCTATCTTCACTGCGCCAAGCCCGATTTTGTGCGGATCTTTTCAGTGGAGCGAGAAAACTTCGCGCTACGCGACGCGATGTACCCGATGTCCGCAGTATGCGGAAATGCACACCCGGGACACGAGTTGCTCGCGGCCGTGTATGAAAAGGGCGGTCGTCCGTTGCTAGCGCTTAAATACGCGAGCACGGTGGAGTGGAAGAGCAATGCCTCGATCAAAGATAAAGCCGCACGAGCGGAACTGCGCATGGAGTGTCCAGCTGATGTCAATCGAAGTGGACCAAATGCCGCTGCAGGTGCCAGGACAGGACAAAAGACAGATAGCACGACTGGTGGTAAAAGAGCAGCAGCAGGTTCCACCGCTGGAGCAGATCTGCAGGAGGGAACTAGCGGTACAGGCTCAGCGACTGTTGTGACAGTTGCGTACTTGGGAAAAACAGACAGAATAAGCCTCAGACCAGCCCGACCAGTAGAGATCGAGTGGCCAGGAAAACCGCATACAAATTTTGTCTTTGGAGCTGCATATCTTTTCACGATCTGGGGAGGTTCAAGGCAATGGCCGCTGAAGTGGACCAAAGCTCCAGAGCTCAAGATCGCACCCTACAAAAGAAAGAATGCCGCTGGTGCTAAGGGCAGCGCGGCCGTGAAAGCAGCAACGAAAGGCAGTAGGAACGGCACTGACGTTGAGAACAGTTACAACTCGGCCACGGGAGAGACAGCCACCTTGGGAGAGGTCGAGTGGCCGAGCGCCGAGGCCGAAGCAGAGGATCGCAACAACGTGGTACCAGCGCGGTACCGCATTCCGGAGTGCTCGTTGCAAAGCGGGTGCCGAGGCCAGTGGACGATGAGTTCTGAAGTTGTGGGTGAGGGCGACATGCGCATTTCCGACGACGGTCTCCTAGGCGCGAAGCCCATTGAGCTTAGTTTCGACTTCCAGAAACCATCGGCCATCCGTTTCGGACGCACAGAGAAGCAGGGCGAATCCGGGAAGCCGCTGCTTGTCCGCTTGAATTTGATGGGTGGCGGCTCGAGCGTGGGGCACTACTCCGAGAGCGGCAGAGAGTACGCAGACGGCGACGACGAGGAAGACGCTGATGGTCTTGAGACAACAGACTATACTGGTAGGCCGCCTAGTACTGTGTCGGATGATCTAGGGCAGTTGTTGCATCCTCATCTGTGGAAGCCTGCTGGACTGTCGTGTCGCGTCATGCACGGCCTGGGACAGAACCAGCGAGAGCTCACGAAATACACGGGTGTAGAGTTTCTGCGGGCTGGCGCGGACGGATATTTGAAGTTTTCCGATCTGCAGGTCGGCGACTACAACATTAGATGCAGCACCAAGGACCGCACGGTGGTCAGTCCCAGTCTCACCTTACGAATTTTCCCGACGTTGCAGATGCAGCCATCGAGACTCGTGGGCTTACCACGACAAACCGCGGAGTTCACGCTGGTAGGTGGCGCGACAGCGGGTGGAGCCGGCTTCCGTTACCATTCTAGCGACCCATCTGTCGTGATTGTAGACGAGCGCACTGGGCAGTTGAAATTCCTGAGCGAAGGTGCAGCTACCGTCACAGCAGAATTGGTCGAGTCGCGATCAGAACAAGTCCTCGCAACAGCTACTGGCGACGTTGTGGTCGCGTGGCCGGCGCGCGTCTCGCTCGCAGCTGTGCCGCTTGTCGCGAGTGGCGTGCCACCACCCTCAGCGGCTGTGGTGAGCAAACCGCTCAAAGTGGTCCATGCTCGAAAACTCTTTGCAAGCCTTTTCACGTTGGACAATCTACCATTCACGCCCGCGCTTCTCGCTCGCGGCAACGACGAAACAGATTGCAACTTCATCTGGAAAGTGGACGGCGAGCGGTTGCAGGGTCCGGGACAGCTCTCCGCGGAATTGCGTGGCATGCCCCCAGCTTCTGGCGCAGCCAGCAACAGTGGATCTGCAACATCTTCCCAGGTGCAAGTCGAAGTTGCGTGTCGTAGCGCAAGCGTGAAAATCGAGCAGCCGGTATTGATCGGACGACCGCTTTTAGACGGCGCTTTGCGCTCAGGCGTCCTTGCAATGCCTTTGCGGAGTGTGGTTCAGCTTCGAAATCTTGTTTCTGGCGGAACCGCGGCGATTCTGTCCGGTGAAGATTTCCATGTGGACGTATCTCACGTGCGCGGTGGCGCATTCCTCGTGCGCGAGAACAAGCAGATCGAGACAGGACATGAAGAAGGAGATGGAGTGCTGCTCATGCAGAAGCCAGGCCGGGAACCAGGCCTTGTTGCGCTTTCGGCGCGAAAGATTGACGAAATCCGACTCGACACTTTGGAGTCCGCGGATGGCGCAGACAAGCTTCACCGCTGTCGCCAGAACTGCGCGCTCCAGCGTGCGGTCTCAGCTATTGAGGGGGCTTCTTCTTCGGATCTAGGATTTGATAAGCATTATGGAGCCGCTCATGACGGCGGAGCAAAGACAGCAGCAGGACCGCTCCTGACCTGGGCACCGCAGACACAGGGCTTCTCTTCGCACGACTCTGACAGCTTTCAGATTCCTGGCCAGCAAAGCGGTGCCTCATCGAGTCTCGGTAAGAACACATTGATCGCATTACCTGTGGGGTCTAGCTCAACGCTCACTGTGTCTCTCTTCGCAAACGGGGAACCGATGCTCTTCCCGAGCCAGGGAGTGAAGGTAACGGCGCTATCGTCACACAGCTCAATCGTTGGTGTCGAGGTGGTAGCCGGTGGCGGCAACCAAGTGCGACTGCGCGCTCACGGGGTTGGCTGTGCCGGCATTCAGGTGGAGGTGAACCATGCGGAACAAAGTTTCTTCCAGGTACTGGCTGTTTGCACAAAACGAGAAACTCTGTTGCCAACTTCGCGTAGTCCGGTCGAAGTGGCGTCCAGCAAGCGGGATGAAAGCGGAAATCTGAAAGACGATAGCGACATCGACATTCCTTCGGACCTGACGAGTCTGTCAAGATTACTTTTGCACGTGAATGCTATTTGCAACTTCTTTGTGGCTAGTAAGAGCAAGCTATTGACGATACGGGTACACGAGTACAACGATGCGTCGCAGAGAAAACTGGTGGAAAAGGAGTTCACCGATTTGCTCCTCGATGCGCGAAAAGACTTCGAGAAAACGTCAAAAGCTAATGGTGCTGCCGGCTCTTCATCTTCAGGCTTAGGTTACTTTAACTTTACGGGACGTAGTGGAAACGAACAAGGCTCAGCGACAGGAGCAGGAGAAATTAGTGGCGCCACTGCACCAGTGACTGCATCAGTGGTTCGAGTAGTTTCGCATCGACGAGTCAGTCAGTTCGGCAACGCGCACGAGTTGGTTTTAGATGTGTCCGAGGGAACAGCTGTCTTTCCCGAGCTCATCGAGAAAATGTGGGCTGCTACCGTGACAACACTTGGTCCCTATCTAGAACAGCAGTGGGACATGTCCTACGGAATCCGCCCAGAGTCAGCAGCAGACCAAGAATTCGCAGATGCAGAACAGCAAAAAAGGTATTTTTTGTTTGATGCAATTGTTACAACATGCAACTAAGTAGTTGTATTCGCTCTACTTGCTTCTTCTACTAGTTGGTAGAGGTACTAGAAGTTGAGGTTGTGAACAATGTTCACGCTGTCTTATGCTGGTTCGAGTTCTGCATTTATACAGGAAACCCAGGATGTCCGACAGTACTTTGCCCATAAATTCTTTTAGGTGTCCGCATGGCCGATGGTGGAGCAGCAATTCTCGAGTTTTAGCATTCGAGAACTCAAATGTTGGGGTTGCTACAGCGAAAGGCGTAGGACAGGCAACAGTCCATTTTTGTGGGGATTTTGAGCAGAGTACCACTGTAGCAGTGGACACGGTCGCTACCATCCGTGCTCCACGAGAAGTGCAGCTGACTAGCTATCCTCGCCTAAAGGAAAAGACCTATCGCATCCCACTAGCCTTGATGGATGAGGAGACGCGACTATTTGAAACGCATTCGCCGTTCTTTAGGCAAAATCTGCGCATCCGGTGCGAAGGCGACAACATCTTGCGAACATTCTTCGACGTTGAGGATGTGCAGCCACAAAACCTGGATGGCGGACCAGCCTGCAGCCTCAGAAAAAAAGTAACAATAAAAAAGTTAACCCTAGGATAATAAGCCTCTTTTTTTGATGGCCTTCACCTTGTTAGTTCGACCAAGACTATTTTCTTTGTCGTCTCTAGCAGACAATGCATTCGACAGACACGTGATGATCTTGTTAACAAGCTACAACTAACGAAATCTACCACGCAGGTTCCAGAGACCGCGAAGCTGCTTTCGTTAGCGGAGAGAATAGACAACGTAAAGCTGCGAGTTGAGGTGTTGCATGGAGGCGCATCAGAGTCAGACAAGGCTGTCGCAGGCCTCGTGGATCTTCCGTTTGTCCCGGCCTTTGTGCTCCTTGACGTGACGGGACGAGAGCTTGACCTCGATACGGGACTGCGATTGAGTACTTCATTTAGGAATGGTTTCGGAAAGTAAGAGTTGGTATAAGTAGAAGATGTAGAAGAGTAATTCGCTTTCACAAGCATAACAATTCGGTTTTTTCTTTGCTGACTAGTGAAAGAACAGTAACAAGAACAAAGAGTTTCATTTTCTTACATTATTGCTACCCGACCACAGCTGCGTCTTCCCCTGCCGCGTCATTGAGAATATGGACCGGCGGACGGGAAATAACCGTGCGAGCGTCTGACTCAAGGCTAAAAGTGGTCCAGGAGAAATCCACAGAAACACTGCATAGCGTGAATGTCCTGCTCCAGCCAGGACAGGCAACGGGAGCAAATAGTGCGATCGTCATTGAGGGGGAGCAGGGTTTCCTGGAGACGGTAAGAGTACAACTTCCAGGAGGACCGAAGGTAGAGCCTTCAACAGGAAAAGGAAGCGGGAGCGAAACAAGAAGTACTTACTTCTATGAGATTTAGATCATAGAATCCGTTCGGGTTTGAACGATTGCGAGAACCTAGCTATTTCACAACTAGCTATTTTCATATCTATAGATTTTCCATTTCATATCAAGATTACCGCTTTTCCTCTTCATACAGGTTTTTTCTCTGCTGGCTGCAGTTGGCAAACGGGTTTCGCGCTTCTCGTCATAGTTGTCGCCGGCTACACTATCTTTGGACCCGGTAGCGGCTCATCACGGAGTGGGATGCATTACCCACATAGAACCGATGGTGCCTACACACCTGCCCACTACGAAAGCCCCTTTCGGAAAGCCGACGAATCAACCTTCTTCGACGCGGGAGGAGGATCAGCGGGGCCCAGAAGTCAATATGGTAGCCCCGCCTCAGCGTTCGCGGATCAAAGGGGTGCTGGCGGTTACATGCACTCAACTCCGCACTTTCGAGGCGGGAGGCAGCTCGGCGCGAGCTCGGGGGGATACATGTAGATGCGTCATTGATCTTTTAACGACTTGTTCGCAATTTGGCATGAAGATTTTTCTGCTATTTTTATTCCTTCGCATGAAAATTGTACCTCAGACTTGTTGTAAAGGATTGATAATGTCATATTTGGCTGTCGCTTTCTTTTCTTATGCTTTATTTCACCTGTTTACGGACCGCTGAGACGGCTGCGGACTGAAATATATCTGCATTTTCATGCTGCATCTGCAGCAATAAAAGTTCCAGACGATCATGGGACAAAGCCCTCCTCTCCACGATGTATTTCCAGGGTTTTCGTTTTGTTCCCCAATATAACGCGCGCGCAAAGATATGGTATTTTTTACACTCATGGATGATCTTCTATTCAGCCCCTCCGACTGCGTCGGAAACGGGCGGGCGTCTTCTTCTTCTTGCATCCTCCCGATTCGCGACAGTGTTCCCATTTGATAATCTATCGCAGCACAGGGATGGCATAGTAGAAGGGGTCGAGGACTGGTGTACGATAGTGCATGTTGACGAACAAGTCTTGATTTTCATTGTCACACAAGGGGGATTCCATCTTTCATTGGAACTCTGTTCGTTCAATATCTCGAATCTGTGGATTCTTCAATTCCAAAAATGTCGCACCCTGAATCCTATTTCGGTCTTGTCCAAGAACAAGGAGCAACGCTGTCTGCCCACTAAGTTATTGATCATATTTTCATGTTGTTTTTATGTACCCATTGCTCGAGGACAAAGAAATTCACACACGGGTCCCAGCATGATTAGCCAGCAATTCGCTTTCTACAAAAACCTATATCAGTCAATACAGCAAGAGCAAGCTGACGGTGTAGTCACTGTGTATGGTCAGGCTTTTTTGTGCAATGAGTGTGAATTCGGGCAAATTGTGTGCGGGCCGTCATTAGATTCAATTAAATTCATTTATATTTGCAGGTTCCTCGCTCATTCGTAGGGTAAAATTGAAACCTGGTGGTCTATCTCCTGATAACGTCTGCGCCGATCGGTGCATGTTGTGATAAATTGACTTTTCTCTTTTTTGTGGTTCTTTTGTGCAGTCGTTGTAATCGAAAAGAGTTTCTATTTTATAAAACTAAGAGATTAAAATGTCGCGAGTTGGGCAGATACAATCAGCCTCTGGGGAGGAGAAATTGGCAGTTAATTTGCCGCTCGAGATATTTCGCGAGGCGAAGAAGTGCCCAGCCTGTGGGATGGACATTCAGGCAGTCTCGACTCAAATTACTATGGCATGGGTGCCGGACACGTCTAGTTCTCGGCAGTCTCGGGACGGCCCAGTGCTGTACCATGCGCATTGCTTGCAGCGCCAGCTGCTCGTGGACGGCATTGTACAGGTAGAGACGTTTTTGAAGGAAGCATCTTCTAGCTCGTTGTCATCGTCGTCCGCATCTTCATGCTCTTCATCTGCTTCAGCCGGAAATAGGTCGAAGGAGGCTGGAGTATCAAGCCAGAACAAAAGCGTAGCCTATCAACAAGTCGCCGGTGGAAGCTCTTCATCCACGGGCAAGCAGGGTTCTAGAAAAGGTATAATACGTGATGGTGCTCTAGAAGTACCTTCATCGAAAGACCAGGTGAAGCTTGCTTTCTTCACCCGGATGCGCGCACAGGAAGGCAAAATGCCCTCTGCGAGTGAAGCTTGCGGAGACAAAAAGACACTAGATCCTGGCGTCGGTCTGAAAATGAACCTTCTCGGCAATGCAACCTTGAGCGAAAACCGTCAATTGCTTCCTGGGGAGCGGAAAAAACTCGAGAAAAACCGTAGGGACGAGAAGGCAAAGCAACTGAATTCAGATCCGCTCTGGGAGACACACGCACCTTTCTACTCCTACGTAGGGCAAATGTGGGCAACCCAGTTTGTTGGTGGAAGGGAAGTACTGCGACGTCATCAGGGACGAGAAACTGGCAGCTCTTCCTCGGATGGTGACATCATAGACCTTACGAGCGACGCCGATGGCGCTGCGCAGCGAGTCCGTAGTCCGACAACCTTCGTAGCATCATGCTGTTCGCGACCTGTGTCCTCTACAGACGCAATGGCGTTGCCGTGCGAGGGTTGTTGGAATTTTTTTCATCTTTACTGCGTTGGCGTTGGAGACCGACTAGACTTACAGCCATCGGAAAGCGGAGATTTTGCAAGCCAGGTAGAGCTAGAGCGGCTTCTTGCGGTGACCACAGTAGCAGATGTCACAGCAGCGGCAACATCTTCTGGAGTTGTACTAGAAGATGAAGAAGGTAAGCATAAGCAAGGACAAGGTAAGCAGAAGACTGGTGGGGCGAAGGCGCGAAAGGCTACTACGAATACTTTATCTAGCACGTTGACCAAAGCTTCGTCTGCGCGTGCTGCGTCTTTTGATAGCGTGTTGCAGACTGTGGCGAAGGTTTTCGAAGAACATGTCTCGAGAACAACGCGGGAAGATAGTGGAGGCGGAGTCCTGAAGGACCTCTTCGCACTCCCACCGGTATCGACAGTTGGCACAGCCTCCGTTTCGGGATCCAATACGATTTTTCCGTCAAGCACCATGAATGGCGGGTTGCGGTCACGATTTCTCTGCGAGCCGTGCGGCCGTGCCCGCAAAAAGCGAAGGCATGTTGAAGAACTGCCTCCTGCATTTCAGAAGGTTTCACAAGTAGCCGCGTTCACGCCCACGGTGGATCTCCCAGAAGTGAGCAATCACCTACCTGCTCTTGGTCAGATGAATTACTTGGCACGTTTCGCGGCGAAAAGACGGAAAGCCCAAATTCCAGCAGCTGCAAATAGCAGTAGTAGCAATGACGAGAATGGACGCGATCAAGCGGGAACAAGTTCAAGAGAAGAAGGTCAGAGCCAGATGATGAACAACGCTTCCGAGACAAATAAATTTGTACTGAATCCAGTTTATGAAACTGACTTTCTGGGAGGTGGCGGAGCGAAAGCGAGTAGAGATGATACTTAGCATCTTCCAATTGTAAGTAACAAATTCATCAGATAAATTGCACTTACTTCATGTTGATTATCATTTGATTTTCAACGCTACTATGGATTCACGTGCTAGATCCTAAATGCTGCATATCGTGTGAAACTTCCGTGTTCGCTTTTTCTTAGAAGTGCTAACTGCGTGCGCGAGGATCATGAGAGGATCATGAGAGATTGAGACGCAACAACTTTATTGTGTCAGGATTTCCTGCATGAAGATCTTTCTTTCTCTTGTCTGTCAGAGCAATTCATTTGGTAGAGATGTGATTGTTCTGTGAGAGCAACCCAAGACGGTTTGAGTCACCTCTTGTCACAAAATGTACATTAACATTTTCTAGGAGAATTTTGTTTTTGAAAATTTCGACTCGGTCTCCGAGAGAAAAAAATCACGAGTATCGCATGTACAACAACGAATTACCGGAGGACGAGGCGTAAAGAGTATATGTTGATGACGGACGAGCGGATAAGAGTGATCTATGTTGTGCAGTATAAGTTTTTTCGTTGGACCGTGAGTGTAACATTTGTCTGAGCATGACATTGTGCTTCGCTACTATTCAGGCATCTATGCAGCTTAAATTTACAATTGCATGCGTATCAATCTTCATTCACAGGAGTGTGAACGAATCTTCTCATTTTCAAGGGGGATAAACCTCGTTTCCTGAGCGGCTTTGGAGAAGGAGATAGAGTGATAGTAAAAGACAGAAAATAATTTTTTCAGTTTTACTGCTGTTGCTAGATTTTGATTTAAGAGAGTGAGTGCTTATCTCTGTGGCATAGATATGAAGAAGTCTAGTAACCTTCTGATGTATTCAAGTAACTCGTCGGCTCTAGTCCCCACACCCAAGGTGTTTGGTAAAAACAGGATTTAGTGAAGTAGTCAAATTTCACGTTACTTTCTATAACTGCTAGACCATATGCTTGTGACGCCCAGGCCTATCAAAGAAATTTTAAGGTGTTTAGGTCTCATCTTGAAATTGCAATCTCGAAATCCTGCTGTTTCATTAGACTGGTTGAATACAGCATAAATCATAGACTCCATAATTCGCCCGGAAAATATTATCAAAGTTGTTTAAGCACCATCGACGGATTTTCTTTGCCTGTGAATACCACATTTTGGCGCTTTTGGGAGGAGTTGTATTTAGTCACTATAGGCCTAGAGGAAGCAGGACGAAGTTGCTGTGTAGTAGGTTTGGAGTGTAATACAAAATCTTAAGAGTTAAGATCCTCCTGAAAAACTGAACACCCAATCTCCATAGCATAAAGAATAACAATAAATTATTGTAGGCTTTGCGTTTGGCTGTACTCTCTGTCATCTTTCTGCATGCTTTGCTGCAGAGTACGCAACCTCTTCTTTCCGAAGTGACTACATCAATAGTAGAATTACATATACATTTTCCTCGGCACCAAAACCATAATTGATATAGTAGCATAAAGATTAGTACAAAATCAAAAAGTTGCAACAGAACTGAACAGCTTCTCGTATGTTTTTCCCATCCTAGAAGAAGTATTAAGGCCAAAGTCTATCGTTTGAATCAATTTGATTGAAGATTGTATGTAACCGTAACTTCATTCATCTAGATCTAGAAGTAAGTGACTACTTTACAGAAAAAAGCTACTTGGTAAATAAGTGAGGTCTTCAAGATGGACTTGTCCAAGTGGAATATGGAATCGTTCGGCGACGGGCACCCTTTCGGTGACCCCGGGTGGTATCAAGGACAGTACAGTCCCTACTACAATGAGTCGCACAAGCAGTTGCGCAAATTCGTTAGGGACATGTGCGAAGAGCATGTCATACCAAACGCCAACGAATGGGACGAGGCAAAGTCGATACCAAAAGAAGTGTACTAACAATGCGCTAGTAAGTAACTAACGAGCCAATCTTTTGGTCTTGAACATCTAGAAAATCTGATATTCCTTGTTGTTTTCATGGGGACATTATGATCATGAAAATACTTATGTATTGACCAACAGAAGACGTACTATTTCGGTAGAAGGAACTGTTAGAAATATTTTTGAAGTAAGGAAAATAGTGCTTGAGTTTGACGGAGCTAACTGTCAAACACACACAAGAAAACAAATCCACTTCTACTTCAGACGATTGTTGTTTGGCAAGAGTGGCATGAATTGCCTGATGATGGGACATCCGTTTCCGGTCGATTATCTGCCGCAGAAGGGTAAGGAGTTGCCGGAGTTTCTGCAGAACGTCAAGCTTGACGGCTTCCATGAGATGATTCTAAACGATGAGTATGCGCGATGTGGTAGTGGAGGCGTCCTGTGGGGGATGGCAGGTGGGCTCGCGATTGGTTTGCCGCCAGTAAATCACTTCGGATCGGAGGAACTAAAAAGGCGAATTCTTCCCGAGGTCCTGGGTGGCGAAAAAGTCATCTGTCTCGCGATTACGGAACCGACAGCCGGTACCACGAGATTTAATTGAGTTATTGCTGTACTCCAAAGATGACGATCTTAATATTATACCATGAAAAAAAATACGAGTACTAGTGAGTGTGAACAAATTATGAAAAATTGTCTTGTCTGATGCTGGGTAGGAAGATGCACATGTGCTTGTCGTTTTAAGTCTTCGCTTTCGCGCACTACTTCGCCGATATTCTGAATCTCAGGCTCCGACGTTGCGCAGATTCGGTGCAAAGCTGTTCGTGAGGGCGACTACTATATCGTTACTGGTGAAAAGAAATGGATCACTAACGGCGTAATTGCGGATTACTTTACCACGGCAGTACGAACCGGACCTTCGGGTGCTGGGGGGATTTCACTACTGCTCATCGAGCGCGGTCCGGGAGTAAAAACAAGACAGATGGACTGCAGCGGCGTCTGGTGCAGTGGAACGAGCTATGTCACCTTCGACCAAGTCAAGGTTCCAGTGAACAATATTCTCGGCAAAGAGAACAAAGGATTCAAGTACTGCGCTTCTTTGACAGTCATATAGCTTTTTTCTTAGATGATTCTGCACTCGCGCTTTCTTTTTATCCATCCTCGGTGACAACGAAAACCTGGAGAATACGTAGTAACTAGTTTTTTTCCACGACTGGCTACACTGCTACTACTACCACACACCAACCAGGTATATCATGAGCAATTTCAATCACGAGCGCATGAGCATCTGCTACATGACGAACCGATTTGCACGGGTTTGCCTAGAGGAGAGCGTGAAATTCGCGAACAAGCGCAAGACGTTCGGAAAGAAGCTGGTTGATCACCCAGTGATTCGGTGGAAGCTCGCTGAGATGGCGCGAATGATTGAATCCAACCAAGCTCTCCTGGAAAGTCTCTGCTATAACCTCGAGCGCATGGAGAAGCAGGAAGCAAATCTCAAATTAGGCGGAACAACGGCACTTGCAAAGGTACAACACCAACATTGAAAACCAAAATGTTGTTTAGGGAGTGCCTAAATCTAAATCTAACACGGGCACATACATATACTTAGTGCGTTTAGGATGATTCCGATTCCGAAAATGGATAAATACTCTTTTTTTACTGATAGGTCCAATGCACGAAAACGATGGAGTTTTGTGCGCGTGAGGCTGCGCAGGTTTTTGGGGGGCTCAGCTACACGAGGGGCGGACAGGGCGAGAAAGTCGAGCGGCTCAACCGTGAGGTCCGGGCGATGGCAGTGCCAGGAGGCAGTGAGGAGATTATGCTCGATCTCGGTATTCGACAGAGTGCAAAGGTCGCTGCGCTTGCACGCAAGATGGCGTCAGCGCAGGAAAACGCAAAGTTGTAGCGTAAGAAGTAGCTCGCGATTGTTGAAGAATGAAGTGTAAAAAACTAGAGATAGAGAGAGCAACCAAGAGGTGCAAAAAAGATACTAAAAGACGTGAGTGTAGAAGATCTTCAATAAATAAAAAGTAAGCGGTTTCAAATCAGAGAGTTATAAACAACACTATAGCAAAGACTGTCCTCCCAGCAGCTTGAAAGTATGAATATTTTCTCAATTAGCTGACTTCCTTTCAGCAGTGGCTATCGCAGGAGGATACATCATCGGGGAAAAGGTCGACAAAGAACGTCCGATGAAGATTTGGCAACAGCCCTATGGATCGGTCATACGAGAAACAGCAATGAACGAAAAGCAGATGATCGCGTACGAGGAGACAAGGCAGAAGGCGATTACGGCTGCAATGAGGTCACTCACTGTACAGAAATCGAGCGCTTTGTTTTCTGCTACCACTAGCGTTCAACAATCCGTGATGGGTTCCAAAAGAGGGACGCCCACCGGACTTATTCACAGCCTTCGAACAGGAACCTTAGTCAGTGAGACTCCAGCGCAAGTCGCAGCAGGTCTGACAGCAGAGCACCTAGAAAAGGCAAGCGCTTTCTGGAAGATTACAGGATTAGGCCATCCCGAGCTGTGCAACAACGACGTTTTTGAAGACATGTTATTCATAGCACGAAATCTAGATCCTATCAGGATCTCCACCAACATAGCCATGGAACTCCTACAAAATGCAGCAGAAAAACCGGAGATGAAATCACCGAGCGGAGCAAGGAAGATCCTCCTGGCAGCCATGCGGAGGTCACCGGTAGCATTGGAACTCTTCCGGACCTGCATGGAAAACTCCTTGAATCAAGTAAAAGAGCAAACTGCTAGGTCGATTCCTTCATTCGTCCCGGCTCACCTCAAAAGACAGGTAGCAAGCTACTTGCACAAGGAAGGGAAGGCGGCTAAGGGATCTCAACTCCGCCTGGTCGTCAGTGCCGAGCCCACGGTGCGTGCGCTCCTCTCCTACGCATGCAGACAACTAAAGACCCGAACTGAGCAAGCTGGAGCTCTCGGGACATTCACGGCTGGCGGACGAGAATTGTCAGCGCTTGATGTCTGTAGGCAAGCATGGGACACCGCAATTACGGCCGCTTTAGAGAATCCAGAAGCAATCGTCCTTATTTCAGTGACAGACTTTTGTAACATGTTCAGCACTATGATATTCCAGCTTCTTCTGCGAGTATTGCGCCTCTACAAGATCCGACCTGAGCTAATCCTGTTCATCGCTGCCTCGAACGTATCCAAGCAAGTCTTCACATCCAACGGGCCGACGCTTGTCGCCTTACGCAAATTCTCGCACCTGATCATAGGGACAAATGAAGCATGTGAGATAGCGATCGCAGCTTGCGCCCCCTACCTCGCTTTTCTGCACCGTGTGCTACTGGGTGTACGGGGGGCAAAGGAGCAGGGCAAGACGCCGCCCGTGTTTGTGCTCGACCAACCGACTCAGAAGGCAAGGGACTTATTAGTCCGATGGAGCAAGTACACGATGGACGACGTAGTGGGAGAGGATAAATTCAAGTTACGCGAATGTGACCTAGACTACTGGGAAGAATATCATCTGCTCACAGCAGAGATAAAGAGGACAGCGAACGATCTTAAATTCGTCATGAGGATTTGCGTGGACGACATTTCTGTTCTCCTCACTACTACGCGAAACGAACTACGAGGAGATTGCCCGTATTTGCAAGCTTCTTCGCATGCAGTGTGCCGGATGGTGGAACTCTTAACAGACGATCTCTCTTTGTTCTTCGATGGGAAAAAGAAGTTCAAGCTAGTGATGCTTACCAAATTTGAAGATCAAGAAAGAGACACTCTGGCGAACAAGGCACAGAGCCTATACCGGGTTTTTGGAATTGCGCCGCAAATTGTTTATGAAGCAACAATATGTGGATTTCCCATTAGATATGACCTAGCTGCTTCTATGAAGGATGCGATCAACAAGAGGATCGGCGCCTGCAAGTACTTGGCCATGCGCGTGCGAGGTCTGCTCTCCAACGTAGTTTCAGGGACGGACCTATTGGACATTATCCAACAACTCGCATTCTCCCCAATAGTGCACCTCTTTCCAGCATTTGCGGACCGCGTGGATCCTCTGGAAAAAGAATTCATGGAGGAAAAAATCGCCGCTGCCATGTTATCAGAATGCGGCTTTTCAAATCAGGCGATAAACCAGCTCCTAGCAGAACACGGGTCGGACAGAAATGCAGATTTGTTCTTCTCCGCCATGACTGGCTTTCAGCGGCCATCGATCGCAGGTCCACGGGCGCGAGATAACGCTTTGGTGAATTGGATGAGTGTCACAGGGGATGAACAGATGGTAGACCTGCTGAGGCTCACTATCCAAGAGCTGACGCCGATTGGAGAAACTCCCCCGGAGTTGCGATCGTTCAAATTGGCAAAGTCTCACACTAGTCGTTCCACATACAACAGATTGATAGCCTCCAATACCGCACCGCCGAGAATGATTTCTCCCTCTCAAGTAGAATCATGCGATTTTTTGCTGGCGGTGAGCGGCGAAAGCGTAGTGGCCAAATATGTAGGTGCACAAGCGTCGCTAGCCGCCAGGTACGCAATTCCCATGTGGTGGACCGTCACACTCCCAGACGCGTCTTATGTGGCTGCTGAACGCGCGAGAAACTCCAAAGTAACTCTGGCGATTGCTATGATAATTGATAGAATTTTGGAAGTGGCGCACAAGGAGATCCAAGGGAAGACTTGTGTTGTGTACAATTTTGGGTACCTGCCGCAGGTAGGTTCACTCGCATACGAGGCATTATGGAGAGCCGCACACAGGCTCAATATACGCAGCGCCGAACTCGTCTTAGTACAGCAGAAACTTCCTGCTACCCACGCGCACATCTTGTCGGCGAAAAATTGTTGCAGTGTTACTAAGAAATTCGACATTTACGACCCGCAACTCTTGCGGAGGCTGCCAGAAGACGACGTAAGGGAGCATAACCTAGAGGAAGGGGCTAACTCGTATCCGGTCATCTTGCGTGAAATGAAAGATCGAATGAAGTGGAACCAACTAAGACAAATCATTGACAGGAAACTACTGCCGTCGGACGAATGGGATGAAGGTAAAGACGACGATGTTCAAATCGACCCGCCAGAAGATTATACTCTGACCAGCAGAGCAGACGAGGCACTCAAAGAGCAAGATGCAGAATTTGCGGAAGAAATGAAGTCGAAGGTTCCATCGCCGAAAGATACGTCCTCAGATTCGGAATCCTCACTCGATATGTAACTCGAAGGAAAGGATAATGATCAAACATGAATGAATGACACCTCACAAGATTCAGTCGCAATATAGCGCCTCATCAGACTTCAAATCTCTCTTCGGTACATTACTGGCACGCGAGCAAGTAACTCCAACGGGAAAAATGCAAATGTGAATGAACAAAATATCCGCTAAAGGCAGTCTGCACTGAACTTTGTCCTGGATAGATTTTGATGTATAGGGATTCACTTGCAATTCACGCGAGTAATTGGGTCAACGACCAGTCTCTCAACAATCCCGGCGCATGTCACAGCAATAAATCAGTGAGCCCGAGCATGATTTTCTTCTTCTTCTGATTTATTAGAGCTCGCTCGCACTACACAAAGAAAAAAAAAAAAAAAAAGGAAACGAAGGCCACCTATTGAAGTGAAATGAACCATTCCATCTTACTCAACCATTAGATGAAAGAGGTTTCGAGATCATACGTCATCCTATGCAGACTGTATGTTAGATGTAGCATAGAGACTTAAACCAAGAACAAATGTTTTCCATATCTACGACCCTCGACACTCGCTTGCAAAATACGCAGGTAGGTTTTGACTTATCGGAACTCCCTCGCTCGCACTACAAAAAAAACGACTTGAATTGAATTGAATTGAATTGAATCCACGACTCTTACAAGACACGAGACTGAATTTGAAAGCACATATAACGGAAGACATCTTACCTCTTCATCAGAAAGATGCCTCCCGGAAAAGAACCTGCAATCTCTGCTGTCAGCTTGCGTGGCAGAGCCGTTCTTTGTGGGGAGATAGAACCAGAAGCCATGAAGAGCAGAAGTAGTGTTGACTCAAATGCCTCTGGCAGCAGCAACGATCAGCGAGAATACCCAATACTGGTTACAGTAGTCAATGGAGAAGTAGGTGATTTCTACAGTCTCAGCGGTATGATCTTCAACAACTGGCTAGAACAAGCTGCGCAATCAATAGCGGACAAGTTAAAGGAGATGATCCACCACACCTACACTTTCAACGAAATTGAGGAAGTAGCTCATCGAATCATCAACATATTGGAAAGGCAAAGAGGACGCCGTGGCATCAGCAGTACACAGGAAGAGGAAATTGCAGCATTCGTATACTACAATTTACTAGGCGGAGTAGCACGACGTCAACACATCAAACATACGGAATCGCACCTGTGGAGTAACGAAGTTGCCCTTACGGCTGCTCTGGTCAAGGTCATAGCTCTAGCTGACCATGAAGAAGGTCGAACTGACGAACCGACAATGCGATGGAAAGAACACCCGCTAGGAGGCAATGCGAGGGGGTCGAACCACTTCCAGACTTTCCTGCATACCCAAAATGAAGTGGTCATCCTTGCAGAAGCAGGCACTTGCGGCGCCTCGAACAACAGTGAAAAAGAAACAAGAAAGGAAAGTATATCGAAGTTAGGTGCGGAAAAGAAGAGAAAGAAGTCAATCGAAGGTGAAGCTCTCTCACAAGCGCAAGAGAAGCAGCAAAAAGATTTCCAAGCTAGCAGAAAATTTAGAGCAAATCTCTTGCTTCTACACGGACTTGCATCCCCCAGACTTCGAAATAGGCACCGGACGGTCACCAAACCATCAAACGACGGCGCCGGCAACCTGGGCGAAAATTATTCGTCTTCGTGGGTGTTTGATCTCAGAGTCACCATAGAGTCCTTCCTTCAGCAAGTCATTCCATCAGCACGCAAAATGACGACATCCAAAAGTGCACCTGCTGAGTTGTCCAATCCTGGAAAGAGCAAACCTACCATGCACGAGGACATGTTCGTCATCGCATTAGTTGCAAAGGAAGTAGCGGAAAGCGCGGAAAGCGTGTGGGGAGAGAAAGAGCCTACCAGAAATCAGAAGCTTGCCATAGCCGAGCTCACGATACAAGAATTCGTAACAAATCTCTCTGGGAAGCCGCTCATTTCTACTGAAGCAAGCAGAGTATGGGACCAGCCGCAACTCATGCAGGCCTGCGTGGTAGCAGCAGCAAAATCTGCCGACCCTGCCGCCTACTGTCCGCCTTTACGCCGCATCAATAAGATCAACGAATCACCAGGTGACTCCTATAGAGCATTACTTGAATACAGTGAAAAGCACTGCTATCTTGAGGAAATCCAGTCTGACGACGAGGACTTCTTCTTCCAGTCACTTTCACCTCCCAGAGGCCTAGTAAGAAGCAGACAATCTGAAGCACGAAGTAGCCGTGAGCCGACGATGCACAGAACAAATAAGCTGGGAGAAGGACAATCCACAGATGGATGCGACCCTCGGGAACCACTCTTGTTACCCAAGAACAGCATCACAAGCAGAACGAGAGGAGTCAACACGGAGAAGGCACTCAAATTCCGCAGAGTAGAAGATCAAGGGGCCATCAAGGCGCAAGGAATCATGATACAAGGGAGCACCAACACGGCTTCAGCCTCCTCATCTGTTGCATCAACTCCAGCCAGCAAGCCTACCAGTCAACCATTCACACGCATTACACCAAATCTCAACGCGAGTCGATTCTTCGAAGGAGTGCACACGATGGAAGAAGAACAGCATAGTAGTGAAGAGCACAAGCATAGACATGATAACGCGCGAAAAGAGAAGAAACAACGAGACAAGGAGACACACGAGCTCTTCTTCACCAGGGAGGAAACGTCAAACAACAGCGTGATGGCAAAAGCGAATGGGAATCAAAGTGGTGACATGGACAAACCGAGGACGACCATAGTCAAGGGTAAGGTTTACGAATCCGATTCGGACACTTCATCCATGGAAGATCTTCTTATGCAAGCAGTCAACGAGTCGGGCGCATATGGCAAAAGAAGCAACAGTACTCATCTCATCGATTTTCCCAAAAAGAGCAAGAAGAAAGGGGATAACAGCAAGGAAGTAATGATGCCAAGAGAGGGTCGAAGCGGGACCCCGGAAGTACATTCGCTCAGCCACAGTCGCAGATATAAGTCGATCGTAGATGAGATGGCCTTGGAAATCGAGCAGAAATTCGATTACGTCATATCCTTCAAAATAGTACGAGTTCCTGATAATTCCTTCAGCAGTAGCAGAACATCATATGCTCTAGCCGCGGCCAAAGGCAAAGTACTACAACTAGTGATGGACAACGCAGAAAGCCAACTAACAAAGTCCGGGTGTAGAAGCACAATACATGCAATAGTCGACGCTGCAGCGTTACAAAACGAAAGTGCTAAATTTGATGAATTTCAGCTCAAAGCCCTGGCTACGCTCGCAATCCGAAACTTCACTACCAGAAGCAATCAGGAGGCTAGCATGATTAGAGGAGTCGGCGTAGGAAGTGGAAAATCAGGCTGGACTATTGATGAACCTCTGCTTCAGGATGACATAGTGCGCGCAGCGATCATAGTAGAAGCATTGCAGAAAAGTGAGACGGAGACGGTAACCAGAAACAAAAGCATTCGTATTCCAGAAAATAAGGCAACAACATACTTCTTCGAGCAAGATCAGGAGTATCAGGCGCTCTTAGTTATCACTGGCAATTGCGTAACAGCAATCAAAGTGATCCCAGCTGAGTTCAATGCAGACCAGGTAATAACAGCTACGCATATGAAATACAATGTTCGGCGAAAGCCGGCAGAAGATAGCAGCACAGGGTCAGAGATCCCAATTGCAATTCAACTGGATAGCAGCGAAAGCGAAGCTGATGAAAGCAACCTGCATGGAGAGTCCGGACATGGAACAAATCTAGGCATCTCCACCCTGATGGACGGAAAAATAGCTACCTACAAAACCATAAAGCCGAACGAGAACCAGTGGACGACATGTCTAAGCCGATCCATAGTGGCCGAACTACAATATTTAGTCCCGCCAGAAATACGTCAAGAGGACATCCAAGAGGTTGCATCTAGAGCAACAAAAATACTGGAGCAGCAAAGAGGAGAAGCTGCCACCACATCCATACAAAATCAGGCCCTTAAGACAATGCTATCGGAGCAGTTCCTCCAAGGATACGCACATCCCAGATACATAATGTACTGGCACAACCCAATGTGGAGCGACGATCTTCTCTTTGCAGCTGCAATCATCAAAACGATAGATGAAGCAGACGAGTCTACGAGTAACAAAGCAAGGTCTATTGTACTACAACAGATCGCCCCGCCAGGAATCCCCAAGGGTGCAACCAGCTTTCAGCTGTTACTCGAGAGCGAGGGAGACGAATTTAGGATGATGGTGGAAGAAGAGTTTGAAGTAGAAAGCGGATTGCTGCGCCACCAGGCAAACGCACTCCCTAGCCCTCCAGCAGGAGAAACAGGAGACGCAGTAAGGAGTAATCCTGCTCGACGACTAGCCGCACAAGCTCCAGAGGTTAAACAACACTTCGAATCGGAAGCAGATAGTAGTAGAATGAGAAGGAGTGACCAAGATGAAGAACAAGGGCAAGGAAACGCAGCGGCAGGAAACCAAGAAGAAGACTTGGCAGGAGTTTCCCATGAAAAACGAACAAGGTCTACTCTAGAAACAAATGATGGACAGCAAGCTTCAAGATGCTTCCCGCCGCGGAATCAAAGGACTAACAATTCTCCTGTGCCGCATGGCAAGCATGAACTTTGGGGGCACTCAAGGAACCCGCAAGATGACGAATCATTACATCTACCACTGCCGAACTGGTCTAACTCGCCTACATACAAAGCAATCATCAAGGACATCAAATTCGAAAGACACGATATGTGTCACAACTCTCCTGCTGTAGCAGGTAGAGCGCCCCTTCTAGGTGACTTAAGACCAAGAAGTACAGCAGACGTACAGGAATGGGCTGACCACATGCCGCATTCGCTTAAAGGAGAGCCCCTAGTTAGTCCGTACAACTTCAAAATCAAGGAAGAGGAAGCAAATCACGCACAATACGGGGGTGGATCGAATGAAGAAAAGGGAACCGAGACAAATAGCTTTCAATTCAAAACCTATCCCACGATCAAACAATGCATGGAAGCGAACGAAGTGAAAGGGGCATCGCTGAGGAGACTACGAGACGCAGAGGATAGTAGTGAAGAAGCATTCGATTACGAACTCTACGAATCAATCCTTAATCAGGAGCGATGAGGCATCCAGGTTACACGTCGCCCTGATCGTGAATCTCTTGGAAGGAGTGGACGACTTAGAACAAGCATGGATGGCCACTCTGGTGGCAGATTACTGCTCAGGACTTGCAGTTCAATTCCTTTACGAGCAAATGCCAACAATCCAACAAACGACTTCCTTCGTCGAAGTCATTAAGGACATCGTTACCCGCGAAGCAGTGGAGGAAGAAACATCGGGCATCGACGATTCACATAGCGAGAGAATCAAAAGCAGCTTCTTCACGAAATTAGGAACCATCTGGCACCGAGAAGAAGAGGCAGTAAACATCATCAAGAAAGCGCTTAGTAACGATGAGGCACCGCACAACGCTCAAGGCAAATCAAGGGCAGCAGGAAATCTCGTCATCAGCAACAACAGGAACAAGGAAATCAGCTGTAACAAGGTTTGTACCGCAAAAGAGCCACTGAGCAGCATCCTGCTAGTACTCCCAGACATAAGATCGGAACGGCATGCAGATGAAAATCGCAGCCAGCCATCTACAGCATACTACGAGAACATGATGATCGACAAAGACGAATATAACCGTATCGTCGACCTCGTGGATGCTGCGCGAGAAGCCCACGGAGACATCGTCGACTCGTTAACACAGACGTATCGAAAGCGCAACTGGCGAAGACTACATCCGATATTCAAAATGAGAAAAACCATTGATGGTAAGCAGTATATTCCAGCCGACAAATCAGCGCAGGCTTCTCATCAACAAGAAAGGCGTGATGATACTCTTGGGGCTGCTCATCAAGGAGAACAGGGCCCGCAAAACGGTTCGTGTCAATTCGACTACAGTAGCATCAGTTACAGCGACCAAGAAGAAAATCTAAACGAATCCGATCATCGAATTGAAGCAGCGACCTCATCCTGTCGACGCCAAACGGATAAGTCGCTGAAAAGAAAGTAGTTGACCAAGGAGTAAAGAAGAATGCTTCTGGGGAGAAAGAAATGAAAAGTAGACAGAAGAAGTTCTTATGCGGGTTCTACAAAGAGAACAAAGGCAAAAGGAGGGGCTGTAATGTCAAAATGAACTCTTAGATGCGTAGAGAAATGTATCGAAGACAAGGGGGCCTCAAGCTAGGGTAAAGCCCATGCGTCAGGTGTACGATTACGGAAGTCAGGAAGAACCCGAGTAGAAGAAAAGGTAACCCCTCCTCACCATGAGTCGGTCTTGAAGAAGATAAGAATATTCATCGTACAAGACAAGAAGACGGCTTCATGAATAAATATTCAATTGTCTTACGCCTCCCATATCCCGTGCTATCTAGTCAGATGCGGTCTGGATGTCTTTTCCGTATCCTCATGGACATAAGATGATGGCACAAAATCACAAGGAGAGAAAACTGGAGTGAATCTGATGCAAGGACCCGCAGAGGAGGCGTAGAGTTCAGTAGCATCGAAAACGGAGCTCCAATGATGTGAACGATGAGAGAAAGAGAGAAGAACGGAGCATCCCTGCACGACGTTGCTTTTCTTCTTAATGACTGTGCGAAAATGAATTGAAAGAACTTTATTCGATATTCTTCCTTTCGACATAGGGACCGCGCTATTGAATTGGATTGAAAAAAGAAAAAAAGGGAGAAGAAAAACACAAAGAGGCTCCACATAATCCTCCGGACCGTGGCCACGAAAATCGCCTGCCATATGGAAGCACGGTTGTTAGTGGTTTGTATGTAAGTAATCATGTATTCTTAGAGGACAAAATGGGATAATGTGCGTGAGAAACATGTGAGGTAACAAAAAAAAAAACATATGGGCGGCGCGAAGGGGTACAGAGGACGCGTGTCGGAAGTCCCCTCGCCACCGGCACAACTTTCGCCCACCGGGTTGACGAACGGCAAGGGAATCCTACGAATACCACCGGCAATCTTGTCGCCTCCTAGCCATTGGAGCCCCAGCCTTCACCGCGACAAGCAGCATGGGAAAGGAAAGAAGAGCACATGGAGCAATTCCAAGATAGGTGGAAAAGAGAAAGGACATTTCTCACGTCGACACGACGGCAAAAAAGGCAGTCTGCAAGTATTACCGCAAGCATCCTGCACATCCGCTAGTAGTAGCTGCTTGATTACGCGACCAGAGTCGGAGTCTTCGTGTAGAATCGGGGAAAGAAAGAGTGCAGAGGCGACGGTGAAGCTAGTTGCTAGGGCACAGGTAGAAACAACGACTCTCGCGCATTCCGGAGACTTCAGGAGTCAGCAATACATCATTACGCCCTCGCAAAATGCAGCAGGCACGTACAACGCATCGAAGCACAGGCCTCCCTCAGTAGAGACACTTTCTTCCTCGGCGGCAGCAGTGCGATCGAAGGAAGCAGATAAAGTAGAAGTAGAAGATCCACGATCAGGGGTGCAAAAGTCTCCTGAGTCAGGCAAAAAGCCGCCGCAAGGAACGACAGAACGATCCCCGATTAGTGAAGATTTCGCCGATAGAGACGAAAAAATGTCAGACAGAGCAAGCCCCTCCAGATCGAGGCGTGAGAACCCATCTCACTCACCATCTGCAGAGCAGTCTTCACAGAAGAGAGAGAGAGTGTATCTTAACCGAAGAGAGGTAAAAGCTAAGATTCTTTGTTCTTCTGAGATGCACATCAATGCGCATCAGCGTGTAGCAATGTGAATAATGAGGGATGATAGGACTTCTGAATGGATGAATACAGTTGAAAACAGCAAAAGCACTAATTCACTCGACTCATCACAAGAGAAACACCCTATCTATACAATCCCCAATATATCAGGAAACGCAACCTTTCGCTAGAGAGGGACTTTGCGAATCCCATCCACTCCCACTTGACAATGACGGGAATGCGAAACGCAAGCAGGTAGAGAAGGTATCGAGATTCAGAGATATCTTCAGGAAAAAGACGCTGAATTGATTTGAGTTGAATTTTCTTCCCCCGGATCCCTCAGGTCCAATGAATAGTACGAAGTAAGGTAGCAAGAGAAAAGAAGTCATTATATCTTTACTCCTCACTGATACACACATTGAGACTCAGGAGGAGCAGGGGATCATGGATGGTCGCACGGACAGAAGTAACAAATGCAGGGACGAGGGAAGAGAAGAGAATATGCGGGAAGAAGTTGCCTTCAACGAACAAGCACCTCCAAAGAAGAAAGTGCGTTTCGTGAACACGCAAGCAGTTCTCATGCCACCTTCTCATGGAACAGGTAGACGAGAAGCAGCAAGACGCATGGAAAGTAAAGCTGTGGTAGAGAATAAAGCTGCGCAGGAGGACGAATTCACCTCGGCGATCACGAGCAGAGAAGAGGCCCAGCATCTAGTATCTCGGGACGGTGAACCAGGTAGTAGTGCTGGAGAAATGAGGCACAAGAAAGTGGAAAGTCCACAGGAGCAACAGAACAAGATACAAGGACAGCGGGAGACTTTGGTTCATCTGCGGACGACCAATAGCGACGGCACGGCCCGTAGGGCGCGAGAAGAGGGAAGCAAGCCAAACGATCGTCCGCAGGCTGTCAGGAAGATGGCATCTTCAGGATCATCTTCAAATAGCTCCTCCTCTACGACCTCATCTAGCTCAAGCATAGAAGAAAGGATCAAAGGTATGGAGGATGCAGCAAAAACACAAGTCAGGAGCCCTATGGAGATGTCACGCGGTACGACCGGAGGTAATAGTAGTATACATCATCACCACAAGCTCAATACGGAAAGTTCCAAAGTTAGCGATAGACAGCAGGACAAGACGGTAAAGCAAGTAAGGGACATCACAGGAAAGCATAATCATTGGGAAACGAGAAGCACGTCTAGTGCTTCAAGAAGGAGTACGCTACATCCAGCTAACGCGATGTCGGAACGAAGCCAGCGTAATCGGCACGATAGCAGGACTCGGAAGTATGACAGGAGGAGATCAGAAGAGGATCGACAACATCAATCACAACATAGGATGCCCACGAATAGAAAATACGACGATAGAAGACAAGTGCGGAATTTCGTGAATAGGAACAGATCGAGAAGTAGGAATGAACGTAGGAGAAATGACAGCAAGGCAAATGAATACAGGGACCGGAGTAAGGAGGAGCAGGACAATAGCAAACGGACGAGGAATATGCATCATCAGACAAAAGAAGCAACAAGTAATGGGATGAAGTCATCGAAGAATAGTACAGACGAGCAGTTGCAGGAATTCCAACTCAATAAGAGTAGCAGTAGCACGACGCGTTTTCTTACATACGTCCCCAGGCAAACACCCGAGATGGAGATAACGCAACAGGAAGTAGAGGCATTAGGACCCATAGAACACGACGACGCTGCACGGAAAGAAGAGCAGACTGGAAGTGTAATGCAGTTTCCCATCGACAGGATCACTCCGGAGATGGAAGGAGCACAGCATTTAGCAGATATGGAAATCAACTCAATGGCATCTGGCACAGGGCAGCAGAACAGGGAGCACCAAGGAAACCAAGAGAACATCCCACTCCTCAACATGCCGATGACGACCCAGCCGAGCGTGGAGAGTATGCACGCCATACCTGGAAGGGCATCGAGAAGGGGTCCTGAAGCTGCCATCGGGGTGCGGCCAAGACCAGCACTCTTCGGAGGGGATAAGGCCCTCGACACCCCGCTCAGCGGGAGGAAATGGAACTTCTTTCCCATCGACTTCTTCTGGTTGGTGATTCACACCTTAGCACATGGAAACTCTCTGAAAGCATTAATCCCTTACTTCAACGTCGGCAACCACATCAAAGTAGTTTGCAGAGTAAGATTAGGACCCGGTAGGACCACACATACGATTCATCTACAACATTTGAATCAAAACACTTGTCGAGTGGAGAATGATGCAGAGGGACTGTTAGGAGCAATGATCACAGAAGTAATCAAGAAAGTAGAACATGATGCACGTTTATTCACCACGGCGCAGATCAAGGCGCATCCGACATCGTTCAGTGATGTATGTGTGAATACACCCAGACTACTACTAGGCAAAGAGTGGAAAGGGAAAGATGGACGAGTCGCACAGTGCTTCGAGAAGGAAGCGTATGGATTGAGCAATCTCTTCCACCCACCGCCGGAATACGACCCTAAGAGGCTGTTGAGATACGAACTCGCTGCTCTAGAGGTACGGGATGCAGGAAGGCCGGTGATCATAGAGATGGAGGATGATAAACATGAGGATCGGCCGCCGCAACTCCCTATAGAAGACGCGCGTCAGCTACTGGCCTTGGAGAATGGAAGCGTGCGCAATCAAGTAGCGCCATTTCCTCCGATGAGCACCCCTTTTTGGGATCTTCAACCTAGTGTAGCCAACATACGGAACGCAGGCCCCGCATCCTCCTCTTCCGCACTCAGCTTCAATACAGGATTAACAGGACAACAGCAATTCTACAACACCTTCAGGACACCTGCAACATCGTCGCACTTTCCCAGCATCCTGGGATGGAACGGCGCTGCATCTCAAGCAACTAGTGTATTCTCTCATCCAATGGCTTTATCTGGGTATTCCGAGATGAATAGTCTTGCACATCGGAGCAACATCATGACATTGACACAGCAACATCGATCAGCCAGTCAGAGCGACTTCGAAGGCAGGAAACGCAGGAAGGGCAAGAAGCAGCGTAGCACGAAAGTAGATACCTCGGATAGCGAATCAAGCAGCTCAGCAGGATCGAACAGTAGCGACGAAAGAGAGCAAATCAGGAAGACGAAATTGCTGCTCAGAAAGCTCGAGAAAGATCGGAAAAAGCGCAAACATCGATGAAGATGAGCTTGCGAGGAGAGACATGATGGCGCAAGGGACGACACTTTGTATCATTCCAAGAAATTAAAAACCTCATAATTTAAAGACTAAAAATATGAACATTACCAAGGAAAGAGAGTATGTAGATGCATGATAGAATAGAGCAAAGTTATTGGTCTGCACAGGTTGTCCATTTGCCATCACCGCGCATTCGTTCCCATGAGAGCAACGGGCATTTCAAAATTTCTTACACCTCAGTAGTATTGATAAATCTGAGTCGACGAAGAAATACAAGAAGAGACGAGGTCATAATGACGAAGCGAATTCATCGTGAAATAAAGTACACGCAGCGAACACGGTCATATGGGCAGAGCATGAGGAACTACGACGTCGAGGAGGATGCACTGAAGATCGCTCGAGAAGGTAGCATGAAGGACAAGAACAAAGTCAGTGAGTGAATTAGAAAAAGGAGCGAGAGAGAACCAAAAACATATTCCTCTAGGGGATTGTCTATTCCCTTTCCTCTTGAAGAAGGGTCAAATCGAACTTCAATTGGAACAACCCTTATCAACTGGATTCAACTGGATTAAAGAGGCATTACGCGGAAAATGTGTCTCAGATGAGTAGGAAGAGAGGCATGTAATCGCAGCACTCTGCTATGCAGCGGCTCACTGGCACGATGTGCGTGTGGATATGTGGCAGCTATTACCTGTACGAGCAGAGGCGGGCAAGACACAGCGCAAGTGTGATGCCGCTCTACGAATGGACGCGTGTCTGGTTAAGAGTAGTGCGGAAACGTGTATTAACAGCATGGCATGAGTTTCAAGGGATAGCAGTTGATAATTTCGTAAAATGTCAAGTATACGACCGCAGTAGCGCAATCTGGATTTTACTCTTCAACCTATTCTGCGAGATAGAGGCCCGTGCAATGACACGGGATTTTTGGCAGAAAATTATGAGTGGAGCAGGTCAACACTTCGTGACATCACGTACAAGGGAATGCCGCTGGGGATTTGACATGTACGTGGATGATACGACCAGCACAACGTTTTCCCCTTGGAGCACCCTCATCACGAAGCAGGTGCAGCAGAGTGTACTTCGAGCGATTAGGAGCAACTATCGTTCCTTGACCGCGAGGATAGCACCTCGGGAGAGCGTGCGAGAGCCTGCGCATGGACGAGCCGGGACTGACCTGACTATCACGCATGACACTCCAATGGAAGGCAGGTTGAGAACGCACAATAGAACGGCGAATCGATTAGCAGTAAGCAGGGACAACAGAGAGCGCAACTTCGCAAGGGGGATCGGTAGATGTACAAGGTTGGCAAACCCTTAGTGAAACGAAAGGAGAAAACATTATATGAAAGAAATCTTACCAAGGTAAATCAAGCATGAGGAAGGAGCACACAAATAATACGCCATTCACGACAGATCCATCTACAATCCTGAGGAATCAAAACAAGAAGAAAAACATGTGTTGCAACACCAACGGTTGAAGTTGGATCCATCTTTCCGAGACAAATTCCCATGTTATAGGGAGTGAGCGTCGATGGCTAAAAGGAGTCAACTTGCACTGCAATGCTGCTTGTATGACCGTGATCGGGGTGTGCGTGTCGCGATGCTGTTTTGTAATAAAGGGACCCTAAAACAGGATTGCGACCCGCAGCAAAATGGTTAGGTATTCAAAAAAACAGGATTTTTAACAGCTTCAATGAAAACCTGAACGAAGTAAAGGAATAAGCAGCAGTATTAGAAGGATTCTCCATTGTGGTTGAATCGAATAAAGCGCGGCCGAATCAACAAAATGGACCCCCAGCAAGCTGAAACGCAATCGTGATGGACTGGAAGGAGCGACTACGGAAGGTAAACCTGCGGAGGAAAGGTGTGCTAGAAAAGGACGAGCACGAACCTCATGCAGGAAGAAGAATCAGGCCGAAAGCGGTAGCTTCTCGCGCAAGAACGGAAATCCGAAATGATTCGAGTGATCCCGTGCAGCTAAGCGAGGACAAAGCCATAGCGCCATCGACAGCAGCTGGACCGAAGGACGGAAAAGTCGAGGAGGCACAAGAAGAGGCAGCTGACCCAAAAGGGAAACAAGGATATGGCTCTGACAAGTATGCCATGGACTTCATTAGGAAAAAGCATCCAGATGTCGATGAGTGGAAAAAGGAAGCTAGGGACGAAGTAGTACGGCAAGTCATAGGACTGTCAAAGCAAAAGAAGATGGAGCCAGGGCCGGCATTTGACAGAGAGATGGTGAAAACAGCTCACAGAGGAAGACCAGAGACGTGGGATCCCAACGGAGTCAAGTATACGCCAGGAATGTTCCGGAACATAGAAATAGACAATCACATCATTCAGAAACAGATAGACGCACTGAAAGCAGAAGTAACGGATAAAAATCCCAAAGAAGGTGAAAGTGGTAGATAATGAGCACATGGATATCTGTGAAAGCAGGTCACTAGTAATGAAAAGAAGAGCGAATAGATAAACACGTGTGAAAGACAGCTGGATACGAAGAGAAGGAGCACTAAAGTGTGATTGTCTTAAAAGGCCAGCCCTGTTACATCAAACTTCTCATTGCCTTGGAAAGCACGATCTGGAATGATAATTCTTGGATGAACAATCGAAAAGAGGTAGCCCTTAGGAAGGTAAAGAAAGGAGGCAGTAATAGATCATCGAATCGAAAAAATCGCAAAGATCATTAGGAGATGAGCTTCCACGGTAGCGAAAATGATCCGAACAAGCAGAGCTGGGTCGAGGACTAGATTAAAGGCGCAGACGCTCCAATGAACATCAAATAAAATCGAACCGATTGAGAAGTATTGAAATAAGGAGACCAGGAGTGGTGAAGCAGAGGGTAGATGCAGAATAGGGCGGAACTAGATGAGTGAAGAAAAGATCTGAATTGCAGGTAGGTAAGACAGATAGGTAGGTAGAAAAAGAAAAAACATGATGGATCTCGTGACACCGGTGAGTGGTGCGGAACGAAGAGCAAAGGAACAGGGGAGCAACAGCGGAGATAGCTACAGGCAAATGGATGGAATAACAAGTCCCTGCAAGTGTGCAAGACACGATCGCAAAAGGACGTAGTGTATATGCATGCTCGAGGGTAAGCAGCACGCAAAAAGAAGTCGAAGAGCAGAAATCGGTTCAGAGAGAAAAACTTATCACCAGTAAAAATAAAACCCAAAAATCAGCAAGTGCCGCAGCATTGGGCCGTCTAGGACATTGGTCGTGTCGAAAGTATGGGCGATGGTGACTTAAGAAGATTAGCATAGTTAGACAAGAGTACTATTAACATTGGAAAGGAGAGATGGGTGCCCAAGATCTTGCTAGTTGAATGTTGCAAGTAACTTGGTGGTAGATAGAGTATATAGATAGCAGCGCCCCAGCTCCTTTTGTCACTGTCACTCGCGCTTTGGCTCGTGGATCGGTGTTCTGGACGTAAAAGCACGCGTGCCAGCACGGATACCCACACGCTCCAGTGATGCCTCAAGTCGGACCTTTCTCGGAAGAATAAGAGATCGGGGGCTGTTGGTGTCAGACTCGGTTCCACATGGTAGATTCGTTTACCTGGTGTGCCGTTTTTTGTGGCTCTAGTCGACTACGCCCAGTGATGGGGAGATGGAGTCGCGCCAATGAATTGAATTGAATACTATTGCTGAAGTACTAGTACAAGAATTGAGGAAGAATCTGTATGAGCATTCGGCGTTTTCGGAAAGAAAATGTAACTCTTTCACTTTGATGTCTTACGAACACGAAGTTAGTCACAATTCAAGTTGATTAAAGTTATTTCTATCTGCGACTGGGAGTTGCTTGACTCACGAAGACTTGGTCGTGTGTTCGGGTGATGTATCGGTAATAGGTGGTAAATACTTGCAGAAATTCCATCTCCACTGAATTCGGAAATGGAATCGCTCGAACTTCCGGACTTCTGTTGTAACGTTCGATTGTGGACATCGGCCTCTGTCCACTAGCCACTGCTCGTAGCAACTCTACGACTGTCGCTACTTCTATGTTGAAAAAAATGTCTATTTATCTGTATCATGCCAGATTGCGAGGGCCATGTCGCATTTTATGATGGTAGTTCCGAACAACCCCTCGAAAAGATTCACCTCTGCTACTTGTATCGATATCGGGTAAGAGAGAATGAGTGCCTCATCGCCACCTCCCTACGCTTGTTGTCCAAGAACAAAATGGATGCCTCACCCCCAGCACCGATTCTAGTAATACTATCAATCTTGTGACTTCTCTGCTCGTTACCATTCTTTCTTGTGTGCTATGCATGCATCGCTACAAAATCAAATGTGATACTAAAACTACGCTCGTATAGACATAAACGTGCCGGTGTGCAGAAATAATGGTTGTCTTCTATTGCTGGGTTAGTTAAAGAGTTAGGCTAGTCCGTGGTAGCAAGTTTGGGTTGGTCTATAGAAGCATCGCGCAGCTGGTTGTGAAGTGTTTCTCTTCCTTCTTTGTGGTTACTTCTTTTTTTTCTTAGTCTTTCACTTGTCTGTTGCTTGTGAAACGTACCGCGCCCGAATTGGTGGCCAGAAATTGCTTCTGAAATCTCCAAAATCCAAAATAGGAGGTATATGCTATCTTCATGGTTTTAGTAAAACTTTGTGATAGGCAGCGAGCTGTAGATTTGAAAAAGGGGTGGTCGTGCGCCTGCTAAGATTTTTAGCACAGGAGAATTGTACAGTTGGAGCGACCGGCGTTCGTACTCGTCCTCGACGGCCACGACGAGGCAGTACTGCTGACACGGCTACAGCTCCTTCAGCGGCGTGATACCGGTAATTCCCGTAGGTGAGAACGCTCACCTAATAAAGATCGGCTGCTACGCTTGCAGGATCGGTTACACACGCTCGCCGTCATCGCACACCGCTTTCAAACTAGGTACTAAAAAGCAGGGAAGTACAAAAACACCTTGTCAACTTCTTGCATTTCGGCAGTCGTTGTGCTGTTAACAATCGCATTGCTTTTCGAGACTCGTGGTGTTGCCTGATTGCCGCGAAGTAGCTTGAAAATTCGGCCTCAGGCAGCTGAGAAACGAGCGCGCCCGCTTCTCGCGAAGGATACATCTTCTTCGTAGAAGTACTGACTTGTCTGTGAGGACAACAGGAACTAGTACAGCAAGATGTTGGTCATTGTGACGGTTATCTGGGACGACCGCGTCCTAAAAGTGGACGTGAATACGAAGAGAAAACAGTCTCACCTGAAACAAATCCTTGTCAAGGAACATGGCATGGATAGAACATACCGCCTCATGTTCAAGGTATGTATAGACATCATTTTTTTTCTCTAGAAGTATGGTTGCCTCTTGGAGAACACGTTGATGTAAGCTGATTAATATTTTGAGGACTTGCTTGTTTTCAGGAGCTAGTACCAACATACCACTTGGTTTTTGCGACGTTCTTTTTAGATTGTGTCAATTTCGTGTCCTAACTTACTCGTTTCGCAGGGTCGGGAACTGGAGGAGCGACCATTAGATGAGCAGGGAGTTGCAGACAAAAGTGAGATAACGGTCATAAAACCCGCAGGTTTCCAAATAGCAGGAAAGGAGAGACCAAAGAAACAGGAGCTGGGTTACATGCCTCAGGTAAGCCTTTACAAACCGTTAATACGAATCAATACTTGCACTTGACCAAAAAAATCCTGCTTGAGGCAAGAACAATAAACCTGTGATATATCAACCCGCAAGAACTGCTACAAGCAGTAGCGAGAGGACGATTTTCACTTTCCACAGTCGCTTACTCCAGGTTCTAGTGGACTTGCAGCAGCATTTGTTGATGAATCCGGAAATTATGCAGCAGATGATGAATAGTCCAGCAATGCAGAGTCTTCTTAACGACGACAAATTCTTGGAGAGCATAATGAAGATGAATTTATGGCTTCCACCACGACCTGTGCACGACATAAGTAAAAATTTTGTCAACTGCTTAGTGTCATTGTGACTTCGCAGACGAGATATGCTTGTTCATGTAAGTTGTTTTTCCGTGGTGGAAATCCAATTTACTCGGTATGGGTATGTGAGGCACTTCTTGGCGTAAGATTTTCTAGACGTTTTTTTGACTTTCAAGAATGAATGATCATGATCATGATGTACTGTTTTGTGCGTTCATTCTTGCCAGCCGTGCGCATGTCTTTGGAGACGAATCCTGATTTTGCAGATATGCTGAAGCGGGACCCGGAATTTAGGGAACAAGCGGGTGAGGCGTTCAGAAATCCAAGTACGATGCGTGAGGTGCTGCAATCAACTGAGCTCGCTGTGCAGGAGCTAAAAGGAGTTCCGGGAGGCATAGAGATGATCACCAGCATGTATCAGCAGCTAAACCTGCCACCAGAAGACGAGAAGCCGCCGCCAGAGGAAGACGAGGAAGAACGGCAGGCAAGACTCGAAAGGGAAGCAGCCGAGGGCGTACCAAGAATCTTGTCTCTTTGTCAACATTCTTGAGCAACGCTTTTCCTTCTCACAACTTGATTTTCTGGTTCCAACAATCTGCTTGTATCTATGTCTTTCGATCGAGATGATCATTAAAACTCAGCCGGCGTAAATTAATGTAACCAACAACGAATCCGCCTTGATTTCCAATCTGTTCCCAAATTGATCCAGCTGCCAGCATGGCATACGGCATGCGACTCGAATGCAATGGCAAGTATGATGCAGGATCCCAACTTGCAGCAATTGATGGCGCAGTATATGGAAACGACGGAGAGAGATAACGAATGCTTCTCTAACTCTGCTTTTGTAGCAAGTCTCTTTAGACCACAAAACATGCAAGCCATTGCCAGTATGGAGACCGCAATGAACGCTATGGTAGGTCACTTATTTCCTGTAGTATGTATGATGTTGGTTTATTACGACTACCGATTCTCCTTGCTTGTTCTTGTTTCCCGGTAACATCAAAAAGCTTTGTCACACTTCAAACTACGGTGACGAACTCGCTCCTCTTACAACTTACAATTCTACGTATACCCTCACTGCATAATCCAGGTAACAGCAAAGCAGAGAGAGGAGATGAAAGTGACCCCTGGAAGCCAGTTTAACAAGACTTTCGACACATTCCTTGAGGCGCAAAAGGAAAACCCGGAGACTAAGTACCGAACGCAACTGACGAAAATGCGGCACACGGGTTTTACGAATACCGCAAAGTGCATCGCGGCGCTTGAGGAGACAGGTGGACAAGTGCAGCCGGCGATCGAGATCTTGCTGAAGCAACAGTGATGTCGGATTGTTGGGAAAGAGCAACACTCTTAGGGTGGTAGAGGTGGAGGAATCATGTTTGATTAGACACTGTAAGAAAGTGCTCTGGTTGTTTCTAGTGAAATTAAATCTGCTTAATATTAGGATAGTAAAAAATTAAGTTAGTTTTCCTACAACTCGTAGCAAATCGAAATCACATGTAGTAGAGGAGATGCGCGGGCTTCACTCCTTGTTGTTATCGTCTAATTTATATCGTTGTCGTTACCGTTAGATCATAGGAAGATTGTCTCTAAAGATTTTTGGGAAAAAATAGAAGCTATCGTTGTGTAAAGTGGAGATCCCTGTGATTCCAAAAGAGGGACCCGCTACTATTCAAAATCGTTGATTTATCCTCCTATGCTTCCAAAGACTAAAACTCCGAGTATTTCTGATCCCTTATTCAAAGAGTTAGAGTTTGCTAAGCAGACGTTTTGCAAGACGAGCCTTATTCACAGAGAACAAGGAACAATACATTGAACAACGAGTGATATCGATCCCCGTGACGAGTAAGTACTACCACTACAGGAAAATAATATGGTAAGGCCAATGGTCTTACAAGCGATTACTTTGGACAAGACAAGTTGTAGTACGAAGATCCATGATGACAGAGAAAGTTCTGAAGTAGTAGAAAGCCAGGCTTCTGCATTCTTGTACCACGCATCCGCGTTTTTGTTTTCTTCGGGTCGACGCAGCTACAAGATCAGAAATTGTCGCGTTCGACTTGACTGCGTTTGTGTAGGGGCACGCAGCAAGATGTAATCGCTCTGCACCACCGTTCCGCGATGATTGAGAGCTTTGTATCATGCGTGGATAGCGAAATGGAAGTTCGATTGTCGATCGAAGAAAATGAAACAGAGTTTTTGTCCTTTCCTTCATCAAACCTAAGCCCCATACTTCCGACCCGCTGTGAAAAGATTATAGTCCTCCTCTAGACGGTGGATGAAACTAGCAATTTTTAAAGGTAAAAACATCCCACAGGCGTAAAAAGGAGCTGTTTTCCCGTTCGCGCTTCATTTAGGGAGGATTGACTGATGAACAGAAGAGAACTATATTACAATTCTAGATGGAGTCGCTTTTTTTGGTTCACCCTTCCCTGATCATGCGTTCTTTTCTCATTTAGTTGTATGTTTGACTAGGTAGAAACGAGAAAGTCATGGGCGCGTGCTTCGGCAAGAAGCAGCCGAAGCAGCCGGGGCAGTGGCAGGATGCAGAGGATGAGAATTATGCGAGGCGACTTCAGCAGCAGGAAATCGAGCTAGCACAAGGCAGAGGTGGTCGAGGTGGAAATAGAAAAGGCGGCAGAGGAGGCTCACAGCCACTAGGAAATGGCCAAGTACTTGGTAGTGCTGGGGGTGCGCCGGGCTCACCACAGTCCGCAGAGGAGCGGAGGCGGCTGCAGCTCCAAGCGGCTGAGGCGCGCGCGCGACAGTCCGCGGGACGCGGCGGCGTGAGTGAGAAACGTGCGAAGGAGTTAGAAGAGCAGCAAGTGAAGGAGGATCTCATCGGCAAGATCCAAGCATACTGCGCGATGCGGAAAAAAGACGAACCGCTGGGTCTTCGACTCGCCACAGTCGACCAACTGCGGGATACTCTACGCCAGTTACAAACAGGAGTCTAGGACTAGATGGAGTTCGTCATTGCCTCAAGACTATCGTTGTACAGAGACGCGAATTCATTCGCCTGTTCGAAACAGAAACTTGGAGCAGCTAGCTCTGTCTAGGCAGCTTTGTAGTGCGCCGAGAGTACAATGGCTGAGTCATGAAAAATTTATGATTTTTGTCGCAAGAAGTCGACCACCAGAATGTCTACTAATGAACAACAATATGATTCTATGTAAATTAATACGCAGAAAGAACCAGTGAATGATACAATCCCCTAAACAGATGAAGCCACTGAATAATACCTGCCTTGTCCCCTTCCTCCTATTGTACTATCAAGATCTATTCCCACTGACGCCTCTAACAACCCTAGTGTCCATGCCATTTTTTGCCTCTTTTTCCGAACCTCTCGTGTCCCGTTGTTATCAATGTATGCGATTATCTGATGTTCCTATCCTAAGACGGTTTCAGGCGATCCTATGATCTCGAGCGGAATATTCGTGTGATGGTAGAAGTTGTGTAAAGTTGGAATGAAATAGATCATGTAGAACTCGAGAACCATGTGATCCTGGCTCACGGCGGCTTCTGATCAGTCAGGACGATCACGGAACGATCTGTCAGTTCTGCAAAGACGATCTATTCTGCACTGATCATGATTTGATCATTGGGAAATGCTCGTATCGTTTAAACAACGACAACTGGAAAAACCGATCGAATGAAATGAGCAAATTTAATATTACCTGATGCGCCAGGTTCTCCAGAGGAAACACCTTTAATATTACCTGATGCTACAATCGGTCTGTGGTATTTCGATCCGAACTAAGAAGCGGATCATTATGGAGGACCTAGTCATTGATTTGCTTTTCTTTGAAGCTACTTGAATGAATTACTGCAACGCAACATTCTTACCTGATTTGCATACCCCAAAAGACTAGCAGGTGCAGGTTGCGGGTTTCCACTGATTAGTTGGCAATATGCGCTTCTCTCAGTCTCGCACTCGCTTGAGTTGTTTCACTGGGAGTCATTGTGTACGTAGCTTGATTCCAGGTCGATAAGCGTGAATTTTACATTAAGTACAATGTTGGAGTGTGATCCTTGAATACGTGCACCTAGTGCGTACTTTGTATGAAGATGCTGATTCATTTTTGTTAGTAGTCTTGTGCACAAGCTTACGCATGTGCGCCATCTAGCCTTGAACTCGACGACGACAACGCAAAACTCTGGGATACTCTGTTCTGCCAAAGAAGCAGGACGAACTCTCCCACCGATGCACCTTTTCACCCAGCAGCATCTTTTTTAGAAGCATTGAAATTGGCCGAGCTCAGACCTTTGAATGACGACAGAAAGGAGCGAAAGCAGCGACTGAATTTCCAGAATTTTGGTAACGAGAGATTTCTATCGACTGAAGGCCTCTCAGAGAACACTCGCGCAGCGAAGGTGCCACCAGCAAAACAGATTTGCATTACAGAAGGACACGACGAAGACGGTTGAGCTCCCCGAGAAAACAGTATGAGCGTAGGCGACCAAGAAGGTGCGCGCGGCGCCGCGCAGGTGCTCGTGCGTATGCTGGAGAATGCTGGAACGGCACAGACTGCAGTAGAGCTAGCGCAGGGTTCCGAGTTGTCCATTGACGAAGTGGTGCACGGAATCAACTTTTTACTGAAGCAGCAGCGAATTGCGGCGCATTCTGTGCCGAACCCCGCGACCGGCGGCAAAACCTCCAAATTCTCGCTGGTCAACGAAGAAACCAGTGCGCGCTTGAAGTCCCTCGCGCCTGAGCAGAAAAATGTGTACCAGCTCATTATGGATTCCAAGGATCAGGGAATCCAGACTAAGGACTTGCAAAGAAAAACTTCTTTGCCTTTGGCGCACGTGAAGCAAATCTGCCTGAAGCTGAAAGAGCGCGAAATGGTCCGGGACATCAAGCCTGTCCACAGTAAGCGTACTGCGGTTTGGATAGGCTGGAACGTCACGCCATCTAAAGACATAGCAGGCGGTCTCTGGTACCAGAACGGCGAACTCCAGGAAGCACAGATTGAAAACTACAGGACTGCGGCATTGCAGGTACTACAGGAATAACTTTATCTTTTTTGTTGACAATGTTTGCACATCATGGACGTCGTTTTTGTAAAGGCTCCTGCCACTTCCTTGATGTTATTTACTGAGATTACAGCTCCTTGCCCTTTGCCTTTCGTACTGAATAAATTTATTACGTTGCGCAAACACTCTCACACACGATTCTGTCTTGCCTTTTGTTTACTTCCCGTGTTCACCTTCCAGGTCTTGTCAGCGAGGCCTGATAGAGCGTGGACGTTAGAGGAGATCTGTGGTGCTGTCCGACAGCCGAATGAGACCCAGCGAATGCGACAGATCTTGCGCACACTAGAGTTAGACTGCATCATAGACAAGGAGATGTCAATAGATCTCGGTCTTGGAGGGAATAATAGCAGTAGTAGCTCATCCTCCGCGATGTTAGATCCCTTGGGAGGAGGCGCAGGGCCAGGTTTAGGTGCAATCTCCTCATCAAGCATAGTGCCGAGCTCGAGTGCCATAACTAGGTGGAGGATTCGAGAACGACATTCGCTGTACTCTTTCGATGTATTGCGGGATGTGCCGTGCATGCGGTGTCAAGTCAGGAGGCAGTGCGATAGTGCCACAGTTTTCTCAAATTCCACTCCTAACCCCAGTAGCTGCAAGTATTTGACGCGGTGGCTGTACTTAAGTACCCCAGGCGATGAGGAGGACGAACAAGACGATCCAGACGCACCTGGTGGGGCGCTTGTTGCGGATATGGAAGACATCAGGTAGCATATGACCACTGTGAATTCCAGAAGAAATTTTCACCAGTAGCAGTACTTCATCTGCCTCTGCATTATGAAGGTGAATGCGCGGCTGTGTCCCTTGCATTTGATGGTACTCGGTATGTGATAAGTCCTTCCTCAGATATCCATTGCTGACGACCTTTGTTTTTTTTTCCCTTACTTCTATCCTCACAGAAGGTCACAGTCTGCTAGATTGGCATCTCTACGTGCTGGAGTGTCCGGTGTTGTACAGTGCCGCACCAGCTCGGGTTTGTGAAGATGTTCTTTTTTGATATTCCATTTGTTCTCTGAAATGCATACGCGTTGAGTGCGTCGCTCTGTTTTTTTCATGGCACAATCGGTGTGGTTCTCATGTACTTCCTGTGAGCCTCGCAAACAAACTCGTATTTCGGTACGGCTCCTTTTCCTGTTCGGGAAACAAGCCACCAACGCCGACGAGAGTTTTTTTTTGTGTATTTTGTTGACCACTTCGTTAACTCCGGACTGCATTAGGTCAGATCGTTGTGATGCATCGGTTTTTGGAAGGTTTTCTGCAACGTTATTCGCATGAATTTGTTACCGACCAGAGCTGTGCTCGGTGGAAAGGTTCAAAGGATCGGACTGAGCGCTTTCACATAGTACTTGTGACATTCGCAATCAGAAGATAGTGAATGTGGATCCCATTTCCCGACTGCCTCCTGCGCCTGTTTCACTTTGGGTAAAGGCAACCATCCCCGGATGTTAATGTTCTTTGGTAAATGAGTCCGCTTTTCACGTCACCTTGAATGTATTTTTTTCTTCAAGAACACGAAGACCGAGTTTGTCATCTTCAAATTGTGTGTTAGAGTTGATTCTACCTGTATTGGAGACTTGAGTACAAAAGATGGATTTCGAGTCTGGCAGCCACGACTGCTGCGTCGAAGAGGAGGAATCGGACGATTTCGAGGATCCGTTTGATAGGGCTTACTGTGATGAGCTGGAGATCGTCTCGGATGATGATGAAGAAGGTGATGATGACGAGGATGAGGATGCTCTCTGTGTCTCGCCTCTGGTTATTGAAGAGCGACGTCTGCAGCTTCTTCAATCCGCTAGAGCACGTGCGTGCGGTGGTACAGGCGGGAGAAGATTGCGCAACGCGTCAGGGCGACCAATATTCCGCGGTGACAGTTCTGATCTACTCTTTTGCGAACCTTTGCACAAAGCACTAGCCGACATCACAGCGAGCGCTGCGAATGATGCAGATGAGGATGAAATACAAGGCGTAGGCAAATGCCGACTCGCCTCAGACGTAATCCGTTGGATGAAATCATCCTTGAGATACCATGTTGCTTTTGGATCCGATTTGCCGGCTTTGAAACTTGAGCTTCGCGATGATGGTGCGACACCCAATGAGGTGACTTCTCCTCCGAGAAAAAAGCAACGCGTGGCCACTTGCAATGATGTCGGAGCGTCAAATACGTCTGTTTCAAAGGCCTTGACAAAAAGAAGCACTAGGGAACTGGCTTTACCACTGCAGCAAAATGATGTGCCAATCTTGAAAACGAAATTGGAAGAGCTCCATATCCAGAACATGGACGAGGTACGAGGAGCGCTTCTCAGTTTCGCGCAGGACCGACTCAAGAAAGACGACTGGGGAAAGGCTGAGCGTGTCGAAATAGCAAAGTTCCATCTATTTTCCAGAACAGCACGCGCGAAAGATGACGAGGGTGATACATTTTCACACAGTTTAGGCGCGCAATATCTGCAGGCTCCGAAAGGAAAAAGTGAGATAGCAGATGCTGCCAGCTCTGCACCCTCGACGCCTAAACCGTCTGCACTAAAAGTTGGCTGCACAAGCAGCAGCAGGAGCGACGTTATCGCGCGAGGCGAGGGAACCGAATCGAAGAGGCGTAAGGTGGCGGGTCAGAGTGGCGACAGCAGCGGCGGTGAAGTGGCCGACAACATCAAGATCAACTCTGAGGTGTCGCTGGTATCTGCAGGAGAGAGTGCGGGCTGCGTGGTAGAGCGAGTCGCAACGACTCCTACAATCCAGGGTGACGATGAGTGCCTGGCCCCTACGTCGAATACTCTGAGCGGAGTTGATAGACGCGGCACCGTAGCTGCGAAACCAACGCGTTCGTCCATCGTGGCTCACATCGTTCTGCTGCTGCCCAGTAAAGGAAGAGGCGATATTACGCTCACTGCGGCCGACGGGGCAACCTATGATGTGTGCGTTAGTGGTGATAAGGTGCTCCTTCTATGGGTCTACGGAAGAGAGTGCAAATTCAACGTTGCGCAGACGGCAGAGACACCGACTTTAGCTGTTTCGTGGCGCGTTTTTGAGAACTCCGACATGGCGAACTCTAAGCGACTGGAGCGTTCATTGAGCTACCTCGGACACCAGAGTTTTTTTCCGCAATTCTCGGCGTCTGAGCCACGGATCTTCCTTGAAACTAGTGTCCCTATCTCCGGTTGGTTTTTGCGCGGAAATTACGGGTGTGACAACCATAACAACATCTTGCAGGCTGCTACTGCGGATACCGCACCGGATGACGACTCCCAACTCGTGAAAGCGCTTCATGGTCTTCCCCCATACTGTTTGGTAGCCACAGCTGATGTTGTTCGAGAGAGTGCTGCTGCTTCGTCCTCCTTCTCTTTTGACGCAGGCTCTCTCCGCTTTGTCTCGAAGCTAAATATTTCGAACACGGAACAACCTGGTATTGCCTCGCCATATGACAACGACGACGTGGAGATACAATTCGGTGGCGGTGACTCTGAGGTCGACCCCAGCGTGGTCAAGAGTAATGCTTTGGTCAAACTCTCGAAGGAGCTGTGTCAGGCTGATCCGCGGAAGGTGGTCCTTAACTTCGACGATTGTGCTCGAAATCAGACGAACTTTCCGTGTAAATCTGAACAGATGAGTGCTTCACATTATGAACACTCTGTTGATCATGAGCGGACTTGTGGAAGGAGAACTGCGATACTCTTTTTTAAAACTGGAGACCTCTATGAGTTTTTTCTTCGGTTTGGTGGTATCGAAAACTTTGTGGATCTTGATAACGCGGAAAACCTCGAAAAGGTTGTGCGGAGCTGTCAAGCAAATAGCTGTCTGCCGCCGAAGTCTGTGTGGGACCGCCTGTCGCAGCATCCACACCTTTTCCCCACACTTGCTCCGACGGCTTTGATTCCAGTGATGCACCTACACCACTCTAGACGTATGACAGTGTCCGGAATGGAATCGAAAACCGATCTGGACGATACATTTATGGATGAAAGTGTCGCGCAGCAGGCAGACTATGAATATTTGGTCGCTGTGGCGGAACGAGCTCTACGCGATGTCCTTTCTCCTAGCGGAGAGTGCGGCTATAGTACTCAACTACGCTTGGAAGAAACCCGACTGCGAGTAGGCGCGGTTTTGAGGTATTTGCAAGCGGCCTTCTTTTGCGACTTCAAATTCAACGACATACGCCGCGCCAGTTCCACGGAACTCCGCAGTTCCTTCGCTTGTGTGCCAGAGGATAGGCTGCACAGGGCTAAGGCAACAAGGCTCTCGTGGTCGCTGATCGAACTTGGGCGCTCTATTGTACAGACTGCAAGTCGTGAAGACGTCATCGGTATGGTGGCCAGATACCTCGATGACGTAGATGAAGACAGCCAACGCGAGCGGTCCGAAGTAGCAGACGATGACGTGGATGCTTCACAGGAGGAGAGCGATGCATGTGCTGCAGTTGAAGAAATTGAGCAAGATTCGGTGAGCGTAGGTGGAGCTGCTGGTGAGCCTGTTTCGCCCGTGTCGTCGCATGCATCACTTGAGACGGCTCCTTCTCCCCGTGGTGCGGGTCAGTTCTGGACCAGGCACGATAGTGCTGTTCTAGGCGCTATCATTAGCGCTGCAGTTGCTGCCGAAGACGGAGAGCCTCTCCAAGCTTGGGCGGAGCTGCGGTACAAACGGTTGCCGACCCCGGTAGGCGTGCAGGAGGGGTACAACTTGGAAGGTGACCTTTTTGCAGCGCACAACATCATCATCGATTGTTTGATGGACCTGCGTCTACAACATGACACGGAGGACGTTTTTTACGGGGAAGTGTGGGATAGCGTGTCGCTAGTCAGCGGGAAAATGGTTGGTGTTCTCATCGCCCATGCCGACACCGTGGGACTCGACTGGGAAGAGCTCGGTCCTGCTTTTGTTACGGTATGCATACCGGGAAAAGGGAATTTGAGCCAGGACGGGCTTTTTCGATATTTGTCGAGTATATTTAAAGGCATTTGTCAGGAGGCGCCTTCGGGTCTCTCCAAATACGAGAAAAGTGACGCGGATCCAACAACGACGAATGGGGCGAGGGGAGCGGGTGCTTGGTTTGCGAGCAAGTTAAGGCCTTCGATAATCCATTTGATTTCCCTATGAGTTTTAGCAATTTTTTCTCTGCGATAGGCAAGGCTATATCTAGGAGGATACAGCACACCTCTAAACACGATTCGTCTCAACAGAATGTGTGCACGATTGGTTGACTGCCTGTGCAAGATCCTTGATGATGACGATCGCGGAGTTGTACTTCTTTTACTCGAGGCAATCGTGCAGAAAATTGTGCGCAGAAAAAAGTACAAGGTAGAAGAGATCGATTTGCATGAAAGAAATAGTACTGGTAATATAGGACCACAAAGCGAAACGCTGCCGGGCTGCGCGACAGAAAAGGGAAGACGCAGCAATTTTTTTCATGCGCTGTATAAGGCATGCGACGACGCCTTACATGCTTGCCCGACTTTACCCTTGCGCTGAAGAAAATGTGTATGCTGAGTATTAGGTCAAAAGTAAATTTTGGAGAATACTTCATTTAGCATTGTGTCGTGAAGCTCAGAATTGATGTAGGACTAATGTGGAAATTTGATGCTCATTTTGATATACAAAGTATAATTCGAACTCTATTTCTAGCGCTTTAGGCCTAGGTCCAGCATCGCTCAGAGCACATGCAGGAATATAGCCGGTTAGTTTTTCCTTGTCTTAGGCTATTCCCTTGAGCCAACTTGTAATGTAATTTGAACTCTATTTTTTATACGCTGGAAAAGAAGACGAGGCGCATACTTATTATGTTTACGCGATTTACGGAATTGGGGTTTCAGATCTAATTCCCTAACATGTGTATAGGGTGAAAAGGAAAACTTGATGCCAAAATCTCGTGATAGACCATCATAGAAACTATAGTCACCGAATCTCAACAAAGATAATCAATAGACTTCTGTTATCGCAGCTCCAAGCTGGGCTTCCGAACGGAGTGGATGGATGGAACTCAAGTGGCACGCCAATTTTAGGGAACAAATCGAGACTTCTAGAATGAGTATTCATATTGTCCGCGTGCGCCTGGCGTGTAGATACGTTGGCGCAGTCTGGGTCCTCTATGACATTCGCTGTCGGGCACGGATGGCTTGATACTATCAACGCAAGATGATGACAGAGATGACACTTTTACAGCTAAGAGGATGAGTTAGATTTTCACTTTCTACGGCCTACAGCTGCTATGGCCGCTAGAAATTCAAGGGGCCAAAGCTTCCGACTTCGATTGCTTGTTGCGTTGAGATTCGTTTCGTATTTAAATGCGTGTGAACAACTGGAGAGGATGACCTCCTTGAAAAAAGACAGGCACCTAGCCTTCGTAGTATTTGCAAAGAAACGATCACTTACAAAAGATCAACGGAAGGGGTAGTATTCAATTCTGCTACAAGATCACCACAGCAAGAGTTGAGTTACGGAACAAGCGACCAGAGTTCGTCTGACTACAGATCAGGGCTTCTCCTGTTCTTCAAGCAACTGAGTAGATCTAGATCCCAAGGCGCCTGTGGTGGGCAACGCATGCTTGATAGGTGGCACTGGTCTTGTTTGATCGAGGATTAATATGCCAGTCGAGAAAGGTCAAGGTGTGAGTCCTCAAATGGTGATGGTTCCGGACAGTGAGCAGAATTCCAGTTCGTAGGCGATTCCGCGCGATTCTGATCACGAATTTCAAGCGCATCCTCGCGAATCGCACGTCGAGGACAACGTTGCTCCTCTTATCTGTGAAAGCGCGGCCGCGAGCAGCGCCGGCGATTCTCTCGGCACGAACGGTGAACCCGATGCCCGTGACGATCGGCATGTTGGAACGGAACAGGTCGTGACTGATCGATCGAGCACAATCAAGCGCGGACCATGCTCGAGTGGTGATTCGGTTGCAGATAAGAAGAGGAAAATCGACGATGCCGTCTCTGTTGCAGCCTCCTCAGATGGAGCTGCTAATGAGTGCGATACTGCTTCTGGTCAGAATGCAACTTCGTCTTCGAGTTTCGCTAGCAGCAGTGCTAGCAAAATGTTGTCACCTAAACCTGCGGTCGAAACCACATCTATTGTTGTCCGTTGCTCCGCAGGGGGTACTAGATGCGGAGAGAATCTGTCGCCGGCCTCAAAAAAGGAGCGCGCAAATTTAACAAGTGCTCTCTTTTTTGAGGGAGACCGGCATGATGTGGAAGTCGCAGGGGCGGACTTGCGTGGTTGTTGCGTCGATCGTCAAAGTTTCGATTTGCAAAAGATCTTTGGACGCTTCGAGCAGTGGAAGAGGCGCGGCCATAAACACAAGGAGCTCATCGGACAAGTGCTCTGTGACCCAGTTGCTGTAGAAGCTCTTGTCGTCCGAGTAACGGGCTGGCGCTGTGCAGATGGGAAGAACTCGCGCACTGGGGGTTCCGTGGAGATGCCCACGTGGAAGAGCTTTAGCGCGGCACCTACTTACCTTGATTGCGATGAATAATCACGCGCGGGAGATTATGGAAGTGTGTGGCTCGCCGTCAGTCTATGCAGAGCTACTCAATGGCCGCGGGTGCCATCTCGTGAGTGCTTTGAAAACGCTGCTCCATGGGCATTCGCGTGTCTCCGAAGAATACTTCGGATGGACTGGCACAGACTTTTTTACCGATTTGAAGAGCGCGTTGGAGTTTCTCTTTCCTACACAAGATGATGTTGGTCGCGGGCCACTGGCGAGAGGCTTTTGCATGACCCAGGCAGACGCAGACAAAAACGCGCGCGCACGTTTCGTGTTCGCGCAAGCGGAGCTCCATCGCTATTTGGGTGGCGACAGCTCCAGTGCAGCTACAGCCACAAAATGTCGAAGGACGAGACGCTGGCTTCAACACGCGGAGTTCCAATAACGGTCGATGGCATTGCCGTACGGACACCAGACAAAGCGCAAGACCAGTACTCAGGTGACCTTCTCGACGACACTGCCGAAGGTCTAGCAAGGGCCGCGCGCTTGCGAGGGTTGTGCGGAAAAGTTTTTGCTCGCGGTTGCAGCAAATTGGCGCTTGGAGCCTAGTTGCAAGCGCTTTTTCCATTTACAGGGTATCAAAGATGTTCAAGGTTTCGAGTTGGATTATGTATGAGTCTCACTCGTAAGATATCCTGGAAGAAAATCTGAAGTGGATAGATACGACACTTTCTTGTTCTTTGGTGCTATCAGCTGCAATTGAGAAAATTACAATTATAGGTCCTTTCTTGTACGATCATAATCATTTTTTATACTGGAAAGTATTCAGTCTTGTTTCACATAAAGTTACTTGGACATGCATGGTGTTGGCTTTCATCGTGATTGGTTAGGAGTAGAGGCACTAAGAAATAGACTTTTGTTGAACCTCAACTACACGCAACTTGACGTCAGGTTGTGCTTACAACGCATTGCAGAAGCAGAACATTAAGGTTTCGGATGCGTGCAACGAAGGTGGCAGCGCTTTGACTTTTTGCCAGCTTTCTCCTGCTATACAAGCTCTTGGCGCCGAGTTGGTCCTAGCGTTCGATGTTGAAAGTGGTTTCGTGTGGGATTTTCTTTCAAGATTGGACTTCGCGACATCTGTCAGATTGCTTGATCTGCTCCACTTTTTCTCTGACAAGTGCCTAAGGACGAGCTCAGGAGGCAAGGTTCAGCTGCCCGTCAGGAACGCGATGCCTGTCGAGCATTGGCCGCTCGGTCTGCCCGCCCCTCTGCAATTTCTTGTGGATGCAGAGGATGCCTACTCGCTCGACTACATCTTAAACGAAGACGCGCGTGAAGCTACTGGAAGACTCATATGGGACACCAGCCGAAAGTCTGCTACGGTGGAACTGGTGGTGCCTGATTACATGCATGATACTCCGCGCGGTCACTTGGTGCACGAGCTCGAGCGCAGACTGCGAAAAATCGGTGGCGATTAAGCGCCGCTTTTTCGAGTGTCGATTCAGGATGTGCTGCGTACCGAAAGCGCTACCAACTCTGAAGAGCTTGTACGAATCGAGCTTGAAAAGACGGAAAATGGAGTGGCCTTGTCGCGTGCGGCAGAGGAAAAGAGACGGACGGACTTGCAGAGCCCTGTAGCAGCGAGTTTGAATGTTTGGCCAAAAATCGAGAAGCTTCTGTTCAGTACCACGCCGCGTACAGCAGTTCAGGCTATAGCGACCTATCTGAACGCGGCTTTCTTCTTCGACTTCAATGATCCCGTCCGGTATTTATATTTCGGTGGAGGCTTCCGCGTCGTTATGGAAGGGGACGAGGAGCGATTCACTTCATCCTTCTGCGATATGCCGGAGGCGGTCCGGGATCGGGCGCGAGCGAGGGGACTATCGTGCTTGGAAATCGGCCTGGGACGAGCGATTCTACATACAGTCAGCTGCGTTGAAGATGCTGTCGATGTAGTGGTCAGCTTCTTCGATTACAGAGACAGCGAACGACATGTAGAGAACGAACACGACTCATCTGACGTTTCACCAGCGGCCTTTCATGCTTCTCAAGAGACCGCTCCGTCTCGTCGCGTTGCAGGAAACCACTGGACCAGGTACGACAGCGTCATTCTAGGTGCTATCATCAAAGCAGCACTTGCGGCAGAAAACGGACTTCCCCTCGAAGCTTGGGCCGAGTTGAGGCACAATGCATGGCTACTGAAAGGTGATGCTCTAGAAGACGAGCTCTTTGCAGCGCACAACATGATCTTTAATTACTTTCTAGACCTGTCGTGGTGCCAAAAAGATGATGGGAAGGACGAAACTGATGACGAAGAGAAAGAAGATCTGTTGCGTAGAGAGATGGATATGCCTGCCTCGGTAATAGGAACCCTTGTCGCCCACTCTGAGATTGTGGGGCTGCACGGGGAGGAATTCGGCAAAGCGCTTTTCGATCCCGATCCGTCAAAGCCCTCGGACGTGTGGCAATTTCACTGACCTATTCGAGGGTCTTGCCAAGTACGTCGACACGGGCACTGGTGAGGCAGCGATGAGTGTAGTCCCGTTTTCGGACCAGAATCTTCTTGACGCTTGGTGCGTAAACTTTGTAGACCATCGATGCAAATTTCATGCAGGCATGTCGGATCCTCCGGCGGAAGAACTGCAATTGCTGATACGTGCGCTGGAAGCCGAAAAAGAAAAAGCAGAAGGGCAACAGAGTCGTGGGAATGCTTGTACTTCGGCAAAACAAGATTCCAGTAACAAGGACGAGGAGGAGGAGGAGAGTGAGCGCCTCCCTAGCTGTAAATGCGAGGTAGAAAAAGGAAGGCGCAAATCTCTGGGTTGTGCGCCGCTGAAGGCACTCAATGGCAATGCACTTTTTCGGGAGGCGATAGCCGCCGAATGACACACGGGAAAGTGAGGTAAAGATACTGCTTTCCTCGTTGTCTGACTCATGGATTCAGGAGTAATGACGACTACTGATCGGTATTTCGCTGAACTTGGTAATACAACTAGAACATAACAATGATTTCTCAACGTCAATAGTTTCTCTTTAGCCTCAAGTTGGAAGTGTGTCGATACGATTATGTGGTTTGTGTCACGCTCCGTGATTGAAGGCTTCTTCAAGTGGAACCGTTTTCGAGGGGCTCTGCGTGTCTGCGTGAAAGGACGCAACTTTTTTGGATGCTGGTGATGTTCAAGTGGTCTTGTTTATCATCAGCAAGGCCGCGCAAATGATATTTAGACTTGTTTTCTGGTCGATCAAAGATCGGGCATATCAATTGAATATGGCCAGTGCTTCGTGCTGCATTTGTATCCATATCGCAACGGTTAGCATGATGATCACTTGGGGATCCATTTGCTATGAGGAGTGTAGAGGATCTTCATGAGCGCCAGACAGTATTAGAGGAATCACTCCGGTTTTAGTCTGGTTGTATATGACGCGTGTTTTCGCTGTCGTGATTGTTGTTGGTAATTACAGTCGGATTCAAATTTCATGCTTTTCTCAGTTCGGACGCAAAAAAATGTTCCTTGTCGACATCGTAAAACGCTATCCTCGCGTTTGTTCGTCTATGATTTGCTTGCCCTTGTTGTATCCGCCTTTCCTCCACATTTCTGTGCCGCTTTGTATTCTCTGCCTACTATCCGTATGGGTGTGGCATCGCTGGATGCGGAAGCATCGCCGGGCAGTGGCATTCTTTCATCCACAATGCAGTGGTATGGGAGGAGGCGAGCGAGTTTTGTGGTGCGCGGTCATTCAGATTCTCAAATGGTCAGACGTCGTAATTTACACAACATCGGATAATTGTAAGCGCAAAGCGGAGATCCTTGCTAAAGTGGAGAAGGGATTTGGTCTTGCTCTGAAGAAGCCAGAACAGGAGTATGGAAACGAAAAAGCATCATCGCATCGTGCTCGAACACTGGACTTCGTTGCAGTGCACAGCTTCTGGATCACTGAAGATCCCAACATATTCCCCGTTTTCACTCTTCTTTATGAAATCAGTTTGTTGGTTTAATCATCGATACGATATTTTTGTACGCTGGGAAACAGGGGGACTACAATACATTAAAGGTTCCTAAGATCAATACAGCTGCTAGTTCTAGTAAGGAAGTTGGAACATCACCCCTGCTCAGTCAAGCGGACATTACAAATGACGCGCGTCAAGCCAAGTAGTTTAGTCTCTTCTAATTCGCGCTTCAAAACCTCGTTTCCATTGTCGTCGCGATAGAGGCGTGTCTGCGATGTCCGTGTGACGTATTTGTGGAGAGTTGCGGACTATCCTTTTCTCTTCCTGTGGCGCGTCTGTTTTCAGGCGCGAATTTCGTAACCGCGTACGTGCATTATCCTACGATGAGCTACGATATGATCTCAAGGGTCAGTAACAACGTGCAGATGTACAACAACCAACGCTGGATTGCGAAGAGTCGCATACTCACACAGGTACAACCATTTTTTGTTGTACTCTAAAAAAATGAAGCCTTTTTCTCAGAAAAAACCGACATGCAACAGCAAATAAAGTGGAAGTGATTTGATGACCTTCGTGTATCATATTGTTTTCGTTTCTCCACCACATCAGGTAAAGCTGTTCTACTATCATACTTTTTTGTATATCTATGGGCTTTGCGGTATGTGCTCACATCACGTATGGTGCAATTCATCGTGGACAAGAGAGCGAATACGGCGTATTTTCTGGGGTCTTCGCACAGAGGAAGTGGAGCTGCTCGCGCCGCCAACCGATTTACAGAGCTTAGTCGGGCCGGAGGACAAGTACTTGCTACAGTTATGAAGGCTGTGCGCTCTGAGTGAGCTGCATGAAGATTTTATTCATTTTTAGAGTGAAGTAAATGCTCTTACTTCGTCTATTCACCACACACCATTAGTAGAAAGTAAATGTAGTTGTATTCCTCCAGAATTTTATTTGTGCGGCGGAGGTTGTCTTGTGGCCGTTAGATTGATTGCGCATGTTGTACCACGGATGGACTGATGTGATCTATGTATGCCCCTGTGAGAGGTGACCTGTAGGTTTGACAGAATCTAAACGGATGAGCCTTTCTAAAAACTGGAGCGGCCAAAGCGAAAGGCAGCAGCCTTTACGGTCTTGAGCGATCGCCGTTTTCGGTTGGTAGTGCCACGGAATCGTTAGCAAAGCGCAAGAACCGCGTAATTTCGTTGGCGCAGTTTCGTGTGGAGAAGGATCACGCCTTGCAGGTTGATGCGTTCGCGGAAGCGTTGCGGCAAGGCCTCTTGCCAGCCGATTCTGAGCTGGAAATGCTAGGATCGACGCGCGGTCCAGCCGACGAGGCACTGGTAAAAAGACTAGAGGAGCAGATACTTCGGATTGATGCTGAGGTTCAAGCTGATAACAGAGGAGGAGGACAAGCAACAACTAATATAAAGCTCAGCTCGAGAATACGGATCTGCCGAAATCTCCCTTTTGACGAGGTGGTAGCACGGCTACGCACGAGTAAGGTAGCGCTGCACACTATGCGCGATGAGCATTTTGGCATCACCCTAGTCGAGTTTGTCGCCGCGCGACTGCTATGCGTGTGCCATAACTCAGGCGGCCCGAAGAGCGATATCTTGTGCACGACTGACCTGCAGAAAGGGCTACTAGCGGTATCTGTGCAGGAGTTTGCGTCCGCCATGGGTCGTGCATTTGAACTGTATGACAAGCCTGAGACGCAAAAAGATATTGACGCGGCCATCGCATCATTATGCCGCTTTCCTGATAATGAAAAGTTTGGGACGCAAATTTCAGACTTGTTAAGGAAACACGAAAAGACAAAGCTCATTAGCCAATCCTAGTGCGCTCCCGTTTTTCAACGGACTTCGATCGAATTCTTCCTCATGCCAGGACCGCCAATGGATCAATTTTGTGATCACCGGCATAAAAATAAGATCGAAGCCGTTTCGAAAGACAATTGTACTGGTTCAATTTATCCTCGGGAATCGAGTGTCAAAGTGTGTATAAAATCGGTGAGTTGAGACTTTGGTGTTGAAAAAAGTCCGCTTCGGTCGTCCTCGGTGTAAAAAATGAAACGTCGGCGTAGATTTCACTTGAACATCATTATTGAATGCCGCTCGGTGGCTGATTATGCATCAATGTCGGGTGTAACTTGTAAATCTTTCGATTTCTCTGTCGGAAACGATGACATGCATGCATGCATGTTGCCGCCCGTGGTCGGTGATGTTTCAACACAAAAACATATCTGTTTATTCGCTATCGTCTAACAAAAAAGTGCGTGAAATATTCTGTTCTTGGAGAAAAGAGGGCAGAAACTCGAACTGTGGACCATGCTCGGTAGTAGTTCTTGAGAGGGATGATACCATGACACGAACAACTACTATTTAGCATCTTAAAAAGCTAAAGCTACTGGAACTGGACGAACCTGGCGACAACAGTTTGTATATTTATATATGATCTTTCTTTCCCGTCGTGCTCAGAGTGATTACACAACTCGCTATTATGAAGTAGACGACCCATTTTTTTGTGAAAGCAAAAATGTCGACTCTTGCCAGGCTCTTCCACGATGTTGCCAACGTCGCGCATGCAAGCCCGATTCCGGATGTGCCAATCCGGAAAGCACTCTTTTCCGATGAGCCTGAGCCGCAGTGCTGCTGGCAGGTGAGTCGGGGTCCTCATGGCAGGCGCGGAATGAGGCGGAAAATTCTGCGCGAGAAATGCCGGGAGCGAGCCCTCGCAACACTTGGCACGTCTTCATTCGCGTCGCGAACAGCTTCACCCACAGGGGCAATTGCGGATTCCACGTCCACCACTTGCCGTGGAAATGGAAGAAAGTTTGCGGTAACCACTTCTAGTACGAAAACTTCTTTTGGTTCTACTTCAGTCAGCGAAGCAGAAGGTGGTGACGTAACAGCGCTGACGCCTGAGGAAAGTGAGAAACTGGAAGCAGCACGGCAGAAAGAGATCGAAGAGACGCGGATAGAGAAAGAGAAGCTGGATCATCTCACTGTGCGGCCACTCTATGTCCGATGCACCATGAGTCGGTCGAAGCCGGACCTCAATGGCACAGAGCTCGACTGGGTCGATGATAAGTGTCGACCGGCCATGCAGCTAACGGAACAAGCCGAAGACGGGAGTCCGGCGCCTTGGTGGTTCAATGCAACAGCGCTTCCGCGAGCTTTCATCGAAAAGATGTACGATGCGGGGCAGGTAGGAGCTCACGCTGAAGCCGCGTCTTCTACGGGAAACGGAAGCGGGAGCAAAGGAGGGGAGATCCGTTGGACCGATGCACAATTAGACCTGCTGAAGAAATACGATCCATCGCAATACACGAAACGCGGAATGCTAAAGGAAGTAGCAGTGAAAGAGGAAGAAGGACCAGAAAACACAGATGCTGCCACTGAAGCCAATGCTGCCGGAGAAGGGGAAGGCGATGATACGAAAGATGAAGATGGAAATGCTGGCGCGAAAGAAGAAGATGCGCCTGCGGAATCGAAGAAGGGAAAAACTGTGGAAAAAACCGCGTACATAGAGAAGGAAGGCAAGACGAAGAAAGCTGGTGAGTCTTCCGAACGTGAGAAAGAGGAAGATGAAGACGAATTTGCTGACCTCGAAAAGAAAATTAAGAGCATGAAAGTACCGGACGAAGACACGCAATGGGAGTCCTTTCCTGGCTACGAGGCAGAGGCCTTGCACAAGCTGGCAACAGCGCTCAAAAAGCAGCAGAGGGCTTGCAAAAATCATTATCTCTCATCTGGAAAGCAGATTGGGTCAGTGGTCGAAATACACTCGGCATACGACTTTGCAAATCTGCCTAAACGATGCATTCAAGGAGCTCCCAAGGTAACAAGCTCCTTCTTTTTTGTGTTCTGCTGATTGTGCTCCTGTTGCTTGTCTCTAGCTTAGGAAGAATAGACTTTTGATGAACTTGACCAATTTATATGCAGCTGGGGTACATGTGATGGGTCCCAGTAAAAATAGGGCTCTTTCAATGGATCTCGAGTATCTGACTATATTAAGGTTTTTCTCATCCACATCAGGGGGGCTCGGCACGAGAGGGGCTCCACGGAGAATATCGATTGGAGTTCTACAAAAGCCGGAGAGATGCACTCCCCGTAACACCTGAAGAGCAGCATATTGAAGATTGTCGCTCGTCTTGCGGGTTCCAGGATAATTCCTGCGCAAACGTGTTCCGGGTCAGCCCATTCACCCGAGACCGCGTGCGCGTGCATTCAGAAAAACATGACATCATCGGGCGCGGGGATGGTAAAGGCGGTACGGAGGTGGTGCAGACGGGCTCAGAAGACGCCGCGTCTGCATCTGGTGAAGAAAAAGCAGAAAGTGCAGAATCTTCCGAACCTCCCAAAAATGCCGTGAGCGTAAATAAAGATGGCATGCCGACTCGCGCGACGCTCACGCAAATGCAGGGGTATGTTTGCCGGGATTACACAAGGCTTCGCGAATCTCGAAAAACCGTCGAGCCATGGACAGTTGAAGGCAAAGAACTTGCCAATCTAACAGATGAAGACTTGTGGCGCCAGGCAGAGGACGACGCGACAGAGTATTATCAGCACGTCCTTGCCCATAAACATGAGGTTGCATCTGGACAGGTAACAAAGGAGAGAACGGCCCACCTAGAAATCAACAAAAATTCTCGTAGATCATCGACGCAGCTGGTCCCTTCTATTAGCGAGACACCTCAAGAAGGAATGATTTATGAAGCAAAAAAACCCGCCGATGCGAGAGCAACGTTATTTACGGATGCATCCCCCGCAGCTTCTGTACGGGTCGAGGGCGAGGATGGGGGCGATGCTATTCGTGGAGAGAATGGAGAAGGGCTTCGCACCTCAGAAAGTCCAGAGGCGGATGAAGGGGGTAGCGCCGGTAGCGACGATCCAAAAGGTGCTGAAGGTCGGGAAGAAGCCGCAAAAACCGAAGAGGAAAATTCTTCTGGTGGCGCAGATGCAAGAGGCCCTGAGGTGCATAAGCCGCAGTTGAAAGTCGAGGAACGTACCCATGGCGTGATGGTCCTGCAAGAAAACGAGGATGCTAATCCAGCGAAAGCAGAGGAAGATGCTGGTAATACTGGTGACGCAGCGAGCGCTAATGCCAAAGAAGACGGCGCAGCCAGCTCGGCGGTGAGGTCAAAGAATGGTAAGAAGGCAAACAAAGGAAACAAGAGGTCTATCGGTACGTCCGCACTAGAGATTGCGCGTGATAGGAATCTTCGACAAAAGAACAAGAGTCCACATCGTCATACCGCTTCGTTCGCAGAGGCTGTCGAAAGCGCCTTAAGTTCCGCGGGTGAGCATGCCCTAGATGCCGTCGAAGCTGGCGAAAACGCCACGGCGCAAGCGGCGCAAAGCAGTGGAGAGGCACTGAGCAATGCCGCAGAGGAGGCCGATCGGGTAGGAGGGATGGTGGCAGAAAGTGGTGGCAACGCTGCAGATAATCTTGCTGCCGATGCAGGGGATGGATTCGCCGCTGCCAGCGATGCAGGTGGAGTAGCAGCGCGACGTGCTTCTGAGGCAGCTGCGGCTGCAGGTAACGCCGCTGCGGACTACGGGAGTGCCGCAGGTGCAGAGGCGTCGATGCAGGCACATGCAGCCTCTGAAAGAGCTGGGGAAGCGGCTGCGGCGGGCGCAGCGCGCGTCCAGGCAGCAACAGATGCGGCCATGCTCGAAGCACGATCTTTTCAAGCCGACGTGACCCGGAGTCTTAATGCCAACGCGCTGGGTAAGCCGATTTATCTGAGCGTTTTGACGCATGATCTAAACCCCTCGTTACTGCAAAAGCAAAACGGTGCTCTCGACGCGACAATGAAGGAGGTGTGGACGAAAGCGTACAAACGTACCTACGGGCACATGCCGGAAAGTGACTCTCTGAGTGTCAAGGCCACGCTCCAGGACCTGATGAATAAGATAAGTGACATGTCGAAGCAAGGTCTCGCCGGCGGGCGCGCGCAGACGTGCCGGCTGATAGCCAGAATGGCTGGCCTTGAAACGCAGAATAACGAGCAGAGCCCTCTGGTGCCCGCTCCAAACCCCAACGAGGCCGTGCGCAAGATGATCGAAGCCTTACAGATCGACAAGACGGAGCAAGAGCATTCTCTGCGCCTGTTCGGCTATGAGGGGCAGTGGGAAATGAAGAAGGCGGTGCACGACTTCATGCACCTCGACAAGGAGGAGGACCCCTTGCACAACTGCACGCCCAGATTCCGAATGGAAGTACAAGATCCTTCTTTCCAGAGGTGGAAAGAGCTGAACGAAAGAACGCGGCAGCTTCGCGTCGAGGAGATGGAGAGGCTGCAGCGCGAAAACGGAGAGGCTGAAACGGTGGACACGGGAAGGTCGACCACGGTACCCGGTGGGAACCGCTTAGGAGTTCTCATTTCCAACTCGGGTCTGGCTTCTGCGGAGCAACGTTTCAACAACAAGAATGCAGGACTGAGAACCTTGCGGATAACGGTCCTGCCTGCAAAGACCGGCGGCATGCTACCCGCCGAGTGCCCGTACGAGGGCGAGATGCACAAAGAGTTGACGCGAATACTCGGGTTTGATTCGGAGAAGGAGGCGAACCGTGTGACAATGCCACCGGAAGGCAACGCGATGGACCTGGAGGGCAATCGAACGCTTGTGACCTACGAAGTGAAGGAGGCACCACTCAAGGCCGCTCCACCGCAAGCTCCGCAACAGCCGGACGAATGCGCCGGACTAGCACAACGTATGTGTAACCAAGAGCAACCTACAAAGCCGAAACCACCACCGCACATCGATGAAATTTTTCGCGGGCCCAACGCAGCAGAAACGCTTGCACGCGAGCTAGTCCAGGAAACCGGACTGACTGCAGGAAGCGAGCTCAGGGAGTTGGCATCCGGTGTCGTAAATGCGGCAGCAAATGCGGCTGGGACCCTGAAAGGCACGGCTAAAACACAGGTGGGTGCTGTCAAGGACGCAGTTACAGACCGGTCACCATTCATGCACAGATTACAGCAATACCTGAAGACGAGCACGAAGGGGGGATCTGCTGCGAAAGCAACATATCGCGCTGCAGATGGGAGCCTTGTGCGCATTTCTGGCGATGACGTTGAACTGTTTGACGCGGACGCTGCACCCGACGCAAACCACCTGGACCCGGATTGTTTTCAGCATGTTCGCACTTTCGTGAACAAACGTCACTACGAGTCGCGCGCCTGGGTAGAACTGCGCGTTCCCTGGCGGGAATCTTTTCAGGATCGAAGCGGGAAACTGCTGAAGACGGGCGACGAAGTAGAGTTTGTGAATCCTCGCACCGGAGCCGTGGAGCCAACGCTCTTCGGTAAAATAGCTAGTGGCCCTGTGTCAGCCGAGGAGTACTCCTCCAGCCGTGCCGGCGGCGCTCGAAATTTAGAGGTAAAAGAGGCAGACGGGGATCAGTCGAGTGCCGAGGCCACGGCCGAGGAAAACAAAAACCAGGCGGAAGCGAGACTCGGGCTGAGCAAGCTTCCGGTTTCCGCAACAGGAGCTTCCGCGGAGGCCCGAGATGCACGCAGCGTCCAATTCGAGAACTATGTCCGCGTGTGGCTTGATGAGTACAAGCCCAATAGAAACCTTCCAGGAGGGGCTGAAAAGGTTCGGCATCCAGAACCAGTGATTGTTCCAATGAGCTGGATCGCGCGCCGTCATTCAGAGTCTGTGAGAGAGCATGACGTTGCGCGCATCGACCTGACTGCTATGCTGCAGGGGCCTAAAAAATCAGATGCAAGTGATGTCGCGCACGAGGCGGCTGGAGCCTTTCGCGAGAGGGGTGCTCAGGCTGTCGAAGTGGAGGATATAATGTCCTCCTTCGTTGATTCCCATGGTGCTGGTGAGGACATCATCGAGAAGATTCCTAATGCACCGGCCACTGATACTGAGGCTGAGGGTGGAACACTCGGAAAGGACAACGAGGAGGTTCGGACAGCAGAGAACTCGCAGGACCGAGGCACGGAGGCACTTCAGGGTCAGTACGTTGAGGTTCTGGACAGTTATGGTTCGGTGGATAACCCAATGGTTCACGTTCGGTTGTTAAAGCCTTTGAGGCTGAAAAGCCGTGGTGACTTCGACTTGGCGTCTCTGGTGGGACAAGCGCGAAAGAATTACTTCATGTTACACCGAGACTTCTTAATACGCGAACGAGCACGATTGCCGAGAGCCGGGCTCAATTCGATGGAGTTGTTGTCACGTTCCTCTCACCTCGCGGATCTCTCTCCGCCGACACCGGAATGTTCCACGTTCTTCAAGGCCGCTGGAGAGATCAATCCGGAAAAGTCAGGTGCATGCACCGTGGACAATCCATCAGTACTCGTCGGAAAGCATTGTGCGACCTCTACCTGTAATAGAGAGGATATTCGTTTTTGCTGCGGAACTCCTGCACGAGCAGCGGAAGTCATGGACAGTAACACATGCGGTGTGGTCTTCAAAGGCTTTGAGGCGGTCAAGGAGGCGATAGCAGAATTTACTGATGAAAGTGTAGCACGAGAAGGTGACGGCAAGCGGAGTTGTCCAGCGGACAAGCCGGCGGTATTGGCAGGCCGTCGCTGTTTTGTCAAGGGAGAAGGAAGCGCGATGGATACACGAGAATGTCGAATCGATGCCACGGACACAGCACGTTGTTGCGGCCTCAGAGCAGAGGCAGAGGCGCATAAGTTGGCGCCGTGCAGCACTTTTTTTGCGAAAGGGGGTGAGGGTTTTTGTGGCGCCTCGAACCAAAAAACAAGGCTGCTGCCAAATCGTGTTTGCGATGGACCGACATGCTTGCAGGAACGCGACGCCGAGCGCTGTTGCGGTACCTCTGCGGAGTTTGCCGCCACGCGTCAGAAATGTGGCGAGCATTTCAAAGATTACACGTTGTCAGTGTCAACGGCAGGATCGCGAAACGATCGTGAAGCCCTTATCAATGAAAAACCAAAAGAACAAATCGAACAAGATGGAGGAAACACCGCCCAAGACGGGCGCGAGCAGTGTCCGGCAAGCTTGATGTACGTGCAATCACGACAGCGCTGCAAGGACACTCTTTGCACAGCGGAGAGTGACGAGAAGACTTGTTGTGCCGCAACGCCTGAGCCGCACCAAGCTTGCGAGAAGTTCTTCCAGCTTTACCAAGATTTTGCGAAGTACATTAACGAAGATCCGTCGAAGGAGATCGGGTTTCAAGGATCGACCACGACTCGTGGGCATTGTACATTGGCGAAGCCGTTTATAATTCATGGACGTGAATGCGCTGGAGAGTCGTGCGAGCAGAACGCTGACGTTGACACCTGTTGCGGTTCGGCTGCTGAGGCTTCCATGATTTCGACGGAGAAATGTGAGGCGGCCTTTTCGCGGTACGCCCACGTGGAGAACGGCGAAGACGGCAATTCCGAGCTCCAGCTGCAAGATACCCAAAAGTTCACGTGCACGAAAGAGAAGCCTGAGGTTCTCGGATGGCGGCATTGTTACAATTCGATGTGTGCGCACGACGACGAGCCAACATGTTGCGGCACAAAAGCGCAGAGTGAAGCACCACTCGAAAAATGTGAACACTTTTTTCGGCCGCGGTTCGAAGACAAAGTGGAGAATGGGTCTCTTACACCCTGTCCGACCGACGGTAGCCCTGCCCCTATTCCCGGCCGCGACTGCGCTGCGCCGGAATGTGACGCCACTGAGGACGCGGAAACGTGCTGCGGAACGCCGGCAGAGGCTGCTGCGGCAGTTAGTGCACCGAAGGCGAAGTGTAGTGAGTTCTTTCAGTCTCGAGATCAGACCGCTGGATCCGCAAGCGAAACCAAGGACGCAGATGATACCGCGAAACAAAGTTTTGCTTGCCCTGCAGAGAAGCCGACGTTGCTCACCGGGCGCCATTGTAGTGGGAGCGAATGTGACGAAAAGAAAGACGCGACGAGCTGTTGTGGGACAGAGGAAGAGTCCGCCCTACTGAAGAACGCAGGTGGTGGTCAGGAATGTAGTGAAGCTTTTACAGACTACGAAGATAAAGAGGTCGCTAGTGAGACGAACGTTGCTCATGCTGCTGCGTCCGATACTGAGCACGAAACCAGCTCGGCTCCGGATAAAAAATCACTGAACCAATGCCCCGCCGAAGATCCGATCGTAAAAGTGGGCGAGCGCTGCGCAAATGCGCATTGTGATCCCACACAAGATAGGGGTGTTTGCTGTGGAAGAGCCGGCCCCAAGCCAAGTGAGCTGGAGAGCGCTGGGGAGCAGAACGTCGCGGCACCAAAAGATAACACGCCTCTTGTCTGGAGTGATGGCACTCGCTGGCTACAAGGCCTGCGCATTGAGTTTTCCACTGACTTTGCGAAGAAGTCTCGTGAGCATTACAGCGGTGCCTCGACGCATACCGATACTTCTGCGGCAGCTGAGGCACAGGCGAACAAGCAGATTACGCCGCCGAATGCAGTTCCTGCGACTACGAAAAATATATTCGACACGACCCCAGGACCCACAGCGCAGCTGGAGATTGCAAAAGCAACACTTACGCGACAAACACCGGCGTCCGGAAGGAGCTCATTCACAACCGAGGATGACGCAGCTGCACCCACAGGTATTAAGGCCACTGCACCCGACAGTCGGACTCCGACTCCTAAATACTACGCTGAGGGAACGCATAAAGCACCCTGGATTGTGGGCGGTCTCGACATCACTGGCCTGCGAGCGCGTTTGGGTCGCTTTTTTCCAGACACGGGTGAGTACGAGATTTATCTCGAGGATCCAGTTCCAATCCCGCGCAAGTATCTCCGAAAATCGGCCTTGCAGGCAGGATCCGCTGTCCGTGTTCTCGAGAAGACATGTTCAAGCTCGGGTCGAAATTCTCTTACAAGCCCGGGGTTGACAGCTTCACTCGGCCTTTTTCACGCGGGCGGCTTTCCCCGCGTGGGTCTCGTGAAAACGCATGATGTCACAGCCTCAGCGGCCGATCCGGAGAGGCACGCAGGCGAAGTTGATGGTTACTTCGACGTGACGACTAGTGCCGGCCCGAAACGCGTTCCGGCGCAAATGGTTGTGGAGTCCGAAGCAGACTGCGCGTGTCCAACCCCGGATCTAGTCAGTGAGAGCAACACTATTGTTTCCCGCGTCTGCGTCGCTCCAGTGACGATATCTGAAGAAGAGAAAGCACGACAATTCAATAGGGAGAAGCTCGCTTTCCTCAAGACTGAGGCAGAGCGTTATTCTAAGTGCAATTTCGACAGCCTAGCAGTCCGCCAGCAGCTAGCGAAGCGATTGCAGGGTACTTTGGCCGAGGGGCTGGGGGAGGAGCTTTCTCTGGCTCCTGATGATAAATCCGTCGAAATTCTTTTTCACGGTTACGACGCCGCGTGGTGGTCCCGCCTGGAAATGGAGATGCAGCGAGCGGCTGCGGCCGCGAATCTCTCCATTGCAGATGAAAACAATACTTTTGTAAAACAAGCCAAAGCCCTGGTAGAGCAGCTGGCTGCAAAGGGTATATCTCCACGAGAGCTGCAGCGTCGGGGCTATCCAGCCGCCGTGGTGGGCAGCGAGACCGAGAATGACTATCTTTTGCGACACCCCTCGCACGCAGCCCAGTGTCGCGCCGCGCATTTTCGTGGCCCAGAGGGCAAAACGAGTCTGGCAGGCGAAGACGAGGTTTCGCGCGAGCGGCGCTGGTTCCGCGACGTCGTGAGACAAAAGTTTGATAAGAACTCGCGAGTGGTGGATCCTAGTTTCCTCTATAACGCCGCGGTGCGCCGGCTCCTGTTCGAGCACTTTTTGCGGCTGGGCAGGCCCTTGCCGCCCGATGACAGTCTTGCCCGAAGGCTGCGCTCGTTTGCCGAGGATACTAGTGCGACTCTAAAAGGGGAAGCCGACACCCGATTTACAAAACTCCTGGATTCCATCAAGCGACGTCTTTTCGTTGGCTCCTTAGCGTTCGACGCCTACACTGGGACCGGAATACCGCGGTTGGCGAAAGCGGGCTTCGGGGTTGCGCGGGGTATGAAAACTGGTCAGGTGGCAGCAGCGAAAGCCGGGGAGGGTCTCGCAGCCGCGGCGAAAACGGGCGCAGAGCTGGCAGAGAACGCTGGAGAACGAATCGTGCAAGGCAGCGGAGCTGCACGGGCGCTGTTGCAGGAAGGCCTGCGCTACCCATTGTCGCACGTGCGCAAAATGCATGCGGGTTACACGTGGCCGCTTTTCGCACACGACGAATTTGCGTATCGGGTAGGGGAAACGGGAGCCGAGGGTACGCATTCCACGTCCTTTGGAGAGCCGGTAGAAGACGTCCCGCTTGGTTACTTCTATCTCCGGCGCCGGCACGCAGATTTCTTGGAGAACGTCACGCAGCGCTTGAAACGCAGCACAGACCCAGAGGATACGCACATTCAGGAAGAGCTGCGCACGAAAGAGCAGCTGGAAGAAAGCGAGAGAGCAGACGCCGATTGGTGGGAAAAGCACGAGAAAGAAATGGCACCCGAAAATAAAGCGGCAGCTGTGGCGGACAATGCTACTGCACAAGGCACAGGGGACGAGGGAGAAGAAGGGGAGGCAACAGGTAGGGGCTCGGCGTCTCGTGCTATCCAGGTTGAGGTAGAAAGCGAGGAAGACGGGCCAGCATGGACGCGGTGGTTTTTCAATATGATTACTCAAGCGGATTATCGTGCTGCAGTACAAGAAACAGCGAAGGAGGTGGGTTTTGCTTGTGCAGACAGCACTAGCCGAAACGGTCTCATCGAATCTGCTTTGCAGTCTATGTCCGTCGACACAGCAGGGGAGGAAGTTGCTGGTGGCTTTCCGAAAGTTTGTCGGCCTGAAGTAGGTCAATGTGAGGCCCTCACTGATCCAAGAGCGTGCGAGGAGAGCAAGGTTTGCGAATCCGTTTTCAACAGTTTTCGTCCCGTCGGCGTCCCAGAGGCGGTCCGTCTGTCGGAGGAGACGCATTGCCGGACCTACGACTTTCTTTTCAAAAGCACGAAAGGCAAAGGTTTCCCCGAGAAAGAACAGGTGCAGACACTATTGGAATCCAATGTAGGGAATCGCAAATCGGACGCTGATGCCAATATAAATGTTGCACAAGAGCAAGAGGACGAGAAGGACGCAGCAAGCGATGAACATGAAAGAGACAAAGCCAGTACAACTAATGATATTGTCTCGCCGGACGGAAAGTGCGAGTTCAAATTGTTTCAGTGTCGCACGAAGCGAGCACTATCACGCAGAGAGCAATGGAATCGAGCCCGAACACGTGAATTCGATTCTTTTGGTTGTGGCAAGTATTCCCAGTCAAAAAGCGACTGTGCACAACACAAGCCATTCTGTGTGTACGAAATGCCGCGGTATTGTCGCAAGCGCTCGACGGCAGTAAACTACGTGCGGGAGAAGCGTGGAGAGGGAAGTGTGTGCCGTCTTGCCGTGCCTGGCAGTGCAGGCAACGTGAAGGTGGGATGCGGCGCAGAGGCGGAGTTTTTGGCTCGCGAGAGCGGAGAAATTGGCGCAGCCGGAAAAGGTCAACAAGCCCCGGCGGCTAGTGCTGCAGTTAAAAACTGCGAAACGGCATCGGAAGGTTACGTGGTGCGGGCTCCAAGTGAGGATCCTGATTACGCAGATCGTGTTGTCCGTGAACTAGCAGTTGTTCCTAAAAGCGTGGAGAAAGTGGTTGAAGAAAAGGTTTTGCCGCACGTGCGGGAAGCCTTCCGTGACCTCATCGACGCCGAAGTCGACTCCGAGGAAACGCGAGTGTCCGCGGAAACACGTACACTCGGGAAGGCCGACGAAATGCCAGCTGACAATATTGAAGCGGACGTGGAGGCCCGCGAAAAAGAGGCGACTGAGGCTGCAGGGGCGCGTGGAGGTGGTAGAAGTTCTGTTGGCGAGAAGGCGGTCTTGAAGCCGGGAGAAGCGCAAATACGCGGTCTGGCGCGCTATTTGCGCGCGCAGGGACCCGAAGCCGCGGCTGCAGCAAAGAGGGTGACGGGGATTGACAGGCGCATGCGGGCTGCGAGTCGCGTGCAAGCGCTTTTGCGCTTTTTTTCCGTGGATTTGGAACATGAATTCGCGCGGGGAACGACGAACCGGATCGGCCCCCGGCCCCGCATGGGTATTACTACGCGCGTCGGCAATTACAGCGAGGGACATGAGTCGCATGTCGACTCCCAACGGTGGGACCAAGCCTATCAGTCGGAAATGAGAGGTTTTAAAGCCATGCTTGACGAAGCAACCGGATCCGAGTTCTTGGATCGCCTGATGGGAACACTGGAGGCCTTTCGCCACATTCGACCTGGCAGTGCTGCTGCAGCAACAGGAAACAGCCTTCAGCCTCCCTCGACACTAACCCCGACTGGTGGCACGGCAGATGGCAACTCGTCTCAAAGCACATTCGATTCGATGATGTACGGATTGAATCTGATGCGGCAGAACATTGCGTGGTTTACCGTCCACAAAATGGGAGCACCGCCTGTTTTTACTGTGGGCAGTGAAATGGCTGAAAAAACAGTCTCAACGGCACTGCACACTGCGCAAACGCTCGTCTCCAAAGCGATGTCCAGCGCCGCTTGCACATTTCTAGACTCCGATGCACGTACTTCTATATTCCTTTGTCGATTTAGTAGATTGTGATTGTCTAGTAAAAAAAAAAATAGCTTGAAGATTTATTGATTCAAATTTGGCGTAAGGGTCAAACCTGAAGTACATGACCATGACCATTTATTGACTCCATTCGAGCTTGCTTGTAGTAGATGATGTTGATGACTTCATAAACATGAATATCTACATCAATCATCTGTTTCGACAGTTTCGGAACTTGCGATCAGGAAAATTCACCATGACCAATTATCTGCTTGCGTAGTTAAATTTGTGGTCATTTTGTATTTCTTGCTTCTCTCTTTTTTCATCAGTGCTGAGCCAGTTCCACGAAATGGGACACGCTCTGCTGGATGATCTTTCGAATTTCTGGATGAACATGAGCGGGATTGCTTTCGTCTATTCGCTGCAGACCGCGGCCGACGAGGCGGACGGCGCTGGCGAAGAGCACACCACCTGGATGCGCGATTCCAGCACGAGTGACGTTGTGCGCGACACTCGGGAATTGCCGAGCTTCGACAACCCGTTTTCTTCCAAGCGCGACTTCGCCTCGGTCTGGAATGGGGCACGCACCGACTACTGTTCGGAGGTGCCGGTCTCGCATTGCCACGAAGTCGAGCCGTGTGTCGTGGTGCGGCGTCGTTTCCGGCGTCGGCCTAAGGGTTACTCGGAACGCTTTAGAGGCTATTTTGGGCTCAGCAAGGAATCTAAAGGTTTGCAGCGTGACGTGCGCGAGTTTCAGGTGTGCATGAGTCGTGAGTTCGCAAACACGGAGGTTTTGGAACAAGATCAGGTGTCGCAGAACCTCGGAGATCGCTTTCTGGGTGTCTCCAAAACTGGAGGTAAGCAACCAGATTGGAGCTTCGACTGGAATTTTCAGAAACCCACCAACCCGACGCTCATCATTCCAGAAGTTATCAAGAATCGAAAGCTCCTTGGAGGGTCATCTCTTTCGAAGGCAACTTCTGCTGAAGGTGGCGGACTTTTTCGGGATACTACCTCCAAATACAAGAGTGGGAAGTTACTGGAAGAGTGAGCTACAAGGCGTAGGCATTTTTGAGGGTCGAGAAAGGGGAGTTTGAGTTCTTTACTTCCTCCGGTGTGCTAGTGGCATCTTTTGATTCCAAGAAATTCCAAGAACGAAGTTTGGCAGGTCAACCTTCTTGCTTCTATCTTTTATGTACCTACTGGGCTTTTTTTGAAATGCAAAGAAACCTATCCACGTAGCTACGATCATGAGGTTGTAGCCATGATTCATATCTGCACCGACGAGATGAATTCTTGTTTCGCTTGACGAGATGAGCAAAGCGCAAGCTCTATTTGGATTTAAGGTGCCGTGACAGATTTCCATTGATTTGTCTAGACGGTACTGTGTTCTCATTAGCAAAAATATACACGACATTGTGGAGGACAAACGCAAAGCGCAAAAGCTGCACAACCTCATGACCGTCAAGAAGCTCATGCTTCAAAAGAGGCACGCCATCATCTTGGCACATACCCAACTTTCGTCCTGTCATAATGAGAAGTGACTTTCAGAGTCTCATTACAAGATTACTGTCATGAGGCATGGGTGATGCCGATGCGCATGCTTGATGAGGGATCGTTGATGGTTCGTTTTCATGAAAGTAGAAGGCCCGGCGCGTACTTAGACTAATGCTTTAAAGACGATACTAGTGAAATCGAAGAGCTCTAACTAAGTATGTTTGTTGTGTACAGGAAATGTTCACAATGTCCATATCTCTCTCCTGAGCAGCACATGACTTGCAGATGACGCGTTCCTGGAGATGCGCTGTGTCGGCCGGAGCGTCTTGCGCCCAAGAAGCACCGACGCGATACCGATAGGTGAAGTTCGAAAATCTAGAGTCCAACGACTCTACGCGCAAAACCCGCAACTCGCTGCCGTCGTGGTTTCTAGGAGTTGCGCTGCTAGCATCTCTAGCGAACGATTGGTGTAGCACAACCGCGATTGAATTTCGCGTCCTGTGTAAAAGTCAGTCAATCACGAAACGGCGGACAGGAATAAGGGTGCGAAACACTCTCTCTCTCCCACCAGTGATCAGGAACGTAATTCAGGTACAGGCGAGCACACGACCGACTACACGTTCGTAGCCAGTCTTTAGCGGAGCCCGAATCGGTAGCGAAGATGGTGTTCGAGAAGACGCTAGTCACGATGGTGAAGGGCATTCGTGCCGCCCGGGGGCAGGAGGACCAGTATATTGCAGAGGCGGTGCACGAGATCAAGGAAGAGATCAAAGGTGGGAATTTACGAGTCAAATCCGCTGCTGTGCTGAAGCTTGCATACCTGAATATGCTGGGGCACGATATCATGTGGGCCTCGTTCGCTATTGTTGACACTATGTCGCGCGCGGACAAGATGTCTTTACGCCGGCCGGCCTATCTTGCAGCTGCCTTTTGCTTTCAAGAAAAAAATGACCTGGGTCTCATGCTGATTAACCATTTCAAAAAGGAGTTGATGACCGGCAAAAAAAGCCCGACAGAAATGGGTATACATACTTACTAGAAAAGAATATGGACTACACAACTTCTAACGAGAGAAGATGTTGTACAATCATGATTACTTCTTAGCTCATTCAGAAGATAGTTTCAGTTTGGGATCGATTCTTGATTCAATTCTGTTCTTTTTATCAGTGGGATAAGTGCCCAAATGAATACAACACATAAAGATTTTTGTACGATCAACTTATCACTGGAAGAATCCAATGGAATACGCATCAAATTTTCCACCATGCATCAAGAAAAGACCACAGGTATTGCGTTATCGAATCTTGCTGTAATCTGCACGCCAGACATGGGTCGGGAATTGATTGGGGATTTGATTTCGCTACTTTCCAGCAACAAAGCTTACATCCGGAAGAAGGTGGTTTTATGCATGTTTCGCATGTTTCTACGATATCCTTTAGTTAAGGCTCGATACAATTCATTTCCACGGGTCATTTTCTTCGGTTTCCTTCCTAGGATTCTGAAAAAATGAAGGGAAGAAGTGAATTGCTTTGAGCTCTAATATAGGACTGAGACAAGCCTTCCCGAAGCTGAAGGAGAGGCTCACAGACGAAGACCAGGGAGTTTTGACTGCCACTGTCAACACTTTTCTGGAGCTCACACGAAAAAACGCTAGAAATTTTATGCTGCATGTGGGACGTTATTCTTAAAAGCCACTGTTGTCAGTGCCACTTTGTTTTTGTTAAGCTACCCTGATTAAGAATAGTAAATTGAAGATGTCGACGGCGTCATCAATTTGTGAGCCAAATGAGGCTCTGACATCTGCTGTTATTTCTACCTACCTCCCCGCCGCCCTGCTTCAAGACCGATTTGATACTGGTGCCGCACTTTTTTACCCTGTTGACGGAGACAAGCAACAATTGGCTGATGATCAAGCTTCTCAAGGTTTTCGCCCAGTTATGTCCTTTAGAGCCACGCTTGGCAGGGAAACTACAGAGTCCACTGCAGGATATCCTCAATACGACGCGCGCGAAGAGTGTCGAATTCGAGACGATACGGTATTGCTTAGATTGTAATGTGTGATCTTCAGTGTTTCTTGTTGATGCAAGAGCAAAAAATGCAGACGGTGATTTTTCGACTTTCCAAAGGAATAGGAAAGGAATATGTGAAGTCTTCCATCCTTCCAAAAAGCCGCTGACCGTTGGATTTTCTATTCTTTATTTATTACGATTCACATCACTCCTAATTTGCGATTGCGGCAACCACTCTTTCTTTTAGCCATTCTTTACTTCCCCAGAAGGTGTGTAACGCGTGTATTATCGTGGGATTGCGTCGTCGTTGCCCAAGCGCTGGAGAAAGCAAGGTCGTTTTTATTGTCAGGTGACCGAAATTTGAGGTATTTGGGCCTCGAAGTGGTCGACGAGTTCTTAAAGAGGAATGCGACTGTGCCGTACACGGACCTGCCACTGCCTTCCGATTTGCACGAGGTTGTTCTCGAAGCAATTGAAGAGGTGGATCAGACCATTCGAGTAGTGGCGCTTTCAATACTAGACAAGATCGTTTCGAAAGAAAGTTTCCCACGCATCGCGGACAAACTGCTGCGGATGAGCAACAGCACTTCCCACACCGGATCAGGTGACGAGTACGTCAAGACACTTCTGACATTATGGGCATATTGTTTTGATCAAAGAAAAGATTTTGATGGAGTTTCATAAAGCTGCTGGCAACCGATCGTTCTGCCGTTTGTCACCGGTTTTGCCAATGCCTTCGATTTGTTGCCTCGCTCTCTTGGTCATGAAGGAGGAGGATTGACTCGGATACTTTTCAAGAAGTGGACTTCACCATGACGCACTCTAATTTCTATGGGGGAGCAAGACCAGTATGCGCTAGTGGAGGACTTTGGGTGGTACGTTCTTACTTTGGCAGACATCGCGAAAAAGAAGCATAGCGTCCATGGGCAGACAGTGGCTGACCAATTTGCAGACGTCTGCGCGCGAGTAGAAGGCGTGCGTCCATATGCTGTATCCGTAGCACAAATTCTCATCATTGGAACCGGAACCGGAAGTACAGGGGTAACGACATTCATGATAAGGATGAATGGGTTGTTTAATGAATTGTCAACAACGACATCTTCTAGTTCGTGAAGGAAATAAACCAGTGACCGTGCATCTTTTAGGAAACTAACTTCACAAATTTGCAAATGAGCTGAGGTTCCGATGTACGTACTCTCCTGCCGAAACAATACAGCTGCAGAGTTGCGCCCCGTCAATGATTTCGTCTTGCGCCTGGGTACTAGGTGAGTATCCACAATTCATAGAGGAAAATTACACAAAACAAATCTTGGATATTTTCTTAAGTAAAGAGGCGCAGGCGCTAACACCGAGCACCCAAGTCACATGCATGTGGGCCGCGATGAAAGTCTTCTGCAAGTACTTGCCAACTTCTTTCAACTTCAAATGAGGATTCAAACTAATTTCTGTTAGGATGAAGACGAAAGTCACATACCTGAAGGATGTTCTTGAATTTCCCGATCCCCGACTGGTTTTTTGTGAAAAACGTATCACTGAGATACGATAAAGACTAGGCTGAAATTCGTTTTTCTTGAAATTTAACAGGCGTACCTGCAATATGGAAGGCGATATGACAGACCAGACTGATTTTGAATCACTTCGGGAATCTTTTTTGGCCAGCATGCGAGAAATGGTTCTTTCACCTCATGTCGAAGTTTCTGATCGTGCAACGATAGCATTCTTCCTCCTCCAATGGAGCTCAGGCAAAGAGGCACTACAAGCCTTTTATCCGTCTGACGAGCTGGAAGTGCTGGCTGGAGGGTGCTTCTACACATATTATAATAAATCTTTGTGAGCCTTTTTTAATAATTGTAATGGTGGGCTTCTGCTACCGCTTCCTTTTTGCTCTGCTGTGTGTACCATAGAGGGCTTTGTTCTACTCAAAATTCAGGGAGCAAGACGCTGTCGTCGAGCCGGAAGATCTGGATGTGCCGTTCTATGAGGAGCCGGAGCGTTTTCCACCTGCGGATAGTGCGGAGCAATCCGACCATGTTGCGCTTGATGCTGCCTCGCCTATGGTGAACGGGCACCCTGATGCAAATGGTCACGCAAGTGCAGCCGCAGACATGATAATGTCTCTCAAAAAAGGAGAAGCAGAGCAAGCGGCAGCAGTGCCAAGTGCACCGACGCCAGTGGACCCATTAGCGGCTATGAGAGAAAAATTGCAGCAGAACAAACAGCAATATTCAGTCGTGCGGAAAGAGAAACCAAAAGCAGAGCAAGGAGGTACAACTTCTTTTCTTATCAGCAAACGCTAACGTCATCTAACCTTCCTCGCTGCATGATTTATTATCAAATGCATCCTTATCAACGAGGTGAACAGAGATGGATGAAAATACCAGAGGTTCTCTTCTCTCTCGACGCAGCTGATTCTTTCTCCCTCTCACATCAGTTGGTAGTCAACCGGTCACGCCGCTGGTCGCAGCGAGTCAGGCGGCTTTTTTGCAGCAGCAACAGCAGCAAGCGTTCCTCTTAGCACAACAACAGCAGGCTGCTGCATATGCCGCGCAGCAACAAGCAGCGGCATTAGCTGCACAACAGCAGGCAGCCGTAGTAGCCGCACAGCAGAACTTTTTGCCTACGATTTCCGAAAAGGAATTGCAGGATTTTCTCGGCAAGCGGTGGACGGTTTGGGGCAAAGACGATAGCATCTGTGTCTACTGCTGCATCAAGAATCGTAAGGGCACGCAGTTGCGCGTAGATTTGCGCGTAGAGAAAACGGGCAACGCCGCAGTCAAAGATGCGGGTGTACAGATATCAGACGTGAAGCTCGTTGCAAAGCCAGGCGGTGCATCTGCCTCAGTGCTGCCAAACGGCGAGTTCGCGCTTGTGGAGGGTGAGTTCGCCGAAGAAAGATCTGGAAAGCTGAAAGCGTCCTTGAACTTGGCACCTTTGCTGGAGCGTGCCGCAGCATCGCCCAGCGCCACACAGGTAGACGGGGATGCGCTCACGCTTGGAAATTTCGACGTCGTGTACCAAAAAGTCTGGCGGGAAAAAGTAGTGAGCCAACGCAGTGAGTCCTCTTCTTCGACCAGCAATTCGTCGTCAGAGGCAATAGATTTAGCTACCGGCCAGACGTTAAAACTTGCGGCACGCAGCGATGGCGACGATTTGTTGGACCTGCTTGATGCGTCTAGTCCCGCTGCGAATGACTTTGAGGCGGCGCTGGGGGCTGGAGACAGTAGCGTTAGCAGTAGTACAACGACTGGTGGACCAGGGTCATCAATTACGGTTCATCCCGCCAACAACTTCATCTTCTGCTGGTTCGCATTTTGATTAAGTAGGTCCTGTTCTCATACTTCTCACAATTTCGTTTAAAAAATTCCTAAGGAGGTGTACGCTGTGATCGATCTTCTATGTATGTTACAAGAGATGCATTAACCTGAGAGGCTCTAAGCCAAGCGGAGCCCCTGGTGGTGGGACTGTGGTGGTATCTGAAACAGAAGTTCCGAAATCAGCACTTGTTTCCCTGATTCAAAACCGAGCAAAATTGACGGCCCTGGCATCTAGCAGTGCATCGTCCTCGGCGTCGTCCGATGATCTCTTTTCGGTGGGGCTCGATGTTCCTGCTCCGGCACCTCCGCAGCCACTAACCTTGAGGTTGCCGCCGACAGTTTTCTTAGAGCCGAAGCGCTGGAGCGAGGATGAAATAGCGTCGTACATCGGCCAGAACAGCAAGACCCACCTGACGTCACAGGCGGGCGACGTTTGCCAGCTGCCATTCGCAAATCTGCGTAGCCTCATCGTGCAAAACGGCCCACCAACAGCGGAACAACCGGAAGGCGTGGTGTCGTATGCAGCGGTCGAGAAAAAGATAGCCGAAGAACTTCTCCCGAAAGCGGTCGGTAAAGCGGCAGTAGTATGCGGATTCCACGGGCTCCAGCAGGGTGCGGGTGGCTCGGCAGCGGGACCGCGCAAGTTTCTGCTTATTTCGCAGCCATGGCAACACAAGGGGGCGGAGGCCGCGCCGCATCTAGTGAGTCTCTGCGCTGGCATCGTCAAAGACGGAGTATTTAATCTACGGGTCACGGTCAAGGGTGCTGATCAAGCAAGCGTTGATGCGATCAAAGATGACCTCGCGAAGACACTGAAGGACACGCTTGCTGCGGTTCTGTAGTGAGGTGAGTAAAGTCGACCGCTTGTGTCAAGTGATCGACACGAGGGCACTGTTGTAAAAAATCAAGTCTCCACTTTTTGAGTTTGTACTTGTGCTCCCTACTCCTTATTTGGGGAGCACATTCTGCGGCTATCACTTTCACAAGCTATTTTCACCTCAATGTTTATATGTTGATTTTATTAGATTTAGATTTAGAATCCAGTTTGGGGCGTCGTAATCCAGGAGGAGTATCTAAGGCTAGTGCCTTGAGCAGAGATTCATCTCTAGAGACCATAAAAAAGGATCGCTTTAGGTACTACAAATAGAACATCACAACTTTCTCTTCGATCGAAATTTGTTCATTCAGTAGAAGTCATTCTTAGATGCAAGATCCACCGCCGTGCTTCTGAATGCAAATCGGCATTCAATTTTTTTCGGTGTGATCTTCAGACCCAAAGAAGTCTGACGGACATTCCTTCCCGACGATCTTGAATATTTAGACATGTTTTGGCTTCCAAGAATATGAAAAGTTTCATCGTGCAGCTGGTGATCTCGTGCTAATTCTGCTCTGGCGGATTTGCACACACAGGACGCGAGGGAAGGTTGCTGGGAACGAGATCCGTAACCTTGGACGTCCTCGAAATGAAATTTCGGGGATGTTGTGTTGATACGCGGGATGAGAGGATGATGTAGGTCAATGTTTCCTAGGGCCGTGTTGCCTTAGGTGTGATCATCTGTCGAGGATCTCCGATATGAAAGTGGATCATGATCAATGAATCGCCAATGCTCCGAACGTGGACCGTTCATAGCGTCACGACTAATAGCTAAGATAATCATAATAGGGGGTCAAGGATGAAATCTTATTGAGAAACTTGCCGAATAGATTCGAATCATCGAGAGGCGATGTTGTACTAGTAACCAGATTTTTTACATTGAGAAGTACGACAGTGATCACGATCACACTGACAAAAGGAAAAGACTCCATAGGTAGACAAAGATTCCTGGTGAGAAAGTAAATCTAAATTTTGAAATACATGATAGAAGTGAATCCTCTGAAGATTTCAAGAAGTTCACGTCGGTGTCTCGGTTACGGTCGAGCGGCGAGCGTCAACTGTATCTAGAGAGCCCACTGTTCCACGACAACAAAACTCAAGTTATATTAACTCACCTTTTTCATGTCACTAAGGAAAGCAACCCCTCGAAGATCGATATGGTCTGAAAAACTTGATCAGTCTTTATTTTTGAGCCCTGCTTCGTTGGTTTCAAAAAGGGTGAATTATGCTCGTGATTATTGTCATCTTGTCGGAATATCATCAAACAGGAAAGGGGGCGGGGAAATTTTAATTAATTGTTCCGTGGTGTTGGTGTTTATACGGAGGTTTTTTATTCACACGGACAGAGGGCCATTCATTACGCAAATTAATGTTTTTTATGCGTCTCCATGCTATGATAAGTTTTTCTGTGTAATCAAAACAAGGCACATTTGGTGTACTGGTATATACATAGTGATTCTGATTTTGCACGTTTCAACAGTCCGCTCCACAAAAGGATGTCCGTTCCACAAAATGACGCAAGCACATCACTTTGTTAATGCAGAAAGCCAACGCTAGTGCGTCATTCAGTTTTAGAAAAAGGCGAGCTTGTGCAGAAGTGTGAGGCGAACAACGAAAGACGCCTGCTGACTTCAACATGCAACTCTGAAAAGCGACCTGTGATATAAACTGCGATAGGTATCGCTGGTGTTCGATCCATCTGAAGATCTTCGCACTTACGACACTAGAGCGAACAAACAAACTTCACTTCGCTTCGCTAAAAACAGGAATTGTGCTGCGCGATTTGCTTATCATTACAGCATCTTCAAACCGCAGCATCAAACAAAGATGGGTCGCGGTGGTCGGGACAGTCGGAGGCGATCGCGGGGTCGCGGTGGTAACAGAGGAGGAGGTGGCGGCGGCGGAGGAGGCTGGGGAGGCGGCGGCGGTTGGGGTGGTGACCGCAACGTCAACGATGCAAGACCAGATGTGGAGCGGAGAAAAGGTGGCGTGAAGCTCTTTGTCGGAAGAATACCACAGGAGGTATCTCATGCCGTTGATACAACTCTACTCAGTGTCACTTTTTTTACTAAGTAAGCGTTCTTTGTCTTTTTCAATCTTTTCGAATAGTATACAATGTGCTGCAACGGTAAAGTAGAGCTAGAACATCCACACAAAGGTCTACAACATGATCCTCGCTTAAACGCTTGCAAACACAAGGACAACGACAAAATGCATTACAGGCATCGGAAACGCTTTTAAGGAAAACATTTGAGAGGTTCGGAGCAGTACTCGAAGTTTTTAAGATGCGAGGAGAGCGGCCTGGCGAAGAGCGTCATAGCCTTTACCACGAAGACGGCCTTACTTGCGCATTTGTACTGATACTCAGTAATTTGCATTTGGTTCTTTTGGTTTCGTTTTGATTGATGTACTTATTCTGTTCTTACGAGAAGTGAGATCCACAAAGAAATAGACTGCACTCTGGAAACCACTGGATCATGATTGCCTTTTGGAATCAATACGAATACTTACATCTTCAACTCGTTGAATCATGATTGACAGGTGCGAATGAAGGACGTAGCGAGTGCCGAAGACGCAATAGGGAGCCTGCATGATAAGGAGATACTACTGAAGAATAGAAGAGATACAGGACCAATACAGGTGGCGTACGCAAAAGGCGAAGCCCAGCGACTAGGTTTAGACCAGAAGCGAGAAGCTCTCCCAAACCGACTAGAAGGCAAGGAAATTGTTAGGCAATTGAAGGAACGCATGATCCTTGAAGCGCCTGACCAGCAGTCCTTCAAATTCAAAGAAAACGGAATTCCGTTCTGGTTCCCAACAGAACCGCTGATAGCAATAGTCAAGGTAATCTTCATAGTGCTCATACTCTGAACTTACTTTGACTTTACCTGATTGATATCAGAGCAAAAATTGGTAAGATGTCATCTGATGATGAACAAGAAAATTGGAGTATCAGAACGACAACGAGGTCGCAAATTGTCTGGTTGAGACGTCTCGTTTCTCTTTGTTATCAGTCTACACGCTTGGTGGACTTGGTAAACTCCTTTTGCTCACAATTGATTACAGGAGGGACGAAAGCGAGATAGGATGTTCGAAAACTGCTGGAGGCATTATTGTAGTGAAGGATGGGGTGGGACTTATGAAATCGAGCCAGAGCGGATGCCACATCACGGCCTAGTCCAGTTTGCCATGTACCTTTTTTGTCACGTACTTTGAGTTTTGGTGCTGATGCTTTATTGTCGCTCGTTAAAAATTGAAAGTCTACTCCTCTTTTTTCACGTCGATCCATGTAGGTAGATAAGACGAAAAAACTAAAGCTGTAGTCGTCTTGTGATCAGTATTATATGCCACGAAGATTACTAGTACTACATGAGATGACATATTCATTGAAAAAGAAAAATTTCTCAATCAGGATGCGCACAGTGGACTATGGCGATGCAGAATGGTTTTTGACGATGGTCAAGAGCACACATCAGAAATTAAAATCTGGAGAACTGCAGTCTTCTCAGAGATTGCCCGAGCCACCAGAGATTCCCGACGACACAAAACGGCAGAGCCTTGGAGGTAAGAATCCAAGCTCTATTCTCGAAAATATCGTTTTGTTGTTCATCTAGATGCCACGCTTGTAAATACGATCAGAATCCTCACTGGATCTGTCAAGTGATTACTTATCTACGTATGTTGAAAATATCAAAATCAATTTGAAATCAGTCATAGTCATGACGGTCATTTGTACAACTTTCCTGTAATTTGATTTATCCACAGGTATTGCGATGGATGATGATGAGCTGGACATTGCAGCTTCACCTGCTCAAAGCTCGCGTGCAGAGGACGTCGACGAAGACGATATCTAATACACTTTTCCCGGTGGTCGTCGTCCTCTTAAGCGCACTTCATATGTTCGTTTCTTTCTCCACTATCTTCTGGCTCGAAGTTGAACGCCATCCTCTTCTAGTCTCTCATCTCCCCGTTCTCCCCAACCTCCGATATTTACCTACGCAGCCCGTTTGGAGTTTCAAGAAGTCACGTTATGATTTGCAGAAAGCAGCACCATATTCTACATATTGGAGTCATGATGCTGAAGCATGTGACATCTATTGGGCAGATCATGTGTCAATGCCATAGCTAGGCATGCCAGTGTTTCTCGTAATTTTTCTGCATGCCACGACAGCACTGTACAACCCAAAGTGATCCCCCAGATCGATCCACTTTCATTAGCGACGCTTGTTTGATCTGCAATTCTTCCGATAATTCATCGAAGATCGGTTTTTCGGTTGAGAGAGATAAATATCATGGTGATCTACACGAAGCAAGAAGATCGTCCCGGAGCAATTTGTCGAGTTATGTAGACAAAATGGAAGAAGATCTGGTCTGTTATAATCTCTTATCAACATCAGGACCTGGTCCTGGTCATCGATCTGATTTTTTGCTTGTTCTTCCAAAGATCCTTCTAGATCTGTCGCTGAGGCGGCCTTGCTCAAATGATGCATTTGTAGATCAAGTCGTCAGATCCTTAGTTCAGTATCTATATATAATGGGATGATGAACCAACACCAAGAAGTTACTTGACTAGAATAAGAATTTAATATTTTCATAATTCCATTTATTTGCCTTTTTTTGCAGGATGAAGATGAACTAGAACTTCATGCGACATATTGTCAAGGGATGACTGATTTTTCATCGTGTTGAGAAGTTCAGGTTTCTGAATACATCGCTCCTCTCTAGAATACATTATATGCAGTGAGGATAAATTCGACTATGCAAGACCTTGAGAGGAAAAATGGCACAAGCGAGTAGCACATTTATCAAAAACCTGCGGGAAAACCCCGCTGCGGCTGTGCCAGCCTTGGTTGAGCGGCTGAACGGAGGTGGATCTCTCTGCGCTGAAGCGTTACGCGAGCTCAAGGCAGCGATTTACTGCACGAAGAAGGCGCAAGAAGAAGCTTCTACGGAGGGTGAGAACGGGACTGCTAATACCAAGCGCACGCCCCCTCCTTCATCTGGAGTGCGAACATGCCGGTTATTGAACGAGTACGTTACGCAGTCGCCAAAATGCGAGGAGCTGTTTTCAGTATGGAGACGGGCGCAGGAATGCACCAGCAAGGCTGGAAACTTGACGCCAGAAGAAGCAGCATTTGCAGAACACAAAGACCTCTGCACCTCACTCGTGACCGAGATCCTGGCTGCGGTCCTGCTTTTCTATGGCCGGTGGGGGAAACAAGCGGTGGAGCTCAACGAAGACAAGAAGGAGCGAGTTTTCTTGTTCAACATTCCAGGCAAGGATGCTTTAGTCTTGAACCACGTGGCGGAGAACGTAGCAAACCGAATACTGGATGAAAACTGGCTGCGGCTCCTGGCGGATGGTCTGCAGCGCGACGGGGCAAAAGAAATTCGTGTTGCAGCAATTTTTCGGCTGCTGTGCGCTGTATGCTCCGTCAATAAGGAGGTGGCAAAAAAATGCTTGCTGCAAGGCGGAAAGCTCTGGGAGAGTGAGGGCTTTCAAACAGCGGCGCGACGACAGGTAGGCCGTTTCACTGCGGTGTTTGCTCCCGTTCCCGGTTCACTATTTGGTGACTTCGACGGCGGCTCAGTGTCAACCATTCGATCCATGGCGGACGTGGAAAATGTCTGGCGAAACGCCTATGGCGCCTACTCTGCACCGGCGGAAGACGCATCGTCGAGCGAAACAGCGCTAGCAAATGTCTTCAATTTGCATGGTAATTGTGTCGGGAAGTTGTATTTGGACCTGGTGCGTACCCTGATAGACTACCGCGACCCGGAGATGCTGCAATACATGCTGCGCATGGATGCAAAACCGCTGACTCAGCAAATTTTCTTCCGTCTACCGGAGGTCGCGAAGCCTACGGGAACGACACAGCACGCGTCTTCAGGCGACCCGGATTTTGTGGCGGATTTCCTCAGGGTGCTGGATGAAGCAATAGTGGGAGACCGCACATTGCCGCGAGTGTCCAAGCTCCACTTTCTGGGCTCGCGCGCGATAAGTGACCTCACGGCGGCAGTTTGGGCGCCATGGGAACGCACTTCGGAGGTTGAGGGTTCAAACGACAGCTTAGATGAGCAACAAATTAGTTCAAATGACGTTGATGAAGGTGGTCAGAGCGTTGCAACAACGAGCTTTACCTCTGATCAAGCTGAATCTTTGAGTTCAACAAGCCTCGTTGAGTCGGCTTCCGAGAGAGCAATTTCACAGAGGCGAAGCGCGTCTCAGAAGATACTCGCGAAGCGCCTCCTAGCTATTCTGACTAGCTTTTGCACTGATACGGTACTTTTTCGTGGTGCTGACGACCTGAAAGCCCTTTCGAAAGTCGTGCTCGGATTGAAGCATTTGGGTCCCTTTCAGCAGCATCTGCTTTTATCGATTTTCCGAAGTCAGAGTACTGCCACGACATCTTCTGCGGGTCCCTCTAGTACAACGGTTTTTCCATCTTCATCTGCAGGTGGTTCATCTTGTATTGTACGAGCAGGAACCTCTTCTTCGAGTGGAGGAAGCGTGGAACCTGACAACTTTGTCCGCAATTGCGTGGAGCAAATGACCCTAGTCGTCGGAAACAGCGCAAAAGCGAATGCAGTGAAACTTTCACGGCCGCGGCTTCTGCAGAATCTGAGGTTTCTCGCAAAGTTGCTGTCTGATACTAGACTTGCCGAGAGCCTCGCCTCCTTACCTAGTGGCGTGGACGAGCAAAAACTGACTCACAACCTCCTGTCCGAGGACGCGGACCTAGTACTCGCAACGCTCGAATTGTGTCGCGTCATGCTCGAGAGGCGACTTGCTCTCGTGCCGCAGCTGCATCGGGCTAGTGCGGCAAGGCAGCACAGGATTCGAGGTCAGCACAGTGTACAGAAAGAGGACCGTGCTAAAGAAAGCAGAGAAGTAGAGCGATCTAGAAGAGAGCGATCACCCAGACGGTCTGACAGTGATCATAAGACAATAGAGCAGCACATAACAGCTGCAGCCTCCCTGCTGTCGTCTAATCGTGCACTCGAGTTGTTAGAGAACTTCACTGACGCACTTCCGAACGTGCAGACTGTGTTGAGATTGCAATCTTTCTGCCTCGCTGGTGGTATCCCAGTCGAAAAGGGCACTGGACAACAGAAAGGTGCGGCAAGAAAGAAGAAAGAGGAAGGGGTGGAGGCAAAAGAGGACGGGTTGGAACTACATATAGAGGGCGCGGATTTCGAGGCGGACCTCGAAGACGCTGATGACACTCGAGAGCGAAATCCATTCCTCTACGGGGCTTGGTGTCGCACTCTGCGGGCTTTCTTGCGCACGCAGAGACAAGAGGGCACGTTGGACACGAACTTCAACTTCACGTCGTTGATCTCCTCGGACTCAGCCCTTATCTTCAAATCGGAAGCGCTCGAAGACGGACCTGCACCGTTAGAGGAGCTGCTATGGCTGGTCCGAGAGGCAGCAGTACCGAAGAGTGGGACTGGAGGTGGCGTTACATTCACAAGCTACGTCGAGAACCTCGGGAAATTGCACTTGCGGAATAAACTTGCCGTTGGGCATGAGCTCAAAAATAGAAGAACAACAAGTGCTTTATCTTCTACTTCGGAAGAACCTCAAGCTATGACACATCTGTGGACGCTGTTTTTCCGAAATGAAGAAGAGGAGGAGCTGGAGGAAGAAGATGATGACGACGGGGACAACATTTTTTTCGATGCAAAATTGAGAAAAATCCAGGAGTTGGATTCCCTAGTTCAGGAGTTCTTGCGTGAAGCTGTTTGCGCTAGACGGTTGAGCTACTTCAATGATTCTCTGGAGGCGCTCGTTTGGCTGGATATCTTTGTCTTCAGTGCCTCAACGCCTGCAATGGTGGAGGAATTCACGAAACTGCTCAATGACGCATACATGGTAGGTCCGTACGAAGCTGAGAGTCCAACGACTGGAGTAAACACACACGAATTATTGAACGCTACAACGACGCCCTCAATTTCAAAGGGAGGGGAGGTTGTTGCAGGAAAAAACAGAGGCAACGATTTCGGTCCAGGTCCAGTGATATCTGGTTTCACACAAGCGGCCATTGAGCGTACGGTACATTGCTGCTTTGATTCGAGACGAATCTATGCGCATGTAATTTCTGCGATTATGCGAAAAGGCTTAGTAAATCGACTTTTGCCGATTCGAGGGTCCCACGAGTACATACGTCGGATTCTAAGATTCGTAAGTCAGAGAATCGCAGAAAAACGTGAAGGAGTTCAAGCTGCACTCGAGGTCACAGATAAAAATAGTGCTGCTGGCTTAGCAGGTGGCAAAGACAAAGCTGAAGAAGCGCGTTCGCGGTTGAATGCTGCACAAGACGCTCTGCAAATCGATGGCTGGCTCGACGCACTGCACGCGCTTTCTTGCCCAGAGAAGATGGAGCCTTCTCTTCGGCGGCAGTTCTTCAAATTGCCTACTTGGGGACTGCATTTTCCCAACTTTTTTGAAGTCATGGCTGTTAGATCAAAGAAGACGCGGGAAGACGAGCAGGACGTTCCCCAACGATGTTTCTTCATGGCCCTGATCGAAATGCTAATTCACGAGCATCGTATGCCGGTAGTCGAGTTTTCTGTGCAATTGAGTTGGATGTTGCGTCGTGCGCTCGCGGAAGAAGAAGGCGCAAAGCTTCCGAAGTGGCTTGCGGCGCGCCAAACGGAAGTGCTGAAGATGCTCCTGACGAAAATAGGGGAAGAATTCCGACAGATGCATCAGAAAGAGCCAGCGATGTCCGAGGACGCCGAGGTGTGGACCGAACTGGGCATGAGTCTCCAAAATGGAGTCAAAAATTCAACGCAGACGAAAGCAGATGAAAAGAACTCGTGTAATCCTGTCGATGAGGTGCTGTCTGCCAACTTTTCGGACGCGGATGAAAAATTATATTGCAATATGGCGGAGCGGGAGGCTGGCTTTCTGTTTTTCGCGAACTTTGTGAGCACAATTTTTGCGAAATTGAATCAACAAGAACTTAGTACGTCAGGACTAGTCAGGCGAACTAGCGTCGCTTTTCTCGGGGTGGAAGATCTCCTAGTTTCCATTCTGAACCGGACAGTTTCGACTAAAATGGATCGACAGAAATTCTACGATATTGTATTCGCGCGCCTCACATGCAATCTTTCCTCGGCTTCTGCAGGCGTCGTTGCTTCCGTCTTACGTTTCGTGCTTCATCGGAGTGGATCTCACGAAGTACTTCAACGCGTTCTGCGAGAGCTTGTCGGGACGAGGACGGAAAATTCCGGTCCACCACTTGTTCTTCATCAAAGCGAAGACAAAGCTGAACATGGTCATCCAAAGGATGACAGCCTGCTGGATTTGGTAGTTCTGCTTGCGCAAAAGGTGCTTGGGCAGAATGTTGGTTCAGAGTCTGGAATTATAAGCTGTCCCGAAGTGTCGAATGCGTCTTCAGCACTCAAATCACAACAGGAGATGGGACCTGCAAAAAAGAGGCGGAAAACTACGACCAGCGAGGAGGCCTCATCGACTGCGCCGAAAGGCGATGGTTCCACGGAACAAGAGAGTATTTTGAAGCTAGGTTCTCTGACGGAAGGAACGAAGTCAGCGGTACTGAATTTGCTGAGGCCAGACATGACGGTCTTTCGCAACACCGAAGCTGGCAAGATGAACCAGAGATTTCTTGTAGCAGACGTGAACGCCCGAGAACGACTTCGTGGTGCAGTTGTGGCGACCACACTACTCGCGGACGCTTGGAAGGTGCGCATCTTGCAGCAAGCGTGTTTGCCCACAGAGCTCGGCTTCGACGAGCTAGCCTTTCTCAAAGTCCGAGACGGGCTCAATTCTTTGGCTTTGGAATCTGCGTGGCGCATGCAGGCTCTGCGAACACAGAGTACTGCTTCTGTGGAAGGCCTGCTAACTGCAGCTGTTGACGTGGAACTAGGCAGATTAGCGAAACTGCGGTCAGCGCGGAAGCAAGCAGCGGGACTAGAGACACTGTTGCAGACGCGAAAGACTGAGGTGGGCGCGGATCAGCTCGTCGCAGATCTCTTGCCATGGCTCTCATGCTTTCCAGCACGGGCGCTTGCCGAAGTTCCGTGGGCTTGCCTCCTGCCAGGTTCTTTGGACATTGCTGAGTTGATTCCAGACGCGGTACTTCTCCCGTTCGGCTTTCCTCTGCTGTCGAACACTTTTCCCGTTCTCGACGACACTAGCGAAACAAGTACAATGAGAGGGGCAGTAGAGAACCAGTCGCCGTTGCAGCTGAGCCGCCTCATACGACTTGCGGGTCGCGTTGCGACATTGAGCCTGCAATATGCAGTGGTTTGCAAGAAAGCGAGCAAGAAATACAAGCTTCCAGGACACTGTGGTGCGCGATCTTGGGCGCTAAAATACAGCGACGAGGAGAGACTATCGCTGGACTGGGTTGTTGGATTTGTGCAGTACGTCGGGCCGCAGTATCGGCACTCACTGTCGCTGCGTGATCAGCGCATCTTTCGTGTCTTTCAGTTGTTTGAGCACACCTTTGATCGTGCGGCACCTGCGCTTTCCGGCGCCCTTCTTCTGGACTCGGAGCGAGTGAAAGCGACGCTGGATGCGATGTATCCAGCGCTTGATGAGTTTTATCTTAGCTTCGAAGGCACACCAGACGCTCCGCTTCTATCGCCTTTGGGAACGAGGACACAAATAAGCAAGAGCAGTGATCAACAGCACACGAATACTTCATGGAGAACGGTGAAGGAAGGAGATTTCGTTGAGGACGACGAAGAAGCGTTTCGAAGTGCAGTTGTGAGTCGTGATACAAGTGTTGAAGTGTTACACCAGGGACGACGCAGTAGCAACGCGGTGTACGATTTGCGTGCTGTGTTCCAGAATATTGTGCGCCGCATGAAACGCATAGATGAAACCGTGTCAGCCGCATACCTCGCACAAGGCTCAGACTGGCTGCGATTCGCGGTCGCGGCCTTGGGCATGCGCGACTCTCGGGTTCGTGGTCTCGTGTGCGAAGCCCTTGCGGGCATGCACTCTATTTTCGAAGAGGAGGAGGAGGCCGCGCGGACCTTTCGGCGTAAGAAAAATCGGCCGGAGGACGACAATTACGAGGCGGAAGACGCTGCTGATGATGGCAACGAGCAGCAATCAGGCGCGCAAACTACTGGCGAAACCCCTAAGAGCAGCGCAGCTTCGTCGGTTGGGCAACAGCAAGAGTACAGTTTTGCGGCTTTTCAGCAGATCTGGGCTCTCCTCGACACCTTGCGTAACAGTTTAGCGCCAGATTACAATGGTGGACTCGACGACGCAGCTCGCCAAAGCGCGGAGGCTGGCTTGAACCACGACTCTGCGCCAAATAAGGATGTCGTGTCCTCCACTCCCTTGCAAGACGAGGGGGGACCTGCTGTAGCCACGAGGCACACAGATGCCTCCTCATCATCTGCGACACCAACAGCCTCACCTTATCATGAGAAGGGTGCTGCTGGAGCAATCTCGGCTGCACTGAATCCGTACACGTCGATGTTGCTGTCGAGTGTCGCGCAGATTCAGGTGAATCCGTCTCACCGACTGTACCGCAAATGCGGCTCCTACGTCAACGAACGAGCACAATTCAATGTGCAGCCGCGCGCACTGCCGCTCTTCGCAGAGCTGTGGCGGAGTGAGAACGCGACCGACGCACTGGAGGAAAAGCGACACGTGTTGCGTGTACTGCGTCTTGCTGGGCCCAGGGCTTTCGACGCTTTCCGCAGGCGGCACGTGTTACAACAACTCCTGTCGTCCTGCAGCTCAGACGCGTTAACGGACTTCGCGACATGGGCCGACGTTCTCTCAGTCCTCCAGAACTGGGCACATGCAGCCAGATCTGGGACAGGTACAACCGCATAGAATTTTCGAATGTTTCTCCTCAAAGAATAACACAAACAAGCGTTGGATATCCTGAGGAAGACATTTTCATTTTATGATATATGATCCAGGGCTCAGGGCTACGGTACCCCCCTCCAGCGCCGGGGGGGGTACCGTGCAGCCCAAGGCCCCTTTTGAAGGCGTCTGCCCGGGGTGGAAGGCCTCAAAAGGGGTCCAAGGGGCCTTCTCTGCTTCCTTCCAGCTGCCTGCCTGTACCCTGCAGACCTCCGATGTAGGTGGAAGGCTTCAAAATGGGCCCAAGGGGCCGCCTCCGCTCCCTTCCAGCTGCCTGCCTGTGCCCTACGTGCCTCCTATATGCTTCGCCGCCGCAGCAGTGCGCCGGGTGTGGAAGGCCTCGGAAGGCGGCAAAAGGCGAGGGGCTGGACCCCTTGAGCCGTGTGGCTTGTGCCCTCCGGGCCCTTGGTCATCGGCTTGCTTGCTCATGAGACCGTGGCCGCCTTCGGCGGCCTTTTCCCTGGAGACCTCCAGCCTGTGAGGGTCAGCAGAGGCCAGGAGGTCCCTGAGGCACATGCAGAGAGGTGCAAGGGGACGCCCGCGCCCAGTTTTGACGCCTTCCACCACTAGAATCCGCGAAAATCAGCGCGGAAAAGAGCGCGCGAGCGCCGCCGCAGGGCCAGCCACAGGGGGGGCGTGCAGCCCTCAAGCGTATACTTATAACTATATATTTAGTAATGGATTAAAATTTGGGTGTTGCAATGCTTAGTCGTGTACATAGTCGAGGTCTGGCTGTTTGATTACCGGAGTCTCTCAGGGGCTCCTTTTAGTAGATAGAAAACAGCTCCACAGGGACGGGTAACAAGGAGATTACTTAGTGTTAGTACAAAGAGATCGTACTGGAGTTCGAAGCTATATCCTACAGGATGTCTGGTCCTAATGTGGGATGCCTCGGGGAGCGGATGAGGAGACTAACTCCGAGTCTTAGTTCTTGCTCGGCAAAAAACTCTATCCCGAACCAACTTGATAGTGGGGGCCGTCGGATAACTTGGTTAGTGTAAGTTTTCTAAGTGAACGGATGGCGCGGAGCACATGTTCTTCGGCACATGTTCTGTCATTTGTCTGTTTGCATCGGAAAGTTATCACCTACTATAAGTTGACTGATAATCTTACTGCTATTTCGTATAGGTGCCATGCTGTGAAGTTTTCACAGGCCAGGCATCCAAAACCTAACCTGTCGTATACATAGAATCAAGCGGATCACCTCTCGATTTCGTCTTTCTCGTTTCTGTACAATCCTCTCATTGTTGAAAAACCTTCAGGCGCTGTCAGCCCTGACCGCGTTCGGAGTGTGATTCAGGAGATCGGCCTCTTCAGCTGGATGAGGGGGGAGGCACGCGCGGAGCGATGGAGCGGGAATGCTAAGTTACAAAGGGTAAGCCTTGTCAAACTCGCGCAATTGCTTTTGGCGGTGACTGAGGCTGTCGTCGTGGCTGATGTGGCGGACGCGGAGCCTACAGAATCCTGTGGTGACGCTAGGACCGCAGGACCTCCTACTCCAATGTCAAAAAGCGAGGACGCTACTGTCCGCTGTCGGCGGCGGCTTGTTCTGCAAGAGGAATTGCGTGCAGTGATGCTGGATCTTCGCACAAGGTTGAAGAATGACGTGGGTCACGTGCTTGCCGAATCGGAGGTGAGACGCAACACGGAAATACTACGTCGTGTCGAAGTTCTCACATCAATCTGAGTTGTGAACTCTTCTTTGAGATGGCACCCTTTCGCGATGAAATAACTGTTGGTAAACAGCTCCCTTTGAAGAATGTTTTACTGTCTGAGATTGAAAAGACGATTCTCCATATGATCCTTGATGGTGATACGTGTGACGTCAAACATCAGATTTTTTTCCGCAAATGCAAAGTCATACTCGCTTGAGTGCTCTATTCATTGCAATTCACAGGCTTACCGTACGAAAGCCGCTCTCATGTGAGAATTCACAGATCATGTTCAGAAGTTACTCACTTGAGTTAACGCTCTTCTTCCTGCTGATGTCATCAGGATCAAAGACGCATAGCAGATCACAACATAAGTATCAAATCAGAATGACTTCCACTTCGCGAAGAAGATGAGCTCTACTCGTCAATGTCGACCTATGAGATGTAAGGGCTGCTGTTGAATGCCCACAAACACCTTCACGGTAATATTGCAGTGTCGAGAAAAAGCTGCTGTCTGTGCCTCTTCATCGGTTTCATTTCTACAAAGATGGACGTAAAGGAAGGAGAATCAAATGAGCGCGCGCTTTAGCCGTCCAAGTAATTCTTGATCCCAAAGCAGAGCTTTTATTGAGACAATCTCTTGATACGGTGGTTTGTTTTATAAACTAAAACTTTTGGAGTTGAAATAGCAATAGAAACCAAACATCTATCGTAACATGAGAAAGTACGAGAGTACACATGTGCTGGTGAATGTTGGAAAATGAAAGTACTTCTTGAGACCTCGGTTTCGATTAAAAGCATGCTTTGACACTGATCAGTGCTTCGAAGAAAATCTGTTGCCTGGAATGTGCATAGTCACTAAAAGTAAAAGAGCGAATGGTTGTACAGGCTCTTCTGCTTGTCTGAATGATAGGTACGTAGTCTCATCATCATGGGAGGAGGTTTTGTGCACTAGAAATCATGATTGTGGTTCATCTGTCTGACACAGATCTTCATCTGTTTCGAGAGACAGGCAAACCTTGAATCGAGTGCAGTCTGGCTTCGTGCCTTCAGATGCGGTGCTGTGCTGATTTTGCATCTGTCATCTTCTGATGTTCAAGATCATTTTTACCCTGTGAATGCCAACGACCTGTGTATTGGACGAGCCAGGGTAGATGAAAAATCATTGATGTTGTACCCAATCCCATAGAATTCTCGGAACTCTTGATCGGCTTTATTGGATCTTGAATAAGTACGATCCGGGATGCAATAAATGCAACAAAGAGAAAGACGTTTTGCCAGTATTTTTTACCCCAGGAATTTTTTGCTTACGCCACCTGCAGGCATTTGTTTTTTCCCTGGACGCTTTCTTTATTGGAAAGCGGACAACTAACAGATTGCATAAACGAACTAGTCGTGGTATCTTATAGACGGTCTTGGTGTACAACAAGTACATCGTAAAGCCTTCTTTCAGCAACCTCGCTAGTCCAGCACCGCTTCTCAACAGACAGTAGAAAGAATTTTATCTACTTGTGCTTTCGTTAAGGTTCCCTCGATTTATTGTTTTTCTTATCCCGAAATAAACGTAATTCATCAAGATGAGTATTGTGCAACAGCGGGAGATGAGTAGTTCCTTGAAGGAGCGGCTGGAGGTTGCATGCGCGGGTTTGTTCGGGCGATGGGAGGCTGTTCCTGGGCAGAGAGGCGATGATCCGGATCCAGAGCACGATGAGAAGTTCATGGACGTCAGTAGCGACGAAGTGAATTTCCATGGCCTTCAGAGAAGAACCAATTTCGTGATTAAGCACACAGGCAGAGGCCCACACCCACGGGAAGCCTGGAAGAAGCTTGAAATTACCTCACCGCCTGAGGATGGAGGTGGAGGTGGAAACGCTGCTGCATGCAGCATTACACTTGAGACGAGCCTGAAAGAGCAGATCGTGATACGCTACGACCCCCAGCACGAGGTTTTGGGGTCGGACCGTCTCCTCGTTTTGTTTGATTACGACCCGAGCATGTCACCAGTGGAAGTGGTCTACGTGCGAAGTGGCAGTGACGCTGCTGTCCAATCTACAACGAAGACTCTGAACGCGGTAACGGCGATGAGAACCATGACTACGCAGGGAGCAAGTAGAGGACGAGAACTGGACGGCAGAGAAATGACAGCAACAAGAAAACAAAATCGGGAACAGTGCCTGTTAAAAAGAGGATGTTGTGGTTGAAGCTGAGATTGAGATGGATATCCGAAGTTGGATTTGTTGAGGACACGATGAGAATGCTTCGACTTCTCATGCTGACTACTACTTTTAATTCAGATTTTCTTTATGAGCTGCTCATCGATCCATATGCTATACCGACTTCTTGGTTTTTGGCAGCTATGCAGTAGGAGCGCATATTATGCTGAACAATGATCATGATCATTGATGAAGATGTTCATGCTTGCACCCAGGAATTGCTGAACACGATCGTGAATATGCCGTCAGTCGTGAAGATAGGTTTAGGTTTGTTCTAGTTGTTCTGCTTCTGTTGGTTGGTCTGATCTTCACGACTTCTCGTTTTGACTTCTTCTGTTGATAGATCGCCATGAATGCTGCGATAGAATGTTCTATTCAAAAAATTCCGACCAGGATCAAGAAAGAGTGTTCAGTTCGAAGCCAAGGGATCAACAACGAAGTTCTGAAAATGGCGCATTGGGGCAAGAGCCAACTGAATTCTAAGTTTGAGAAGATTCTCGTTGGAAAAATTTAGTCTGGAAAGGAACTGAGTACATTGATGATCCTATACTCATGAGAACAAGACCAAGTTCTTTACGTTGATGCGTTTTTTTCGTGTTTAATTTGGCATCAAGAATGAGTCTGTGCTGTAAAGAAATTGTTAAAATATGTTCAGACTGCACGAAGTACTATACTTGATACAACAAGGAATTCATAGTCAATGAGCGCTCTCCATATAAACCAGGCATTAAATTCGTCGTGGCCCTATTTTCGTGAGCAAGAAACAACGACTAGTTGATCAATCTAATAGGTGCAAAACAACTAGGTTCTTTCAAGAATCCTTAAAAATAAGACATTCTTATCGATTTTGATTTTATCCGTATCTCTTCAACTTACTAACTGCAAGAAAAAAATGTCGGGAGCAGGAGTGTCAGCGGGCGTGCACCCGGCTTGCGGTAGCAGCAAGCTGGTGCACTTGTGGGAAGCTGAGACACCGGAAGGAGTGAAGGTGGAGCGCACAACTGTGCCGCTTACGCAGAGCGTTCGTGTCGAGACTTGCGGTCGTGGTTTCTTCGCTGAGTTCGAAACCCCGAAGGTCATCGTGGAAGAGGATATTCTCAGTGAGAGCACGGAGGCTGCCGCTTCTCCGTCCAAGCGCCAGCAAGGCACTGGAGAACCGGGAAAGAAAAGCCACTTCACCAAGGCCGGAATTTTCAAACTGGATGATAACTTGAAGGGCGTGGAGCTCTACAAATTTCTGCAGGTTCCAGAAGACGCTAGCGAGAAAGAAATCACCAAATCCTTCCGTAGCCTGTGCCTCGTGTATCACCCGGATAAAGTACAAGCAGGAACAGAAGAAGAGGCGAACAAGGAGTTTCTCAAGCTTCAAGAAGCGTACTAAAACTCTTTTCCGTTATGACGCTTTGTGAATTATTGTTCTCTTTCCTTCGTGGAACGAATCGCGTTGTAGCCTTGCTTTGCAACTACTAGAAGTTCGTGTCATTCTTACGGTACATCACCATCACGTTATGACTACTTATTTGAGTCAACATAGAATTACAGTCTGCTATTACCAACACCATTAATGATATTTTCATCAGGTATGACATTCTTTTGGACCCAATCCGTCGTCGCAAGTACGACAGCAGTCGGCCGTTTGACGATGACATTCCGAAGGAAGCGGACTGCGAGGCTGGTCTTACTGACGATGAGTTTTTCGAGCTGTTCGACGAGGTCTTCAAGCGCAATTCCAAGTGGTCCGTCAAGCAGCCGGTGCCACAGTTGCCGGCGTTCCAGCCGGAGCTGCAGGAGGACACCCCCGAGTACGAAAAGTACATGCAGACGGTGCAGAAGTTCTACAAGTTCTGGACCGGCGATTTTGAGAGTTGGCGTGACTTCGATCTCCGCATCATCGAGGAGGAAGGTGAGGACGCGTTGGACGACCCGGGAAAGGCGGAGTACCGTGAGGAGAAGCGCTACATTGAACGCCAGAACGCACGCATTCGCCAAAAATACCGCAACAACGAGAGCGCGCGTCTGCTGGAGCTCGCCGAGCGAGCCGAAAAGTGGGATTCCCGCATGCGCCTTCTGCGCGACCAGGCCTGGGCGCGCAAGAATGCTGGCAAGGAAGCGCGACGCAAGGAGAAGGAGGAGCGCGAACGCAAGGAAGCCGAGGAAAAAGCGGCCCGCGAGGCCGCGGAAAAAGCTGCCGAGGAGCAGCGCAAGAACGACAAAGCGGCGAAGGAAGAGGAGAAGAACGCGTTGAAGGTTGTGCGCCGAGACTTGCGCCAACTCGCCAAGCTTCACGCAAAAACGGTGTCCGCAGAGCAGTTTCAGGAAGTCCTGTTGCAATTGAAGAGCCGCGATGAGAACGAAAAGTTGCTGCAAGATCTCACTGACGAGCTCACAAAAATGGGGAACCTCGAGTCGGGAATCACCCTGGTATACACAGACTATGCTTGCTGAGAATGAAAAATAAGGGAAAAGAATCATGATCCTCAGAGAAGTAAACTACCATCTTACGACGACCTTCCTTGGAACATCTCCTCGTCCTCTTCATCACACTCTTATTCTAAACATTGAATTTTTTTGTAGGTTCCGCGATTGTGTGCTTTGGTTCGTGAGCATCTGTCCCAGGAACCGATCATGGTCGACCCTCCAGTTGAGACCCCGGCAGTAAACAACGCCGCGGCCTTCGCCGAGTCCGCGCCAGCGAAGCAGAAGGGAAACAAGAAGAACAACAAAAAGAACAACAAGAAGGGAGGTGCCGCTGACGAGAACGAGGACGCCGAGGAAGATCGCGCTGACGCGATGGAACGGGTTCTGGATGCCGAGGCGGAAGCTAAGCGCCACGCAGAAAGCGAAAAGAAGAAAAAGGCGTTGGCCGAAAAGCGCAAGCAGGAAGAGGCTGCGAAGAAGCGCGCGGAGGATCAGGCGCGTAAGAAAGAAGCCGAAAAGGCCAAGAAAGCTGAGGCAGCAGCAGCCAAGAAAGCTGAGGAAGAACGTGCCAAGAACGAAGCGATGCGACAGAAGCACCTGGTACACAAAAAATACTTGCCTGCGTGTCTCGTCAAAGATAAAGAATATATCAAACGAGTTCATCATCTTCACAATACTTTCCCAAAAGGTCTTGGTCTTCTCTACGTATTCCTCGAGATGAAAAGAAGAATTGAACTTTCGAATCACATCAACACTCACAACAGGAGGAAGCAGCGCGTGCTAAGGCCGAGGCTGAGCAGGAACGCATGAGCGAAGTCCTCTCGAAGCGCTTCGGACAGGTTCGCGAAGAACAGCTTGCTCAATACGACAAGACGATTGAGGATCAGGGCATTGACGCTGTCCTGAACCAAGTGAAGACCGAGTTGGCAGACGGACTCCACGAAGCTTGGGTTCGCAACATGACGGAGAGAGCGGGTGCTGGTAAAAATCAGTTTTTTTGAGGAAAACTAGAATTGATGGGCATCGCATTCGGAAGCAGTGTATACATAGCTAGAAAATTCACAAAGTCCCTGCTTTTTTTGTTGAAATTATTTTTCTTCGCGACAGCTAAGCGACCTAGTACATGATCAAATAACATTTTTGATCTCTAACAACAATAACAGATTCCACTCCTGAAAGCCGACTTGAGATGACATTGGATGTGCAGGCTTGCTTGGTTGCAAACTTCACGAAGTACAGATTTTTTGAGATAGCTGTGCGACCGACGGCTATGATGACGCATCTGACTGTGGCCAACAGTCTTCGTAACCGTATGAAGAAGTTGCGCGAAGCCCTGCGCAAGGGCTTGCGAGCACAGCTGCCGTGCACCGGACACAGCCCGAATTCGAAGCAGTCAAAGAAATTCTCGAACGCCCAGATGGAACAAATCCTCAACGGCGTTCTCCCGGAACAGCTTTGGCAACAAGCGGACTTCGTAGATGATCCGGCGACCACAAGCAAGGGAGAGCCGGCGAGCAAGGCGGCAGCACCAGATACGGCAGCAAGTGCCGAGCAGGCAGCTCCGCCAGCGTCGGGTAAGGCTCCGAAGAAAAAGGCTAAGGCGGCGAAGAAGGAAGAAGAGGAAGACCTGGACGCTATCTTCGCGGAGCTAGGTATCGAGGAGAAGGGCAAGAAAAAAAAGGGAAAGAAGTAAGCAGAAAACTGTTACAACAACCTCTGGTTATGGAGGCAATCGCGCCCTTATCAACTGAGGATCTCGACGTTGTAAACACTGAGCGGCGTTTTCCCAAAAATGAGCTCGGTTTGTCACCAGATTTTTCATCTGGGTCACAACTCAATACTTTATATATTTAAAGTGAATGCAAACGATGAAAATTTTCGTCCTGAAGATGATCATGCACGATACGTAGGTAAAAACTTACTTTTATCTATGAGACACCGGGACGAGTATGCTCATCGATCTCTGTAACTGCAACCAAGAATTTGTTATTATTATCGCATACTCACTTCTACTTCGTATGCACTGACACACACGCAACACTTTTTCTAGTGGGCTGCTGTGAGTTACCTGATCGATTTGACACTGCTCACTGCGCATCATTTTCTGGTTTTAATGACCTCGCCCACATTGTAGTCCAGCACGATAGGGTGGCCAAACTTTTTATGAACTTGTTTTTGTTATTGTTGTTCAAATCACCTTCATTATGACGACGAATAAATGACGAGGACATATCAACGATAATGAATAATATTTATGATAAGGGACGCTTATAATTATATCAGCATTACACCGAAATGCAATTGCAACGATTTCTATCACCTGTTATCTGAATCTCAACGACAAAGCAACAACAACTGTAATCCGATCCCCCACACGGGGGCTGACAGCGGCAAATTAATAGCGTGTTCACGAGAAGGTGCATTCACTGTTATAGTTAAATCATGAACAAGTTACCTGCGGAGAGAGCGAAAGTCTACTAAGGTTTGATGTGGAAATCTTTCGCCCCATTTTCCTATCGCAAAACAATGTCCTTCTGCAGTTGGGATATTTTTTAAGCGTTCGGCAGTACAATTGCGCGACCTTTCTTCTAGTTTTTGTTTTGTGGACCCCGTACGTTGAAGCACGCTCAAATAGGGCTGATGTTGCAAGCACTGGTGTCTATGATTGTCACGAACGTCAAAAACCTAGGCGACGGGATGCAAAGGACCTTGTGGCGGAAGAGCGTGCCGCAGTGCGATAGCGTCAGAAGACGTTCCACACGGCGGAGGCAGGGGAATGGTCTGAGCTCTGCCAGTATATTGCACTCGCGAGGCTTCTGCCTCCACGACTACTCTGCTGCTGCAGTGCGAGCTCTGCTAACGCTTGTTATAGTGTGCAAGACTAATCGTAATCTGGGGGCGGGGCTCGTAGTGGAAGAGGTCGCGGTGACTCATCCCGGGGAGCGCTAGGTTCTCCAGAGGAAACAACAGTTGCGCAGGAGTAGATCTCTGTCTGCAGCGACCGTTACTTATGGGTCTAGGTCATCGCCAGCTGTCGTTGCACTCCAGCTGCAAAACCGAGACGCTCGCGACTTGCGGCAAGGATAGCCAGACGTGCTTCCCGTATCTAGTCCCGCCAAGTTATTGGGACGCGTCACTCCGACGATGTTGCAACGGAAATAGAGAATTTTGAGCTGCCCTCTGCTCAGGATTCGGGCTGGTTCCCGAATACTTTGACGCTTGAGCTTTGCGCTCAGGTTTGTGCAGAGATCTCGGGCTGTGATGCAGTTGCCTTCGTGGAAAATGGCGTGTTATCCGAAAGCAATGGCCACAACTGTCAACTCTTGGTTGATATAGCTGAGAGTGGAGAGGCGGATTTCACGGCAACATCCGACATGCAAATTATACCCATGAACAGGTAAATGAATGAATGAATGAATGAAAAGAGACGATTGCAAAAGCAAGCTTGTGAAGCGGAATGCAGCAGCATCAACATTCAAAGAAGAGCTACTCAGGGGCTTTTCGTCAAGAGACGGCCTCTCTCTTGGAGATAGTCTCGCTCGGGTTGTAATGGACGAGCAGGCGATGTTGATCGATGAGTGCGGGACGGAGAAAATATTTATCTCGGCTGGTACTGGTAGCTTTGAGAAGATTGAGGATTTTTCAGTTGGTGATGCTGAAAGCAACATGCTCTACCGCCCAAACACTCCGTGCTTAGGGGTAGTCTTCTATTGTAGTTCTATCTTGTGCTTGTCGGCCCAAACTTGAGGCCCGTATATAATTTCGACGCGGCGGGGATAGTATGTGAGGACAACCTCGACGAGGGCAGTACTACTTTCTTTGAGAATGATAAAAGACTACCTCGTCCAAGCTTTGGCTGCCTACGATTTTGCTTGAAATCAAATGATTGCGTCGCCTGGGAATCAAAAGTGAAGGACAGTAGTCCATCCAAGAAGCAGGTGTACTGCAAACTCGTTCACCGTCAAGAATACGCATCACAAGTCCAAGTGGAAATCAGAATACCGTCGACATTGAAACGGATGGGGACATGCAGTTGACGACGCAGAAATGGCGGGCAGATAGCATGATCAAGGCCCACTGCAAGGATCAGAGGTGCGATGTCTTTACATTACTTAGACAAAAAGACGACGGAACGTTTCGACTTCTTGATACATCTTTGCGATCTGTCGAAGTCGGACTCTTTTGCGCTCCGAACTGAACAAATACCAAATCGGATATGTGCCCGGAAATGATTTCTCACCTGGTATGCAATGCGGAAGGGTGTGTCAAGGCTACCGCTGAAGCATCCCCAGCGCCATCCCTGGCCTCCTTTTCAAGGGGAAGAGGGGCGCAAGAATGGGCTCAGGGATGCGACGCAGTAGCTCTAAGTGTGTGCTCTAATGGAGCCGGTCTGTGAGGGCTTCATGGGGGGGGTTCCAGTGACATCTGGAGCTGCGGATCAGCATTCATTTGCTTTCTCCTGCGTGGGTTGGGCGATGATCGCTGGGGACCAACACCAACGGATGCTGCAAAGTCAAAGGACGCGGCCTTCTTCAGGCTCACCGCTAGGACAAAAGACGGCCAACAGAAATGTGGCGAGAAGTTTCGAACTGCGTGGACGTGCAGTTGCGAATACGGTCACGCGGGCGATAGCCGAAACGAGGACTGTTCGCAACCTGGTGCCCGTTTGTGCGTGAGTTGCGATGCCGGCTACGCGCTGAATACCGAATCGGGGAAGTGTGAACGTGATCCAAACACCGGTCCTCTCCCCTTACACACCTTGAACGAGGATGTCGAACTGGATGAAGACGAAGCCAGAGTGACATCGGTTATTACACCGAAGGGAGACGATGAGCAAGACGTGACGAAGCTGGAGATGACAGAAATACTGATTATGATTGGAGTCTGCACCGGCATTTCTTTGCTAGCGAGCTGTGCGCATTTGGGGGCGCAGTGAGCGAGGTAGGATCCTGCCCATAATAGGGTTGCAAGATTGAAACTCTGTATGAAGATTACCATCATGATCATCGTTCATTGACGAGGACAGGCAGACTGGCTTCAGTAATGCAACGGTGGTGGAAGAAGAACAGCACAAACTCAAACACACAACGTGTCCGTAAATATCGAACCCTTCCTCTGGGAGGTAGCAGAGCTTCACCGTAAATGGCGCACCCATACATCATTAGAAAATATGTGTACTGGTGTGCTCCGCTGCGAGATCGTGACACACCATCCCCTGCGGTTTTTCTGACGGATTTGTGAATATTAAGTCATCTGTCCTCTCTGCGTACACCCAACGGAGTAGTATTGTAAGTGGTAGGCGAAATTGTGGCTACCTGCGTCATAGATTTGTCTCCCATATATAATGCTCTTATCTATGAATAATGCAGTTAGTATGTGCTTGGCGAGTAGATCGTCTCGGTGGTGAGTTTGTATCAGTAGTTTCCTCAGATTCCGCTTGTGTTTTGTTATTGGTAGTTTGCTTCCTTGGTAGTGGTATCCTACTTGTATTGAATAATTCGTTTCCAGTGTCCCATGTGTCCTTTCTTAGTATCACTAGCCTCCACAAGCTTCGCCCGGCTTCAAGTTAGTTTAGCACTTTTCTGCGGCCTCCCACGGGCTACAGCCGCTAGAGTAGAGACAGCCCGCGGGTGAGCTGTTGCACCTTACGAATTGACTACGACAAGAGCCGAGCGCCGGCGGTGGCCGACTCAGATGCGTCGACCCATGTGCAGGGCATTGCGCTGCCTTCGGTTTTTTTTTGAGATTGCCGGGCTGGTCATGCAAATTCTTAAGAATTTGCAAGACCCCCACGGCAGTCCAACAAAAAAACCAGAAGAGAGCCACCAGACACGCACAAGAATCCGCAAGCCCCAACGAACGCAAGCCCCAACGAACGCAAGAACGAGGGGCGACCTTGATGGGCCAAACAAGACAAAGCAACGCAGGGCCGCGCTGCTTGGGTCTCTCTACGCGCTTACACCTGGCCGCGGGGCTTCTTTGTTTCGTCAGATGTCTCTCGTCAGAAACAGACGGGCGCACTTCGCGGGGTCGTGCGGCGCCGCGCTTCGGGCTGTGGCTGAAGCCTCTCGGCCGGCTGACGTCTTTCACCAAGCTGGAGACTAAGGCCCTCCATCAGGCTGATGCCGTTCGTCAGACCAACGCTCTGCGCCAGGCTGGCGGCGTTCGTCGGGCAGGCCGGCGCCCCTCGGCAGGCGTCTTGGGTCAGACTGAGGCTTTTCGTCAGGGTCGGGCGACGTCTCTCGTCAGGCTGAAGCGCTTCGCCTGGCTGACATTCCTCGCCGGGCTGAGACTCACGCCTTTGGTCAGGTTGATGGCTTGCTTCAGCTCGGCGCCGTTCGTCAGGCTGATGCACTCGCCAGCCAGGTGAGGCCTCTCGCCAGGCCGGCGCAATGCTTCGCCAGGCGTCTGCCTTGCGTCGGAACAGGCTGAGCGGGGCCATTCTTCGGGCTGCGGATGTCTTTCCTTCGTAAGATTGATTCCGTTCTTTCGTCGGACTGACGTGATTCGCCAGATTGACCGCGTTCGCCGGACTGACGTCCTTCGCGAAAGGTCTTCGCTATCTTCAAGGGCCTCGCGCCACAGGGAGGCCTCGCGTCAGTTTTTCTGGCGGAGGTCGTTCGTCAGATGTCTGCTGTCGCGGGTCTCACTCTTGTCTTGTCGGAGGTCTTGGGCCCAAAGGTCGTCTTTGGTCCACAGGTCGCCGGTGGTCCACAGGTCGCCTGTGGCCCAAAGGTC